TGAGATGTTAACGTTGATTCTTGACTCTTGGAGCTCACGGCATGGTGAGTCAATGGTGAGTCACCACCACGTCAAATTTAACATACCCCGGCCACTGCATCTCGTTCTTTGTGCTGTCGTCCAGCTGACCAGTATCTTCATGGTGAGTACTCATTAAATACCATTCTACATTGCGTTGATGCAACTCCACGCATGATACACCATCATGTACATTTTGAGAGCGTTGACATGAGTTCAAGAGTATTTTGTTGGAAATGTACCCGCAGTGTTCGTGGACTACATCAAGCATGATATCCTCTGCGAAGAAATGGACATATTTCGAGCCATTTCTCATCCGAGTCGGCGAGTCTTACCCTGAACGCCGTAAACTTGAAGCGGGACCTCGTCTGAAGGAGTGTTCAAGGCGGTTGGTCTGCCCAGTCATTTACGGTATCTACGTGATGAGTGCTCATTGTCGAATAGCATTCGAAACTGCGCTGATACGACCCCTTGTATGAGCTCGGTTTACTCGAGAGTGTTGATGAGCTGAAGAGCGCTATGTTGAAACGCACGTGTTCATCACTACATCAAACATGCCATCCTACCTCATCATACGCAGGAAAAAGCTTTGGAGTCGCTCTTTGTATGAGTCATACTACTCTGAAACGACGTAAATCTGGAGCGGGACCATCGTTTGATTTCGGAATATGAAAGGGAATTGGCTTATCTGGTCATCGATGGTATTTACATGGTTAGTGCCTACTATTGTCGAATGTAACTATTTACACTAACGCGACTCCACGTGTTGACACCATGTTTTACCCCAGGGTGCTAGCGTGAGTTGAGGAACATTGTGTTGAAACTGTTCATAATTCCATCAAACATACTAGGATCCTTCGTGAGTCATTGCAATTGCCTAAATTTGGAGTGAGAACATCGTTTGATGGAATGTTCAAGGCAATTTGTCTGCCCGGTCATCACCGGTTTTACATTATGCGTACTGATAAATGTACACCGGCGGCGACCCTGCGCGTGCGACGGCAATTAGACATTGATCATTACCCTGGTCTTAGTCCAGACATCAAAGGAGACTCGGCGGTTATGTGCTAGGGCACACTTCACCTTTGAACCCTCATTTTCCCTGAATTTCGACAAGTAGCCACGGGAAGTATCGTTCTTTTTTGCGCCGAGCTGCTGGCCCACGAGTTTATGCCGTTGTCGTCGGACGGAATGTTCCAGATAAGAAAAGTAGTTTGCCTGTCAATCAATGGTATCCCGGTACGCTGAGTACCCATTGTCAAATATCAATTTACTGATACGACCTCACGCAAACTGAATACTTTAACCATTCAGCCGCGAACAGTCTTCGCTGATCATCCTGCTCCATCGCAATTAACTAATCCTATGAGATCATCCACTCGATGGTGAATCTAGAGTCGCATTGACCCGTATTCCATGGGTCATTGTTGACGCACACGAGGGAGTCCATAGGGCCAATAAAGAAGTCTTCTGTCTCGCATGTGGGTTTGTGCGACTGGTAAGGCTTCTTATGCCTGTAGAGTCTAGACAGGCACCCGCCGGGTCGACATTAGGAATCACATGTCAATTATGGTCACACGTATCCAACGCTGTACTGCTGCGGATATTCTTGAGGCACTATCCGGATGAGAACGACGCCATGGCTCGCAAAATCCATAATCAGAATCGGCACCGATAACTGTCTGTGCCTTTCTTTCGTGTGGCACAACCGGGATTTTCCCGAAGCTCCTTCCCATTCAAAGATGCCACCAAATGTCATGGTCTGGAATCACTTCTTATGCCAATGAGCATCTAAAAATTACATGCACGAAGGCGACACCACTAGTATATGGCTCCGTTATCTCCATCGAGTACAAAGGTTCCGTTTAAGTCTGGAAAGGCCCGCGACGGATATTTAGCGCACGAGAACATCCTCAAACTTGGACTGACCTCCAATGTCATGGACACTCTGAAGACATTATGATCCAGATTTATGACTACGTCAGGGTGTCGAAAAGTGCGTTGCGCCGGAACTGTCTAAGTTTTGCTTTGATGTCGTGTCACAGGATCTGGGTATAACCCGAAAAGTAGTTCTAAACTAAAATTTGACCCTTGGAACCACCAGTTCCTGCCGGCGCAGATCACCTTGCCTCGTTGTTGCAGTTCACGCGCATACTCGCAAGGCCGCCCCCAAGTACGACAATGGCTAAAAACAGCACTTCAAACCCACTATGATATCATCATAATCGATGCTAGTCTCTCGAAGTACGCTGGTGGATTGGGGTGAATATTCAGCTCAAGGTCTGCACAACTCCCTCAATTATATGGTATGACCAGCCTTTTGCTTGAACATTGAATTACCTCGTGACAAGGATGTGCATCAATCAAGTATTCAGCATCGACCGGCGTTTCTAATCTTGGAGCCTAGAACACTCTTATCGAGACTCTCTTTTGATCTTGAAGCCCATCACACTCTGCCCGGGGCCTTTAACTCAATTTGTCAACTGACCCTTGTTCACTCACGGTGAACTGCTGCTTAAACCACCGACAATGTTCCCCTTGGAGGTATGTATTTCAAGTTATTTATTTTGTGGAGCGCAACAAGACTATAAAGACACATCAACCAGGGGCTCGAACAGCACACAATTACCTGTGTATTTCTCTTCCACTTCAAGCCAACTCCTACCTAAGTAACAATTTCTCGTTGTCATGAATGCTGAACAGTACGTCCTGCAAGTCTCAGATTTTGACCTTTGTCATATCTGATATATCCAAGATTCCGTAGAGCTGGTTATCAAGCCATCGATAGGATATGTGACTACCATGTCACCTTGAGGGATAGACCTGTCTTATCCCAAGTCGAGCCAGGGTACCTCAGAAAGGCGCTCCCGTGTGCGTATGTTTTATTTTGCCTCGTGCTTGCTTCTTATCGTCACGAGCGCAGCCTCCGCCCCCACTGAAGGCGAGGATTTCCAGCTTATCGCTGACGACTATCAAAAGTACATCATTCCTGGTACTTGACTCTCATTATTCACAAATTGACCTATCTCATTCGGACTGACAGGCCTGACACACTGGCAACACCCCTCATTCTTTGCGTACTTCCCTACATCAAGCACATTCGAGGGTATACTTGCAGAACTATACGCGTCTAGCACGTCTAACCCTGGATTCAATGTACGTATCTCTACCGCAACACTCCTGCTATCTTTGTAACTTTTGGTAGTGGTCTGTGAGTCCCGCATGTACAGAGCTTGAGGCTGTGGTCATGGACTGGATCGCTCAATTACTTGGGCTTGATGAGTCGTTCTACAACATCTCCGAGGTCGGTGGCGGCATCATTCAGGTCTGTTTCTCATCCCTTCATATCACTAATTTATACTGATCATCGTGCACTAGACGTCAGCGTCTGAATCTGTGTTGGTCGCCACTGTCGCTGCACGTTCACGATACATTCGTGAGCACCCTCAGGTAGCGATGGAGAAACTCGTGCTCTATACCACTACCCAAACCCACTCGCTTGGAAAGAAAGCTGGGCTTGTCTTAGGTCTCAAAGTGCGCGCACTAGGAGTCACAGCTCAGGATGACTTTGCATTGCGTGGAGACACACTCAAGGTAGCATTGGAGGAGGATATGAACGCTGGGTTCCACCCTTTCATCTTGAGTATGTTCTTCGCATGGATAGCTGTTGCGAAATTCATTTTACTCTTTCTGCAGTCGGTACTGTAGGGACGACATCTTCAGGTGCTGTCGATCGGCTCGACGAGATTGCTGATGTTGGTGCGTATATTGATCATGTTATTGAAGCTCCTTAAATTTCCATTTTACGCGTAGCAAAACATTACCCTTTCCTTTGGCTGCATGTCGATGCCGCATGGGCAGGCGTTGCATTCGTGTGTCCAGAATATCGCGAGGCATACCAACTTCCCGCCATCAATAGTTATGTAGATTCTTTCTGCACCAGTTTCTACAAGGTTTGTTTACTCCTATTTTGTGACATCGGTCTGGGGCTCATCAACATTCTGCAGTGGGGTCTAATCCAATTTGATGGCTCTTGTTTGTGGGTGCGGCACCGGAAACATTTGACAGACGCACTAGACGTTACACCCGAATTTTTGCGGTCAAAGCATGGAAATGCTGGTCTGTTTCTAAGTGTTATAACTGTTGGCCGGTGCATAAACGACGAATTTGTATAGGCACCGCTATCGATTACCGCAACTGGCAGTTAGGCCTTGGCAAAAGGTTCCGATCGCTCAAATTCTGGTTTGTTCTTCGTGCGCGGGGAGTGAAAGGCCTCCAAAAGTACATCAGCGACGTACGTCAGCCCATTTATTATCATTGTCCTCTAACCCATACATATTTTGTCCTGTCTCGCCAGTGTATCAAGTTGAACACCAAGTTCGCACAGAGCATATATGAATCCGAGTTATTCTCCGTCGTCACCAAGCCTTCCCTTGCCATGACAGTCTTCAGGCTTGCACCCAAGTCCCTTCCTCAACTCAGAACTTCCGAGCTAAATACTTTGAATCGTGCTTTTTATGCACGGCTTGCGGCACGGAACGATATTGCGATCACCCAGACAGATTTGAATGGGGTGTTTTGTATTAGGATGGTGATCGGGGCTGAACAGACTTTAGAAAGTGATGTCGAACGCGTGTTAGCGTTGACGAAGTATGAGGCGATGATTTTGTTAAAGAACCAATGGGAGGGGATTGGAGGTCGCAGAGGTAGGAAGACGGATGTGGTCCCATTTCACTCCCATTAAAGGTATACCTATTGTACTTGTACTTATCTGCAGTCATAGTCGATGCCTGTGTTTATTGTTCCCAATACCTTTGGGTGTACCCTTGTACTCGCTCTCTTGCTTTATTCTGATTCTTTTTTCTTCTCATATCGCCTGACTCTTGTGACTTTGTTCATTGGCTATCTCCCTCTGTCATCCGGATTATACTATTACTTTTTTCCCGCGATTTTGGGCATTCATGGCAGCGTTCCATTGCTCCAAGATCGAGATCGCTTCTAGTAATACAACACGAGTATGATTGGCGTGAAAAGTGTGATAATGAAGCCGAAGTTGAGAAGGCTAACAAAACTGTAACGTTCAACAGATAGTACTGGTAACACAAGACCTATTGTTCGACATGGCGTGGTAAAATGTGCTTATGAAGAGTACAGAGTTCTTCAGCACGACACTAAAATATGAGAAGACAGACACAACTTCTCGAATATTAGTGTCCCACACTCAGGACTGCGAAGATGTTCCTATGATTTGATGGCCGAGAACGGAAGAAGATTTGAAAGTTTCGAGACGCTTGTTGACCTTTTGCCAGTTCTTCCAGCAGTGTCTCCCACCGAGTATTTGGTTAACTTGGTGGATGCAAGGCAGCATGGAGAAGATGGTGCGAGCGACAGCTTCAACATCCACTACGTCAGGGGAATCCAGATCCAATGATTGTAGGGAAGTGTGTTGAAATGATTCGGTTGTCGGATCAATATCGATATGTTCAGTATCGATAGGTATTCGCAGTTTTTGCAAGTGGGGACATAGGCGAAGCGCTGCGAATAATCCGCGAAATGTAACGGCAGGTGAACGAGGATGGAGGTCTCTATGGAGGTCCGTTAATTCCAACGAGCGGATGTGAGGCCAACTTGACATGGCTTGGAAAAGAAGGTCGTTGTCAAGATGGCTGCAGCAATAGGGAAGAATGAGCCGCAGGACTCGGAGTTGCCTGAAACAAAATAACTGTCTGATCGGTGTAAACAAGCTGCCCGAGAGTTCCTGGACCACTAGGCCACCGGCGAAGAGTTTGACGTATTCGAGGGTCTGACATGCTTTGCACTGTGACAGTGCACGTAAAAGCAGGTCACCCTCTGCCCTGTGCAAAGTATCCACATTGATCTTGACCCGCTTCAGTGAGGGCAATTCAAAATTGTGCATGACTGCGATAATGTATGCTGCGCTGTCAATAGAGAAATAAAGATCCGTGACCTTGAGGGAAAGTGTGAGATTGAAATCGTCGCTGCCGAACGGGTGAAGGACTTTGCCGTGAATCCATACTGTAAGAAGGGTAGGGAGCATAGAGAGGTCCTTCCATGCTGCCCAGTCGAGCGGTGGACAACGCAAATTTACAAGCCGCTTGCACAAACAGAAAATAGTACTGTTAGACAGTGGGGAAAGTTCACGTGATGAACCACAAGGTATGATGGATAAATCCTCCAAGGCAACACAACGGGTCACAAGAACTTTCAGATCCGGTTGAATCTCCGATAAGACGCAGCAACGCAGCATGGGGGACAGGAAGAGATGCAAATATTTTGTCGGATATAGAATTCGAACCAGTGCTAATGACAGCAGTCTCGGAAAGATGCATGTCTCGATGGGAAGAGCTGAGATAAGATGAAAATGGCTGTCGTGGCTTATGGAAATTGAGCGCACACGAGCGGCATGGCGCAAAAACTGATGGGTCTCGTGCTCAGATAGGGGATCGACAGATTGAGAACAGAAGGGCTGCCCTTCAGGACGTCGGATAAGCTGCCTTGAGAATTCATGCATGACCGTGACAATATGCTACATCATGAAAGAACTGAACATATCGGACATTGTACAAATCATCCATACTCACCTTTTTATTGCCGCCATATATCATTGGATGTAGTCTCGTAACACAGCCTAACAGCGGTTCTATTCCATCCATATTAGCCCAAAGCAGATCCATTGCAGGCTCGTGGAAGTCTTTGCATGTGCTAGCAAGCGCTGCAAGGGATTTTCGAGACCATCTACTATTTTTCTCGTGGTTCACATGCTCGAATATGACCAGTAGTACATCTGATACAAGGAGAGCCCGATGCTGCATAGTACTTGCAAGTGTTAACGTGAGGCGAATGGAATGGAATCAGGTGAGCAGATTCCGAAGTCTGAGTGAACCTCATTTGGCCAGCTCGTAGTGCGGCCCGGGACCGGTAGCCCAGCCAACGAGAGGCTATGTGCGACTTCGTTGGATCCCAGTTAGTACTTACCACTCGACAACCAATGTTGACCTATGCTGGCTCATAGACAAACAATCATCCTACATACTAGTCGCAATCGATTTCCCTTGCGGCACTCTCAAGCAGCTGGTCAGGCTCGCGAAGCTTCCCCCTGCCGCATCAGCTGGAGATAGTCTAGTTTGCGTGGTTGCTCATCAACGCGTAAGTCCAGTAGAATCGAGGTGTTCTTACTTGCGAATAAACTTGAGGATTTGTAGCATGGTCCGATTAAACCATAGACTCTGAAGAGTGCAGGTTTCAGCGGCTGATTAAGAAGCACCGTGTTACACTTACTGGCGGCAGAAGCAACGGGCGAAAGTTGGGCAGGGCGACTCATAGTAATTGCCGCGTCTTGCCCTCTCAAGACTCAGTGTAAAGAAGGAAGAGAGCAGTGGTTGCAACTGGCATTCAGCACTCTTTTCCGAGGATTCCTGCGAATACATTCCTTGGTTGTCGATGGGCCCAACCTGCGATTGCTGTCGTTGAATATTAGGTTGTGATGTCACCGTGACACTGCGAACTCGGCAGATGGTGAGAAACTTGAACTCTCTCACCACCCCTTCCCATGTGGTTGTCAGTGTGTGAGGCCTCAGCGCTCAGCTGGAGGTTTTAGGGTCCCATGCGCAGCCGAGTGTTCAGTTCACAGCTTATCAGTTCGCGCTGGGAGTTCTACTTGGACGCTAGGCTGCAATTTTCCATCAAATGATCGTGCGACTCGTAAGATACCATGAACGACTCATACTAACCACTGTCTTCTTCACGCCGTCCTGCCATGGATATCGAGCAGTATGTCTTTTGCACTTATATTCCTAATCCCATGGTGTTTACTCATATCTGAAATACCACAGATTCCGCAGAGCTGGTTATCAAGCCATAGACAGAATTTGTGACTACTATATCTCGTTAAGAGATAAGCCCGTCTCCTCCCAAGTAGAGCCAGGGTATCTCAGAAAGGCACTCCCAGGTGTCTACTTTTCATTCTGGCTTGTGCTCTCTGTCTGATCATCCCATTCCAGCGTTTGCCCCTACAGAGGGCGAAGACTTTCAACTCATCGCAGATGACTATCAAAAGTACATCATTCCTGGTAATTAGCTCTGATTTTGCACAAATTCAGCAAATCTCATTCGTACTGACAGGTCTGACACACTGGCAACATCCTTCGTTCTTTGCCTATTTCCCTACAGCATGTACATTCGAGGGTATTCTTGCAGAACTATACGCGTGTAGCACGTCTAACCCTGGATTCAATGTACGTCTTTCTATTGTAACCCACCCGTTGTCTTTGTGACTTTTGTAGTGGTCTGCAAGCCCTGCATGTACAGAGCTTGAGGCTGTGGTCATGGACTGGACCGCTCAATTACTCGGGCTTGATGAGTCGTTCTATAACACCACCGAGGTCGGTGGCGGCGTCATTCAGGTGTGTTTTCATTCTCACTCTCTTCACCAAATGTTATTGATCCCTGTGCCACGTATAAGACATCAGCATCTGATTCTGCATTGATTGCAACTATCGCTGCACGTTCGCGATATATTCGCGAGCACCCTCACGTGGCTATGGAGAAACTCGTGCTCTATACCACCACACAAACGCACTCACTAGGCAAGAAAGCTGGGCTTGTCCTAGGTCTGAAAGTGCGCGCACTGGAAGTGACAGCAGCAGATGACTTCGCACTGCGTGGGGAGACACTAGAAGCGGCCCTGAAGGAGGACGTGGACGCTGGGCTCCACCCTTTCATCCTTGGTATATATTACCAATGGGTTCTATATCGTGGAATTCACATTGTTCGTTTTTGTAGTTGCTACGATTGGTACAACGTCTTCTGGTGCTGTTGACCGGCTCGGCGAGATTGCTGACGTTGGTGCGTATACTGACCACGCACTTGGTATTGATGAGAGCTCATCCCTACATGCAGCGAAAAATTACCCTTTCCTGTGGCTACACGTCGATGCCGCATGGGCAGGCGTCGCACTTGTGTGTCCCGAATATCGTGAGGCATGCCAACTTTCCGCCATCAATACTTATGCAGACTCGTTCTGTACCAATTTCCACAAGGTTTGTTTCTATCTCGTGATATCACCCTAGAGCCTGAAATGTTGATGTTCTGCAGTGGGGTCTAATCAATTTCGATGCCTCCTGTTTGTGGGTGCGACACCGGACACACTTGACCGATGCACTAGACGTCACACCCGAGTTTTTGCGGTCAAAGCATGGGGATGCCGGTGTGTACCTGCCGCTGGTTTTCGTCTTCTGTGTCAATTAACGAAATGAATGTCGGGTTTGTCTAGGTACTGTCATTGATTACCGCAACTGGCATCTTGGCCTTGGCAGACGGTTTCGATCGCTTAAATTTTGGTTTGTTCTCCGTTCCCGTGGGGTTAAGGGGTTCCAAAAGTATATAACTGACGTATGTCAAGTATTGATGGTGGATTCCGATTTTGACACCTGACATTTGGCCTTACCTCACCAGTGCACTAAACTCAACGCCAAGTTTGCAGAGCGCATACGGGAATCTGATCAATTCTGCTTCGTCGCAAAACCGTTCCTGGCACTGACAGTTTTCAGGCTTGCGCCCAAGTCTCTTCCTCACCTCACGACTCTCGAGTTAAACGGTCTGAACCGGGCATTTTACTCACGGCTTGCAGCACGAAGCGATATTGCGATTACACAGACGGATTTGAATGGCGTGTTTTGTGTGAGGATGGCAATTGGCGCTGAGATGACTACGGAAAGGGATATTGATAGGACATTGGATATGATTGAGCAGGAGGGACGCGCTACCTTGAAGGAGTTGGAGGACTAGTTCCATTTATCAATGCGTTGATAAGGGATACATATCCTAGAATATAAATGGGTGCTGAGCTATTCTGATGACAAGGTATCGATAGGCTACACATGCATTGCACATAAGGCACTGATTAAGATGAACTCTGGATGCAGTTTTGTCTCGCATGACTTCTCTTGCTTCGAGCCTCGATGGGTCTACATGTGGCACTTCCTCGCATGACAAGCGAGGTTTACAAGGTTATTTATGGAATATTGCAACCTTTAAAAATCAATTCTTACAGAAACAGTTAAAATTTCTCATCAGGCTCACGATAAATAAAAGCATATTGCCTACGTTCAAAGCTTATTCGAGGACTTGCCAACGCCGCCGTGATAACAATATTAATGAACCTGTGGCAAACCTGTGATGTTCAGGACCGGTTCAAGTAACTTGTACCCGCTGCCAGCGGTGGCAACAGCAATCCATTTTTAGGAAAATAAATAACTGGCCTAGGCACAAAAATCGTCTGACCGTGATAGACGATTCATGGTCCTAGTACGGATTAAATTATACATAATGGCCGCATCTTTTCGTACAACTTCTTTTTGACCACCATGACCATGTCGACCAACAGGCATACTCCCTTGGATGTTTGCTCACAATCCAACGGCGAGCATTGTCAGCTGAGCGTACGCTTCGACGACCAATGCGTTCTCATCCCTAAGCATCCTCACCGTCACCGCCTACCAAGGATAGTGACAAAGTCTTATTCTCTGCCGTTATGGAAGAGGCGTCCGTCGAACTCGGGCGGGCCGTCGTCGTCTCCAGAAACAGACGCCTTTGTACCAGAAGACAGTCATGTCGTCCTGCGAGTTCCGATTCCTAGGTAGGTCTATTGGTTGCTAGCGAATTAATGCACAACTAAACGCCGAAATGCGGGACAGTTTCTCTAGTAAAGCGCAATCTCCTGCTTGTACTCGTAATTCAGACCCTAAGCCGCTCTCCCCTTGTCTGGTCCATCGTTCCCCATCTGGTATTTCTGCCATCTCACAGGCAGCCCCCGGGTCTCCCCAGAGTCCACGGCGCCCAAGACGCACAGCGTCCTTGTCGCCTTCTCGTTCGGATCTCGTCACCATTCCGCTGCGACCATGCTGCGCGGGGTGTGAAGCCGTGACGGAGGCGTGTTTGTCGCAGGGAGAGACTTGGACTGAACACTTCTCTCGGTCTGCACGCAGACGGCGCTCGCTCAGCACAGATGAGGGACCGCGGACCATCACAGTCGAAGGGAGCATCGCTGCTACATCCTTTGGGCTTGGTCGTGGTCACCCGATTAGCGTGGATGAGGTTGATAAGCGTCGGCGGTCGAGCGACTCGGTGGTGACGGCGTCAATATGGTTGAATGAGGAGGGAAAGAATGTCATGGTTAATATGCAGCGCCCGTCATCGCCATCGCGCATACCGAACTTGGCTGTTCCTTCTACTCCTCGGATACCGGAGGAAGATGATGCTGAAGACGATGAAGACCAACTCTTCCCTCTCCCGTCGCCTCGTCGGTCGCCTGGGGCATCTCCCGCACCCAGCCCATCTCCTTCTGCATCATGCATCGGGATTTGTAGGCCGAGTGGGAGCCCAGTGCCGTCAAATTCCTCATTGGTCAGCTTAGGCACAAAGATGAATAAAGACCCGTTCCTTGCACCTGTTTCAAGGTCGTCTTCGTCTCTTTCGCTTGCAAAGACAACCGAGTCCGATGAAAATGTATCACGTGCACCATCGCCTCAAGTTCTTGCCACGGCGACCTCGATCTCCGCACGCTCTTTCAGCCAGTCCCCATCGCCGCAGACTTCGTGCGTTCCCCCGGTTTCAACACCATCGTCTACTTGGACAGAGGAGCTTGGTGCAGGTGCAGATAGAGGGCAGCCACCACTCACTGTTCCCTCCTCTGCCTCGTCCCTGTCCACTTCTCTCCCCACGTCAAATGGTTTCCGATCACATAATTCTGCACATTCGCTCGTTCACTTACCATCCACCTCGCCGAACCTCTCGACTTCCCTGCCTAAAAAACGTCATGGCTCATTGTCATTGGCTCGCCCCCGGCATATTATTGCCGATGTCCTTCGTGGGGTGGGTGCAGTAGGAAGTGGGGCTAGTGGTGTCGGGGTTCGTGTATAGGCCAGCATGGTTTTCCGTTTATCAACTAAACGGTTGTCGAGCTCCTATGGAGGTTACTTTGTTTTGGCTGGTAATTTTCCATAATTTTGTTCGTTTTGATTCACAAGTTTCTCATCTATTCTGGAGCGCGTTGCGAATCACACCATGTATATACCGCCCTTTCCTCCATTTTGTGCTCCAATGTATCATCAACCCACGTTATTCTCTCGTGTGTTTAGGTGTTTACTTACCTACCCTGCCTGACAGTGTCTCGCTCACGCGTCCTTACAGTGTATTCATTCATACCCGGTTTTATGATACTATTATGTTAATGCAGCAAATCATTTACTGCTTTTTGTCACATGGAGTCATGTTAGGTGAAGAGCGTTGCAGGTGCGCCCTTCCTGCTTGCATCGAAGGTGTATCCATGTGTTGACCTGTGAGATAATACGAGGCAATGGAAGACATTCCGACCGCACGCATTTGAGACGTGTTCAATTGTAATCGCCAAGATAGGTATTTGCAGGGTTGTGGTGATTAGTAGATTAGGTTCCTGAGCCTGCGCGGAGCGCTGAGGGGTACATGATCCGTATTGTACCTTGTATGTCCTATATGCCACACGCCACAGTCAAGTGATCGTGCTGAAGCGCTGAAGAAGGCACGGTGCCCATCCAGCAAGATGATTTCTATCTATGTAGTCATTGTCGGCGTTCTTTGAAATTAGCTTGAAGGAAATAAAGCACTGAGACCCAACGGACCTGTCCTGTTAATTTTAATTTGACCATTGACTCTGAGTCGAGGAACGCTCCAAAAGAAAATTGTGGATGTGTCGCATCTACACAGTCAAGAAATTTCTGTTGAGTGCCAGAGAGTCAGAGACTAGCAAGTCAGGCGCGTCGGGTCACGGGTGATGTCACAGTCACTGTGTCACGCGACGCGAGCGCGCCTGAATTATTGTTGACTGCCAAATTTGTCTCTTACTCAGGCTGTCTTGACGTACGCTGTCTACAACTTTCTGTAATTCTTCACCCTCAACGTGGACGATGTCAATGCGCAAGCTACCTTGTATGTATTTATCACGCCCGGTCTAGTGTTCCTCATGACTAACCTGTATTAGTACGAGTACTTTACACGGTTAACAGCTCTCCTCAATATATTCTTGCCCGGTCACCATCTTCTGTGCAGGTTACTCTTTGCCCATCTCCTTCTGCTGCACATGCGCAGTACGGTTTGGCACCACTTAAAGCATGTCTCAATGCTATTTGCAACTCAAGGTGCGTATTCTCGTGTGACTTTCATTCCATGAACTCACCGCTTGGCAGCCCAGAGCTTCTCCTGGATAACTCCAGGGACTTTTCTATCTATGTACTGGACCCATTGGAGTCGCAAACTATGCCAGCCCATGTAGACTTTTCCCAATCGAACGCGGCGTCTACTTCAGCGCCGCAAGCAGCCCAACCACGAGGAGTGGCCGTTGCACTGGGGCTGATGTCGTGGGCACTCACAGCGGACGAATCAGACAGCGTGACTGTCACCGGTACAATCACAACGCTTGGTACAGGTCTTGATGCCCTAGAAGTGGTCTTTGCTCTCCGAGAGGTAATTACCCACAGCCTTCATCGCATCCGATTTTGATTAATAGTGCTGTCAGACTAAACACATCCAGAAATCTCACTTGTCTGATGCCTTAAAATCTTGGAGCCAGCCACCCAAGGCATCACATACAAATAAATCAATTCTACCTCCCGAACCCACTAACTCAGAAACCCCACCCTCGTCACAAGAGCTTCTCACTAGATCTGCCGATTTTCCTGAGGTTTACATCGGACCTCCTAAGCGCGGTCGGGGCCGCCCTGAGGGTCCGAAGAAGAAGCCCAAGCAGTCAAAGTCACAAAAACCTCATGCGTGGCCTGCAGCACCACCATTTATATGTGCTCCGCTCGTGCGACTACATCAGCAAGAGCCAGAAGTGGCCCCTACCCATACACCTACTTCTTTACTTACAATACTGTCTGCCCTATCTACTGGGAGAGACAATACAGCGCTTTTGGCTGCTCTTTCGACGGTGGATTCGACACCGTCGGGATCAGAGCCAAGCCCAGCGCTGCTAAATGCATTAAGGGATTTGCTGGCAGCGCAAAGTCAGAATCAACAGCAGTCGTCGCACGCGCTGCAGCCTGTCTCACGGAATAATCAAGACGATGATATTGTTATATTAGAAAAGGAACACGTAGATCCGACCGCATTCCGACGACGTGTGGAAAGGGAAGACTCGAGCAATTTGGCCACAACCACTGCAGATGAATCAGAAACAACCCCTCTGCGCCAGCGTCGTGCCTACATTCCACTAGATGGGAAAGAGAATACACATTCGTCCCCAGTGACCCGTAAGCGCAGGCTCAGTGACTTTATGGCGGAACAGGAAAACAATAAAGCTCGAAGAAAGCGTGCACACGCTCGGTCAGAATCCGGGCGAACATCGGGCTCCTCTGAAATACCACAATCAATAATACCTCCAGGTCATCACCGCACCGTTCGCTCAAATTTTGACACGAGTGTATCATCTGAAATGCCCACCAGTTCTTCGCTTTTCCGTCCGAGGTCATCTCCTTCCAGGCCGATGTGTCGCTCTGTATTCCAATCCCAGACCTCCCTCGCCATGCCGCATTCGACACAAGCACCTGTAAAGCCCGTCAAAAATTTTGTCGTGCCAGAGTGGGCACGTACAAGCACCGCTACCCGACCAAAGCTCTCGAAGGAGGTTGAAGAACGTATTGCACTCATGGAGCAGGAGAAGAAAGGGAAGCGCGCTGGACGGCGAACGCAGAAACCAGGATGTTCGCAACAAGGCGCCAGAGCACCGATTGACCTGCCTTTGGAGGATAGATGTACGATGGTACACACACCTGTCGAAGAGGTGACCATGCCGCGTCTACAGAGTGCTCTTTCACTCTCCTTGCCTGTCTTTGCATCTGACGTATCTATATCGTCCCCCCTCTCGCCTCCTTCCCCTGTGTTGGAGACACCTCCAGTACCCAGCACACCTCCGCGGAGGACATCAGTTTTGCGTGCTACGTCACGAAGCCTTGGACCCGACGAGGCTTCACCACTGTTCAGCCCAACTCCCAAATTATTTTGGGGTAGCACTGGAAAGACGCCGCACTTTCCCTCCCATCCCCGCACACCTTCACGTACGAGTAAGAAACCTGTCTTTTCTCCTATTCACCTTCGCACACCATCTGCAAAAATATCTCCTCTACGACTCGGACTCAGACCGCGCTCATCCCTCGAATGGGCCAACAAGTCAGTCGAACAACCCGTCGACCGCGAAGAAGAAGACCTGCTCGGCAAAGAACTCGACGATGCGCTTCAAGGGCTGGATGTCCCAGCATTTAAGCAGCAGGACGCGACGGACACCCTCGAAAGTGGCGAAGACAATATAACGTTACCTCTATCTCCCCTTCCTCCCTCTTCCCCGCTCCCGCCTACCAGTCCTTTGCTACTTCCTTCCACAGACGATCCAATGGAAGATTTCTTCGACAGCGACGCTTTCTTCAGTGACTCGGATGGAATACTGGGGGACGCAAGCGAGTTTCCACCCTCTTCGATCTCCGATTGGTTTTCCTCGGATGATGATGGTGGAGCGGACATAGACGAGTTGCTGACCTTAGACGGGACCTCAGGGTTGGATCCTGAAGGTTCTTTTTCACCAAATGCGTTTGCTGATATGGACTTTACGGAGTTTTGGGAGTCGCTTAAACCTCTCCTTCAGGCAAGGGCAGACGAGGAGGGGAAAACAACTGTCAGCACGGACTCTGGAGCCATAATGGATGGTGTCGATGTGGACTCTGGAAAGCTTGCTCAGGAGGTACAGGTGCTTTTGAGTGGGTGCCTGATGTGACATTATGGACGCGTACGACATTAAAAGACAGTTTAAGCAGAAGCTCATCTACGAAATCACGCTCCGAGCACGCAAATGCTTAAACACAATCAACTCTGCGAGTATATATTAGATAGAAACTTGCGCTCGCAATATGTCACAAGATATGTGAAACACTAGCACGTATATTGTGAGCTCGTACTACTGATTATGCGTAACGCCCGGAAGATCTACAAGGAACGGGAAGCTGCTGAAGAAACCCGATGATAATATTTGAAGAATTCAAGTAGGATGCCAGACGTACGGTCGACGAGCCAACATCGTCGAAAACGAGAAGTGCAATCGGGGGCACTGACTGAGGAATGGTTGGAGAAGACAAAGACGAAGCCGAGAGCTTCACGTCCTCGTTGGGGAGTCAGCGCTTCAGCGCTTGACTGGTAATAAATGAAGTAATCTGAATTAGTGATGCGGCAAATCCATGTCCAGTTAGCATGCGGTACAGCACATGAAGCAATTCATCTGTAAGCATCGGCCATGTTTTGATGCTTATGCTCGACGTCGTCGATGACCCGGACGAGAAGTACTACTACTAAGTACTAGCTACTTAGTACGTAAACACATGCACGTGATTGTGTCACTCTAAATGAATTGTCAATGTTACAATCTTGCTACTATGGCATCTGCCACATACGTTCTTGATGCATTGTTGCACCAACTTTTTGACTTCTCGCGCCATATCATGATGACGCTATCACCGCATACCACTCGTCCAGTACACAACACGTTGACAATCAAGTGAACGTTGCCGGTCGTCGACTTTCACACCCACGTTACAAATCGGCGGTGATTCTGTACTTACCATTTTAATTGGCATCCTTCTGATACGAAAGCCCAATTGCAATAACAGAGGAAGAGAACGTTAACGAATTGATTGGAAGAAAAGCCCACGCAACTGCAACATCTACGTGGAGTGCACAGCTCTCCCTTCGATTACCAAACTTGAAGCACTATGCACTGGGCCGCATCAGAGAACTCGTGAGTCTCCCCAGGGTGCTTTACGTTGATTGCAGGGGTTTTATATTCCAATATAACGTTTTCCAGATTGATTATATATCGGCATATATGACAATATCTGCGGCTCACCAGTCCTCTGATGGCCCGCCATATGTATATATAGCACGACTGTCATTGGCATGCATCTACCAAGTTCGCCTCTCATTCTCATCCATTCTCTCCCAATATGATCATAGTCTCAAACGGTCCCGCTTCGTGGCCGGTCATCAATGCAAATCGTTTGTACAGCTATTTTGTAGGTTCGTAGAGAGCAGTCGGATGTTGAAGCTGATTTCTCAATCTAACCTTGGCTGCGGTTTCATAGTTGCCGCCTTCGTTGGAGTCACATATGATTGGGGTGAGCATGGTAATATTAAGGGACTGCTGATATAGATATCTTACAAAGATTTTTAGCACTCACATTCGGACAGGAGGTATGTCAATGCTACGACCGACGCAGCCATCTCGCTAAGAATCCTATTATAGGTTGAATTGGTCTGGGCAAGTATTGTCTCATGTCAAAGGAACACGCATGAAAATACACTTAATTACAGAGGCAACGCTGGTCGTTAGTGACAGTTCTGTATCTCAGTGTATGTGACTTGTTTGTCGCGGTTGCCATGTTGTGCTGACTTGAAAGTATCCTAGGTGCGCTACCTTGGAATCTTCTTTGCTGCGTATGTTCGGAAAGCTAAACAATCGGCGTTGTGCTGATTGTCTATCTCTCATAAACAGCCTGACCATGCTGAGTATGTCTCCTTCATTCGCTATCTTTTCTTCTTCTGACCAATGGCATACAGTCAATGTTCCGACCATCTCGCTGACAGATAGAGTAAGTCTTCTGCACAGATGCCTGCTATTCCTCCAATTAACTGCGGTGCCTTGTAGGAGTGGGTGTGGTTCTTTACTAACTTCTTGGTTTATTAACGACCGCCACGCTGTACTACCACAGATGTGAGTCTGTTTGGAGTGTGCGCTACCCGAGGCTGGTCACTGACCAGATTCGTCAGGCTGGAATATGTCCGCCATATGGAATTGGACGGGTATTATGGCATTTGCAATGCTGTGGAGTGAGTTTGGCATTTGCGAGATCTCAGTGATATTGACTTGACTGAAACATGCTGCTAGTCATTATTATCACTCGGTTATATGCCATGTATCAACGATCCAGAAAGATCCTGATATTGCTCATTGTCACCTCGCTGGCTAGCTCCATCTGCATTGGAGTGGCAGCTGTAATAATAACGGTACATGCTTCAGTGGGTACGCTTGATTTTGGATGAAAATAAACGTGCACCAGTGGGGCTCATTGATGAATACCAGAGGAATACTATCTCTCCGGCACCTACCAGTGTTCGATTGGCTTTGGGGGAGATCTCCCACTTCTGACTGCTGTTATGTGGATACTCAGTACTGTGTGGGAGGTCTTCACACTGTGTCTCGCAGTCTGGATTGCAGTAAAACATTTCCGTGAACTGCGACAACATCCGGCAGGAGGGATTATCGTGGACTGTTTCACGGTGTTGATGAAAACTCACGTGCTTTTACTTTGCGAGGTAAGTTCATATCGTGACTATCGTTCTTTTTTCCACTGAAGGGTCGGACGTGGTAGTTTTGTTGCTGTTTCTTGCCTCCAGCTCATTGTTCCAAGATTGTCAACGGTATGTCAATTTTTCGCTGCCCCTGCGTGCTACCACGGTTTATCGTCTCCATAGGATTCACCGGACGTCCAGATTTATTATGGGTTTCTTCGGATTTTGGAGGTCGTGCAGATGTTTATTCTGGGACCACGCCTGATCCTTGGCGTCCGAGAATTCAACGCGAAGCTCGTGGCCGATTCTGACGCAGCATCTGTGATGACCTCAATCGCTTTCCAGGAGCGTGTGCATATACAGACTGGCAGTAGTGTGTGACACACGATATTTTAACAGTTGTCCGGTGCTCTGCAGCGAGCAAGATTTTTTTTTGTCTCTGTTCCAAGCTTCGTTGCATATGATACTTATTTAGTTACGTCGTGTTTCGAAGTAGATTTCAAGTTTGTTGTCGTAGTATGCGTTCGAATCATTTGCTATAGGTCCTGGCCTTGAGAATGTTTTAACTAATATTCTGGACATCCCTACTACGTGCCAACGAAGGAAAGCACTGTACTGAAGAACATATCGAAGTGTGCAAGGACAAGACCCGACGGTCGTGTGAAATGCCACATCGCGCGCAACTGCACCAGTAAAACCTCCGATTCCTTGATGTGCCTTTAAATTTCGTCGCAACAAGTCTACATCAAAATATTCGAGTACGTTCTCCTCGCTCCTCGATCGCATTCCGTCTTCAAATCTGGAAATCTGTTTGAATTGTTCATTTAAAGCCCTTATTTCGCCTCTAGTACGATCTAGCAAATCTAGTATCTGACAAGAATGCAACAGGCCTGCAGGTACCAGTTGCGGATTCTGCTAACTTCCCCACACCCTGAAAATTGGCAGGGGTAAAATTCAGGGCTCAGTCAAAAATAAGGTTGGTGGTGTCCTCAAAATGTTCCCACACACCCTGAATTCATTCAATTATCAACAGGGACACACGTACATACGACTTTTCAACTAGGGATGGGGTGTCCGTACAATTACTTTTGTTGATTCCGCGCGTGTATCATTTTCGAATCCCGTCCGCCAACCCTTGTTTGAATTCGAGGATTGTCTCAACGACGGTAAACCCAAGGCTGCTTGCGCCGCAGCGCTTGACGAAAATCTTCCCCGGTATTGTAAGTCCCTTATCGCTCGTCTTGAACGATCTCTGATGACTTGTAAATTAGAATGCAACAGGCCATGATATATCTATACCCATGCCAGGCCACCCTAGAGACGACTACTCCACTATTTCTGTACTTTTCTTGTATTATTTTTGCAACATTGCAATGTGGCACTACAACTTGCTCTGTAAAGGCGTTCCATTGCTATGGGGTTGGCCCAGATACCACAACGTTGCATCCTTCAACTCACTCAACCACTCCGTGACAATTTTTTCGCTAAAGACGTGCTGATCGTAGGAGACAAAATATTGCAGTTGCTGGCGTGCAGTCGATGCGCCAAGATACAGCTTGGCAGGCGTTATGTGTGCATGGGCACGCCAGTACTCAACATGAGGTCGTGGTGTTTTGGCGTCCTCGAAAGCAGCAGCCTGCGGTGACCACGGCGCATAACCGGCCCGATGGGCGTGAGGCGTGCTGTGCAGGGGCGACAGGTAGTGCTCGGGAGGCAGAGGATATTCTGTGGGCAACACATGATCCATCTGGAATCGTAACGTTTAGTTCATCTGAATCTATATCAAGAGAGTCACTGACATTGCCAAGGGTGGCCCCTCCTTGTGTGTATATCGGGTCCAAAGACTGAACGGATATACTTTTATCGCCGTCCTCTAGCTGAACACTGTCTCTCGTCTTCAACCACTTCGAAGCAATTTCCCTCCCGAAAGGAGTCCAATGGAGTCTCACGGTGGAAGTACATATATCAACTAATCGTGGGTGCTCGAGCAGCTTCTGAGCTTGCGCCTTCACATTAGCACATCGGAGAAGAAACCGATCGAAAGACATAAGAGCCGGGAAGTCCGGTGCCCCATCAATAAGTTCCAACCTGCTAGGGTCTCCCCTAGACATGTCACCAAGAGGCATGAAGGGAAGCACATACTGGACTGTGCCGATGCCAACGCCAACATCGCCCGAGCCGCCCGTCTCAAACCAGTCCTTATCTTGATACGGGCGCAAGTTCACCGGCCCGAGGACGTACATGGGCTGGCGCTTCCTGTACTCCCATTCTTCTTCCGAGATCTGGCCCCTGAGGTACCGTCGACATAAAACACGTGCCATGGCAACTTGGCTGAGGGCATAATACGCAGAATTCATGGTAATACCATGGCGGCGGCAATTGGTGAGAATGGTTGACGACACTGCTCTCGAAAACACTGAGACATGGTTGCGTTTTTTAGCGGAAGTATGAGGTGTGGATTCCCTGAAGTCTCCGGGAAGAGTGTGACCGCCCTGTTTCAATGCTTTAGCTCTCCTGTAAGGCACTGCAAACTGAATACTAAAGACCTTGAATCGGGACATCCGTGCCAAGTCAATTGCATAACCCAAAGCCCGCCTCCACCGTCTTTTGACAAGTGAAAGATCTCTAGAACCCAAATTGCTCTCTAAAGCCTTAAAACTATGCATTCTCTCGCCCAGAGGAATGTACGGTGGTTCAATCTGAGATGACAGTGTGTCAAAAAACGTCCTAAGCACTGTGCTCGTGCCAGCTGCATCTGTAATGCAGTGGGCGAGCATGATCACGACGTGAAAATGGTCACTTTTATCTGTTCGGCGCAAGATATAGGCACGAGTAAGTAACTGAGATGAAAGGCGCCGAGGACCATCCATAATGTCGGTTACGAAACATTCAGCATGGTGAAAGGAATCGACTTCCGTGAATGTGACATCATCAGGTCGAAGATTCATGACTGTTTCTTCACGGATAATAAAGCGTGGACCAAACTCGTGTTCTTCCACTTCAGCTGCGATGAGGGGAAAGCGCCTTTTGACAGATACCCAAGAACGTAAGATATTCGATTGGGAATGAACGACTTGGTCGCTGGCTTGTGCGGTACGAAGGTGTATGTGCATCACGGTATCAGCGGTATTGCTGGAAACGCCAGCCCAATAGAAGGTAGTTTCTGAACTTCCAAGTGGGCGAAAGAAAATGCGCCGGCCTGGAGTAGAATCTAGCGACGTCCATGACTCAGTGGTCATAATGTTGAAGTTGACAGTGAGTCTAGAGGGGAGTGCAAGAGGAACTCGTCGACGGATTGGTACTTATACCCTCTCCTCAACTTGAGCACGTATAAAAACCCCGGCAACGACTTCATAAGAATGTCACTCACGTTGACTGTTTTACGGAAACCTTCAAACTCTAGAGTCTAGCCTGAGAAGGTAATGCATGTACATACAGAAACTGTTAAACGCCTGGATCACTTGCGAAACGAAAGTCCAGCATGACCTAGAGCGCATCCTACTAGGTCATTGCTAAAGCGCGTCTGGTCTACGAGGCTGTTAATAATGATTTAGTACTAGTAGCGCCTTGCTCATGGTAGTGAATTACTAAATAAGAATAAACATAAACGTAGCGTGGGAATGATCATTGAATATTGGCCATCATGACAGTGCCGAGGTCACGACAAACTCTCAAGGTCGTACGATAGTCAAGCGGGAGTAAGCCCCCCATGTATAGGCCCTAGGTGGTTTTATGTCCGACACATGGTATATAAATGAGGACAAGTAAATTGAATTTTTCTAACAAAGAGGTGGTTCGCACTGCAGTGACAGACCGTGTCAGTAGGTCATGTTTGCCCACACCATTGACAGGATCGCACGATGCTAAGAATGTGGCAGTCAATCAGATAACCAGGGCGATCATCTGGATCGCTGGATCTGCATGCTCACCCTGATTGATGTAATCACAAAGAATCGATGTGCAGGCCCTGCAGGGGGACCGTAGGAACTGCAGTCTGCACCGTGATGGCGCATGACAGATCAGCATGAAACCTGACAATGAGCCTAGCTCAGTGTCATGGTATAGATAACAGCATGAATGCTGCACAATGCGGAGAGGAGAGCATGAAGTTACAAACAATGAGTGAGTAGCTGTAGTGTGTACTAATAGTGCTTGGAAAGATGACAATACTTACAACTAGTAGGTTCAGAACATGCTGCTCAATATTTCACGGAAGCCATAGTTTCCAGTTCCTTTGCTAATATATCAACAAACATTACAATACTTTGAACTGCCGCGTCGCCTCTGAATTCGCTCCTGTAATTATAACACACCTTTCTTAGCTAACAACTCACTTTTAATCCGTAGAGGACGGCCATCACGATCACGCAAGGTCAAGTTGACATCTTGTTTTGGAATTGATCAAGTCTAGGCTGGCCTCTAAGAACTGCGTGTGCACGGCGACCCAAATTTATTTCTTATATCGCGTCACGGTACAAGACTACAAGTTCAGGTCTAAGGTCACCTTGCAGCTCACTGTAGACTAGTATAAAGAGTATAGTGCATCTTAAATCTTTGGGGCGAACAAAGGTTGTTGCAAGAAATGGCAAGTGGGATTTTCGTCACTGATCCGTCATGCAGCATCGGCATGACCTCGAAGTCTATCTGTCTGAAAGAGTGTATCACGTCTCTGGTGAGCAGTAAGTTGCAAAGACTCGAGATCCTAGCCAAAGAGCTAGATAAGCCCCAGGTTATAAAAGCACTATGTATGCATGATCTTGACACACCATACTAGTCAAGTCCTCATACATCAAATGAATGATTTCGACGAGAAAGCACCCAAGTTGACAGCAGTAGTGAAGTGGTCAGAAGCTTCCGAGCTTCGTCATAATGTGCACCATCCAAGACTTTGGTTCCGAGTTGAACACATAGATGGATGCCTAATATGTGAGTGAAAAATATCAGTTTTGATGACCGAGCATTGCCGCATGATACTTACTTCCACGACACGACACCTACATCAGCAAACTACCATTTTGTCCCACAGAACTCACAGTGTGACAGACATCACAGAATCCCAGGATTCAGAGTCACAGAGCCCACAGAGCCACCACAGATTCTCACAGTGTGCTACAGACTCACAGACTCCCTAGAATCCCAGAGCCACAGAGTCACAGTGCACCACAGACCCACAAAATAAATCTCAAAAATTTTCACCAAGTCTTTTCTTTGGTTAAACAACAACATTAAGCCTCAGTATTACAGCTGTGTGCAAATATAATGGCACTGGCGCAAATCGATAACATATAACAACAACGAAAGACTTAGTGAAAATCTACCTGAATTTACATAGCACTGCTACAAACTTTGAGCTTTCGTCATGGGCAATAGGAAAATCTCTGCTGACCTCAAGCTTGCAGCTATCCGTCTTCACGAGCAGGGCATACTTCGGCTCCGTGACATCTTGGACTGTGTAGGATTCTCGCGTCGTACCTTTTATCGCATCAAGAAGCTCCACGACGAGACCGGCAATGTTGTCAAGCCTACTAGAAGTGAATATCTTGGTCGTCCACGGACTCTCAACTTCGAAGACTTACAGTATCTTCTTGAGCTCGTTTATCATCGTCCTGACTGGTTCCTCGACAAACTTACAGCTCTCATGAAACGTAACCATTTTGTTGCCATGCACTACACAACCATTCACCGGGAGCTCGTACGTGCTGGAGTCTCATTGAAAAAGCTCCGAAAGATTGCAAGCGAGAGAAATGAAGACCTTCGAGCAGATTTCAAACGACGAATGGCTCAGTACATGCCTAATGAGCTTGTATTCATTGATGAGACTTCAAAGGACGAGCGAACCCAGTTTCGAAGATGTGGTCGAGCAAAGAGGAGTTGCCGGGCATCTATGAGAGGTCCATTTGTGCGCGGACGACATTTCACAATCACTGCTGCCCTAACAATCAATGGTGTCATTGCTGGACATGTGGTTGAGGGATCCATGCGACGAGTGGGCTATCTCCATTATCTTGAACACTCCGTTGTAAATTTGGCTGTCATGTTTTTGTCCATCGCACTAAATTTTGGCCATAGATACCTCACTGTGAAGCTTACCCAGGCAGGAACAGTGTCCTAGTGATGGACAATGCCCGAATTCATCATGGTGAAGAGGTTCAGGAACTCGCAGATAGATTTGGTGCGCTGATGCGAGGCTTCGTGAATATATATTCTAACCCAAGCTTGGTACTAGGTGTCCGAATCATTTTCTTGCCTCCCTACTCCCCAGATCTCAACCCCATTGAGGAGGCATTCTCGAAGCTCAAAGCGTGGATTCGTCACAACAATGATTTGTTTTCAGCTGCTGCTGATAATGATGGTATTCTGTATGACTTACGAGAGGCACTGGATATCATAACAGCGGAGGATGCTCATGGCTACATTCGTCATTCAGGTTATTTCTAGGCTAGAGTTTTACAGTATAGTTTTACAGCATGATTGATACACAGCGAGGGACAGCATTATGACTTTGAACAATAATGAAATGTGCTACTCCCCACACCATCGCGAGATAGCATCCTTCAGCTCTGCGAGTTCCCCACAAAGCAGGCCAACCTTCTGCAAGTCATCAATAGTTACATAGCGAAGAGAGTGTGAAGAATTGAAACCATGTTCGAGGAGTTTTTTTCGGAGTGTATCAGAAATTTCGTACATCGAGCAGAAGTCAATGAGAGTCAATTGAGGTCCCAGAGAAGTAAGTTGTGCAGGAGATAGCAATGATGGAGCAGGATGCATAGCAGGAGCCAGATTTTGCGACGGAAACTGAGATGCCATGGGTGCAGAAAGGCCTCGAATCGCTTGGAACAGCTCAGGAGGGAAATTGACATTGACAACAGGCCCACTGGATGCAGGGGCAGGTGTTGCTACCAGTTTCTTTGCTTGCTCGTTGGCCTGTTGTTGTTGACAACGGACTGCTAATAATGATTGATGGCCAAGTAACTCGATCGGCACCATACTGAAGTGGGAATGATTTGGAGGCATTTCAAGTGTCGCATACTCGGGGCCTTTTTCCTAGGAATAGTTGAGTGCAATAACAATTGAGAAAACTGAGCATACCATTGCTGATGCCCAACAATCAAGCAACGGAAACGAGAGTGGTATGTGGGAGCCACCATCTCCAGGATTCACGAAGCAATGTTCGCTGTGACAACCTGGCTTCTTGTGACATACCCAACGATCTGTCAACTTTGTGATATTCCGATTCACTGGTTTCATCTCGTTGTCGATATCAGATGCCTTCGGTGCCTGAAAATTCAGTGAATGATGAAGCATTCTCGCAGTTTTCACAACATTCAACATGCCTTTGTTTTTTGAGTCTTCTTCTTTTTCCTTTTCCTTCTCTGCCCTTCATCACTGCTATCCTCACCACTACTTCCATTCTCCTTGTAAGATGCTCGGTCTTTACGCTGCCACAAAGTTAGATTATGAAAAACTCGTTGCAACGCATACCTTTTTGAGGTCAGAGAGTTCTTGAACATATATCGTTACAATTGGTTCCTTGATCTTCATCAGACACTTGATGAGTTCCTTATAGTCATCTTCGTCGGACAGTGAGGTTGGCTTTGGTGAAATTCGGACAATTGAAAAAAATGCTTTGTAGTTATCGAAGGAAAGAGTAGCAGGAGACGTTTCTTTGTCGATCTTGCAGAGAATCTGGGCTTTGAAAGTATCGAAGGGTTCATCAAGATGAAGGGTCAATATGGTGCTGGTACCACTCCATTTTTTTACATCGTCCTTCTTGATTTCGGCATATGGCAGGATGAGAACATTGTATGTCACTTCACGAGCAGGTTCCACAGTATCAATTGGCTCAGGTTCTGTTGGAGGAGCTTCAGAGCGTTTGGATGACACTGCTCCAACAAGAAGGTGATCAGCAGTGATGATAAAGGTGCATATATGCGCTACCTTTTTTCTTCTTAGGTTTCACAGCCTGCTTCGGAGGTGGAGGGGGATCTCGTACAGGTACTGGCACTGGCTCGGGGACAGGACTTGTTGCATCAAGTTCACGATCAATACTGTCGCGCATCAGGACTTGGGGCAGAGTTCCATGGTCCGCTGTAGAAACAACAATACTGAGAGGAACAAACAAAGCTCCTGACTGATATATTTGTGTTGTGGTCTTTGCACTGCCTAGTCTGCTATACTTGCCTGACAAGTGCATTCGACCCAGGGGTCTGCGGTCTGGGAATAGTCTTGGGGGTAAGTGAGTGATGTGGGGTCAATAGTCCGAGCGCGGGAAACAATGTCCAGAGGTATAATTACGATGTCCGATGCAAAAGCGTTGGGTCCGATGTTTTTCGGGGTTTCGGGTTATCGGGTTCGGGTTCGGGGTGTCGGAAACTAATAGTAATGCTATAGCGAGCGTCGGAAGAGCGAGCGGTGTGTGCAATAATAACAATGACTGATACGGATAATGAAAGAGCGATGATATTCGCAATATCAACTAAGAACTACGAAATATCGGATTTGACCACTAAGCGTCGGGGAACTGCTCCCCTCTACTTGGATGATGAATAATGCTCGAGGTCAGTCCAATATATATGTAAGTACGTAGAAATGCGGAACCCGTAGGCGAAAGTAGCGGCGGAGTATTTCGGATCCGAAGTACATGTAAATAAACATGAGGCGCTGCGGACTATGGGAAAACATGTAATAGCGCTGGCTATGACGTGAGTAATGTGCGAAATAATGAACTACACACCTAGTGGGGCTAGCAAGATGGAACGGGACACGGATAGGACAAGTGCACAGGAAAACATCGGGTCCGATGCGGCCTAAACGTCGGGTTGGCGGTGTAGGGATTCATTTCTGGCTGGGCTTGTAGAGACTGTTTTTACCTTACCTTATGTTGGCACTTTTGTAGCTTACATAAGCAAGTTATCTTTTCACCAGTTACCAGTAGGAGTCAGAGTACTCAGCAAGTTTTCATGATATTTCCTCTCCTCTGAGCCTTGAGCCTGGTCCAGAAACCCTTTAGGGTCGAATAGCAGCTAGGTTCTGCAAGACCCAACATTGTTCAGACTCACTCTCTGAATTGTTGTACCTTCAACTGGAGCCCACCGCGAGGGTTTCTTGTGTTTCTAGGCTCTCTAAGCTCACCAATCATCCCCCAAATTCGCCTATTATCCTACCACAGTCATTCATTACCAGCTTCTCCCATATTCCCAAGTTTTCAGCATCTTCTCCTCCTCCCCAGCACATTGATAAGCGTTTTTCTCACGCGGTTTTCGAGCGGATCTCTCGCAAACTTAGGGTCGTATTCCCTACGTCCGTCCGGTCATTTTGAGCCCTGGTTCATCGAATTTGGAGCAGTAGTTGTGGAGTTATCGAGTTTTTGGTGTTTTTGAGAAGTTGAGGAGAGATAAGGGTTTTCTGGGTGCTCTAAGGCCTGTCTCATCTAGCTCTTTTGGTCATTTACCATCCCTCAGTGGCTCTGTCCATTGCCCCAAGCCGCTTTTTGATAGGACCAGCCCTTGTTGCCCTGCACCATACCCCTTCCTCCTCCTCCCTCTTGCACCTCCACACATTTTCGCACTTTCACCAGCCCATTTCGCATCGGAACCCCATAGACCCTATACCCGTTTTGAAGCCCTCGTTCATGGCTTTCATTCGCGCATATCCGCGCCTTCGCGCGCTCAGCTGTTCGCTCGCTATCCGCATTTTCGCGTTCCCCCCATTTGTTTCACCCCAATTTTTGCGTTTTCTTTATATCTCGTCGCCCTGTGATCGCGCGCCCATCGCCTTAGGCGCGTTATGACCGCATTCACCGCCGCTTTCCATCCATCCGCTCCGCTTCCCGATACGCCCACCCGCGCCCTCGCTACTCGCCGTTTTCGCTATTTTCGCATGTTTTCACCATTTCCTTCATATCTCCCTCAGTTCTTCACCAAACCTAGTCGACCCTATACTCATTTCGAAGCCCTCATTCGCCTCTTTCTATCCGTCTACTTCCCGTCGTCATCCGCGCAACCACCACTTCGCATTTTATCGTTTTTATCGTTTTACCAGTCCCCCAGTACTGATGCGGTTCGCCTGGCACAAGAGATGTCAGGGAAAACAGGTGCTGGGGTCATCGTTTTATTGGATTGCCCTGACCCTCACTCACTGGCGCAGTTTACCTGGCATACGCGTCAAGGAAACAAAAGGTGTTTGAGGACCCCCAGGTTAGTAGTTTTCTTAGTTTAGCTTAGCTTTGGTTTGCATAGGTAGATGACTGGGGACAGTCATGATTCAAAGTTCCCATGAGATGTAGGGATTCATTTCTGGCTGGGCTTGTAGAGACTGTTTTTACCTTACCTTATGTTGGCACTTTTGTAGCTTACATAAGCAAGTTATCTTTTCACCAGTTACCAGTAGGAGTCAGAGTACTCAGCAAGTTTTCATGATATTTCCTCTCCTCTGAGCCTTGAGCCTGGTCCAGAAACCCTTTAGGGTCGAATAGCAGCTAGGTTCTGCAAGACCCAACATTGTTCAGACTCACTCTCTGAATTGTTGTACCTTCAGCGGGTTAGCGTCGGATAACATCGGGAAGTGATTAGCATGTGACGGGTATTTGACGTGTACTGTAAAATAGCTCGATACGAGCCCAGCGCCAGCTCGTGTCCTACACCACGAAGACTGTTGATGACCCACTCGATGATAGGGAGCTGGTGTCTGTTTCGGAGGACGTGACTTCAAGTATATCATCGTCAGATTCGTCAATAAACTCAGCACTTTTGTACATCTGTCGCTGATGACCCATGTTTCAGAGAAGGGCCCGGGCAAAGTGTGATGGCACGACGCGACAAAGTCCCTACAACTAAGCTAAATTTCACTAAGTCCTTTTTCGGTGTTATATGTTTTCGATTTGCACCAGTGCCATTATATTTGCACACAGCTGTAACCAAAATTTTCACCAAGTCTTGTCTTTAGTTCAACATCAGGACCAAGTCTCAGTATAAAACAAAAATTTCACCAAGTTTTGTATCTAGTTCAACATTGACACTAAGCCTCAGTATTAATCAAAGCTTATTGAAATTTAACTAAACTTTCTCCAGTCAAAAACATGTTGCAATGAGATTTAATTTACCTGTATATTTCAATAAGGGCAAGTTATGATGAATTTTGAAGTTGAAATGAGGTTTAATTCTATGTTTCAGCTTGAAAACAATATTGAGGGTTGAGAATAATTGGTATATGTGTTATTGTGAGTGAGTAAAATCAAAGACACAATAGTGTAGTGGTAAATGTGTGTTGAAGTTGTTGCTGAGCTTTCTGAAGTCTCAAGTTCAATTCCTGCCATTAACACATTAAAAATGTCAAAGTGTGAATTTGTTTTGTCCTATTTACTAGACAAACATTGTAGCACTGTGAGCTCTGTGACACTGGGAGCTGTGGCACTGGGAGGTTCTGTACAGAGCTGTACAGAAGGGACCAAGCTGTGGCCCTGTGACACTGTACTGTAAGCTCTGTACAGAACTGTACAGAACATTGTAGTTTGCTGATGTGAGAAGATCGAGGGCATCTAGGAATTCGAATTTCCGGGTCCGTCCAGCCGAGTCCGGCTGGGTCTGTCCGGCTCCCAAGTATGATATTTTGTATGCAATAGAGTATGACACTAGTACATTAACGAAACTACAGAAACGTCACAGCTGCAGCCCTCACAGATCTGGTCCAGACTATTTCAGAGATACCTGCATGTGTCATGAGTGAAAATATAGAATCTGCAAGGTCTATGGTTGAGTCCATTGGCAGGCAGGCACAGAAATTAACACCTGAAAGCTGGTTGAGCCAAATGATTGGTAGGCAAGCTGCTAGTAGAGGATGAGAAAGCCGGCCAGCCCAGTGCACGAGAACTTGAAGGACAGGCAAAAGCCCATCTGAAAGGCCAAACCATATCTGCAGCTACACAAAGCTGTAATCGTCAGGCCAGGCCAGGCTGAAAGATCGCTGATTTGATGTATTCGAGATGGTAACAAGTCGTAAAATTGAGCTCATTGTATGACGCGACGTTAAGAACTGACAAGTTGTGCACAGGCGGATCCGGACAGACCCGCACGCAGCCGGACGGAGACTGCCGGAAATTCGGATTCCCAGACTTTCTGAGAAGATCGGCATTCAGACAAATGGCAGCGAGTTCGTTTATGAGAAGCATCACTTCCTCATGGTGTTCTGCGCTGAAGAGCGCAATGGCCTGAGATACACAATGAAGTAGAGAATATGCAAAACAAAATTAACATACCTTTGTGAGTAGAAGAAAAAAGGTTGGGTTTTGAATCTTGGTTCATGAACATGGATGCAACGTCGAATGCTATCCTTGCCTCCTGGACATGACCTCGGTCGCGGAGGGCGATACCTTTGGGGACATAACCTGTCAATGAGGGCTGAATGTTGATGGACTATGTCATGAATGAAAGTTAGCCTTTTTGCAAGAGGGCCATGACAAGTCGGTATAACTCACCTTGATTGCATCCTCCCAGTGATTTTTTCGGGCCATAACGAGTGAGCTATGAGTACATGAAGTATGATCGTTAGTGTCGGTGTGGATGTCTTGGGTGACTAATTCTTCGGCGGAAGACAAGTCCCCAGTTGAATCATGGGCTGTTGTGATAGCCAGGGTCTGCATGAACGATGCTCGAATTGTGTGATGAGTCTACTAGGATGGAAACTCGCCCTTAGCCTTAGTAGTGCTCAACGCCGCAGTCCGTGGGCGGTGTTGCTTGCATAAGCCTGTACGTGACCGTGATCAGCTCTTCTTCTGCAGATCTGAACCTCGGTTCGAACCCGAACTTTTCCGAACCGGACCCATGGTCCGGTCACAGGTCCGGCATGGTCCCTGAACCGAACTACCCAGTTCTGCATTCATTTGCACTTCTTTGGCTCTTGTTCATGTGTGTCGGCGCTTGTTCACACGTGTTGGTGTCTGCACCTGGTCCTTGTCACGCATGTTTTCATTTGTCCGACTGTCTGCACATATCCTTACCCATTCACAAATGCTGATGTGTTCCGTCCAGCTGGTGAGTACTTCAAGTTCATATCTTGACCCATATATGTGATTTTACATTTACCGTACTCGGGCCGCGGCTCAGGCCAGAGCCAGGCCAAAGCCGGTAGTCACTGGCGGCTTTGGCCCGGGCCTGGATTTTTTGCACTGCCAGCATACAGCGTGCTAACGACGTGAAGTTGTATGCTGCTGTCTGAGGCAACGACCTACAAGCCTGCAATACACAGTCGGCGCTCGAAAACAAAATACGCAAATTGAGCTTACACAAGTTTGGAGCCAGGCTGTCTTGTCTGACTTCGAGCAACCAGACCTTACCGGTATACCCTCCAGGTTAACTTAGCCGATTGGCAGGCAACGACAACAGAAAAGCTGTATTGATGTAGGACGTATTCACTACTGCAACGAAGAGAAATCGGAGCAGAGTTTTACCAATCAAATCTACGACTACTGATAGCAGGCGAACGACATGTACGTATGATCCATTATACTCTGCTCCCACATGTATACATAGTCAGCACTTAGTGATGGATTACTAGGCTCTGTTCGCTTCTCCTGATCATGGATCCGGCCGCCTTCACATTTACCCCGCAGTACTTGCCGTAATTCTATCAGCACCTTCGTCTGGCTCTTTTGTGCGCCCGCTGACACCCACGCCTTGGCTACATCATGTTCGAGCACAGGGGCTACGCCTAACATGAACTTCCGATCGAATTCGGCTGCAGGGATCCAGGCATACCAGATTTGCCCTTCCATTTCTTGATGCCATCATCTATTATAATTACATGGAATTAATGAACGTTCGACCAAAGTCAGCTGAGCGGCTGACAGGGACCTAGGCACTCAGTCTGCGACACACTTGCCCTGGGCCAGAGTGTTCCAAGACATTCTCAATATCAGAACCTTTCGGAATTTGGATGTCATCTAAGGTCCAGGTTGGCTTATGACAGCCTGTCAAAATCACATGAACATAGTACTCGGAGGGTGGCACTGCAATGTGACCGAGCGATGGGTATCTGATGGTGGACCTGGAGAGTCGCGACCTGGCTGGATAGGCGTAAAAGGTACTTCTAGGAAGTACGTTTGATGTGATGAAAGGAAACTGTCAGGAATAAAGCTTTAAAGTCCCGAGAACTGCAGTCGGTGCTGGATGCTTTCTCTCCTTGAGTCGTCAACAACATGTATATCGAACTGTAGCTTGTCATCGTAAATGCAGGTAAGTGGCTGCGTAGCTTATAACATAACATAACTAAGTTCACCATGCACTGTGGATAGTGATTCCAATCAAAATCATTGGAAAAAGTACTGATGCTGAAATTTTCATTGGAACTTCTACTGAAACGGCAGGTAGTTAATTTCATTGGAGTGCTGAATCCAATTCAGCACCAAATTTCAGCACCATTTTCCAATGAATCGAATTCAGCACCACTTTCAGCGCTATTTTCCAATGAATCCAATTCTCCAGCGTAGTCTGGCTTAGGAAGAGTCGGAGCTGGTCCGAGTGTTAGCTTGGGAGAGACACAAGCAGGTGGAGCCGCTGGGAGGGCGGGAAACTTGCTTGTGAATTTGGTCATGCGCTGACTCTTGTGCGGCACAAATCAAGATAAGCATCTTTATACATTCTAACAATTATGATAACACTGGAATATGCTCAGGCTGCAGTAACAGTCTGCCGAGATAAATAAGAGAGTGTGCTGGGTGGGGGCAAGGAAGAGGAAATAACGAACGACAAATTTGAAGAACGAATGTCGTAGGTAGTAAGTCGAAAAATGTAGGAGAAGGGTGGTATATATTAGGAGTTGTAGCTATACCTGCTAAAGATACCATGGCTTAGTGGTAGTGATGCTATGTACGATGGTTTAGGTCATCCGTTCAATCCCTGCCTTTGGTGAATTCTCAATGGGTAATAAGTGACACAGTATGTCATGTCACTAGTGACATAATGTCACCGTCGTCAGCACCATTTATTTTTGTCATTCTTGAGCAGAATTTCAGCACATTATTTCAGAGTAAAAATTCAGCGCAATATCGCTGAAATTTCAGAGTAAAAATCGGAACTTTCAGCACCTCGATTTCAGCACCTTGTACTGTGAATTTCATTACATTATCAACTGATTTTACCTAATGAATTTCATTGGATTTACTACCCACAGTGCATGCAGCTCGTCGTAAATACCAATGTGCTTAGCATTAGCGCTGGGCTGTCACGGTCTTCTTAAGCCAAGGATCATTCCGCTTCCAGCTCATTAAGCAATCCAGCATTTCAAGGATTTCTTTATGTAGTACTTGTTCGGTTCATCACGCACATGACTTTCGAAAGGCCAGATGTATAGCCTATGACTGGCGCGTGACACCTATAGCCCACCTCCTGATCAGGGAGCCAGAAAAAATTGACACACAAGAACTTCGAATATCCGCCGCGCTGCCGCTAGCTATCCCTGTCTTTCATCTCCGTTTGCCCCTATTATGTTTTCTTATTCAATTGCATTCAGGCTGTGATAATGACAGCGCTGATGCGGGGACCTTCTACTACTAGTATTGGGAAAGAATGGTACGCAAATTCAAAGCACGGAATTAGTATTGTCGCGCGCAGTCTTCTGACCTAGATTCTTAACTCCTGTCAGCATTATGTCTGTGTTTTCGCCGCACCATCTTGGCCCCATTCGTCGAAAACAGCCGAGGATGCTGAGCATAAAAGCTCAGCGTTCTATGATCTTTCCTTTGTCAATTCCTCATTACATTGTTGAATCATCATCCTACTAGCGACCTACATCTTATACAATGCCTTTCACCGACGACGGAGTGTATTCTATCAGAAACGTTGGCAGAAACCTCATGCTCGATCTCACGGGCAACAACACCGCTGAAGGCACGCAGATTCAAGGGTATCCGTCAAATGGCACCATGGCCCAACAGGTATCTATCCGCGTTCGCACACATTTTGTGACCGATTCTCATTGCCCACATCACGTCTACTAGTGGGTGATCAAGAGGCAGAACGAGCCAGGGTCCCCCAACAAGACTGTCACCATTCAGTCCAGCAACAACGGCAACAATGGAAATGGATGCTTTGCTACTGCGAGCGAGGTATGTTGGATCGGCCTGCCTTCATTCATTTGCTTGTTAGTTGACGCAGACGCGGACAGGATTCGGATGTACCAGTCATTTACACCAGGCAGGCGTTCATCATCGAACTTGTTGCACGCAAGGACAATACTTATACGTGAGAATCCGACTCAGTACTCAGGAACCTATTTTTTCTAATTTAATGACTCGCATATACAGTATGCACTACACTCTCGGGAGCTCGGACCTGGTGCTGTCCGTTCCGAGTTCAAGCAACAGTGCAGTAAGTTGATGAATATTTTGTCCCAGCCTTTTGCTCATCACGTCCACAAGGTGAAAATCGAGAATTACGACGCAGGAACTTCCCGCCAGCAGTGGGAATTGACTCGTCTTTCTAACCTCGCCCCAATCGTTTAGTTGTCACCACTAGGTACCACCGTGACCTTGCAGTGTTCAAAGTCGAGCACTGAGCTAGGGGAAATGTTCTCGCATATGTGTACTAGTACTACGTCTCGTATCTGCTTCCGTCGTTTATGTGTATGTTGATGAATATGATTGGTCTGGCTCTCTTAGGGAGATAAGTGGATATTTAAAATGGCCATCAGTACTCAGTGCCAGTGAATTGGTCGAGCATGCAGGTATGTGCTGCAGGAAGTTAGCTCTCAGCAGTGTCAGCACCATGCTGTCGCAATGATATGATGCTTCTTGTAGTATCGGTATGAATTGGCATCATGGTGCCAGGAGTGAAAGTTTGTTACATCCGGCATTTTCCTGAGCTTTAATTAGGGTTAGAGCTCACGGTCAACTAAGACTCGCTAGTGCACTTGCGCTCGAGTGTCTCAATGGTTAAATGTAAGTTTTGAGGGTCTTTGCGTGTGTCGGTGAAACTGACAATGATCGACATCGACAGAATAAATTTGGAAGTTTGGATCGGATTTCAAACCATGTGGACGACCGATTCGAGCCGATCAAGCCCTTTGTTCCTCACATCGCATTTAAAGTTCATAAATTCTTCCTGGGCACTTGAATTCGGAGTCACCACCACAGCCAGCAACAGCCATGTCTAGTGGAAGCCTCACCGCAGTCCCAACTCCGAAGAAACGTCGCACTTACGTACGAGAGCTTCAAGGCCCCCCAGAATCTGAAAGTGTACCAGGAAAATGCCTTTTTCCGACACTTCCGCTCGAGCTCCTTGCAGAAATATTGATCCAAACTAATTCTCCTTGCGATGTTTTATCTGTCGCTCGCACATCCAAGCTTTTGTGTTCAACACTTGTCTGTAATACCGCTGCCGACTTCATCTGGCGTACCATTCGCAAGAATTGCTTGCCTCACGCACTACCTGATCCCACCCCGAACTTTAGCGAGGCGGCATATGCCGCATTCGTGTATGATGGAGGGCCTTGTGATGTGAGCAGGAATCCCTTCGCCTGAGCGGAAATAATGTGGACTGACGGTAATGTGATCGGTTTATGCAGGCGTGTAAGGAAGACACAAAAGAATTCTATGCGAGCTTTGCTACACGATTGCGTTTGTGTCGTAATGTGAGTGATGACTTTCCAACTTCTTGCAATGTGTATTGAGCATGATCATCGTACTATAATAGACGCGTTGCAGGACGGGCATCAGGTAGGAGATGTCTCAACTGAGTGAATGAATTTTGATTATTAATTACCTTGTTGCAGGAAACATCTTATGGATGTTACCACTATTTTCAAAGGTCGTGCACGTGAGGAGATATGGGTTCCTTACGCGGAGTCCACTCATTGCTTCGGTAACTACATTCCAGTTTCCGAACATCCTCATATTTAATCATAACTTTTCAGATCCAACCCTCGACAATGCATGTATGGTTTTCTCCTCACGTTCCTCGAGTCTCTTGTGCTTAACTGAAGTTGCAGGGCCCGAGAATCCCACCATATTGATGAAGAAATCCGATTGGGAGCGTTTTCGAGCCGATTATGCAGCGTTCTCGGCTCTATCTCCACCTCCGTCTGAGGAGCTGCAGAAGGTTGGATGAGGACACCTCTGCATCGCTAGGAATTATCTCACATAATCATTTAGGCGTGCACTGATCAAATCGCGAAATTTCCCAAGGTGATGGAGGTATGTTTTTTTTTGCAAGAGTCTGAGTTAAATGTGACTGGTAGTTCAGTTAGCAGTTGCGTTACAGAAGTGGAAGAGCGCCTATGTCACTATGCACAGCACCATCAAGACCAAAAACGAACAGTGGCAAGTAGGACTTAGCTAACCATCACAACAGAAGTCTAACGGAAATGTAGGGCGAAGGCACTTGCTGCCCAGGAAGGCTGGGATGGTCATGATTTGCTTGACTCTCAATCCTATGGTTCATTGCACAGGCACAAGAATCACGTGCTGGAGGAAGTCACGCTACGTGGTATGCGAATTCAGTCAGGCTCATATGGATGAATCATTGTCTTACCTAGTGCCGTCCTTTCAGATTTCCTTCCAATGAAACCCCTTATCGAAGCCCAACTTTTGAAAATGCAGACACACCGCCAAAATCAAGAGAACGAAGCATCTTACCGCCAGCGTCGCGACGACGTTAAACAATACTACAATCGCCTACGGTCCGCTGGAACAGTTGTCCCATCGCTTTATGAGTTCCGCAAACTCTCAGTTATGACGACCATGCAGGGGAGCGTAACAGGTCCAAGGCCAAATTCCAGTGGCCTTGCAAAAGACATGAAGAACTCGGCCCTCGTCGCGGAGCTCGTCGCAGCTGATTTGAAGACGTGGATGGCGTCTGCACGGGAAAAACTATCCGAATTACTTGGGTTTCCCAAGTGGAGAAGTGCGAGCAAGACGAAGTTGCATCCACTGGATAGGATCACTGCGCGGTTTATGTGCCAGGGATGTGGGAAGGTCGCAAAGCGGTATGAGAAGGAACGATGTCTCGATTTTGCAGGCGTCTGCGCGCATGAATGTCCCAGTAATAACAAGACAGATAGGAAACAAGTGGATTGGAGTGTCGATCGCTTCGTAAAAGATGACGAGGTTCGTTGCTTGATAACCACCCGACAAAAAATCAGCTCAAGTATACTGTCCTCCTATGTCCCATTATATTCATAGGCATCAAATGCAGTTGCGCGCCTTCTGACACTCGTCGGAATCACCGACGAGGATACGACCGCACGTAATACCGTCAAGATGCTTGGAGCACGCATTCGGTGTCTTTCTTGTGAACATGCATTCATCATCATGGACTTCCCCACCCTCGTTAGTCACTCTTCTTCTTTTTCATCCTGTTTATTGAGGAAAGCTCAATACTACTGCGCGTAGATTGGTCACTCGCACCGGCATGATAACATGCAAACGGCTATACTACCCGAAGGAGAAGGGTCAGAGTATCCCTTTGAGGCGGGGTTGTCTGCGAGACTTATGAACATGGGCTCTAAGCCACAGAAGTTGAGGAGCGATGCGAACTATCGGTGCCGTCATTGCATTCCAGCCAGCAAATCAGCAGATGCTGGTATAGATGGGGAGGGGCAGGTCTATACTGGGGAATCTATTGTGAATGAGTCACACACGGAGGGCTCACAAACGGGGAACCAGAATGGCCGCCAGAGAAACAGGAAGAACAAACTCAGGTCAATGAACTTCAACGCTCTTCGCTCGCATTTGAAGGAAGTGTGAGTGGTTTCGTGAATGACTGTCGTCATAGGCTCATCTCACTTTTTGCAGACACATAATAGAGATGGTGAGCGATGAGGATTTCTTCGTTCAAACTCCCGCGAAGTAGCGGAGCTAAGAAGCCCAAACGAGGGGCGATCTGTATCATATCTATTCGTTTTTTGCTTCAATCTATTTCATGTACTATTATGAATTAATTGGTTAGAAAGTCATTTACCCAATCAAGGGGAGCAGTGTCTGTTACGGCAGGAAAGTGATCCGGATCTTCGTGGAAAGGCGTCGCGATAAATCATTGTCATTCCCGCTCGAAATTATCAGTGAATCGCGCGAAACTATTCCTCGACTCCCTAGGACGGCCTGTACATATACATTATCCTCACATGTCCTCGAGGTGGATTCCTTGTAAGTAGCAGAGAGGCAGTCAGGCCTGACTGCCATGAGAGCTCAAGAAGTTTCGATCGAACCGAACTGGCATAGGGCCTCCAGGAGTAACAAATCAATTCAAATCTTTTATCGCACCTGCTTGACTGTGACTGGTTGCGAGAGACCTCATTCGGTGGTTATACAAGGTGTGAGTGCACATTTCCAATACCTCTTGTGGGAGTTAGGGATTGTGTTATCATACTTGTGTATCTGTTCTTCACATGAGTACGAAAGGCTTCGGCATGAATGAACTCGACAAAACTAATAAAATGGAGGGTTTGACATAGATGATCTACAGTAACAATCCAACCATCAGTTGCGCTTCACAACGCCAGTACCGGAAGGTATAATCAATTTGCATATGGGGCAGGCCCTAGTGTGCCTAAGATTTGAGTATGCGTTCAACTACTTCCTGTGCAGCCAGCACCAAACCGTCGTTGTATATGCGGCCCACGATCTGCAGCGATGCAGGAGCCCCTTTGAATTTCGTTGCATCATCTGTATGCAAGGGTCAGCTGATGTTATCCAACGCGAGAAAGAGAGACTCACAAAGAGAGAGGTTATACTCATCCGCCGCGCTCATAGGGCTGGGTGGTTCCTGATATATGTCAATGGCTGGGTCAGCGACGAAACCTGACGGGAAAGCCGTCCCAGGGTAGTCGAGCAAATTCCAGATGGCAGTGTAGCTAATGAGCTATTAGAGTCTGATATCGAGCGAGAGACCATGACGCACCCCCAGTATTTTGCAGTGTCATGACGGCTGGCTGTACCCGGGAAGGGTGGACAAAGGACGACATCGACATTTTGGGACCACCAGTGATCAGAGTATTCCCTCCTGTAATTATCACGTTCATCACGCAGCTGATTAAGGTCAGCGCAAGCGTCGATGAGCACCAAAATGTTGTCTTACCTTCCAAACTTCTGATGCATCATGATCTCTCACGTGTGGTGGACTGATGACCCACTCTGTCAGGGGAAGTATCTCTTCTCCACTCTCCTTCAGAATGCGTCGAACTGTGGCTCCTCCGTCCTCATAGTAGAGCTCGCGCTAGACACAGGTGAGTAACAGCATTGCCCTATAGATCACCAGACTCACAACTATGCTGTATCCACGATCGTGGTCATATGGAGTATAGTCCACCACCTCAACCTCTGACGAGGCTTCCAGCTTTGCCTTTGCCCACTTCAATGCTCGAATAATTGGGGGATGGGGCATCACAACTCCGTCGTGCATCATGATTCCCACACGCAGTTTCTTCTTTGTCAGGTCTGGCATTTTCAATGGCACTGGCAACACATCTGGGTCCAGGAGTGCAGGGTTGGCTCCAAGGACAGCTTCAAGGAAAAGTCGCATGTCTCGCGCTGAGCGACACATTGGACCTACAGAACTAAAGAATCCGTCCTGGCCAGGTTGACTGGGCGATGTCAACATAATTTGATGACAGAGCTTGGTATACTTACTACCATAGGACCCCATGGAGAGGCGTCGTCCGACAGGATGGACGGAACCCATATATACCACAATGAGCAGACGGGGCTCGAATGGATCCTCCGCCATCACTTAATTGGCAATGCATCAAATTCTGGCGTGATATGGAGGAACACAGACTTACGTGCCCACACCTATGCAAGAGCCCTTCATGGCAACAAGGGCTGATTCACCGCCAGAAGATCCTCCTGCAGTAAGATCCGTATTGTAGGGATTCAACTATGGGATTTGTGTCACAGAAATGTGTTTTTACTCGAGAGATTACTTACTACTCGGCCATAGGTAGACCTGGACTCAAGGTGCATCAAAGTCTGCGGCTGATTCGTCTTGACGTAGAAGACTGCAGCTCTGCTCAACTAACAGAATATAATTTCAGGCATAAATTGCATACCTGCCCCGAGTGAACGCAGAATTCTTGTCATGTCACAGTCTTCAGTCGCAGTCTCGATGTTCATGAGGAAGCCTGCAGACCCAACTGTCCCTTTGACCGGAAGCATGCCCTGACGGCGATCATCTGAGATAGAACATCGCGATTTGTTCGATCTGCACTTACTTTGATTGAAATTGGCAATCCATGCAGTGGCCCAATGACCTTGCCTTCTTTCCGGAAGTACTCGTCCAGCTGTTGCGCCTGTTTTATGCCTTCATCGAGGAAGAAATCGATGAGACAGGCTGTAAGCTGATGAGCGATAGCTGCACGTTTTCCAAATGCAGTCACAGCATCAACTGCAGTGAGCTCGCCTACGGCGATCTTTTGGCACACGGCAGTTGCATCCAGCTCGGTAATATCCAGCTCTTTGGGCGTGAGCAAGCCACAGGTCTCGGGGATGTGAGTAACATTAAGAGGTGGGTCCTCGAGAATTGCTGGTGGAAGTCTGAGACTTGCTGGAATCTTGGCTTCAAGTTGTTCCCGGAAGATGCGAGCTTTTGCCTCGTATGATGCATGGCCACCTACGCCTTTGATTTTCTCTTGAAATGAAACTGTAGTCATTGTTAAGAAGGAGGTAGCACAGATATGCTTGGTTGTGATATATGTACGATCTCGTACCCGAGAGAAACTGTCAGATACGCATAAGTATCCTTCTATAGTGTGGGCGCATGACATGTCTCGTGCACGCAGCGATAACAAAATGAAGGTCAGAGAACTAAGAACTAGACTTGTGATCAGCTGCGTTAAACGATAATAGGGGGCAGATATTATAATTAGAGTGTAATACCATTCGATAGCCTCCAATTTGGCGCGTGGTCGCGGTGTCCGGGCCATGCCCATGCTAATTAGTAACGGACAGTGCACTTCGGCCGCATTCGAAAACGGTCTTGTGGATGGTTCTCGTGATCTGATCTGGGCTAGTAAAGTACAGGATTGGCTGTACAGATAAGCTGTTATGATTCATGATGGATGGTGACAGCAAGTTTCTTTCAGTAGCACGATGAACGAAGATTTATAAGAGATTGCAGGGTCTGCGATATCACAACACTTGAAAATGAGTTAAAGTCGAGTGTTTCTGCGGTGAGGGCCCGGGTCCATGGATGGTATGGCTGTAGTATTGAAGTCATATGGACTCGTACTCCGAGATTGAAGTCGTCTTGGGACAGTCACATGAACAGATGAGTCAATTTCAATTACTTACTAATAAGTTACGGGTCTACGGCAAGCCGCAAACGGCTAGTGACTCCGGTCCTAAGCCTACCTGCACGCGACCGCAACCTACATTTTCTCCTGCCAGTGGTTCAGTTGTACGTCTACTATATCATCATCTATGTCCCGCTGCAGCACACGCGAGTGATTCATAATGAAAGTCTTCTGTCATGTCATTTGCAATCTGTGAAGTGCAGCTCGACAGTGAATAGGTTTTTTTTTGAACAAAAAATTCAGTTTACCTTCACTGAACGAAATAACGCTATATCAGATATCTACGCATGTGCAGGATTCACCACATCCGTAAGACCTCCGACCTGTTACAACCTCTGTCCTATAGCTCCGATCCGATACCATCTCCCAACGACAGATATGAGGCAAACAATGGGTGTCGCAGGGGAGTGGCAGGGGCCGTATGTTCAGAATTATACATCGGGATATCTTGCACCAATACGGAGTGAGGCCTCGAGGTTCCAAGCGTGTCCGAAGATGCAAACGGAGAGACAACAGGGTCTTCTGAGGGTAACAGGGAACGTGAAGCACCGGTGGACGATATCGAGGACGAGCGTGTTTTCAAGCTGAGGAAGAAGGCGGTTGGCATTGGATTGGGAGAGTTATATGACCCGGGAGTTATACCTATCAAGCTGAAAGTGAAGAAAGAGTCGACGGAACCGCAGCCTGCTCCATCGAAGACTGTTGTTCACAAGGTCTGCCTGGCTGACAGCGATCTGGACAGCCCGCGTACAGCCTGATCCACATTCTCGTAGTAAGTATTTACAATATACTGCCTTGGATTGAATCGCTCCCTCCCCCAGCTGTACATGCACACCCCAATTGTATTTCCTGTAGGTCATGCATACTGCCCGGCTAATTTCAACATGCTAGGTTGATCTCGCAGTGATTTTCCGTTGTATAAGATGATATACCGGAACTGGTTTAAGTATACTCTGGACGAGGAGCATAGACTAGTCCAAAGCTCGAGTCTGCTCATCCATAGACATCCACAATACCGATGGTCCAGGCAACCGAACTCTCGAAGAAGACGGACCATATTTACTCGCGGTCCCTGCGTTGTCGAGCTTGCTACAGTACAACACAGAAAGGTACGTACTCCTTCGTGTGTATTTCCTATCGCTGCGGTCAATGATTTTGGTTCAGGTAATGTTTGTTGCACTGCGATCAATAAATCGAACGCAGCAGCATTAATGGCAAAGCAGACTTACAACCAGGCCTCGTTGTCGCAATCCCAGCTAGCGTCACCTCAACGTCCACCATATCTTCTGGTTCAGGTATCCATATTACCACAGCAAGTGGAGCAACCGCGCAGTCACCACCCAAGTCCCGACCCATTATGGGCTTCTCTTGTGCTTCTTCTTTGCTATACACCTCCCCCACACAACGGGGTGCAGCATTTTTCTTTCATGCTTCCACTCTCATCTCTTTGCTCATGTTTTTCGCTACTTCTTTTCCTTATCACAAGCATCGGACTTGACAATATAATGCTAAATTGTGAGCGAAGGACAGCTTGATCGCTCACGTCGCTAGCTATTTTCTTTTCCGTTGGATCAGACAAACGGAAAAATTTGGATAACATGATGAAATTTGGAAGGAGAGTAAATAATTTGGCGTCAGTACAGGGAAAATGGGGTGTGATGGCACGCTCGTATGCGATACATGTAATGAGCTGTCACTGCCTCGACGTGTGGAGCAAGTCGGACCCTGCCAGGTCGATTTACTGGTGAAAGAATTGTCCTGGATATGCAGTCTCCACCAGGACGAGTACACAGCGTTCAACGTTGCCACGAAATTTCATTCATGTAAACTTTCATTCATCTTCGTGCATCAAGTTTGCTGCCACTCGTGACCAAGGTGGTATATTGTTTTCTGAGAAAGGAATTGATTGCAAATGCACTGTATCAACGTCATACATGCAACCATGAGAGAATGCGCACACCACCAAAATCAAAACCATCTCATAGACCTTATCGAATAAATTGGGATATCAGCTTCATACTGAAGCTTAAGCTACACTAGGTCTACATGGCACTCAAGCTGAAATGGTGTAATGATGGTTTGCCCTTTGGGTTAGAGCGAGAGTTAGAATTTACGGAGTGAGAAGGTAATAAGGAAGTGGCTATGTAGATGACAGGACTGTGATACAGCGGACTGTCGGCTTTCGTATGAAGCGAAGTGACTTCGTCCTAAGGTGGAGAGGAAATACGTGTGCGAAGTAGTGGCACTCACCATGACTTCCTTGGTAGACGATAGCTCCGTCCTGGGTACTGATACTACTGGCATACTACTCTGCCTGCATATATCCTGCAATGTTGACGGCATCGAGTTGGAACATGTTGAAGGGTTACCATAACCTAGTCCTTACGTATAGGAACATTCGCACAGCAACTGGTACCTGAGCGCTGAGCGCTTGATCTACACAGCAATAAGCTGTGAAACGAACACGAGGATTGCACATGGGACGAACCTTAAAAGACGAAGTGAACGAGCGGGTGCCTAACTTCCTTAACTCCCAACCAGACGCCCTCTGATAGCCGGTGAGGGATCGTCTAAATGGTATTGCCCGTAAGTGATAATATGGGCTTTTCTACAGGATACAACTGACCAGATGCTTGCCAGCCACTTTGAATACCCACAAAAATCTCTTGCACATTCCGGTATTTCCGCAGCACTTCCTCTGTAGACAGTTCCGAAGTTGGAGTTCTGGGTAAAGAGCGGACCTGTAAGTGGACTGTCTTATTAGCAATTACTTGCATGCTCTGACAAGTAATGTGGCAAAGACAGGAATCATTCCTGTTGCCGGATAACTCGACCTGATTTCAAGATCCTACCTCTCTCGCATACATAGTCCCCAGTCTGCCGTAGTTGAGATACTGAGCGCTAATCATGTCTTCCTCCAGTAAGACGCGAGCGATCGCGCCTTGTCATACGTTGCGAGGTCATACCAACTGGGTAAACGGTGTTGTACATCTGCATGCCGGACAACAGATCATCACATGTTCGACGGACGGCTCATTCCGACTATGGGACCTAGAAAGCGGCACACAGATGGGAGAGGGCTGGATAGATGAGGATGAGATAGGAGTGGGGTGCATGGCATTGTCTCCAAACGGCAAGACAATTGCAGTTGGATGCGATGACGGGAAAGTGAAGTTATGGGACGTGGAGACGAGGAAGGTTATCGCCAACTGGGCAGGACACACTGATGTTGTGGGTGCACTGTGCTGGAGTGGAGATGGTAATCGAGTGTTGAGTGGATCTTGGGATGGGACGGCAAGAGTCTGGGAAGTCAAGCTTGTCAAGAGCAACCAAACTGTCCTGACAATCAAAACTGGGCACAAGTGGGTGTATACGGTGATATATTCACCCGATGCAACGAAAATTGCAACGGGTGGAGACGACGAGGATGCAGTCAAAATCTGGGATGGCAAGACAGGCGAGTTGCTTAACACGCTCAAACATGACTTTATAGTTCGGAGCTTGGTCTGGACATCGGACGGAAAGAAACTTATCTCTGGTTCATACGACCCAATTAGGATATACGACACAGCCACCTGGCAGGAGATCGCCAATCTGGGAGGTCGCACACTCTTGGTCAACGCCATCACTTTGTCTCAGAACGACCGCCTTCTATGTGCATCAGACCATAAAACAGTGCGTCTATGGAATATCGACACAAATCTGCAAGTCAGTCCACCCCTCCAGCACGAAGATGTTGTACGCTGCGCAGCCCTTTCCACTGATGGAAAGCTGCTAGTGACTAGTTGCCAAAACAAAAATGTGTACACATGGGACATTCACGCCATCCTCAAAGAAGCTGGCCTTGAAGACCTCCTCCAACCTTTATCTGATGTAAAGCTCATGGGTCTCCACTCCAAATTATGCTGATCTCCCCCTCACAGGTCCCAGCTGCAAAGTCGGCGATGAACGTATGTGACGGGTTTCTTGGTCTTTTCAATCAATTTAAGATCGTCATTCTAGAGCAATGCTACTCGGCATCCACCTATTCAGGTCCGTCGAATACCGTTAGCCTTTTTCGATGGCGTACAAAATGGCGCTCAGGCGAGTCATCTGCTTTTTGACCTGTTCTTGTTCTGACCTATGTACTCAGTCCTCTGCAGCACACGGTACACATCATTGTTCTCCCGCCCGCAGTACTCGAGCACCCCTTCTCGAACGCTTATCATCCCTCTTCCACCACTCTCACTGCAATACCGATGGTGCAACCGAACTTCAGCAACGCCCAAGGCGGTCCATATTCTCTCGTGGTCCTCGTATTGTCGATGTTGCTACAGTACAGGACAGAAAGGTATTTAATTCATTCATTTGCAATCACACTGGTTCAATGATTTCTGTTCAGGCATTGTATGTTGCTCCGCGGCCACGACCGCAGCAGCAAAGGCCGTTGCATGGCCAGGGCTCGTCGCAATCTCAGCCTACCGCCACCACAACATCTACCACACCTGATCAAGGTGCTAGCACTGCCGCACCAGGTGCAGCAACTGCGCAGTCACCACCTATCCCATTGTGGGTTCGTTTCGTACTGTTTCTTTGCTGCGTATCTCCCCCGTACGTCAATGGTCATTAATATAGGAGCAGTATATGTACAATCATTTTATCTTTCACGTCTTCTGCTATTCCATCAATCTTGTTTCCTCGTCATGAGACTCGTGCTATCATCCTAACAGTCCTAACAAGAACATTATACTCATTCTCAAGCTTGGAGTCCTGGCACGTGACAGGCATGCGGGGCAGCAGTACGTGAAAACAGATCGAAAGCTGAAGCGCTGAAGGGTGAAACTACTACTACTTGTGAGGTGACCATTCATCGTAAATCGATTTTCTCAGACCCGTTCTGTGTCTCACTTCGCAACAGTGTTTGAAATATCAGTGTTCTGTTCCAACGTTTTCGTCAGCGGCAGAGCGCAACTATGATTGAAGCATGCCTTGACATATGTGATCTCGATTCTTGTACGTATTATAATAAAGGCGCCATGTGACTTGTTGCAGGTGGTTGTCGATATTTGACGATGAACGGAATAGGTTGGAACCAAATCACTAGTTTTTGGTGACGGCGTAGTTATAGTTTGGGGTGAAGTATTTTCTATCGCCATATAGTGCAAACTGCAAGTATTCTACTGAGTACTAGATCTCCCAATGATCATTGATGACGGAAATGGATCCTTGAAAAGGGTATCCGAAGAACTGAACTACAAGGAGCATATCATAATTAACGAAGATCCACGTCTGATAATACTGCCATCATACGTCAATGTATGGACCAGCCATCCATCCTAATCGTATCACACTGCACCTCCTTCAAACTTACAACTTCATGAGCCCCTTCATCGCATTGGCGACCGCAAAGCTCGACTTGGCCATGACCTGCCGCGATTCCTTCGTGACTTCTGGCAGCGTCTGTACCTCAGATAGCTTCCGTGCGTGTTCGCCTAGCTCCCGCAGTAGCTCTGCACCCTGCTGCGCGGATGCAGGGGGCAGGTTATCGCTGCAAACGGCGACAATACTCGACACGATCGTGATAATCTGAGTGAGGTTTTCGTTTAATGTCGGCGGCGGTACAGGGCTGCGGACGCCGGAAAGGACGCTTTGAATCGCGTAAACGATGGACTCGGTCTGCGCCTCGAGGTAGGGCTGGAAAGTGATATCTGTGAGTCGACAAAACAAATAGATGTGCTAGTAGAGCTGACCTTGAGCTCGGACCAAGCGTCCTCACCGCTTTCAGGCGCTGTTGAATCGTCGCTGATTGCACCCAACGCATTGTTGACAGGAGACTTGTCAAATATAGGTGGAGGAGAACTTGTGAGTGAACTAGATGGTTCAGACGGTGTTCGTCTGCTATGAGCCTCTGCAAAGCGCGATGCTGCGGTCATAGGGGGCGACACGACATCTTCCGATCGTCTCGTGCTAAAGGTAGAACCCTTGCGTTCAAAACTTGGTCTCACGTCTTCCGTCGAGCGCGCAGAAGATAGATACGACAGCGAACCAGAGGAAGACATGAACTCCTCCTGCTCGGCCCGACTAGCCTTGCGGATGTATATCATTTTCGCGATCTCCGTCAATGTTACGGAGACGTGGCTCGCGGCTGCGTCCAATAGGCTCACAGGAGACATGCCGGATGCAGTGGCATGTGTCTTTGATGCAGCTACAAGGTTAGTCAGGGTAGCCTCGGCGCGCTCACGGAGAGTGTGTAGGATATCGACGTCAACGTCCGCACGGGATGGGCGTTGTTCGTATGCACGAACATCATCGATGATGGCTGTGGTAGACGTGACGACGGCTTTCATCGGCACTAGAACGCGTGTCGGAGCACTGGAACGACCAGCTGTCAAAAGACTATCGATGGCGGACACAAACGCAGTGACATGTATATCGACGAGACCCCCGTCAGGGCCCATTGGTAGTTGGTCTTCCATCTTGGGCGCTTGTAGGAACAGCTGGGATGTTGCTGACCATGAAAATATCAGAGAAGCACCAAATGCATCAGAAGGATGTCTTTGCGGACCTTTGACGCTTCTGAGCTCGGTTTTGGCTTGTTCGTACTTGCGTTTGTATTCTTTGAGCTGGCTGTCCAGATCACGGATCACAGTGAGGTCCGAATCCTTCGCAGTCATTAACTCGTCATTCCTGCGGGACAGATCGCTAAGTTCTGACATCAACCCCTCCATATCAGCACGTAGCTGCTCGATGATTTCACTGTTGTCCTGCAAAAAGATGTCAAATTTGGCAAATCAAATTCAAATCACCGACGCACTATCCCAAAGCCAGAACTCCGCTCTTCTTCGAGGCGTTCGCAACGGTCACGCAGTATCTGCAGTTCTTCCTCGTCGGCCTGTGCTCGTCTAGCTTCGCGTTCCTTCTCTCTGGCCCGGAGGTCCCGAATATCGTCCAGCTCCCTTTGCAGAGCCTTCATAGCAGATCCATGCTCTTCAGCACGCTGTAGGCTCAACTTAGTGACTATCAGAAGAAAATTTCCTCAAGAACTACCTTTCGGAAAACTTCCAGCTCCTCTTCTAAACGGCGTACCGTCTGCTGCGTGTCTAGCTCCCGTTGCTCAAGGTCTCGTTCCAGACTTGTTATACGACTCTGCATCGTGGCGATCTTGAACTCGTAATCTCGCCTCAAACGCTCTTGTTCATCGCCCGCTGCACTGGGCATCCTCGATCCGCCGATGGACCGATCGGACGTTACTGATGCACGTCCCAGAGAGACTTTATCATATTCGTCGCTCCTCACATCCCCCATGTCATCATCTTCCGTATGCACATTCCTCAGCCGTGCGCTGAGCCCGCTTAGTCCACCTCGCTGGTCCCAGTGCTCGTGTTCACCGTCAGTGGTATCAAACTCCCTGACGCCGTCACGTGTATCGACGGCTGTTCCAGAACTCTCCCGCATCTCCCGCCCGTACGGCACTTCAATATCTTCTTCTGCGATGGTGCTCTTATTTGGGATTACCATCCCGCTCGTTGCGGTTGCACTCTGCGCATTTGTAGTTCCCGTCGAGTCGCTCCGGATACTTGCGGAGCCACTTGGTCTTCGGCCAAAATCTGCCCCTTGGTCATGGGAGGCTTTTCGTCGGGATGCATGGGTGTCCTCGCTCCGTCGAGGCTCTTCTTCGCGTGCACTGCCTCGATCTTCGGATGGTCGCCCTGTGCGGGTACTGGGGGGAAGTATGGGCATATCAGGCCGCGGAGATGTGTGGAATTCGGGCGAGGGTACATCGTCATATGCTGATGCGGGAGACACTACCCCCGGGTCTTCCACCTGAAGCCAGGCTTAGTATAAATTAAATAACGATGAACGATGAAAATACCTACTTCTGTAAATTCGGGATATCTTCTCATGATTTCAAAGTAGACATCGCTACAAAGATCTTCAAACTTGGCGCTAGGCAGCGTTGCCAATTTTTGGCGCGCCTGATTCCGCTTGGGATGAAATTCATCACGCACGGGAAGGAATGGGACTGGAAAAACGACTTGGTCAAATGGTATTATATAGGTCAGGTGACTTACCGTCGTTCTCGGGAGTGTTCCTTCGACGTCGGACGAGTTCGTCGTACACATCAGTTGACAGCTCATGGAACTGCTGTCTGGTAAGATTGGTCAATTTTGAGCGTGCGTGGGCCCGCGACTCCTGCGGAGCTGAAGGCACGTGGTATCACCATAACATTGAAATCCACATGAAACTCCAGACCGCACCTTTCACAAGATAGGATACTAGAAAACTGGCTAACTCGTCAAAATGCGTGCGTGCGACCACCCTGGAATTTACGGCTGGCACAGCCGGGACATTTCCTTTATCCTTGATCGGACGATAGGACTCGGTGCGGTAATTAGAGATTCCGGAAAAAGTAGTAGGTGTCGGGGAGGGGGCACGTGAAGAGCGTAGTCGGTTCATGTTGACTCGTTAATGGTGGTGGTGGTGGTCAGAGCCTCAGAGGCATAAAGCGTCAACACCTGTGCTGAGTTTGCCAGACGTGTTGGAAGTCGTTCGCAATGCTCAAGCCTCATTGTATCTCGGCGCCACGTGATCGGCACAATGTGCGCGCTTATGTCTCGGGCAGTGACCGCTAGCTACTACACCGTGACAATAACTATGCTAGTACACGTAAATGGGTAAAACAACGATGGGTAGTGCATCATAATGTATGCTGCGCTTTGCTGATTTGCGAGATCTGTGCTTGATCTGCGCACCCTGGATTTCGAACGATTCCGACTCCAAGTGTACTAGTGACTGATGGCCGCGGCTATCTTTTACCTCATATCCCTAAGAGAGCCGCACCAAAGCAATTTTATTCATCAACGTACACATACACAACACAAAAAGACGCAGTACATGTATGCGGGAACACTTTCAATAACTCAGCGCTTAACCTTGAACACCTCTGCAAGGTCACGGTACCTAGTGGCGACGACTAACCAATTGGCTGGAGATCAGAAACACGGACTGATTCCCACTGCTGGCGGGAAGTTCCTGGGGCGCAATTTTCGAGCTTCACCTTATGAACATTATGAGCAGAAGGTTTTGAAAAAAGATCCACGAGCTTACTGCACTGTTGTTCGCGCTCGGAATGAATAGCACCAGGTTCTCATTCCCGAGAGTGAAGCCAATACGGTACATCGGAGTCGTTAAAATAGTAGAAATAGGTTCCCGAGCACTGAGTCGAATTTTCACCTATAAGTATCGCCCCCGCGTCCAACAAGATCGACGATAAACGCCTGCCTGGTAAAAACGACTGGTACATCCGAATCCTGCTCACGTCTGCGATCAACAAGCAAATGAATGAATGCATACCAATCCTGCATACCTCGCTCCCAGGCTATTTCCATTGTTGTTGCTGTTGCTATACTGAATGCAGACAGTTTTGTTGAGGGATCCTGGTTCGTTTTCACCCACAAGTAGACGTGATGTGTGCGATGAGAACCGGTCACAAGGGTGCAAGCGCGTATAGTAGCCACTGTGTGCAGAAGGCAAGAAAATGTTCATGCATCAGTGAAGAAATCCGGTAAACTCTTGAAAATGCTGAATTGCTTGAAAAGCTGGACTTAAGCAGAAGGAGGCTAGACACATTAATATTTGTGATAAGCTGTATATTATTACAAGTCATGCAGTCACTCACCTGCACTTACGATGACGAGCTATAGTTCGATATACATGTCGTTGACAACTTACGAAGCCAAAATGTGATGTCCGGCGGACTTAAGTTCCCGGACTCCATGATCTAAACGTAGTCGGAGTATCAAAAGCCCCAGAGTATCCAAATCCCTGACTTCCTGGACGTGTCTAAACTTAAGTCTTGGCTTGTTGTTGCGCATCATGTCGTTAAAAGTACCAAAGGCCAACAACGTCGAGCTCTTTAAGAATGGCTACAAGGTATTTTTTATACTCCCGATCTTCGCTTACAACGTCTGATATAATTCTTGCAGCACCTCCAGGGTCTCGAGGATGCCGTCCTTCGAAACATCCAGGCAATTTCAGAGTTGTCCGATCTCGTACGGACAAGCTTTGGACCAAATGGTACGTATATTACACTTATAATACATCTATCCTGACTCTCTGTCAGGTCGTAATAAATTAATAATCAATCATCTTGGCCGACTTTTCGTAACATCCGATGCCGCTACCATCATCCGGGAGATCGAAGTCATTCACCCAGCAGCCAAGCTTCTTGTAATGGCATCACAGGCTCAAGAGTCTGAGGTATGTCCTCTTCAATCTCATTTCTTATCTACTTGTTGACCTAAATCCAGATGGGTGACTCCACCAACATGGTCATTATTCTCGCAGGAGAACTTCTCAAAAAGTCTGAAAACCTTCTTGTTATGGGGCTTCATCCTAGTGAAGTAATCAAAGGATATGAACTTGCATGCGCGAAAGCTCTCGCGGAACTTGAAAGTGAGTCGCTTCCTCTCTTTCACACTTTCTTCTGACAACAGCACAGGCCTATCAACGTCCAGCCTACCTTCCCCTTTCACCCGGGAATCCCTTATTACAGCTCTCAAACCCGCTATTGCATCAAAGCAGTACGGTTACGAGGACACGCTTTCATCTCTAGTCGCCGAAGCCGCACTCGTAGTCATGCCCAAAAACCCAAAGAATTTCAACGTCGACAACGTCCGCGTCGTCAAGATCATGGGAGGCAGTCTTTCTGGCAGCAAAGTCGTACAAGGGATGGTGTTTGGTCGCGAACCGGAAGGTAATTATACTCAAATTCTCAATACAGCGCTCACACTCTCGCCCCCTCTCAAGGTATCATCAAAAAAGTTTCAGGCGCGAAAGTGGCCGTCTTCACATGTGCCCTCGATGTCGCCCAAACCGAAACGAAAGGCACTGTCCTCCTCAAAAGTGCAGACGAAATGCTCAATTTTACGCGCGGCGAGGAACAACAACTTGAAAGGGTATGTTTTTTTTCCATCTCATCACCTTCTACATCTGCTGACTATCACTCAAACAGATCTTTAAAGAAATCGCTGATTCAGGCATCAAAGTCATCATCGCAGGCTCATCCATCGGCGACCTCGCCCTACACTACCTCAATCGCTTCAACATCGCCGTTCTCAAAGTCCTCTCCAAATTTGACCTCCGCCGCGTAGCTCGTGTCGTCAACGCCACACCTCTCGCCCGTGTCGGCGCACCCACCGCAGAGGAAGCAGGCTACGTCGACATCTTCGAGACGACGGAAATCGGTGGAGACCGTGTCACTGTCCTCCGTCAGCTCGCTTCTGGCGAGGATGGGTATCAGGGACATACAGAGAAGACGCGCACAGCAACGATCGTGCTTAGAGGGGCGACGGCCAACCATCTCGACGATCTCGAGCGCGCGATCGACGATGGCGTCAATGTGATCAAATCACTCATAAAAGATCCACGACTAGTTCCAGGTGCAGGTGCAACGGAGCTGGAGCTAGGCAAGCGTGTCGAGGCATACGGGAGCGGGATGAGGGGGCTGGCACAACATGCTGTGAAGCGGTATGCTACAGCACTCGAAGTCATACCCCGAACGCTCGCTGAGAACGCCCTGGGAGGTGCTGAGGGCAACGAGGTTCTCAGTCGGTTGTGGGCCAAGCACGAACAGGAGGGCGGCGAAGCCTGGGGTGTCGATATAGAGGTAAAGTTCACTTGTTCTGTATCATCATCTTTTGATTGATTGATCATATGCTAGGCCGAACGAGATGGCACTCTGCTAGCCACCGACTTCAAGATTCTCGACCCACTGGCCGCAAAACAGTGGGCCATCAAGCTCGCAACAGAAGCCGCCGTATCCGTACTCAGCGTCGACAGCATCATCATGAGCAAACCCGCAGGAGGACCCAAAGTCCCTCAACAAGCAAGTAACTGGGATGAAGATTAGGACACTGCTACGGGAGTGTTCAGACTGCTTTACAGTAATTTTGCGCAGACCAGAAAAGGTACAAGTAATGAAAATAACAAATGGATGCAGCCGAAAAGAACGCTAGGGTGAGCAGCGAGAAATACTGCGGAGAACGTCGTACTGTACAATGTCTATGACAGATATCCGCGAATGGTGATAGGTGACCCAGAGAACGGGATGCAAATGGATTACGATGATGGCAAGGAGTCCGCTGTAGAATGGGATTAGGTATGACCGTATACATGGTTTTTGACTGATCCCCCCGGGCCGCGGCAGGAGAGTCCTAGCTCTCCACAGGGAAACCCTCCGCTACGAATTTAGGCTAAGCATGTCAAACTTTCTCTAATTCATATAAATCTCCAGATCGCATGTTTCAAAAGGTGAGACACTAGAAAACTGGCTAACTCGTCAAAATGCGTGCGACCACCTTAGAATTCATAGCTGACACAGCCGGGACATGGACGATAGGACTCGGTGCGGTAATTAATAGAAATTAGTAAGTGTCGAGGAGGGGGTACGTGAAGAGCGTAGTCGCTTCATGGCGCCTCATTGATGGTGGTGGTCAGAACCTCAGAGGTATAACAGACCTGTGCTGAGTTTGCCAGACGTGTTGAAAGCTGTTCGCGATGGCATCTCGGCGCCACGTGATCGGCAAAATGTGCGCGTTTATGCCTCGGGCTCGGAGCTTTGAGGATCACTTAGACGTGTTTGATGGGGCAGGTGGACATTGTGATATGAGACCGAAGGTAACAATGTATTTGATTAAGCTAAACGAGAGTGATTACATTGAGAGTGTAGCGAGAGTTTCGGGCGAGGACGCGCAGTGTCATCCGGCCCCGACTCGGAGGGCTTCCTCGCAGTGACCGGGTTTCAGGTATCCTGCGGGCTCAAATGGTTCGGGTTATGAGGAGAGCGAGGAAATTGAATCGGGAACGATGAAAGAAAGGGAGAGGAGGGTGAGGAACGAGCAAGACGATATTTCTAAGTGCGAACGGATGTTGTGGCACGGAGTGTCTGCAGACATACTAGTACATGTAAATGGGTGGAACGATATGGGAGGTTGCGCTTGATCTGCGTACCCTCCTCGAATTATTTGCCGATAGCTATATTCTACCTCACTTATATCCCTAAGAGAGTCAGACCAAATCAATCCTATTCATCAACGTACGCATACGCAACAAAAGAGACGAGTACATATAGGCAAAAACACTTTCAATAGCTCAGCGTCGGCATACTTCTGCAAGCTCATGGTGGTACCTAGTGGCGAAAACTAGGCAAATGATTGGAGATCAGAAACACGGGTTAATCGCCACTGCTGGTGGGGAGTTCCTGGGACGTAAGTCTCAAGTTTCACCTGCGAACGTTATGAGCAAAAGCCTTTGGAAAAAAAAATCCACCAACTTACTTCACCGCGCCTCGGACTTGGAATGGATAACACCAGGTTATCGTCCCCGATGGTGTATCTAATGCTGTACATTTGAGTCGTTAAATTAGCAAAAATAGGTTGCTGAGCACTGAGTCGGATTCTCACGTATAGGTACTATCTGCCTGTGCAACAAGATCGACGATAAACGCCTGCGCGGTGTAAATGATCGGTTCATCCGAATCCTGCCCACGTCTACATCAACCAACAAGCAAATGAATGAATGCCGATCTAGTAACATACGTGGTTCGCAGCAGAAAAGAATCCATTTCCATTGTCGCCGCTGATAGCGGACTGAATGGTGACAATTTTGCTTGAGGACCCTGACACGTAATGTCTCTTGATTATCCACTGGTAGATGTGATGCGTAAGAACTAGTCACAAGGTGGGTACAAACGCATATAGATACCTGTTGAGCCGCGGTGCCATTTTCGACGAAGCCTTGAATCTGGTTGCCTTCAGTGGTATCGCTCGCCTTCAGATCAAGCATGAGGTCTCTGGCAATGTTCTTGATAGTATACACTCCATCAGTAGAAAAGGGCATTGTATAAGATGTAGGTCGCGAGCAGTTTGATGATTCGATAGTGAGACGAAGAATTGACAAAGGAAAAGGCAGAGAATGCTAGGCTTTTATACGAAGTATCTTGGGCTATTTTCGACAGATGAAGCCAAGATGGGGCGGCAATAACACTAGCCTTGTGGACCAGTGGCCTTGTCTGAGAAGGAAATGTAAGTCAGTGTGACAAGGCGTGCGTCTAAAAAGTCCTATCACATAAACGCATTGCATGCTCCCCTCGGAGCACAATTCTTGCGACCGTCTTGTGAGAAAGGTGTTTCCGAGATTTGGGGCAGGTGGTCTTCGGATAGAATACAGGTAAGAGCCCAAGACATAGCCAATTTTGTGCATTCAATAAGAGCCTCACCTATTATAAGTATACATCGCTTCAAAACATGCATAACAGTTCGCTGCTCAACTTGTCCGTAGTGATAGTGTATAGGTCAGGCCAGTCACTAGCCTAAGATACCAGCCTGTCTTACTAGAAGCACGTAGTATGTGCGGAGTTTCAAAGCTGGCTTGATCCAGACTCTTCCAGACTCAATCCAGACTCTACGATAAGTTTTTTTAATTGAACGATTGTTAACTTGGCTGACTACGCTACTGCCGGGCCTAACTCAGGTACAAATACTCCACATGTGCACATTTTTGTTGCCCACATAGTTCTCACTGGTCGACGTCGCAGGTACAGTTCGCGGGAATTGCGGCTGTAATGTGGAACGTTGGTCGCAATATTCGTGCATCCGTGTCTCATTTCACATAGATTTGTGTCTAACTCGTTTGCTCTATAATCCTCGACCAGGGCCTTATACCCCCACTACCAGTTGCAGCCCGGTATAACAACAAGCATATTATATAACAGTACTGCTGGTGAACCTCAGATATAGTTACATGCGTTGTAAGATGTCTGACCTATACACTAGTACTACGGACAAGTTGAGCAGCGAACTGTTATGCATGTTTTGAAGCGATGTATACTTATTATAGGTGAGGCTCTTATTGAATGCACAAAATTGGCTATGTCTTGAGCTCTTACCTGTATTCTATCCGAAGACCACCTGTCCCAAATCTCGGAAACACCTTTCTCACAAGACGGTCGCAAGAATTGTGCTCCGAGGGGAGCATGCAATGCGTTTATGTGATAGGACTTTTTAGACGCACGCCTTGTCACACTGACTTACATTTCCTTCTCAGACAAGGCCACTGGTCCACAAGGCTAGTGTTATTGCCGCCCCATCTTGGCTTCATCTGTCGAAAATAGCCCAAGATACTTCGTATAAAAGCCTAGCATTCTCTGCCTTTTCCTTTGTCAATTCTTCGTCTCACTATCGAATCATCAAACTGCTCGCGACCTACATCTTATACAATGCCCTTTTCTACTGATGGAGTGTATACTATCAAGAACATTGCCAGAGACCTTATGCTTGATCTGAAGGAGGGCGATACCACTGAAGGCAACCAGATTCAAGGCTTCGTCGAAGATGGCACCCCGGCTCAACAGGTATCTATATGCGTTTGTACCCACCTTGTGACTAGTTCTTACGCATCACATCTACCAGTGGATAATCAAGAGACATTACGTGCCAGGGTCCTCAAGCAAAATTGTCACCATTCAGTCCGTTATCAGCGGCACCAATGGAAATGGATTCTTTACTGCTGCGATCCAGGTATGCTATTAGATCGGCATTCATTCATTTGCTTGTTGGTTGATGTAGACGTGGGCAGGATTCGGATGAACCGATCATTTACACCGCGCAGGCGTTTATCGTCGATCTTGTTGCACAGGCAGATAGTACCTATACGTGAGAATCCGACTCAGTGCTCAGCAACCTATTTTTGCTAATTTAACGACTCAAATGTACAGCATTAGATACATCGTCGGGGACGATAACCTGGTGTTATCCATTCCAAGTCCGAGGCGCGGTGAAGTAAGTTGGTGGATTTTTTCCCCAAAGGCTTTTGCTCATAACGTTCGCAGGTGAAACTCGAGACTTACGTCCCAGGAACTCCCCACCAGCAGTGGCGATTAACCCGTGTTTTGTTGGGATCCGACGAATCCGAAGGAGACAAAGTCGAAGGGACAAGAGCCGAGGGAGAGATGGAGGAACTGGCCGAAGAATAGAGCCAGAGGAGAGGATGTCGAGTGCAAGCGTATCCAAACGGAGAACGAGCACGACGTGTCATGGTCGGCTCGTGCGCTGTCCATCTTTTAGTTTATTTTCTCTATATGACTGTACCTGCGACACTCACCTTATAAGCCCAGGTACCCACATCCAAACATCTCAGTTTCGACACGAATACTGAGATATTCGTACCTCTGTTTAGCTCTCCGCGTGAACGTGTCCTTCCAATTTTCAAGATGTTTCTGATCTCCAATCATTTGCCTAGTTTTCGCCACTAGGTACCACCATGAGCTTGCAGAGGTATGCCGACGCTGAGCTATTGAAAGTGTTTTTGCCTATATGTACTCGTCTCTTTTGTTGCGTATGTGTACGTTGATGAATAGGATTGATTTGGTCCGACTCTCTTAGGGATCACCCAGCTCGCTACAGCGTGTGCTTACGGTGTCATACCAAGTTTCGAAATATTTGCAAACATTGTCGCTACCGCCAAGTCAGTGACGGTTGACAGATAAAAATGTTATATGCGCAACTCTGGTGTCAGCCTTTTTTTGCGACAGACTCGTACTTTTTACCCTAGCATGCACATAGTATGGACGATAGTTAACGTTCATCGGATATCCTCTCCCGCCGGAACCCGTGCTCCAAGCACAGCTTCCCTACGAGTTCTCAGCGCTCCCTCGTACGCCTTACATGCCCACTTGAGAAATCCAACTTCTTTACCCCTACCCTGCTCTACTAATCGGGCATGCAACAACTCCACATCCACGAAACTCAGCAAAGGCGGTACACGCTCGTCAGGTGGACCGATGGCTGATGTGAGGCGCACGAGGGGTCGAGGCGTAACGGCTAAATTACTGAGAACAGTACGTGTCGAGAGGATGGGCGGTTTTGCGAAGAGGGTGATCGTACGTTTTTTCATGACATCTTGAGCATCTACATGAGCAGACGATGGATTACGGGCTGGAGGCAGCAGCGCGGTCGGAGGATATCGCGACATAAATGTGCGTAGCAGCGTAATTGCACGGTCGACATCACCATTTCTGGACGAGGGCATTAGTATGACTATAAATGATGGAAAAATAAGAGACTGACAAGGAATGGAATCTTCTGACAGCAGTGTGCGCTCTCTCGACTAGCCTGGCAGTTACTGTCGTCTCGGTAGCTCCATTAGCCCACTCACGCTCAAGCTTTTCCCAACGTGCCCATAGTTCATCTACCCATTTTCCTGCAATATCACGTTCACGCGGCCTTGAAAGTGCACACCTCTCGAGGGCATCGGCATAAGTGCGTGAATCACCCATAAGGTCCACGCCAAAAGATGAAAACAGCCTCTCAAACACATCGCGCGCACTTTCGAGACTTGCATGCGAGTAATACACAGATATGTACGCATTGAAGAGGCGTGGTGTGAGTCTGACGTTAAATCTTCCAGCGAGAGGCATGTTCGAGGATGAACGAGAGGTAGGGTTGGTATCTTGAAGGATTCTATCGAAGAGAGCCCTGGCCTCTGCGACGACCTCGCCTGGTGATTGGGGTGGGAGGTGTGAAAATGAAGGCATTGTAGCTATATGAGCCAAATCATTCGGAACTCCATCGGAATCTGAAGAAACACCTGCAGATTCTGAAGGCAAGTCTGGTGAGCACTCAGTAGCGCTTGCTAGCGGCCCGTCTTGACTTGAAGCTGGTGCCACAACCGCCCCGTCGTTCACGATCCTGGTTGCACCCCTTTGGAATGGGGGCCTATACGCGGCATAAGCGTGGAAAATGTGCTGCATCATCTCCTCAGTTAGACTTTCAGCTCTTACAGCTTCTGCCAGGATCCATCTAGCACGGGCCAAATCACCAACACGCTTGCAGCCGTCCAGCAGAGCCGTCCAAGTACGTGGCCCACCACCAACTTCAGAAGAACCGCGTCTAAAGCGGTCGCGCATTTGCCGCGCAAACCTGATTGCCTCCGAAACCCATTCTCCTCCAGCCTTCGCACAAGCACGGATCACTGCATCGTAAGTCCCTTCGGTCGGCACAATTCCCGCATCGAGCATCTCAGTCCACAGGTCCAGGGCACGCTGGGGTTCGGGAGATAAGGAAGCTGAAGCACAAGCGCGGATCAGCAATGCGTAGAGGTGAGCGTCTGGGGTCGGGTGCGCAACATAGCGCATGTGCGCGAAAAGGTCCCAAGCTTGCGAATTCGCAGCCAGTCTTCCTAATGGTACGTCCGGTGTTGAGCATATCGAAGGAGGTGAAGGAGAGGGACGAACAGAGAATAGGGAGGATATAATACGTGAATAGGATTTCATGGGGGGATGGAGCCCAGAAGCTTCATACTTATGCAGAAGGTCGATAGCACGAGTGGGAAATGCGCGCGATGCAAATACAGCCGGGTCACGCAGGTACGACTTGATATGCAGGTCTCGTTGAGTTTCAGAAGGTTTGCCTATGCATGAATATAGTTAACTGACAGTTGCAAGTACATGTATCAAGTACGAACCGATTAGAATATTTTCCATGAATCCTTCAAATCGTTCTGTATTTCCATGCGATGCGTGATATCCAAGCACGATATTCACGATGTCTTCGGGTAGTGTAACACCGGAAAGCTGAACTGTTCGTGAACGTCTGAAAGCGAGATGGAATTACAATGCTAACCTTTGAAGACTCTATTGTACTTTCTGCGCTGTCCAAGTCTCCATCGCGTATCTATAAGGTCTGTAAGAGACCCCATCTTTTTGAAGTTAAAAAGACGCACATAAACACAGACCCGTTCTCTCATTTCAATCATGGCTTGCGTCTCTCCACATTCCTCAGAGCGCTTCGCGACCTCTACCGGTTGTTGAGTAAGTCGTATCAAGTCTTCATACATTGAGAACAACTCCTCGTCCGTGTAACGAGGGAAAAGCGTTGCCTCTGACTCCGGGGTTGCTTCCAACTGAACATAGGCTCACGTCACAAAGTGTACATGAATGGTTAGATTCAAAGCGAGAGCCTACCGACTGAGATTGCATGACATCCGTTGGCGCTTGCGTATTTTGCAACGCACGAACTCTCCTTTCGAGCTCGGACATTGGGGACGTAAACCTTTTGAGTGGCTTGAATACCGGAGGAGAGACCACGCTGCGGCGTCCGCGCCGCCTGGGTCGCATAAGCGGTTGATAACTGATACAGAATGACAACTCACCTAGAAAATTCCTCAGCGGGCTCGAAAGACGGAGCAGGAGACGGTGCAAGGGTTACCGCCTGGCGTAAGTTCCGTGAACAACATGCCCATTTTACTGATTGGACATGACCAAAGCTAGAATCGAGCAGACCGAGGGGAAGAATAGTCTTGGGCATGGAATAAGTCGCGAAAATATATCAAGTTAGTATACGCGCCTGATATGTCAATCAACTATGTGTCATCAACGCAACGTAAGCGGCAATGAGTTCGTGGTATGAATCTATCCCTCCTCAAGTCGTCAAGTAACGCTTTTGTCACAGTTGGTCACAGCTGCCATTTCTAAGCCCACTCAGTTAATGCCTCAGATCCAGATGTCAGAGCAAAAAATTATGTGAGGGTGAAATACTAGCTTACATTAATATTGTGAGCCAACGCAGCTTCTTTGATGGTCTTGTAGATATTGTTTGTGACACCCTGCAAAGCTGCCTGAATCCACTCATATGCAGGATCACGCGATGCCCTTGCCACTTGGCTATCTCTTGCATTTGATGACCCTTTCCTCTATTATACCGTGTTCTCGGATAAGGTCACCGCCCGTGCTTTGAATCTTACGCATACACTGAATTCATCCACGTTTGTGTGTGTTCTACACGCATTTTTTGTGTTAAAGTTGGCTGTGCATCGTAATACACGTACTAAAGGAGCCTAGACGACTAAGTCTCAGCGGATGATAGACAACGCTAAATGATATTATGTTTACCTAGACAACTAAGTCTAGTGTACGAGTCAGCAAGAGTGAGAACGAGTAAACTAGTCAACATACCTCAGTGGATGATAGACAACACTGAGGTGTGAATGCGAGCAAGCAAAAGTTTAAGTATGAGTGTGCAAGAAGGCTGCGAGACGGAAGAAGCGCGGGTAACATATGGTGTCGAAGGTGGAGAAGCGACAAGATATACGAAAGAGGAAATGAACCCCCGGAGGTTAATCCTCCGGGGTAGGTAGCATGTGTACGTATTGATTCTCTCAACACACCCCCTCACCGAGACACGAGTTGGAGGCCGGGCAAATGTTTTTCGAAGAGAGGACGGGGGAGCGCCTTGGTGAAGATGTCTGCGGTGTTTTTGTGAGAAGGAAGCCACTTGAGGAGGAACATTCCGCGCTCGATGTGTTCGCGTATGAAGTGGTAGCACACATCAATGTGCTTAGAGCGAATGTTATTACGGGCCTCGGTAGACAGTGAAATTGCGCCGGTATTGTCCATGTAGATCGCAATAGGGAAAGGAAGATGGATGTGGAGTGAGATAATGAGCGACTTGATCCAAAGGCCTTCCTGAATGACGTGAGTGACAGCCATGTATTCGGCTTCCGTGGAGGAAAGGGCGTGAGTCGTCTGCTTTTTAGATACATGGGCGATGATGCCGCCTGCATAGAACCAAACGTAGCCCGAGATTGACAGACGATCAGCTGGGCAGCTGGCCCAGTCTGCGTCGCAGTATGCGTGAAGGCCATCATCCACATTTGCACCCCCGTAGTGCAGACGAAGGTTAATAGTGCCGGAGAGATAGCGTAGCAGTCGCTTCGCTGCTGCGTAGTGTGATGGGTGCGGTTTGGAATTGTGCTGAGCAAGTGAGTTCACGGCATATGAGATGTCTGGGCGCGTGCATATAGCGAGGTAGAGCAATTCACCAATGAGTTTGCGAAATAGAGTAGGGAGATTGGGGATGGTGTCATGGACGTCATCAGGCTTGCCGAAAGGATGATGGGAATCGAGTGGAAGGCGAACAGGATTGCAGTCGAGGAGGTGATACTCGTCGAGAAGGTAGGTAATGTATTCACCTTGATGCATCCATAATTGGTGGCTGCTGCGGTTCCGTTCGAATTGGATCCCAATGAATTTGGTGATTGGCCCCATGTCCTTGATGCCGAAACGCTGATGGATCTTCTGCTTGACCCAGGCAAGGAATGCCGGTGAATTTGAAGTCCCCATCCCATCGTCGACGTGAAACCCGATGATGCAGATTATGCGTGTCCCGGAAGCGCTGCTGTCAAAGAGGAATACGGCATAATCAACGGGACAGCGAGTGAAGCCCAACTTGGTCATGACCTCCCTAACCTGCTCGTACCATTCCATTGCGGATTGCTTCAATCCGTAGATTGTACGAAGCATCCGCCATACCATCACCTGCCAGTCCCCTTCCTCAAACCCCTTGGGTTGCCACATGTAGATCTCCTCTTTCAACACTCCCCAGAGGAAGGCTTGTGTGGCGTCAAACGAATGCAGTTCCCAGTCATTTTTGCAAGCGAAGGCTGCGATGAGACGTAGGGATGCTGTCTTCAGTACTGGTGCGAAAGTCGCCCCATAGTCCATGCCAGGTATTTGCGAAAATCCTTGTGCGACAAGGCGCACCTTGTAAGCTGATCCACCCTTGTTGTCCTCCTTGAATTCAAGGACCCAACGGTTCCCGATTGCTTTACGCCCTTCTGGAAGAGGAGCAAGTCGGTAAACGTGCATGTCGTCCATGATTCCGAGTTCCTTTTTCATGGCAACGAGCCATTCGTTTTGATCGGTGCGTAGCATGGCCTCGTCGTAAGTGGCTGGTGGGATTTTCATATCGTAGTTGGGATTGTTGGGGTTTCGTTTTCTGTCGCTGCGGATACTGATGTTGGCGTAGACCTCTGGGACGTCCATGTTAGGCTCTATCTCCTCGAGGTTCTCTTCCCCATCTTCTTCACCATCTTTCTCAGCCTCGGTCACCCCCTCACCCAACGGAACAGCGTCAGCGTGAATACAAGCTGCACGAGACTCACGTAGGGCCTGAAGACGAGCTTTAGTCTTGGCCATGTCAGCAGCCCACGCGCTACCAGCAGCAGTGGGCATTTTCGTCCGGGCAGAACGGCGCACAGGGTCGGGAAGAGCTGGTGCAGGAGGAGTGAGATGGCTGAGAGTCGTTCGAGGGGAGAGAATTGTTGGAGTGGGAGCAGCAGGTGGGGCGCCAGCAGCAGGTGCATCGTCTGCATCATCTGAGTCTGAATCGGACGCGTGGTCCATGAGACGTTCATCAAAAATGACGTCACGTGCGACAAAGAAAGTACCAGATGCCTGATCTCTCAAGCGGTATCCTTTGGTTCCCTCAGGATATCCAAGGAAAACAGCTTTGCGGGAATGTGGTCCCAACTTGACCTGAAGTTCTGAGGGTATGCGCGCGAAACAATGAGACCCGAACACCTGGATGTGCGAAAGGTCAGGCTTTCGGCCATTAACGACCTCGAAGGGTGTGACACCAAGAGGGAGAGTGACGGAAGTACTCCGATTCCAAAGGTAGCACGCTGTTAAGGCTGCCTCACCCCATAGATTCGCAGGTAGACCAGCCAATTCCAACATCGCGAAGAGACGTCCCTCAATGGTGCGGATAGTGTGCTCTGCTCTACCATTCTGCTGATGTGCGTAGGGCGCAGATAGCTGACGTTCGATGCCTGCTGCCAAGAGAGTCTCAGTGAATGCCTTACTGATGAACTCCCCGCCATTATCAGATCGGAATACCTTAACGGTACGTCCTGAATGATTTTCCCAATGAGCCTTTATGATGCGCCATGCATCCAGAGCCTGATCCTTCGTTGCCAGAAGCTGAAGATTGAGCAGGTTGGAATAGTCATTGAGGAAGAGGATGAAGTGGAGTTTTCCATGAGGTGTTGAGATGGGAAAGGGGCCGCAGAGGTCAGAATGAACGAGGTCGACCATGTGGGAGGCGCGTGGTGTCACGGAAGGCGGGTACGGCTTGCGCGGGTGCTTTGCAATGATGCAAGACTCGCACCTGTGAAGGGGATCCGACGATTCGACTTTGATGCCGGTGGAGGCAGATGCAATCCGTTTGATGGCGTCACCACCAGGATGTCCCATGCGGGCATGCCACAGGTTCCAGGACAGCGGTGTGCGGACGAAGGCAGAAAGCTCGCGGGGAATATCGCGTTGGGATTGCTGCTCAGTGGGTCGGACGAACTTAAGGTCGACGAAGAAGAGGTTTCCAGTCATTGGAATCTCGCCCAACACCTCTCCATGGTATTTGAGTTGACATCGCGCTGGTGAGTGCTCGAAGTTGCATGACCATTTCTTTTTGAGCATATGCCCAACAGAGAGGAGGTTGATCATGGCACCCGGAGCATGTAGACAGTCGGTGAACGTGACCCGGAATGTGCAGCTGCCAAGCATAAGGTCTGCAATGCAGTTGCCTCGTCCAGAGGTTGGGAGGCGTCCATGGTTAGCCATTTTCACTGTAACATGTTCACTCTCTGAATATGTCCAGAAGTAGCTTCGGTCCATGATCAAGTTGGAGGTTGTTCCCGAATCCAAGATTGTCGAGAGCTGCTGTTGCGCGATGCATGCAATGTCATCGAATGATGGGGTGTCGGACTCAAATTCGAGTGGGAGTTCCTCTATTATGGCGCATGCCAGGTTCTTATACTCGTTTGCGACAGTGCTAGTGGCCAAGGAAGATGGAGTGGTGGGCGCAGGAGTGTCGTTACTGTTAGTGGCAGCAGCGATATCTGACTTTTTACTAGGCTTCCTGTCTCTGTCCCGGTCTCTGTTTCGAATTCCCCCTTGACCTTCCATGCCGCCTCCTGGTTGAAAGCAGTGCTCTCGATCATGAGTGAGAGAGCGCAGAAGTCCAGAGCAAACGGGATTATCACAGCTCACCCCCTTGGGGTTATACTTATGAATCTGTATCCCCGTTTTTGGGTTCGTCTTCCCCTCCTGAGGTCTGAAGGACGTGGCGTTCGCATACTCGGACCCGGGACCATTGAGCTTCATTTCTCCACGAAGCCTGTTGGCTTCTTCAGAGAGAGAGGTCACGATGGTAGCAAATGTCATTCTGGATGTAGCGGGTGTAGAGGAGGAGGACGCGGGAGGAGGAGTACTGTAGAGATTCATGGTCATACGTTTGAATATAAGCCATTCTGGAGAGAGAGGGAGTCCATGAAGCAAGAGGAATACCATTTCATCGTTGGTGACAAGTATGGCCATCTCTGCAAAGCGACACCTCGCGTTCTCAAATACACTGATGTAACGGGGTGCATCATCTGGATCTTTAAGTTTTCAGCGAAGAGTTGTGCACGAAGTTCGAATTGGGATGTGACATCCAGGCGTCCGAAGTGAGTAGCGAGAGTGTTCCACTGATCTCTTGCAGTCCAGGTTTTACTCAAGAGGCCTTGGACGACTGCAGAAAGCTTCCTGCAAATGATACCCTTAGCTTGCGCGTCCTCCTTAATCCAGTCAATCATGCTTTGTTTTTCGGTAGCAGAGACAGTTCCAGCGACAGCCGGTGTAGGCATGACGGAGGCGAATTCGGCGAAGTTATTAGGGTCAGTCCCTGCACTGCAATGGTTCCAGAGACCATCACCTTGCAGGGCCAGAGTAACTGCGCGTCGCCAAGTGGGATATTCATCTGCACCAGTCAGTTCCGTAATGTAATCGTATTTTCCCATATCGAAGAGATGACGAGTTACTCGGAATATTAAGGTTTTTTTTAAAATTTGACCCGCAGTGGGGAGCATATGAGATTTCGAAGGGAAAAAGTCGTGGGTCTCCTGGTTCCGAGCTTGTTTAGAGCTCAGGGCTCATAACCTAAAGGAGCCTAGACGACTAAGTCTCAGCGGATGATAGACAACGCTAAATGATATTATGTTTACCTAGACAACTAAGTCTAGTGTACGAGTCAGCAAGAGTGAGAACGAGTAAACTAGTCAACATACCTCAGTGGATGATAGACAACGCTGAGGTGTGAATGCGAGCAAGCAAAAGTTTAAGTATGAGTGTGCAAGAAGGCTGCGAGACGGAAGAAGCGCGGGTAACATATGGTGTCGAAGGTGGAGAAGCGACAAGATATATGAAAGAGGAAATGAACCCCCAGAGGTTAATCCTCCGGGGTAGGTAGCATGCGTACGTGTCGATTCTCTCAACACGTACTGATAACTCAATGCGCTTCTAGTAGGTCGGTTCTAGATCTTTCGTCTAAGAAGTCCTTCGATTTACAACACCCCTTTCCCACTTCACAACTATCTTCTCCTGATACCAACGGAAGTCTTGGCAATCTTCGCAGCATATCCCGTAAAACTTGGTCAAAATCCGCAGATGATCTTGGAAGCTTCTCGACGTCCTCCTTTTCCTCTGCAGACATATCTTTTCAACATAAAGTGGAAGAATACAGGAATAGAAGTAATAGCAGTGCAACCTTGCATCCCACTTCTACGGGCTCTGGTCCTGGAAGTCCCATGAAGCACATATTCCTGACTATTGCTACCAATAGCCCTCTTTCATCTTCGCCTCCTGAGTGTGGGTTCGCCTCTCCTGACCCTGGCATTTCCATCTCCGTCTCCTCACCCACTTCAGACACGTTCTGTTCCCCTCCATCGGAGGACCCACCCCCTGTCCATTCTCGCAACACGTCATTTGCACCTCGATTACCTTCTAAGCTAGGCTTTGCGCCAACAAGCCCCCAAAGGAAGGGATCAGGGTCCAAGTGAGACGCCGAATCAACAAAGGAAAAAGATAATGATCGGAATGGCCCCAGTGGCATGCGTGGTGTCTTTTCCTTCAGTCTTGCGAGTCCTTCTTCCAGTAAACATCCGTTACCCAACCCAACCCCTCTCAGTGGCCAAAACACAACGTCGTCGTCTTCACCATTACTTGCACCTACCATGCTCAAACCTGATGCACATGACAGTCGCGATTCACGTCTTACGTCTCAGATTGTCTATAACGTTGGTTTTATCAACCGCATGGGAGATACCGCGCCATCGATCTATGTGCAGTATCGGTCATACAGTACTGCTATGAATCTGATGCTGTCGAAAGGATGGAAGGCGGCCAAGGCAGAGCTTAAAGGGCCGAAGTTATACTTCTACAAAGTGCCCGGCAACCGTAGCGCTGCCATCAAGGAACTCTTCCATACTGAGATCGTCCCTCCTCTTCCAGTGAAGGTAAGCTATTCAACATCGGTGACGTCGACATTCGGGAGACTGCCATTCCTGTTTATGACGGAGAGCTTCTCGTTGCTCGCAGCAACCTAGATCCGCTGTCCTCATCTCGGTCTCCTTCTCATCCGCCATCCAGACCTTCGAGTTCTATAGTCGAGGGGTGCAATCTCGCCAAATGTACGACGTGTTCACCTTCTATCCGTGTAAAGCCTGGATTGTCTCAGGGTCTCGAGCGGAAGAGCAGCGTTGCGCATCGAAGCTTGTTGCCCTCTACATCTTGTCGACCGAATGCTATGGTGACAGAAGTATCGTCAAAGAGGCCTATTCGCGTCATTGTGCAAGCTGGAACTTTGGATCGCCTAATCAATGTCCTCGTGCACGGCCTTCAGGGCGTTTCAATAGCTGTGGCTGAGGATAATGGTGAGACATCTCTAAGAGACGGCAAAACCAGGGACCTTGTCGTTGATCGGTGTAGAAACAACTATACTGAGTGGGGCTATACGAAGATGGCTCCAAACTGATATATCTGTGTTGAGGTCTTTGCACTGCCTAGTCTGCTATACTTGCCTGACAAGTGCATTCGACCCAGGGGTCTGCGATCTGGGAATAGTCTTGGGGGTAAGTGAGTGATGTGTGGTCAATAGTCCGAGTGCGGGAAACAATGTCCGAAGGTATAATTACGATGTCCGATGCAAAAGCGTCGGGTCCGATGTTTTCGGGGTTTCGGGTTATCGGGTTCGGATTCGGGTCTTTCGGAAACTAATAGTAACGCTATAGCGAGCGTCGGAAGAGCGAGCGGTGTGCGCAATAATAACAATGACTGATACGGATAATGAAAGAGCGATGATATTCACAATATCAACTAAGAACTACGAAATATCGGGTTTGACCACTAAGCGTCGGGGAACTGCTCCCCTCTACTTGGATAATGAATAATGCTCGAGGTCAGTCCAATATATATGTAAGTACGTAGAAATGCGGAACCCATAGGCGAAGGTAGCGGCGGAGTATTTCGGATCCGAAGTACATGTAAATAAACATGAGGCGCTGCGGACTATGGGAAAACATGTAATAGCGCTTGCTACAACGTGAGTAATGTGCGAAATAATGAATTACACACCTAGTGGGGCTAGCAAGACAGGACAGGACACGGATAGGACAAGTGCGCGGGAAAACATCGGGTCCGATGCGGCCTAAACGTCGGGTTGGCGGGTTAGCGTCGGATAACATCGGGAAGTGATTAGCATGTGATGGGTATTTGACGTGTACTGTAAAATAGCTCAATACGAGCCCAGCGCCAGCTCGTGTCCTACATCTGGCTGAGTTTGCGCGAGTATGGTGGCATATTCCGGAGTTTTGTGACGCCTATCGTCTTTTTTGAGGTATGGTAGTCTCTTTTCTGCGTTTGAGATGGCCTAATTGATACATTCTATGGCTACTTGGTAAACACTTTTTAAGCAGTCGACCCTCCAGCCAGCCTTCTGCAAACAGTTATCTCCACGTAATACAATTTTGTTCGGAAGTGCTCGAGGCGATCAAGGGCTGGATAACGTCTGGAGGAGCCCAGGACTGTCTCGATAATGTTCAGCTGTTTGAAGCTGTGCGGTCTTTCCTGGAACAATCCATTCGATCGCTCTTCCTTCGATGCTCCGACTACGGTTGAGAATGACGTCAGCCAAGCTTGGGACACCATCAGCGGGTGGGATTGTGCTACAGAATGCTACAGAGCGCTCTGTAGCACTCTGTAATGAATTACGTTTCCCTGATGACTCTTGACAGCACTCGTCAAATAACGCACACGGCATTCACAACACAGACTCAACGCCCTCCTTCTGTCTTCCTAGGTGATATCCAACCGCTAAAATCGACAGACACCTCGGGTGCGATCCTTTGGTAATCAACTACCGGACCTTGATGCGATTAGTGCTGATGAGCTCGTCGAGAATTTGAATGCTATGAGTTCTGTGGCATCGAGTAATATAAGCGAGGAGGTCAGTCCTCCCCTTACTAACTTCCAATATGGTTGCTCATTTCCCTTTCAGGACCTTTTCATCACCATTGATCTGTTAGAGGTGCAAAGCGCAGACCGTACCGGCTGGTTTTCAATTCAGGAAGTTCTGTCGACAGATGATGTTGACATACAGTCCATGTATTTCCACCTGACGGACGTTCAACATTCAGCCATCTTTGCTGATATCCGAGCTTTCTCAGGATACTATCTACCGTCTCCTACCGTCTAGCATCCGCAGTTGTATCAGTGCCTTTAATATCCTTCGGAAATGGACGATTTCTAAGCTCGTCACACCTAAACTGGGGATCCGACTATGGCAGGCGAGAATGAGCCTCTTCCTTCTAGCCATCGAGATTGCCCGTCTAAGGAGCATGAACACTGGTTCTGCGTCCTTTGGGTGTGGGGACCGACTTTGTGTCCGGTCTTTCTTCGAGGCTGTCCTAACCTCGGCTGTTGTCAGTTCAGAGATTCATATGCACCATCGTCCATGGTAAAACATTGCAAATATTCGGGGGGTTCAGTGCGATAGTCTCGTAGGTAACTCGTCCTGCACATCTGTGGGCATGGGAGCTAGTGTACCAAAGAGAATGCTAATATATTTAGAAGGCACCTGCTGATTTTGGGTGGTGTTTCAGTAAGTCTCTAGATATACAGGAAGTCCCTAGGCTAAGTGAGAGGGAGATGGGACATCTGACCCGATGACTGAGGCCTGGGGTTGTGCTGAGAGATCAAGGGGACACAGAACCACCCAACAGCACAGGAAGGACGCAGGACGCGGATGGGAACCCAAAGATGCACGGAAGAACCCCCACATGCGGGGGAAGGCGATGTAAAAGAGTGAGAATGGATGCAAGAGGACGGATGGTGGAGGCCCCTGGTCAAGGTTGACAACGTTGAAGAACAGAAGACATGCGAGGACTAACAATTTATCCCTAGTAAGGAAAAAAAGAATAGGCGATACCAGGGTTCGAACCTGGGTTTCGGGAAGATTTATATATCAAAATCCCGAGTGATAACCACTACACTATATCGCCTTGGAAAACTTGTTAGTTTAGTCGTATTTGGACGGGTTGGACGGGTTGGTATGACTGCGGTTAGGATTAAACTTACACCTCTCCGTTCTACAATGAATAGCGACGAATCGTTTTCAGCGTTGGTTAATACCGCCAATCCAGCAGCGTCCGGATACAGGCAGCGAGACTCCAACAACCCATACATCCATTCAGATTTTACTACTAATACTATTACACCGTCTGGTTATCCTCCACAACCAAATCTTATGGATCCCTTCTTTGACGACGATGACGACGACGCTTCTCATTCTAACTTTACTATGTACTCTGCTCAAAGACCAATGCAGTCCCAGGAGAGCGGTCTTCCTCTCGCTCGATCAGCTGCACCCCCAGCTGGCATAAGAACATCTTCTACCTCTCTTGCAACGACACCTAACGGACAACCGCAAGGCTGGGCATTTGACGATGACTCTCTATCCCCCGCGTTCTCACCTGCCCCTTCCTTCCCGGCAGAGCCCTCAATACCCATGCGTCCGCTCAAGCGACGCAGAAAGTGGAAATGGCCCTGGCAGAGGGACAAGGAACTCACTGCCGAGCGTGTAATCACCCTCAATAACGCACTTATGAATGTCGACTATTGCTCAAACTTTGTTTCAACGAGCAAGTACAACATGGTCTCATTTCTTCCCAAGTTTCTTACTGGTCTGTCCCGTCTGGTATCCCGTACACCACGAAACACCAACTGATGCATTCTCGTAGAACAATTCTCGAAATACGCCAATTTATTCTTTTTGTTCACAGCATGCATTCAACAGATTCCAGGTGTATCCCCCACGAACCAGTATACTACCATCGCGCCCTTGGCCGTGGTCCTCCTCGCTTCCGCATTCAAAGAAGTTCAGGAAGACCTTGTACGTTATTCCTCCAATCATTGACCCGTTCTCACCTCACCTCAGAAACGACACCAATCTGACTCCGAGCTCAACGCACGACTTGGTAAGGCCCTCTCCGGAAACACTTTCGCCGCACGGAAATGGAAAGACCTACGTGTAGGCGACATCGTGCGTGTGGAGTCAGATCAATTTATGCCAGCCGACCTGGTACTCATATCCTCGAGTGAGCCCGAGGGATTATGTTACATAGAGACTTCTAATCTTGACGGGTGCGTTCCTCCTTATATTTTCCTTCTTTCCCTGACATGCGCTCTCCAGCGAGACCAACCTCAAAATCAAACAAGCTTCCCCACAAACCTACTCGCTCACCTCCCCATCCCTTGCAGGCGCTTTGCATGGTACATTGCGGTCAGAACAGCCAAATAACTCATTGTACACATATGAGGGAACATTGGAACTGTTGAGCGATATGAATGTACCGAAGACTGTATCGTTGGGCCCTGATCAGTTATTGTTGAGGGGCGCACAGTTGAGGAATACACCGTGGGTATATGGGATCGTAGTGTTCACAGGTCATGAGACGAAGCTCATGCGAAATGCAACGTAAGCGGTTCAACCTTGTTCGAGCTTTAGTTCGCAGAAATTTTTTGTGATGTTCTGCAATGCTAAACTCGGGTACAGCGCAGCGCCAATCAAACGTACGGCAGTCGAGCGCCAGGTCAACACTCATATCATCTTCCTCTTCGTCTTCCTCCTTGCCCTTTCACTCGGGAGTACGATTGGCGCCAGCATCAACACAGTGTGTTTGTTCTATCAACTTCATCAGAGATAGGGGCTGACGGACCTTTTGTAGTGGTTCTTGTCCGGCCAGCAATGGTATTTAGCAGAGCCAAGCACATTCACCGGGAAAGGTGAGTACCTCTTTCCGAGAAGATTACCCTGGTCGCCGACTGATCGCGTTTGATCAGCAAAAGCATTCATCGAAGGTCAAGCATATTTATTTTTTCTACCTACTCTCCCTTACTCATTCAATCTCTCCAGACATTCTCACCTTTATCATCCTCTACAACAACCTCATCCCCATTTCACTCATCGTTACCATGGAAGTCGTCAAATTCCAACAGGCCCAGCTCATCAACGCCGATCTGGACATGTACTACGCGCCCTCCGACACGCCTGCGCTCTGCCGCACAAGCTCGCTGGTTGAAGAGCTCGGACAGATCGAATTTGTGTTTAGCGATAAAACGGGAACGCTAACGAGGAACGAGATGGAGTTTAAGAAATGCTCAGTTGCAGGGATTCCGTATGCGGACGTGGCGGAGGAGGGTGGGGAGGAGGGGGAGGGTACAAGAACGTTTGAGGAGCTGCGGGGGCTATTGCACGAGGACGCAGGGAAGCCAGTCGGTACGGAGGCGATTGAGAGCAGAGAGCGAGATGTGGCCAGAGAATTCATGGTGTTATTGGCGGTGTGCCATACGGTGATACCGGAGGTGAGAGATGGGAAGATGCATTATCAGGCCAGTAGTCCGGATGAGGCGGCGTTAGTGGCAGGGGCGGAGATGATGGGGTATCAGTTCCATGTGGGTCGCTCATTCCTTGTTAAATACTGTTTTACACATTTCTTCTAACCCCTTCTCTACACCCCTCCATCCCTTTAATCACGCTGCTTACTCACCCTTCCACAGACTCGCAAACCCCGTTCTGTCTTTCTTTCAATCAACAACGCTCCTGCCGAGTACGAGATTCTCAACGTATGCGAGTTCAACTCGACGCGCAAACGTATGTCGACGATTGTGCGCACGCCCAGCGGTTCAATCAAGCTTTTCTGCAAGGGTGCAGACACCGTCATCCTCGAGCGTCTTGCCAAGGCGCAACAGTACACTGAGAAAACGCTTATTCATCTTGAAGTTTGTTGCTTCCCCCTTCAGTGTTACCAACGTTCATTGTGCTCACCCAATCAAATCACAGGACTACGCGACCGAAGGCCTACGCACTCTTTGCATCGCATACCGCGACGTCCCAGAGGCCGAATACCGGCAGTGGGCCTCCATATACGAGCAAGCAGCTGCAACGATCAACGGCCGCGCAGATGCCCTCGACAGTGCGGCGGAGTTGATCGAGAAGAATATGTTTTTGCTCGGGGCAACAGCTATCGAGGATAAGCTCCAGGACGGCGTACCAGATACGATACATACGTTACAAATGGCCGGGATCAAGGTGCGTTTGTCAGACATTTCATCATGATGTCTATGTCTACGATGCTGATATGGTACGTAGATCTGGGTGCTTACGGGTGACAGACAAGAGACAGCGATCAATATCGGCATGTCTTGTCGGTTGATCTCAGAGTCTATGAACTTGGTAGGTTGGGCATGCGGCGAAGATATTCTAGTGCTAATATTCTACCTCTACAGGTCATTGTGAACGAAGACAACTCGCGTGACACTGCGGATTTTATCCAGAAACGACTTTCAGCGATCAAAAATCAGCGGAGTACGGGGGAGCTCGAAGATCTGGCTTTGGTCATAGGTCAGCGCGCGCACGAAATCATTTCATACCCTCTGAAGCCCTTCCTTTGTAGACGGCAAAAGCCTTGGTTTCGCACTTGAGAAAGAGCTTTCCAAGTCGTTTTTGGAGCTCGCGCTCATGTGCCGCGCAGTCATCTGTTGCAGAGTATCTCCGCTTCAAAAAGCTCTTGTCGTCAAACTTGTCAAGAAGAACCAGAAGAGCATCCTCTTGGCAATCGGTGACGGTGCAAATGACGTGAGCATGATCCAGGCAGCGCATGTGGGCGTGGGGATCTCTGGAGTCGAGGTACGTGATCATTAGTGTGCGACATTGCATTTGTATTCAAAGCGATCTGTATAGGGTCTACAAGCTGCGCGATCTGCGGATGTGGCAATTTCACAGTTTAGATTTCTCAAGAAGTTATTGCTGGTTCATGGCGCGTGGAGTTATCAGAGACTGTCGAAACTCATCCTTTGTACGTATATTTGTTTATCTCCGTTTTACGCATGTTCATCACTGAGGACCAGACTCGTTTTACAAGAACATTACGCTTTACATGACGCAGTTTTGGGTACGCATCCGCCCGCTCACTCACAAATGTCTAGCTAATATCACCTTGTAGTATTCCTTCTTCAATAACTTCTCGGGGCAGATTGCCTACGAATCATGGACGATATCATTTTATAACGTCATCTTTACCGTTCTTCCCCCTCTCGTCATCGGCGTGTTTGATCAGTTCGTATCTGCACGAATTCTAGACCGATACCCACAACTATATGTACTCGGGCAGAAGAACGTCTTCTTTACCAAGACAGCATTCTGGCTCTGGGTAGGCAATGCGCTCTATCACAGTCTCGTGAGTCTCATTCCAAAGCGACAAAGAATTCAGTGATAGTGATGATGATGATGGCGTTTCTAGATTTTGTTCACATTCACTGTGATTTTGTTTTGGGGAGATTTGAAGCAAGCGACGGGTTTGGACTCTGGGCATTGGTTTTGGGGTGCCATGCTTTACCTGGCTGTTCTCCTCACTGTCCTTGGCAAAGCCGCTTTGGTTTCTGAGTGCGTGTCCCTATTCTTGTCTTACCCTCGTATACTAATGCGTACTCTAGTTTGTGGACAAAATACACTGTTGCTGGTGAGCGCAAATATTCCTCTATGAACAATCATCCAACCGACATCTTTTCCTCAGCGATTCCTGGGTCGTTTGTTTTCACTATGCTCTTCCTTCCTTTATACGCCGTTGTTGCTCCTGCCATTGGATTCTCTACCGAATACTATGGACTTGTGCCTCGTCTATGGACTGATGCTGTGTTTTATTTTGTCCTCATCCTTGTTCCTGTCGTCTGCCTGAGCCGCGACTTTATTTGGAAATAGTACGTCCACACCCGCTTGAGCGATGTAACTATTTGACGCCTTTCATATAGCTACCGACGAACATATATTCCTCTTCCATATCATATCGCTCAAGAGCTCCAAAAGTACAACATTCCCGACTACCGCCCGCGTCAAGAACAGTGCGTGTCACTTCAAATAGCATATGCTGGTTGATGCTAACCCCTTATCATGTCAGATTCCAAAAAGCGATCAAAAAAGTCCGCGCCGTCCAGCGCATGCGCCGGAACCGCGGATTTGCATTCAGTCAGACAGAGAACGGTCGTCAAGATCAGGCAAAACTCATTCGTGCTTACGATACATCCAAGTCGAGCACACGACCATCGGGATATTAGACACGAGAGAAGGCGTCATTTGCTCCATCTGACATTCATGAATTGTATTGTATAACTGGGACTAATTCATACACCGCCGTTGTAGAATGATTCTTCAATGGATTTATTGTTGTGTTGCCGTTTTTATTCGATGGTGATGGGACGACGTCGAAGTACTTACCGTATTTTCGATTTGCTGCCGATCCATGTGAGTGATGGACGACCCTTATTGTGGAGGCGCATCTTTGTCCTCTGGTGAATTCCAGCTGGGAGTACCATACATATGTAGAAAGCTCGAGATTGACACCGGGAGACAGCAACGAAGCGTGGACAGTACTGTGTGATAAGCTTGGCACACTACAGGGTAACAGCAATCAGGAAGTCGGCACATGAAGTATTATAAGGACCTGTAATGACAGTTTGAAATCTGCCAGCTGGACATTATTCATCTTGCACCAAGGTATAGCTTGTAGCCTATGGCCTCCAATTCAATGCTAGATGACATCGCGCTCGTGGTTTGCGAGGTTAGGAAATGCATGTACTTATAACGTAGAAAGATTATGTTAGTACATGATGCAGGAGAAGGGGCAGGAAAAGGAAAAGTTCAGACGAATGACTAGTTCAATCATTGATTAGTCGAGTACACCTCTATTATGACGTCCAAAGCCAGTTTGTGCATAGTGTTGCGATACGGAGACGTACAAGGACACCAGCAGCGCTATAGCTAAATATAAAACTACCTAACAAGAGAATGTACATGCGACATGTCATGAATCTAATGTAAGGGCAATTCAGTGGTCGCGGGACTTCCTAACAAGACATGAGCGATGTCATTGACAGGGGAGGGAAATATTACCTATATTCTCCCTCCGCGGCGACGCTGAGCTCTTCAATTTCGCCTTGTGCGGAAGAGAGAGCTTCAGCTGCTGCTGCAAAGTAAAGCAGCTGCAAACCAAGGGTAAGCTTCGCGGCCTTCTTATCATAAGACGCATACCTGAGCTTTCACAAGCTCATTGAGATTCTTCAGAGGTTCCGGCTACAAACAATAAGGCAAAGTGTTCAAAAAGGGAATACTTGTGACATACATTCTCAAGAACTGTCTTCATGAGGGTAATGGCAACCTCAGTCTTCTGAACGAGGTCATCCTCTGCGTTCTCAACATCAAGCCTTGCCTGCTCTTGCTTAGTAGGACTCGTAGTTTTCAGACTGTACGAGAAAAGTGTAAGCACTTGAAGGACTAAAGCTTAGTGAAAGTAATGACGTCTGCTTAGCGGCATCCAACTCAAGTCTGCTGACGCGAACGGCTTGGCGTGCTTTCATTGCGACGTTAATAGACGTTGAAAGCGTCGTCTGCCACGGGCGCAGGTATTGTGCCTGAATCGATTCGTCTTGCTCGACGCGAGCTGATGCAATGTTGTCGAAAACATCTGCGTACACGGTTAGTGCTTTACCGAGTTTATCTTCATCACCAGCAGGGGTGCGTTGCATAGCGGCGGCGGCGTTAGTCGCAGCGCGACAGAGAGCATGAGGGAGAGTCTTGTGTTGGGAAACTTGCGGGGCAACAGGTGAGGGCGTAGGAAGATTGGTGCCCTTCAGGTTTGTAGCAGCGAAGTTTGTAATACCATGGCCAATGGTGGTCGAGAGTTCAGTAATAGACTCCTGAATTTGGGTCGGGTAGTCATACGACTCATTCTCATAGGCCTTGGTTACTCTGATTGAGGTGAGATATCAGGGCTGAGCTGATACACAAACGAAGTGCACGAACTTGAGAAGTGCTAGGTGTGCCTGACGCAACGCGTCTACGCGAGCCTCCAAATCCTTGTACTCTGAAATAGATATTGAGATTCAGCATCCAAATTAAAAAAGAGCTGGCCTACCTTGCGGCAACTCCGTAATTTCGTCTGGGGCAACTTGACCTAAACGCTCCCTGGTTGCCTGAACACTGGAGTTGAAGCCCTTTGCAAACTTGTTTGCGGACTGCCCCAGGTTTAGGCCGGAAAGACTCGATTGAAATTTGTTCCAGCCGTCCATAGTTGACTTGAAAATGATGATAATGATACAAGAACTAGGGAGATGAAGGGTTCGAACGTTCAAGATGTGGAACCTCTGAGTCTCTGACGCAGCTAGAGCTGCCCAGCGGTGCCAATTACTTTCACATATGGTAATAGGTTCAAGGGGTCCTGGTCAGACGCGTAACACGAATGCGCAAGCTTGTCTACAAGCTTTAAGATTATCCTCCACAATGTCACAACAATCGGCCTTCAGTTCCCCTGGATTCGACTTTTCTAACTCTGTTAGGTGAGCAAGACATTATATCGTTTATATAGCTATTGTCTGAGTAGTCGTATAGAAATAATTTCCTCCAGGAGAAGGGCATGCCCCTTCCAAAGGCTACCAGCACCGGTACCACAATCGTAGGCTGTCTCTTCAAAGATGGCATTATCCTTGGTGCCGACACGCGTGCCACAGAAGGTGAAATAATTGCGGACAAGAACTGTGAAAAGGTCCGCTCTTGGAGATCAATATCATTCTGCTTAATCTAATATGCATACCTAGATCCACTACATAACAGAATCGATCCGGTGCTGCGGTGCAGGTACTGCTGCAGACACCGAGTTTACCACCGCATCGATATCATCAAATATGGAACTCCATGCTCTGTCCACTGGGAGAAAGCCAAGAGTGGTCACTGTGATGACTATGTTGAAGCAATACCTTTTCCAGTAAGCCCAACTGTGTTCAGTATCCAATATTTTATTATTTATGCGATGCGTAGATACCAGGGCCATGTTGGAGCTGCTCTTGTCCTTGGCGGAGTTGACTCTACTGGACCACACCTTTTCACCATCCATCCACATGGGTCTACAGATAAGTTGCCTTACGTGACCATGGGCTCCGGAAGCTTGGCAGCTATGGCTGTTTTTGAAAGCAGCTGGAAGCCAAACATGGAGGTACGTTCCACCGCTCTTACAAGTGACCGATGTTCAATCCCAGTCCCATCTAGCGCAACGAAGCTTTGGCCCTAGTGTCTGCCGCTGTCTCAGCTGGTATCTTCAACGACCTTGGCTCAGGGTCCAACGTTGATGCATGTATCATTACCGCCACGCAAACGGAGATGCTTCGCAATTTTGTCAAGCCCAACGAGCGGGTAGAGAAGGAACGCCATTACACATTCAGAAGAGGGACCACGGCATGGAAGAGCGAAAACATAAGAGATTTGATTGTTAATGAAGACATCACGCTTGTAGGCGCCACCGGTGATGCCATGGACACTAGCTAGACGAGATCGACAAATGATACTTGGATTCCTTTGCACACTGACAAGATTTGGTTAGGCGGCAATGTTTTGATCTTTCTCTTTGTCCTGTGGATGCATTTACCGTGCCTGCTCGGTCTTACAATTCAAGACCGAGGACAGTAATCTTTGGGCGCGTCGATTGTTTCCACGGACCGGTTATTCGCTCCCCTAACTCTAGCTATCAATGCTTTTCATGTTATTCCTGCTTATTATCAACTGGAAGACAAGCGTTGAACGCGAAAAGGTGAACGTTTGCGCTGCTCTCAGACTTTGTTCAGGAGTACATGATGATTCGACATATAACATTGTATCAATAACAATCATCTCGAGTCTGTCAGTTCTTCTATAGATAAGTTACTGTAGTTTCCTCTGATGGGCCGAGAGAGAGATTAACCGGTGAAGTTTTACTATTTTAGCACTAGTTAATGGACCGAGCTTGCCATTTGTAGGTGTGTGTCCCTGTGAACATGGAGAGTCAAGTCAGTCACCATCAAGCCTCATTGCAACTACCATCACTACTCGGGTCGACGACATGCCTGTCGTCCAGTTTGCGCCCTTTGCGTCCCTTGTTCAGCCAGGTTTTTGGCATGAGCTCACTCGCATGAAGATAGATGTCCTTCGTCTTTCAGAAGACGCTATTACCGTGAATGGATCATATTCCGTCGGTCGATCAATCAGAGATCGCGAAACAGGGCAAGATATCGCTCTTGGATGTAACCTCACAGTAGGGGAAGATGCTTACCAGAAGGCACCTCAGTATGTCGCGATCGGACACGCGCTGAAGCTGATATGCTGACTCTATCCTAGGGTGTCACCCATGTCCGTCCATACCACTGGCATCTTCAAGAACTTCAATACTATCGAGGACTTTAAGGCTGCAGATAAGGCTGCACTCATTAATGACGTCGTTTCCAAGGTGCGATCATGACTTGACGCGCCCGATAGCAAATGGTAATACTTGTCTCAATAAGATCTGGGACAGCATCATAACAACCAAAGACACGTCTCTCCTCACGCAGTTCTTACTAATAACATTCGCTGATCTAAAGAAGTATCAGTACTTTTACTGGTTCGCCTTCCCCGCGTTCGTGTCCAAACCAGCTTGGCAGATTTCAGAAAATGGCTGGAAGCCAGCGGATGAAGAGATCCAGGGGGTATGTCCTTCTTCGAGGAGCATTTCGCGTTCTTACAAGCACTTTCAGTTGGAATCTATCTACGACTCACTCCTCAAGACAACTCAATCATTCTTTCTCGTGAAGGAGATTGGTGGTATAACCGAAGTAGGGTCGATAGAACAATATGAAGAGTTCTTTGCTGGTGTTGCTCCCGAGAACGTAATTGGTGCATTCCGTCTCACGAGCCAAGGCTGACTCCCTTTGCACAGCGAGTAATCGGCTTTTTAGATCCATCTGCTCTTCCTGAAAACCCAGGTTGGCCTCTTCGGAACCTCCTCGCCTTCCTTCGTGCGGTGTATCCATCGCAAACATCTTCTGTCCGAGCTCTCTGCTGGAGAGATAGCGAAAGACCCACTGCTGGAAAACCATGGAGGAGCCGGTTTGGAGTGGTCTCCATCGGAGAAGGAGATCCAACCGCGAAACCTAGTGCTATAGGATGGGAGCGCCATCCGACAACCAACAAGCTCAGTGCTCGAGTCGCTGATCTGGCACCCATGATGGATCCGAAGAGGTACGTGTTGTCCAGCGACTCATGGTAAATACTGCTGATAGGCTTTTAGGCTCGCTGACCAAGCTGTGGACCTGAACTTGAAGTTGATGCGCTGGCGCATTTTACCTTCGCTAGACCTCGATAAAGTAGCATCGACAAGATGCCTACTTCTCGGTGCAGGGACACTTGGCTGCTACGTTGCACGTACTCTCATGGTTTGTATCGATAGATTCAAACCCACAGTCATGACTGATTTCCATCACTAGGGATGGGGTGTCCGTACAATTACTTTTGTTGATTCCGCGCGTGTATCATTTTCGAATCCCGTCCGCCAACCGTTGTTTGAATTCGAGGATTGTCTCAACGGCGGTAAACCCAAGGCTGCTTGCGCCGCCCAGCGCTTGACGAAAATATTCCCCGGTATTGTAAGTCCCGTATCGCTCGTCTTGAGCGATCTCTGATGACTTGTAAATTAGAATGCAACAGGCCATGATATATCGATACCCATGCCAGGCCACCCTATACCTCCGGCGTCCACTGAGCAAGCGAAGAAAGACGTCAGGCATCTAGAGATGCTGTTCGACGAACACGATGTTGTATTCCTCTTAATGGATTCTAGAGAAAGCCGCTGGCTGCCCACTGTTTTGGGCGCTGCCAAGGGCAAGGTACGGCACAAGACCCTATGCATATTGTTCGTACTGAACCCTCGCGCAGATAGTCCTTAACGCTGCTCTTGGGTTTGACACGTACCTTGTCATGCGTCATGGCGCTCGAGCGTCTTCGACGACGGGCAATCGACTGGGTTGTTATTACTGCAACGATATCGTCGCTCCTGCTGATGTATTGCCTTTCAACTCTCCATACCGACATTCACTCACATATCTTTCCATACAGTCCTTGACGGATCGCACTTTGGATCAAATGTGTACCGTGACAAGACCCGGCCTTGCCTCGATCGCAGCTTCTACGGCGGTCGAACTCCTCGTCTCTTTGCTACAACATCCCGATGGGTAGGTCTTATCGTACGTCAAGACACTGTTCCTGATGTCATTCGCAGGCTTCATGCACCCCCGCCCCCTCTTCAAGCCAATGGCGCTGCTGCAGACCCTAGCACGTCGGACAGTGTTCTGGGTCTTGTCCCGCATCAATTGCGTGGATTCTTGGCACAGTTCAGAAACCTCCCGATCATAGGTGCAGCGTACGACAAGTGCACGGGTTGCAGTGAGACAGTGAGCGCCATCACCCATTCTCCGCATCTCTATACTCACCCATGGCTCAGGTTCTCAAGGCCTACGAGGAACAAGGCTTCAATATGCTCTTGAAGGCATTTAACGAGCCCAGATTCCTTGAAAAGTTGACTGGACTGGACAAGCTCTACAGCGAAGGTGATGCAATAGCGGAGAGTGTGGACTGGGACGAGGAGGATGAGGAGGACGATTAGATTCTAATGTTCCATGTAACAAACTAGTTTTCTGTAATTCTACGACTACTCAACTATTCCTGTACTTTTCTTGTATTATTTTTGCAATATTGCAATGTGGCACTACAACTTGCTCTGTAAAGGCGTTCCATTGCTATGGGGTTGGCCCAGATACCACAACGTCGCATCCTTCAACTCACTCAACCACTCCGCGACAATCTTTTCGCTAAAGACCTGCTGATCGTAGGAGACAAAATATTGCAGTTGCTGGCGCGCAGTTGAAGCACCAAGATACAGCTTGGCAGGCGTTGAGTGTTGATGGACACGCCAGTACTCAACATAGAGTCGCGGTGTTTTGGCGTCCTCGAAAGCAGCAGCCTGCGGTGACCACGGCGCATAACCGGCCCGATGGGCGTGAGGCGTGCTGTGCAGCGGTGACAGGTAGTGCTCGGGAGGCAGAGGATATTCTGTGGGCAACATATGATCCATCTGGAATCGCAACGTTTAGTTCATTTGAATATATACCAATAGAGTCACTGACATTGCCAAGAGTAGCTCCCACTTGTGTGTGTATCGGGTTCAAAGACTGAACGGATATACTTTTATCGCCGTCCTCTGGCTGAACACTGTCTCTCGTCTTCAACCACTTCGAAGCGATTTCCCTCCCGAAAGGAGTCCAATGGTGTCTCACAGTGGAATTACATATATCAACCAACCGTGGGTGCCCGAGCAGCTTTTGGGTTTGCGCCTTCACATTAGCACATCGGAGAAGAAACCGGTTGAAAGACATGAGATCCGGGAAGTTTGGTGCCCCATCAACAAGTTCCAACCTGCTAGGGTCTCCGCTAGACATGTCACCAAGAGGCATGAAGGGAAGCACATACCGGACGGTGCCGACGCCGACGCCAACATCGCCCGAGCCACCCGTCTCAAACCAGTCCTTATCTTGATACGGGCGTAAGTTCACCGGCCCGAGGACATACATGGGCTGGCGCTTCCTGTACTCCCATTCTTCTTCCGAGATCTGGCCCCTGAGATACCGTCGACATAAAACACGTGCCAAGGCAACTTGGCTGAGGGCATAATACGCAGAGTTTATGGTAATACCATGGCGACGGCAATTGGTGAGAACGGTTGACGACACTGCTCTCGAAAACACTGAGACATGGTTGCGTTTTTTAGCGGAAGTATGAGGTGTGGATTCCCTGAAGTCTCCGGGAAGAGTGTGACCGCCCTGCTTCAATGCTTTAGCTCTCCTGTGAGGTACTACAAACTGAACACTAAAGACCTTGAATAGGGACATCCGTGCTAAGTCAATTGCATAACCCAAAGCCCGCCTCCACCGTTGTTTGACAAGTGGAAGATCCCTAGAACCCAAATTGTTTTCTAAAGCCCTATACTTGTACACTCTCTCGCCTAGAGGAATGTACGGTGGTTCAATCCGAGATGACAGCGTGTCAAAGAACGTCCTAAGCACTGTGCTCGTGCCAGCTGCATCTGTAATGCAGTGGGCAAGCATAACCACGACGTGGAAATGGTCACTTTTATCTGTTCGGCGCAAAATATAGGCACGAGTAAGTAACTGAGATGAAAGGCGCCGAGGTCCATCCATAATGTCGTTTACGAAACATTCAGCATGGTGAAAGGAATCGACCTCCGTGAATGTGACATCATCAGGTCGAAGATTCATGACTGTTTCTTCACGGATAATGAAGCGTGGACCAGACTCGTGTTCTTCCACTTCAGCCGCGATGAGGGGAAAGCGCTTTTTGACAGACACCCAAGAACGCAAGATATTCGATTGGGAATGAACGTCTTGATCGCTGGCTTGTGCGGTACGAAGGTGTACGTGCATCACGGTATCTGCGGTGTTGCTGGAAACTCCAGCCCAATAGAAGGCAGTTTCTGAACTTCCAAGGGGGCGAAAGAAAATGCGCCGGCCTGGAGTAGAATCTAGCGACGTCCATGACTCAGAGGTCATGATGTCGAAGTTGATAGTGAGTCTAGAGGGGAGTGCAAGAGGAACTCAGAAGTAAGTAACAACGGACTGGTACTTATACCCTCTCCTCAAGCACATATAAAAAGCCCGGCAACGACTTCATAAGAATGTCACTCACGTTGACTATTTTACAGAAACCTTCAAACGCTAGCCTGAGAAGGTAATGCATGTACATACAGAAACTGTTAAACACCTTGACCACTTGCGAAGCGAAAGTCCAGGATGACCTAGAGCGCGTACTGCTAGGTCATTGATGAGGCCTGAGGAGCGTTTGGTCTACGAGGCTGTTAATATTTACATTTAGTAATAGTAGTAGTAGTAGTAGTAGTACTGTAGCACCTTGCTCGGTAGTGAATTACTAAATAGACACAAACACAGCGCGGGAATGATCATTGGCCATGGCGACAGTGCCGACTCACGACTCACGACAAACTCTCGAGGTCATACGCGATAGTTAAGCGTGAGCAAGCCCCCATATATAGGCCCTGGGTCTATGGCAGACACAGGGTCTATAAATAAGGACAGTGATTTGATTTGATTTTTAAACTGTTGGCACTGCAGTGGTGACAGACCGTGTCAGCTAGGTCGTGCTTGCCCACACCATTGACAGGATCGTACGATGGTATGGGGACCGTAGGAACACGAGAAACTGCACCATGACGCGTGACGGATCAGCGCTTCAGCCTAAAACCCCCATCCCATGCACTCGCACCCAACTCACTACAGTGCGCAGAGTCTAGCTTTGACCTGCAGTTGTTGTTCTTCAAAGCTGTCTTGAGCCAAGGCAAAGCCTTTCAGGCCAAGCAGGGCACTCAGCACTGGCAGAAATATCACTGTTGTCAGTGTGCCTAGCTCAGTGTCAGGGTATCATAGATAACAGCACGAATGCTACACAGTGCGGACAGGAGAGCATAAAGTTACAAAGAACGAGTAGTCGTAGTAGTAGCGTGTACTGCAAGCAATAGTGTTGGAAAGATGAAGATACTTGCAACTTAGTTACTCAGTAGAGACACTCACCACATGTCGTCGAGCATGTTATTATTCAATATTTCACGGAAGCCATGATTTTCTCTTGCAATATATCAACAGACATTGTACAATACTTTGAACGGCCACGACGGACCGTCGCCTCTGAATTCGCTCCATGCTAACTGGAATGATCACTTTGACTCACAAGCACACACTTCACCCTGCTTGGAACATTCACAATTTTCCCCTGTGCCAGCGCAAGAGCACTGCACCGGGTTGCAGTTAGTATTATTACAAGACCAGTGTCAAAATTATTATGACTGTACCTTCTTTGAATGTGCGCTGTTGACGCATTTCTGGCAGTTACACTGGTTCTTTGGGCAAGCACAGCCAGTCCCCGAGGGGCCACAAGCTCTGTAAGAAAGTTTAAGTGTGAGATAGTTGCAACAAGAAAATGAATACTCACGGGCATTCGCTAGCGCATGTACATCCACTGCAGGTCGCCATTATGGTTATTGTCAAAGGTAGTCGGAAAGTGGTGTCCAATATATAAGCGACCCTATGTCGATAGGGGCAACATTGACATATAGGGGTCAACAAGTCACACGCTTAGTAATACGAGCCAAAGCAAGCGCTCATGAGGGACGAAGTTCAAAGCCGAAGTTGGTCAGCTTATCTTGCGAGATGTTGTAACATTCTAACGGCAGGCTTGATATAATGTGCCCATCTCAGAAACGACATATCAAATGTCGGCGAGGCAGGAGGTAGATATACAATACATTGTCTACTTACAGAATTGCTTTACAAAGAACCAGCACACTCATCCTCACGCATCATATACTATCCGCCCACCGACCCACGGGTATGGATAATTGTGCTGATAAAAGTTTCTGGCTGTCCGCCGCCCAGCAAGGCGCGGAATCGTAGCGTACGATGCTCCAAGCTGCATAACCCATTATGTCAACCGACAGCAAGATGATGGATGGCCAAGACTTACAACAACATGGTGTTTCCCATCAAAGAAATCTATTGAGTACCCTGGGAAGTGTTCCGTTGGTGATAATCCATCGTGGGTATTGAACGGCGTCGAAGTCCATTCCCAGACACCACCATTGCTTCCACGACCGCCGTTTGCCTCAAGACCAGTAGTCGCTCTTGTAACCAAATGTGTGAAATAAGATAATAATTGAGAATGCATAGTGACTTACGGAACGGGGTGCCAGTTTCTGATGCCTACATTCGCGCCACCCTCGAATCCAACCTCATATGTGTCGAGGAAAAGCCTTAACTCCGGTTCGGTGGGTAGTCGTCCGCCTTTACTCTTCGCATATTCACAGAGCATATCGTAGCTCGTAAGCACCGGCCAGTGCTTCGCGACACCTAGTGGCACAGGACCGTAGAGAGTCCGCACCTGGCAATTTTAATCAGTCCCAGCCACCCATAGCTGATTGAATAACGAACTTGAATTTCTTCCTCTCCTTCCACCCAACTGGGTGGCAGACCGATTTCCTTCCTGTTCAGCCACCAAGCATAGAACTCTTCATTGCTGATTGGCCTCCACTCGGCATGGAATTTCCCCACCTGCACCTGTCGGGAAGGGCTTTCATTGTCCCAGCCAAACTCGTGTCCCTCAACCTGGTCGCACACGCCTTCATCGAAATCATTACCCTCGCAATCGTCGTGCCCGAACGTGATGGTAGCAGGACCAAGAGTGACAGTCGATGAAGAAGGGGCTGTGTGTGAGACATCCCATTGTGCAGACAGAGCTTCCCATGGCGGGGTGACGAATCCTGGCGGGGGGAGCGTCCCTGTTCCAGCACGCTGGATGAGCATGTAGAGGAGTGTCTATGCCATACCAAACACCTTTAGGACTCGATCAATACAAATAGAGAAATATTATACTGACCTCGATGTGCCACCCCTCATGTTCAAGGGTCATCGCAAGCATGCGGCCGATATTCCTGTTGATTTTGCGCTTTCCAGATGCTAAATCATCATATAACGCCAGAAGGCGCCCACGCACACGGTCGCGGAAGGCAAGGATCGTTCCAAGGGCAGGCCAATCCTCGTCCTTTGTAGGAACTTCAGAGTGTCTCTTTAATACAAAATTGACATCAGGGAAAAACAAACGAGGAAAGTAAATACATACATGACAGTGTTCCGGATCATCGACATGAGGGTCAATGCCCCGCTAATGTAAAAGGAGTCAGGAACGATGCTTTGAACTAAAAAAAAATGGTTGGAACCTCAAAGATCTGCGCGAAATAAGGCTCAGAGTTCGACTGGTTGAGAGCACGGGCCATAAGCATGTCGAGGAATCTGTTTCGACACTCAGACGCAACCGAGAAAGCACCTCGATGTAAAACTCACGTAGGTATGTGCCCAATGTAAAACAAGCATTTGTGTCGCAAGTCGATAGGTTTCTGGTGTAACATGACGCTTGGGATCATGCCAAGCGTAACAAGATCCCAGGCAGCCCATACGTCCTTCCATTCCTGCAACGCTATCCATCAACCACCAAACAAGAGCCACGAAAAAGATCGACATACTTGTTTCGTGGGGACACCCCATGGGCTCGTAAGATCAAGAGGCGGGAAGGATATAGACGGGCGCTCGAGGACGTATAAGGTGCTTTCTCCACATGGAGAAGATTGTCCAAAGATCGAACGGAGGCCAACGGAAGCGAAGATATTCAAGGCTTGTGTTGCGCTTGTCTACGATGAAGAGAATGAGCGGCACAGAATGGAATGGAGAAAAATATAAGCGACGTGGAAGACAAAAATGTCATCTACTTCCACTATCAAGGTACAAGAGAAAGCAAACAGAAATTTTGAGAAAATTATAACTTACAAGTTTGCCAGTTTTCGTGCAAACTTTCAACCATTCATCAAATTCAACGCCCTCGCACGTTTCAGTGAAATAACAGCTTTCTACGATGAGTCAGTATTATTGTCTCACGAGGTTAGATTTGTGCGTTACCGTCAACATTGTGCTTCTCCCAGTATTTTCCCTCAAGATCAACACAAGGTAATGATTTGATAGCTTCTTGAATCCATCCACTGGTAAATGCATCAGAATGGTTAACATGAATCACAATCCTGTCCTCGGATCCCTTATCCAACTTCTTGGAAAAATCTCTCAAGAATTGTATGTCGAGCAGCGTAGGGGAGAGGAGGAAATTTTTGGTGAGCTGGAAGTCAGATACGGAGGATGGTGTATTCGACCTGGAGGTCAATGGGGAGTTGGATAGAGAGGAATCAGAGGGGTAGAACATAGTGATGCTGTACAACAGTTTGCAGTCAAAATATTCAGTGTGAAGGATGATGGTATTGAAGAGCTCAGAACTCAATGCAGATCCACAAGAGGTGAAACATGGATTTTATAGGAATGCGCATAATATACGTACAAACAGAGTAATGAGCTAGTATCCGAATTATGGAGGGGTCGTCACCCAATGGACACCATATCACTTGCAGTATGACGATAAATGAGATCATCCATCGAGTTCGGAGGTAATGCCGATGACAGACACGAGGACAACATCCATCGGATGCAGTATAGGAAGGGTGGTTTGTGTGCTCCGGCGCATGAAGAAAGGTTAAGAATTTGATGTGAGAAGCGAATGATAACCTGAAACGAGTGCAAAAATCGAGCCAAGTGCGACTTGAAAGCGCAAGAGAAGCCTTAACGCCGGATGGGAAGGTCACAAGGACGATGACACGATACCAGTGGTCGGATAATATCGGCATCGATGATTTACGGAATCTAAAAAAGGCGAACGAAAACTCGTGATAAGCTACTTACCTGTTGATTACATTGGGGTGAGTAATGCGCTTGAGAATGTTAATTGTGCGATCTGTAAAAAAGATCATCGTGCGACCGTTGCGGAAAATTGTTGACGTGTTACAATGGGAATTTGGATGAAATGTCAGCGCTCAGCTCTTCTATGGGCTGGTGAGTCACTACATGTGACGGTATAGATGGGTGTCAGTGTGGACTGACGGTAATTCCCAACTCGGTAGGCGAAGACGTTCATGATGTCAAATACTGATGAGGGTGTAGCCGATGGTAAGTGCACAGTGGACCATGTTCATGATGGATGCGGTCAAAGTGACGGCCACGTTTCAATCAATGTCCATCTTACTTATACTTTGCAACAGTCATGGCGTGCTGAACACTTGCGATGGTGTGCTCAGCTCCCATCACGTGAGCACCTCTACCCAGCAGATCCGTGTTGTCTGCCTTCCTGAATTACGACACTCTTCGATACTTGTGCGGGCCGCTTGTGTTGTGGACAGAAGCAGTTCTGCCGGCAGAACTTGGCGGAATCAAAGAAAATTTTCATGGCACTTCAAGCTTTGTGCTACAATATTAATATTGATGTGAGACCACCCAAGTTCTTAGTATGCTTCTGCATTATCTCGTCTACCAAGTACTGCTAGTGCCGGCACTAGTCCCTTATCAACACGCGGTGGTTTCGTGACTCTCCCTTCTATGTAATACTTCCGTCTCATTCACATCCCAGCCCAAGGCAAATTCTCCCGGGTGCATCGTTGCTTCCCCATTACAACAGCAAACTCGGCATTGATGTTGTCAAGCGATTGTAGAACTTCAATATCGTAGCTGATATCACTGGAGACTGTTGCAACTTGCAAATGGTGGAATGAATGTGAAATCAGTCTCGAGCAGCTTGCCAACCTTGGTATTAAAGCCGTTTCATCTTCGAGAGAATTAATTCATATGCTTCAATAAAGCCAATAGGTCCTATAATATCTATGTGGATGATCTACAACTTGGCGGACAGCATAACTATCACAACAAATCAACTTTAAAAGAACGGTCAGCATGATATTTGAACCTACGCAAGTCGAAATCAACAAATTGTTCTTGGTGTGGAACCACGAAGTCTCATTGCAACCTGAACAAAGACCTCTTTCATGGCGATCATCGCGACCAGTCTAGTCATGCCTTTGATCGACGATAACTTGTGGCGTCGACCGACTCTTTGTTGGAGTGCTAGACGACCATAGCTCTATTCACGTGTCCAAGACATAATGATGCAACCCATCTCCTTGCATATATAACAGACATCAAAGATGTCACATATCCTCATCAGTATTATCTTACTCCAGCATGTCCTCCGCACTTACCTATCCTCTTCCTGTTCTCCCTTCTATCCCAGACGATCTCGAAAATCTTGACTCACGCTATGCTTTACCTCATCTGATGGCACTAATGAAGAACACACTCATTCGTGGTCTGAATCGCGTTTATGCATGTGCGCCTCTTGTCATTGTCGGTCACCCCGCTCTTCTGCCTTTCCTCGACTATGTGCGCTCGCTCCTCGCGCAATTGAATGTGCACCTCGAGGAGGATGCTACTTTTTTCTCTGCGAATGCTTTGGCGGAGGTTGCCGCAACTGAAGCTAACCCTGATACTAAGACTATCAAGGAATCCATAATTTCAATAACGAGTTTGGTGGCGGCATGGATTATGGTAGGTACTTCTATTTTCCCACCATTTCGCCCGCAATTCATCACTCATGAACAGGATGAGTCCAATTTTTCTTCAAGTGCTCTACGCGAGGGACTCTCGTTTGGACCTGCGCTGGTTACCGTCATGCAGGCACAGATCAGGGCGCTTACCCCCGCGCTGCTCAGCTCGATTATATCCCACTTGGACCTTCTCGAATTGATTGCAGGTGCGGATCTTCTTTCTCCGGCCTCTTAAATACTGAAGTATGACAGCCAGCGTCGGTCGCATCAGTGAACACTCTGACATGACCTTTTTGCTTCCTTTTGTTGTCTCGCATCATGATCGCACCACTTCTGTCCATTGGCCCAAGATTCCTCAAGGCTGTATTGAGATGTTCCCAGCTCTTATTCTCAACCACCCAGGGTACGTTATCCTTCTTTACCTTAGTTGACTTTAGCATGACTTTTGCTTATAAAAGATGCTGGCAATTCGCGCCGTATAATCCTTTCAACCATGAGGCTCAGAGCTTAATGGCCATTTTTGCTCGACTTTCTTCAGGGTAGCCTTTATTTATTTGTATTTCTCCATTCAACTGCCGCTCTTCCCGTACTATCTAATACCATTCATTGTTGCGATGTGCGTCTGGAGATCGCTTGCAGCCCCAGAAGCTCGGAACTACTTGCAATAAGTCACCATTCCTTCGGGCCACATGAAAGACTTGGAAGCCTGTCATGCACCACATTCTTGTTGCAATTGTTTACCCACCTTGCTGGCAGTATTGTGGCAAGACTTTACCGGCTTGATATCATTTGGACGCAAATTCAAATCGTCATGCCCCGTGGAGGAATAACTATTTCAACTACCTTATATGCTGTCATCTATGATGCCATTTTAATAGACTGCGCGATACACATCGAGTGCGCGATACCCAACATCGAGTGCGCGACACGAAAAGAGCCTCAGCCTGAGCTTTCAAGTTGGACTCCAATGGCCAGTATCTTATTACAGATGGAGGCCCGAGGAGGAATAACTAGCATTTCAACTACTTGATATGCTGTCATCGGTATCTGTGCGAAGCGCAAGGATGGACATGGTCGTCGCTGGTCATTGGAACGAAATCAAGTCATAAAATGGACGCCTGAAGGAGCTCAACTTCTGTTCACCATTCTGATTAGGATACCCTGGCGTTGATATTTCAAACCAACACAGATACGAGATACCAACTGTCTGGAGTTTGAGCACACTTTTAGAAGAGCAAGCCATACATCAGTGTTGGATGACACACACGAGGAGGCTCGGAGCTACTAACGCTGTCTCGAGAAAGGATCCAGCGCATGATCATGCATCACACTACAGGGCCCGCAATATTTAAGACACTGCGGGCAAAGTCGAAAAGGTAAAGCCGTTCAGATGAAGATCAAACGGGGTGGGAATGTAATACAACATATGGATAGGTGGCGCAGTAGATGCGGTGCAGAAATTTTAAAGGAGAGAGGAATCCTCGACGACGACGAAGTGTAAAATATCAAGGTTAACACTATCCCACTAGTTTTAGACCATTTATTTTAGATTCTAAATCATATAGGAAGGCTTGCCATTCTTCGTCTGAACTCAAAGACGTGACGCCACGGGTCGGGATCCCAATTGAAGCGCAAAATGTTAAATCACTGCAAGATCATTGAAACCCAATCCGGACGGCCGTGATTTTATGTGGCAAACACATTGTAGCTCCTCTATACACGCAATCTCAATTTTAAACCATGTCCGCATGTATGGCCAACTCATGGCCAGCTCGGTTTTTAACACTTTGTTCGTCAGGCAACGGGGTTAGGGATATACATGGGATGTAAAACTTTCGTTCCAAGGTCGCCACTGCAGCCGCAGAATACTGATGTCACATTTCCTCAGACTTTGTGTTTTATAGTTCGGGCTTCTCTTTTTCTCGTTTGCCCGCTCATGTGATTCAAATGAATATTCGCTGCTCTGGCGCTGCAGCGCAGCTCAGCGTCAGCGTCAGCGCTCATATCAACTCGCCATCAGCACTATCAGCTCGCCACAATTATTAGCGCCGTTCACAGTAAAATCGCCTCTGATACAGGAAACTTACAAAGCGCCTCGATGACATCATCCAGGAGTCTTCTGCACTCAAGTCATATCTCGTTCAGCAACTCAAAACTCTCAGCAACGCAGTTCCCGAGCTAGTCAACTTTGGTATCTCTGTTTGTGTTTTTGCTCCCCTTTCTGAAGAAGACTACTTATTTGTATAACTGTAGCTCGCCCAACAAGTAATTCCACACCTTAGCGACGCCCGTAGTGCCAAGGCTCCGTTTCAGCTTGCAACAGTGTTGTCGTACGCCAGGCAGACTGCAATGTCCACTGTCGCCAAGGACATGAAACTTGGGACCTCTTGCTTCGAGGCGGTTGGTGAAGCTATTGCCCAGTTATCAGCGGAGTGCAACAAGTTACTCCCTTTATCAATGGAACCTGAGAACGCGTTCAAGAGTAGGCTTCATTTAACTTTGATATTCGTCAAATATCATGCTAACGATGGCCAAGTCTCTGGCACACCACCGTGGGTCCTACGAATTGAGGAGATCAGAGCCAGCATGGCTATCAATGCCGAAGCCGAGCAGAAAGCTGCACAGCTGCAGGAGGAAATACAAGGATTTGTACGGAGTCTCAAGACGAAAGACCAAGTGATACAGGAGTCAGGGGTGAAGATCGAGCGCATGGAGCCGTTGGAGATCTTGAGATTGAGCTTTCGAAAGCGCGCAAGCAGGAACGTGCATACGAAGAGCCAATGGAGCAACTGCAGGCAGACCTGGATACGTTCAAGCAAGATAATGCGAAACTGAAGGCGTTGGTTGCGGTTCGGAGCGACTAGGTATGGTTCTTTATATTGGGGTCAATTGCACGGTCTGATAACTTGCCATGTCCAGCTGATGGCACAAAACCTGTTGATTCAGAGAATGTCCCCATGGAGGGTAATGTGGAGACACCACGCCTTCTGGAGCAGGTCCGTGCAGGTCTAGACCCATCTTATCATTGTTGTTCTGACTCTCACATAGATCGAGGCTCTTCGTGGCACCGTCCGCTTCTTGCGCACAGAAAACTCGTATCTCAAGGGACAGGACCTACTCAAGGAAATACAAGCACTACCACATCTCCCAGAACATATCAGCCGTGTACGTACACCTCCACTGGGCCCCTCAGGACAATCTGACGCAGACAAATCCGATACGGAACTTCCACCCGCTCCTCCTACTATTCGCTCGCTCGCCGCAGAAACTAAGGTTTTCTACTGAGACGTCATCAAATTCTCTTCATCGCCTCCTGTTGTTGATCTATCCGCTCTTCATGCAAAGAGAGCAGAAAGTGACTGTAAAGGTGGGAAGATGTGGGCGCGGAGGAAGGATAGTCCTGCTCAGCAAGTCCTTGATCGGAAAATAGAGGCCGAGAGACTTAGCAGACGCATCAGAGGCCTATTGGATCGTGCAAATGCGCTATGAGGGGTTTCATTAATACCTTGCTTCATTTTTTTTATGTCACTCTACTAATATTAGGTTATATACCCCTACAAGAGTACCGATCACCTTCGGACGTCGCGCGTCTGTATACTACGTTCGCCGTAGTCTTCTCCTCAGCCTCTGTAGGAAATAGCGCCCGAACGTCTCTTCGACATCGCACTCTCAATAGCGCGGTGTAAAGCTGACTGCGCGCAAACGAATCTGTATGAAGGTCCAGTACCGTATTCTCGAGCGTGAGTCCTTGACATCCGTTGAACACCCATACTCTAAACATCTTCATTGACAGATGCTGCTCACTGGGGACATCGCACAATCAGGATCACGGAAGGGCAAGGAAAAAGCGAGTAATGCTGATGAAGTGGAAGGAGATGGCAGGGGACCACGAAATGATCGTCGGGCATCAGGAAATCAAGGCAAGCATTTGCGTAAATCTCAGGCAAATATCATTTGAATCTTTTTTAGTAGCGAAGGTGCTTTCTCAGCACAAAGCCCAGTCTCTGATTGTATTAACCAAATACATAGTTTGCACTCGCTCGTTCTATCTCTAGCAATGATCATTTCCCCCGACTAGGGATACAGGTTGAGCCACTCCTCTACGTGCCACGGTTAGAGTACTGAGAATTCCAACAAACGACTGCAAATCATTCAGATTCATTCTGGATCCCATGAAGCTAACTCCTTCTGCTTCGTTTTTGTGTACAATCCCAGAGTATCCCTTCGTGCCAAGAGGTAGTTGTGGATCGCGTCGGTTAGCTCTGCAAAGTCTCAACGACGTCAAGGAAGTTCTATTCAAAGACTGTCAATACATACCCTATCGAGCGAGAGCACAACTCGACACCGCTCTTTCAAACCCTCGATGTTGATGGAGCAACTTGCAAAATGACTTATGATATCAGCGCTTGATACAACAAGTTCCTCCGGCTCAAGGTCATCAATGCATAGTCGAGCATCTAATGCATGGAAGATGCGATATGGATCCAGAGGAATCTGGGCGGCGTCCAGCTCTCTATAGAGCTTGACAACAAAGAAGGTTTCTGAGAATGTTGATCGTCCAAGTCCAGGATGACTGTGTACCAAGATCTTCTGTATTTGAGCGGCGCGAGCAAGTGAGCCTGACCCTAACACTGTTGCATGTAAAAGAATTTGGCTATTTCCAACATGGCGCCATGCAGGGGTGAAGTTGTCTCCATGAAGCTTGATCGCTCGTCGAGTTTCAGCTCTTGGTTCTACGTGAACACAGTGGGCGCCCTCCAGAGGCTGGTCATATGGCTGATAGAAAATTCCGTCACTTGTCCGGTTAAGGCAAGATACGAGGCTTGCGTATGGACTGGCAGGAAGTGTAACAACCTTGCCTTTCCTCGCCACTGGAAAGTATTCATCTGTGCTCCCAGCCATCGCCTGTAGGTCATGGCGCAAAGTTCCTCTGAAGTCTGTACCGAAATACTCCTGGGCTATTGATCGATAGTCTTGGATAGCCTCAGGTAGTTCGTTGTGTAAGAGCAATGCTCTGAGGTTGCTCCCTCTGCAAAATGACTTCATAAATGAGAGTTCGACCTGTCCGCCTGCATAACGTAGTCAGTGGTGCTGATGAGGCGGCGCCATAGTATGCAGGTAAGGATGATGCACTTGTACCTACCGAGCTGGCGATTTGTTCTCATTTTCGTTTTCTGGATCATCCCATTAAATCGTTCAAATGGAAATGCCCACCAAGCGTGTACTGGTCCAAATGAGCGCAGACACTCCGCCAAGTGCTGTGTAGCATGATTGTTGTTGGTCTTCACCGCTGCTGGCCCGAAAAGCTGGATGGCGGTCGTCAGATAGTAAGCATAATTTTTCTCGACAAGCTGAATGTGGGTTTCTGAAGTCGAGCGAGTAGTTGCCCAACGAACAGTGATAACGAGCGCGATAAAGTTGTGCAACATAGCTTTCTCCTTTTCATCAGCTTCGGGGGTACCCCACAGTCGGCACAGCGTAATCACAAGGTTAACTAAACAGACTGTTCGCCATTGATCAGCTTTGATCTTGCCGTGGGACGCATGACCAAAGTTTGCCGGTGCACGATTCAACCAGGAAGGGATTGTGGTCTTGGCCATATCCGACCATACCTCCTGTAATATGCCTTTGTGGAGTATGACAAGTTTCGCTTTCTTCCCCCAAGCGGTAGAAAGATCAATGGTAGGGCTAGGAAACACCTTCGGGCAGCGTATTTCAGCTCCTGGATGTATCTTATACTAATGTATGCGTCAGACACCTGACAGAAAGTGATGTGGATTGCTCACCCATTCGACAAGAGCATCAACGTAGAGTGACTTCGAGATATTTGCCTTGTCTCCGCTTCGAGAGTCGTTTGTGACTGCGACCGCTGGCGCAACATTATTGGCTGTTGCCAAAGAAACGATATACCCCCGACGCAAACGCATGAGACTACTTTTGGAGCCTTTCTTGACTGCACTAATAGCTGTATCCAGCTGCTCTTGCTGTTCCACCGTAGTATGAGGCTTGATATGCTCTTTGCCAGGGGGCTGAGCATCTGCATCAATACCTAGGATATTCCGTATATGGTGGGCTAAATCGCCGAGGAAAAGATTATGCATCGCATCTAGGACAGTGAAACGCGTTGGGTCCCAGTATGGCAAACACAGTAATTCTGACCACCTAATCGCAAACTTGGCATATAATTCATTGCGAATAGCCGATGATGCTGCGTCTCTCCACTGCATGGCAATTACCCGATGATCTTCATAGGTGCGGCGCGGCCATGTTGAGACATCAATGTTGACGATGTCGTTGAATGATTGAAGGCAGAAGGAGCAGAAGGTACCAATATTAAAGCCATGGCCTGCAAAACCTGCAGCTTTTCTTGCAGCTGGCAAGTCGCATACGAGGGGGATGAGTGCTACCTGGATGATTGCGCCGAACCCACAATTGAGGAAGCTTTTCATCAGCGTAATACCTGGGTGCCAGCAGCATAGCAATTTGTCAATGAGAGGCCGTAACAGATGATTAAGGTGATGCTGGCGGGGCTCTCTGGGTCCAGGTATGATTCCAGCCAAGTACACATTTTCGAATTTATATCTCAGGTGAATCGGTAGATTGTGGCAAATGAGGTAGATAGCGCCCACTGAAGTATGTTGTCCACCCTGTTTCGACCCGAAGGGATTAAACCAGTCTATAAACATACTAAATACCAGGTGCAATTCGCTTTGTTGATCAGCTTGATTGATGAATGGTTTCTCATTAGGGCCCTTTAAGTTCTGGAGGACAGCGCCGTCCCAAATATCGTACATTCGAGAAGCGGGTGGATTGAGAGACCAGCGTACATCACGACAAATATCTGGGCGGCTAAAGAGCCTACCCAACCATGATTTGAAAGGCTGATACATGTACCGTGATTTGGGCTTGGGTTCCTCCCCAGGTTTTGGCTCATGGAAAAGAGGCTCTCGACATGGCTCATCGGAAGGAGTTTCTTGGAACGGACACGTGTCCGGTATACCATTTTGTTCCATTTTGCCCTTGAAAAATGGGCCATAGATACTGTGATCCCTTGGGCAGCAAACATACTCCTGTATATCAGGATCAATGTTGAGCATCTCTATTCCAGTGCGAATATCGGATGGCCACTGTCTGGCAGCCGCATCTATCCTTCTAAGTAAGAGGTCATTGTCTTTTACTTTGTCTTTGATGTCGGCACAAAATCTCCGAACGCTGCTCGTTACGATGCGCCCCATAACGATGAGAAGAAAGGATGCATTACGGCGGGAGAGGGAACCAAGGATATGAAGGAGGACGGCTATGAAAACACAGGAAAGGAGACAAATTGAGAAGGTTCCGGGCGTTGCAGGTATGCCAAAGTGACGGGCTGGTAGGCCATCCTTAGCAATAGCGTTGATTAGAAGTCTTGAACTTACTGTTATCCAAAACATTCGGTAGTTGATGTTGGACCTCTGGGGGTAAACCTACACTGGCTGCTTTCTGACGTTGCCAGTTCTCCAAAATGAAATTGTCTAAATATGCTTGATGTGCCTGAATGTCGTGCACCAGAGATTTCCGAAGTGCTCGCACAGAATCATCTCCGTCGCACGAAACTGAATCGACCATCTCCAGAACCTTATCGATGGCCAGTTGATGCTTCAAAAAATCACTGGAACCTTTCGGATTCAGGGGTCCTGGATCAGGGCTAGAAATCGTTGTTGGCTTTTCCATGAACATCAGACCAGCTGGCAGGCACGAAAAACGGCTGATGTGAGAATGTAACAACTCGCGTAACGAGCCTAGCATATTCATTGACGTAGCTGCTCCACACTATCAATCAACAGTGTGAACAACATTTCAATGCAAGGTACACACATTGAGAAGTCGAGGTTTCTGTATCTGCAATGCTCTGCTTTGGCAGAGTCGCATCACGGTGCCATTGACGGTCATCTCCATCTGCAAATATTTAAACAAAAACTTCATGTGCATAAGATTAGTAGCTGTACCATGACCGGTTTGCGCTGCAAGCATAGCATCATCCACAGCCATCCTTTCATTCATAGTTGCTGCAATAAAGATAGCATCAAGGTTGTTCTGTCTCTTCTGTGCTTGATATATTACTTCTTGCTGCTCGTGCTTCTGAACGGTTGAATAAGGAAGAAGCCTTCCAGGCAGGTCAACTCGAGTAGGACCTTTGTGCCGCTCATTAATGCAGCCAAAAACTTCGCAGGTACAACACTTCTGTCTTGCTCTGTTCATGGGCGTCAAATAGTAGTATGTGCAGTGATAAGAATTAGAGTAGGCTCATGGATATTTAAATCGTGATTGTTTGCTCCTGAATCGTGTGCACGATTGTTTGCTCCAGAAGCCTGATTGTGATTGTTTTTAACACTCCGCTTCCCAGAAGTCAGCTTATTCAATCAAAGACTTTAATATTTAATGAGACAGCGGGCGCTAGCACTATGGTAGATTCGGGATGATTTCAACGATATATATATATATTATGTATAGTAGCTACCCTGAATTATCGCTACCTTCTCTTCCTAAAAAATATTCTCCACTGCGAAGCTGGATCTGTAGATAACTGCTCTGTACACTCTACCTCAGGGCCCAACGCTCCAGTAATCTTGCTGAATAAATCACGGAGTAAAGGGACTTCAATAGGAGGCTCATCAACAAATGCTCGGCACATGGGACAGTGATATAATCGACCAGGAATGATGGCGTATATCCCATCACACAATATATCTACCTCAGCACTTGTGAAAGGTTTGACATGGTCTTTGAAGCTCTGAGGAAGCGACTCATAGCAGGAAGACAACCGGATCCTGATACTTTCATGAAACCAATTGGCTATGCACCGAAAACAATAGCTATGGTTGCATTCCAGTCTGTTGCGTGAATACACTTTGAGCAACATTCAAGAATTAGAATTGAATTTGGCTTACGTGAAAGGCCGCTCCATGACTGCTTTGCAAATGGGACAATGCAGTAAGACACCAATAGGATGTAAGAACTGTGCAAGAATGAAACTAGGTCTTTGAATAAATCAGTGAAAGGCTGAATGCGCACTTCGTTATGTGCAGCAACAACGTGGTCTCGCTCCAAAGAAGCCTTTTTGGTCTCTCGCTTGGTTGTGGCGAGCTCCTGATGAACCAGTTATAAGCAAAGGGATAGTCACCTAATGATGATTACCTTTCTTAGTTGCTTTACATCGGCACTGAGAAGGGTCCCGATTTGAAAAACCGTCTGAAATGAGACAATATTGGTGACACAGTCTACGGCACAACTGCCAGAAAACGTACCTCATGAGTAGTCTTTAGGTCAAGGTGGAACGTATCGTGGTCACTGGTTATAGTGATCAAAGTAGGAGGCGATGGCATGGAGCTGGCCGCGGGTGAGGAAGAGCCCGACTTCAACATCGAATGTCGGTTGTAAGGTGTAGAAAGGTTGTTTTGGCGGACCACTACACTGCGAGAAGGAGCCATCAGGAGTGGAGTGCGCTGAGGTGTCAAGATCTTGTGAGATAGGTAGGTACATTCTTAAATACTAGGAATGACGCACCAAAAATTTCACAAAGGGCTGAAAAATCCCGGATAACAAAGACTGCCCAAATCACCCAAATTGAATCTGCCTTTCAAATTTGCCATGAGGCAGAATCACCCGCATGCTTCTCCCTTTCAGCTTAAGTCACTAATGTGAAATGGAGTCAAACGATGCCTGATGGAGGAAATATTATATTCTTTGAGCCACTTACGCGGCCCATGTTTCATATGCTTGATGGAGGTCCATGTCCATTGTGTCCGACTTCTGCTAGTCAGGTTCGCAGTGAAGAGTCGTTAGCAATGTGGAAGTATGTTGTCTTGGGGTATCAAAGGTAGTATGTAGCATGATCCCTCCTGCAAGAGCGACCCACAAAGTGGCAAACAGAAGAACCGGTAATTTGTCAGAATGAAATTGAATTGAATACCAACATTGTTAAAAAAATGTACGTATCACTTCGGAAGTATCTGATACCCAACAACATAAAAGATGCATAAATACTACATATAAAAAAACCAAGGTGGAGGTGTGGGGGCAGTCGTCGGGAGTTTGGGATGTTCGTTCGGTTCTCTCCTCTGTCCGGGTTGCATCCACGAGGTGTAGTAACTGGCAAAGGCGTCGCTCGCATTGATTATTCACTGGAGTGAGAATATGAACGGCCCATATCTCGAGGTTCACCGCCTTCCCAGACGGTGTGCAGGGAGTGGATAGAAGCAGAGCTATCCATGCTTCCAGTGCGTGCACGGATCACTGTATTGCGTCTATTATATATCTCGTCGTTGTATAGCTTGAACAACTCATCCATACCAAGATGATTGGTCTTATCACGAGGCTCGAGCGATGCTTCAGGTCTTGCCCATGATGAGGATGCAAGTTGAATGCAGTTAGCTAGATCAGACGAAGAACTAAAGCCTACTGCAACCTCAAATCTCACCTCAAACGCCAGACAGAGAGAGAGAACAAAAATTGCGAACAGGAGTCTCATCTTCCCGACCGACGGCGCGCCGCACAGCAATCTAGTTCATCCCAACAACTACTAATCAGAATCGAGAGCGCGCAACCACAAACTTGATATCGGTGGTGACACTGGTGAGCGAGCGACCGTCGTAAGAGGCCGTGAAAACTTCAGAGAAAAGCAAACCTACGCCCGGCGAGCAAGCGATCGAAGCAGAGACATGACAACAACACAATTTGAGGTTAAAAACGGAGTCTAGCAACGGCCTAGGTTTTAGATAATCGATCAACGCAGTCAAATACTACTACGTACCTTTGGTATTAACCAATTTCCCGGGAATCATAAAGTTGGCAATATCACCTGCCTGCGATACTTCCATAGCCTACAAGATAAACAGGATATTGTGAGATTATCCAAAGAACATGTGAAAACACTCACACCGAGAATGGAAACATCGATGTGACCACCGCGAATCATAGCGAATGATTCACTCAAGTCTAGCAGTAGAGTCAGCAAGTGAAGCTGAATCATACAACTACCATTTGAAAACATACCAAAGATTGAGGCACCGGGAAGTAAGGTCACAGTCTCCTTACCCGCGTTGGTGAGATCCCTACAAAGAGTATGAGAAACACTTACTGGCAGCACTACTTACAGATCCACCTCCTCTTTTGTACTAGGGTATGGCCCCATGCCGAGGATGCCGTTTTCGCTTTGCAGCTGAACACTCGCACCGGGCTCAAGGTATCCAGGAACGAGAGTGGGCATACCAATACTGAGATTTATGTAGTATCCATCTTTGAGCTCTTTGGCAGCCTGCTTTGCAATACGATGACACATTTTCTGGGCGTGTTCTTTCTCGGGTGTCAAAGTGGAAAATCCTCCTTCGTTGTAGCATGTTGGGATAGAACCGTCTTCTACTGCTGTTGATGCTTCCGTAGGGGTGAAGAAGGCTGGGATACCAGCGGCATGGGCGCGGAGACGTTCAACAATGTACCTTGGGGGCATAGCTCCAAAGACACCTCGCCCTTGAGATATAGAGCCTCAAAGACCTTGTTTCTGGACAGATAGATTATTTATCTTGCGCCGGCCCTAACAAGATGAGTCACTCACCCTCCAGGGTATGAAGCGACAACCTTATCAATTTGCTTGCTGTTAAACAACTTCCTATGAATATTCATGAGGTTCACGGATCATGGACAGTTGCGGAAAACAAACCAAGTCCAGAGTCGCCTGCGCCAGCATTATTGGGAACTTCTGTTAGCTTTGCAACATCCCTGCACTTGGCTAAGGCGGCAAGAAGCGCGCCTTGTTGTATCTTAGCTTAGTTACACAGTTCAAGATCCACCCTCTAGTGAGACTCACCTGGCACACCAGCCAAACCAAAACCTAGGTATTGCGTTCCAGAATATTACACATCTGGTATAAGAAATGAAATGCAACGATACTCACCACCACACAGAACGACATCTCCTGACTTTACATCCTTAACTGCTTCGTCAACAGACTCCCACACCTTCGACTTATTGGGTAGTGGAAGTTCCGAAGGAGTACTGTACCATCTTGCTCTAAGGAAGATGGTTGCATGAGGTTTGAAAACTGGGACGAGCGTTGCTCTCGAGATGTACGTAGCCAACATGTATGGGTACAAGTCTTCGGTGTTCAGCTAGACATGGTGATGCAATAAGTGTGTGTTTGGTTGGTCACATGCCCACAGCTAGCATGAGCGTATTCGAAGCTCGGCGGAGTTCCACTAGCACCAAACCCTATGAAACTCCGGTGTGGAGTAATGATTCTTTTTCCAGAAGTGTGGATGTCACGACTCACGCTCCCTCAACCACATCTACACTTATTACAAGTTCGTGTCTGAGTTGCAAGTTGGTAGCGGGAAGATTGCAGATACTTATCATGGGGTGCGTGCTGGTACTGGCCCCGCATAGATTGTAGACTAGATATACATGTTGAAACAAAAACACCATTACATTTAGACTGAATCTCGAAGTTTGTTCTCCTGACGTGATAGATCATATAAACTCTAGTGGTTCCAGTATGCGCTTCTATTCATTCATACCTGGAGTTTCGTCGGGATGAATATTAGTATCAAGAGGGATACCAGCCCCGTATGGGAGATCAGCGCCAACAATCCTTGGGATAAGTGTCGGAAAGTCTCTTATGATAGGCCGCCTAGTAGGAGTGGAAATAAGCTGAAACACGGTCTCAACTTCCATCTCAAAAATGGGAGGAAATCTATACCGGTATCCAGACAGCAATTTAGCCAAAATAGTGAGTGAGAATGCATGACAAACTAACCTGGATGTCAGAGATGAAGAGAATTCACGTAGGATATTGTACTCGGTCAGACTAGATCGTATAGCAGCAAGCGCTTTGGCCTGTAACCTATCATGCTTTATCTGGTGTGGTCCCCAAACTATCAGTTCACAAAGAGTATTTAAAGGGACAGCAGACGCACCTTGCACGCTAGGCGATACATAGACTTTGGTGAACATAGTGGGGCTTCATTGAGGCTGCAATACCTTGCTGTGCTACTTCCCTGCGATCGCAAAGGTGCAAAAGCAATCTCGTTGGTGTACATATAGTACAACAAAGCCAGCCACCTATGTAAGTCGATTAGCGACAGACCTGAGCGCCAGCAGGCTAGTAAACCGCACGTTTTGAATGCAGTATCTGTTACTAATACACGGCTTGGAATGGTGCATTGTGGCTCCTTTGTGACTAGATTCTCGTCAGTCGTATGAGCCATTCGTTCCGTAGAGACATTTCCACACTTCTCATCTGGATCTTCAAAAAATTGCCATAAGGTAATCCTGCGGCATAATCGGAAAAGCCACCTACCATTTTGAACAGTTTCATCAACTTCCTCATCTTCTTCACCAAGGTCACTATCAGAGGCATAGCCATATTCGTCAATAGAAATCCCTTCCTCACACATGTGACGGCCGCCTTGGAATCTGACAATAGCAGGATCATCGAGTGTTTGTTTAGCAGCAAATACTGAAAGTGTCTGGTGAACCTGACCCAATGGTAACAGACATATGTAATGGCTTACAGTTGCTGAAATACTCTGAACCCACGGCGAGGACTTCATGTTCGGCGAACAATGTTTTGAGCTTGGTAATGTTGCCCTTGCGCTTTGATTGATTGGAAAACAGGTAAAATTGGGTGTCAGGAAGTTGCCCAATAATCGACTTCCTCAGCAGACGATGAATCTGTCGCTGGTTTTTCGCCATCGTAAAATCACAGCAAGAACAGTACCAAGTTCCAGAGAAAATCGTTGATTAAGATAGTGTGGAGATTTCAATTGATTGAATGGAATTCCGAGACAATATGCCATGTTATATGGGAAATCGATATCAAAGGGGAAGTGCTAAGAACCAGATGGAATGTGTGTGGGAGACATGAAGCTTTCCAGGACAAAGGATGAAACGAAGCGATTGAAGGACAAAGGGTGAAACGAAGCGATTGAAGGATAAAGCAAAGCGATGACCCAAAATTAATGATTGATTGATATTCTATCGATAAGAGATCCAGACCGACTCAAGTCCTATCTGATTTCACCAGGTGCGATGACAAGGTAGGAATGATTGTCAAACCATGTTAGCTAGGGTATATGGAGTATGTGGAACAAAACTGACGAAGATGCCGCGAGGTCTTCAAGTTCCACTCGAATTCGAGAGGAGGATGCTATCTCGAGTTGTGCGTTAATATTTGCATCGCTATCATGATATGTAGTGTTCGTTCAATATCAATATCAATGGCCAGTGGATAAATGGCTGAAACTTAGCTTGATCGATCTCATCCTAGGCTTTGTCGACGTTTCTGATGATCACGGCGATCGGCCACTAACAGTCGATATTGAGAATGCATGCCTCGTACTAATCTGGTCAATTCTGTTCCAATAGTAAGCATGGAACGATTGATCCCACACAAGTGATTCACGCGATGCGAGCTCATATTGTCGATGTACACTAACTAGGAAATAGGGAATACAATCTATAACTAGACAACCACCAATGCATTGTGTGCAAAAGCCACAGTAGAATCGATTAGGGGAGATTCCTCCGGAACTAGCCTTGTCTGACTAGTCAAGAAAGGCGCCTGACTGACCGCACTCAAATCCTCCTTTAGCCAGTTGTAGAACGATTCGACTATGGAAAGAAGAAGTTGACGTGCAGATGGCAGGCCGCTCCACCAGACAGAAAATGAATGTAATGCCGGGTCCGCCAGTGACCAATATTGCTGCAACTAAGCGTCATAATAACATAATATAAAATAACGACCAACTTACTGAGGCTCTGTCGGCAGAACGCTATTCATGTGAATGTGTGGATTTAAGTTTCTGGAGGGAATACAAAAGTGAACCTTACCGAAACAGCGCTAGGACTGTTAACTAGCATGTAGCTGATGAGCAAAACTCCGAGTGCACAGAAATATATCAACGGCCGGTTGAACGCGCGAAAGCCAGCTGGTGTTAGAATAAAGAGAGAGCGACGAACAAATTGAAGCTTTTAATTTTGCATAGTCAGGCTGCAAGTAGAAAAGACATGGGGTATCTAACGTACCGCCACAGTAGAGGTGATATATAGAGCGTAGTCCCTCCATTCGATGCCTACATTTTTGACAATCATTAGCTTTAAAGGCGTACCAAGTCAGCGCCTCACTTCTGGTTGATTTCCATAACTTGATGTAGGTCGAACGGGGGTTATGGGAGGTGGCGGTGACGATAATTGAATAACCAAAGTAGTCAAAGGCCTACCAAGAATGAGAAATAAGCCGATCGGGAAACCACTTGAGTCATACAGTAACAGCCTGCACTACGCAACCTATGGATAGTTAGTGCATCAAAATAGCTGGGAGAGTTAAGCATGCAACATACCATCGTGTTCTAGAACCTGGCGGCTTTCTGTTGATGCTAAACCCCAAACATGAACATTTCCTTCAGAAGATCCACCCAATATCCCCCGCCCACGTTCCACAAAAGATACTTGCACTGGAAGATTGGCCCCTCCATTTGATGAGAACTTGAAGCTCTTCACTGGATGATTGTGACCAACTGCGTACAGATCAAGTCCATCAGAGAGGTTCGATAGTAAAACCAAGGATTCATCAGGTGAAAGAGCGCCGTGACCACTACCAAGCCCATGAGAATAAAGATAAAAATAAAAATGCAGACTCTCTTGACATACATTAATTGATGCGGATGAATAGGGCTAATACGCCACCTCTGAGTATCATGATCTGAGTCACTCCCGATGTGCCAGCATCTGAAAGTTTGTGAGCAGGTGCTTCATAGGAAAAGAACAGACCTACACAACCCCATGGTTCAAGTATGCAACGACAAGCTCTCTTCCGAAATTCTTGAAAGTGAGGGAGCGTGCGCGGACCCGGTTATCAACCTGCTCCTTTGGTTTCAAAGGAGATGGCAGCTCTGGAGGCATGGGCAAAATCTTGAAAGTTGCGTACTTCCCTAGATGATTTTTAGAACCTCCCGTTAACAACTACATTAATGCACGTACTGTAACTGACTTCTTTGGCTATGTGTACCTCAGAACCGACTCCAATCGCAAGGTGGCTAGTATGTGAGTCGATAGCAATTGCATAAACTGGCGCCCGCACTCCTGTCAGAACAGAGTGAACAGGTTCCCGATCCTATGGAGAAGGTAAGAAACATCTAAGTTAGTTGAATGCTAGATCATTACCTCGATATTTTCCACAACGGCTAATAAACCATCAGCGCCCCCAACGAAAAGCCGTCTTCTCCACCTTGATGGATCCCAAGCAAGAGTCGTGATTACACAACGAGCAATGATGCGGTGTAGTATCTTGCCGAGTTCTACATCCCAAATAATGATGTTTCCATCATCCCCACCGCTGGCAAGAAGGTCGCCTTGAGGCGCGAATGACAAACAGGTAATGCCATCTGTATGCCCAAGTAGAGTGAAGATTAGAGTGTACAAGTTTGGCGTTTCCTGAGGCATGAGTGAAGATGATAATAGGTAGCTACGTCCAAGAATCACGCACATTCAATTCATAGTATATAATTTATTATATATGGACATCCTTTGTTCGCCATGACCAAACTCTATAGCTAGGTGTGACTCAGTGACCCTGTGTGCTTCGCGAATCACCACAAAGGAAAAAAGATTAGCTCCGCGCGTCCGATCCCCGACTTGTTGGTTTCATCAGCATCTGTACCAAAAATGTCAGCGCGAGAACAAAATTTCCTTTCCGTCCTCAATCTGCGTCATGTTTACCTTGCAAAATTGGAAAGGATGTAACCGCCTATTCGTCTTGTAATATGTATTCGCCCTCCCTCTTTGTTCTTCCACCGTCCTTTGCTGTTCTTGGTTTTTCAGCTACGATCTCTCGCATTAGAATTATACGTTTTTGTTTCGGTATTATTAACATTCGCTGACTAGCCATGATCAGGATGTTCACCTTCAATACACTTACTCGCTAGATATTGCTTTCAGACTTACTGATTGATCATCTGCGTTTGCTCCGCGAGTTTTCCTTCTGGTGCAGATGATCCCTGACTCGCTTGTGAGTGATATTGAGCTTTTAATACTGTCAAGATGGACAGGTTGAAACTTTGCGAAGTTCTTCGCAGGCTCTCTCAAGAATCAAGGGTCACATAAATGCGGTCGAGGCTTTGAGCACAATGCCTCAGTCATTGAGCGCTGTTGCCAGTAGTAGTAGTTGGGATGGAGGTACTTTGAGAAATCAACTTCGCTGACAATCATTCATATCAAAGAATCACTTCCTATAGGCATAATTTCACATAATGTTTTCGAGTGCAAACGCATCCGTTGAATAGAGCTCATATGGGCAAAGTGTCCGGTTTTTCTTTACTTAAGACGACCGGCGCATTCAGGACTGCCGCGTTATCCAACTTAATGAACCCGGCGCCGTGTCCATTCGAGTGAAACAAGCATACTCACCCAAGAAGGTCACCATGAGTTCCACAAATTTCCAAATGAAAGATCTTCAGAGTCAGCTGGTAGTTGGTCCAGTCGCGCGCTATTGACGCGATAAAGTCAGCAACGCGGACGTGAGAAGGAATCTGGGTTTGAATGGACATTCAGGAGCTGGTCGGCGTTTGGAACCGTTTTGAGAAATATCCTCCTGGTCTTAACCATTCGCTGACGTTCTTGAGCATGCATTGAGCTTTTTGCGCCATTTCAAACGCATAATGCATGCAGAACTGCATGGATACAACGTCGAATCAAGCTGCTCGGGCGTAAAGACCTTTGTAGGTGGTTCTGTATAGCAATCCAATGCAGCGAACGAGGCGTCAAAACGCCGTGGACGCATGGTTGCCCACCGGTGCTGAGCCTGCTCGACAGACATGTGCGCGATGTCTATCGAAGATGGATCAGATCGGGCTGCGCGAATTAGAGCAAAAGATCTTACCAACAGCCAACATCTCTCGAATTCGAGCCTTCCCCCATTTGATGAGATCGCCACCTTTGCCGCCGCCCATATCGAGGACTTTTCCGCATTTTTTCGATGGACTAGTGGCGAGGCTGGATGTCCGAAATGCGTAGATTAATCAGGACCAAATTCACCCAGTTGTTGAAATTCTTGAGGCCCATGATAGGAGACTCTTTGCGCTGTTTTACGCCTACTTCTGGACGCAAGATATCTGGGAAGGCAGCGTTAATGGTAGGTTGAGCAGCGGGAAGACGCTTACAGTGATCAACGACCATTTCGACGTCGGCAGCGTGTCTCTTGGCTGGACGTTCTTGATAGTCGTCGGGCTCTCTACTATGGACTCGTTTGCGTTTGTTTATGAGACGTTGAGTACCGATACTGTGGTAATTTTTGTAGAGCTGTATTTCATCCTGTGTCATAGGAGCGAGGACGGAGCCTACGGGAGTCAAGCGCTGTCGTGTGTTGTAGGGCAGCGTCTGGTGCATCGTTGTTGGTGTCGCCGTCGTGGAGGACGTTATTTCGGATGACATTGGTGCATTGGGGAGCAAGTCAAGGGGGATGTTGGAAGAGTACGAGAGGACGATGAAGGTACATCAGAAAGAAAGGGGGAGTGAGAGTGAAGAACATGAAGGGTGCTGCCATGAGAACAAGGGATCTTGTTCACGAATCACGGGGGATATCGATGGCCGTGGGCAATCTCCGTCCCAATGACGGTGCAGAGTTCAGCTTTTCTGATTCAAAGTCATCAGAAAGTAATGGATTGGAAGAACTGCGCCTGGTGCGGAAGTTCGTCTGGAAGCCGTTGATGAAATATATAATATCTTGAGTTCGCGCTTTTGACATGATGTACGTGTACGTGTCCACGCGCACATCGCCACTGACAAATGTATTAAAAATAAACAAACTTTACAAAGCAGGTCTGGCTTACATGGCAGAGACTCTACTTCTCGATGGAGGCGTAGTTGGGTTCTTTTACAATGACTTAGCAAACTCATATTCGACTCACAGCCTGCAGATAACACTCAGCGTAGACGCAATGTCGCTCAATGTCTGACACACAGTGAGAATAGTTGTCCTGAACAGATCGCCAGGTATCGCCGAATCATCCTACGTTCTCATGTATTCCTCAAACCGGGTCCTGCAGGCCTGAGCTCTTCCACGCTGCGACTTCGTTAAATTTCACCTAGATCAATATTCAACATATAGTACGTACGCAGAGTCCGAAAGGCTTGCGAAAGGCTCACCTTTCCCTACTTTAAGCCTTACTAGGCCTTAGGGATAAGCCCAATGTGTATCCTCCGCGCTTAGAACCTCTAATTCTACATCAACCCTATCGGGTTATTTTCTCGTTTCCGCAGTGAATACAGGACTAGTACTGACGCGCAAGATGCATACTAGTAGTGTGGACGCAGAGGAACAAGCACTGCAAATTTGGTGAACTACTGCCATAGCGGGAATTAAGCTTTGGTAGGTGATAGTAACTTGATTTTGGTTTGAAGCGGGCAGGGGCCCTGCAGCATGGCTAGTGTGACTACTAGTGGGTACTATGAAATAAACTACATGGCCAGCTCCTCTACTCTGATGCACACCCCAGTTTCGTCCCATCTTTCCCTCGTCCCCGAGTTTTGTAAGTTGCAAGCGTTTTTCTTGTTACCCAAGAAGGATCGAATCCATCACGAATAGATAGTCTGTGGTCCTTTAGAACGGGGTGGTGATGGCCATCCTGAATATTCGGCTCCCAAACACCATTGTTCCAGAGCCAGATTTGCATAGAGGTATCTCCATAGTGATGAATAAATAGATCTCCCAACTGAGGATGCAGGCATGCAGGAGGAGATTGTATCGGGTTTTGACCTTTTGCATTATACCAACCCATCATGGTGTCCAGACCGCGTACCTTGTGCTCCTGGCGCCTATGGGTAATCTGTGGGCTATAGGCGCTGGTCGTCAGACATGGATAGTTACTATATCAGGCTAAGTGAAAATATAAATTTGAGGCGACACTCACGTCCTCGGAATGCTCGTCACACCCATGGAGGTGGACTCACCTTCGAAGATTGTGTCAGTATAGCATATGCTCAGATGTGCTTGACCTCACTTGTAGCCAAGCCTGCAAAGGTTGTTGATGATTTCTCCAAGACAGATCAACCAGCGGCCATTGTATTCATCTGAACAGGAATATCTACAAGGGATGCAATTGATTGCCGGGGAGCTGTGGCTGGTTTACTGATAACTAGTGATTCACCCAGGTTACGATCAAACGCGCGATGGTGAATGAGTGTACTCTGTGGAACTTATAAGCATGCGTCAACGTGAGATGAACTACTGAGTGACTATACATCAAGATCGACTTTCTCTTCAAACACCTCAACATCCTTGGAGAAGAGGCGTTGGCACCGAGGAAACTCTTGTTGGTGGATTAAAATGGACTGTCAAGAGATAAATAAGCAATGGAAGAAAGTAGAATAAGGCCTCACATCTCTCTCGACGCGCTGGATGGGTCGGTATGGAGAGGAAATATATCTGTGGAATTTCATTCGGTAGCCTTGGGTAGTTTCTGGAGCTTTCATAATCAAAAGGAGAGGCGCGGTAGTAGTTGACGCGAATGAAAAGACGTAATAAATTCCGTTCGATCGTCGAAGTACGGTTTAAATATATGAGTTATGTGTGGAAAGACGACACAATGTTCAACGTTCAGTATGTTCAGTCTCAGTAGCTGGGTGATGAAATGAGGGATTACAGTGAATGTCTTAAGTACAATTGACACGTAATAAAGCAACTGTATATGAACAAAGGACATCAGCTTCAATCCAATTCTAATAAAGGCCTTTCCTACAGCTCGCAAACTCACTGGCTCAAGCACGCCATGTCTTATTATACACCATATTTCCCTCCTACAATAAAGCGGATTGTGTTCGATAATGAGAGAAGCCCAAGCCCTCCTCTATCTTCAGATTTTCATCGTCGAAAGATATTTGAACGATCTGATGTGCCAGATCCGGATTCAGGTGCGGTGCTCAATCGAGCTCAAGAAGAGCAACACATTGTTGGAGATGGCAAGTTGTCCCTCGAGCCCACATCTGCATGCATAGATTTAATTGTTTCCTGTCAGATAACTTGTGTAAGATTGCAAATTTGCGGAATTCATTCCCAGATCCTGGTGAGACCTGTCTCCTATCATATTTTCATGTGAATTGACATATACAGTCCATCTATCGTACAACCTTGTATTCCCAGAGTTTGAAAAAATAATACCACGCCCACCTGGGGCACTTTCCAAGCCGACTGCTGGTGGTTATGCTCTAAAGGATGCACTGGGATGGGAGGATGCCACATATAGATATGTACAGGTAAGCGCTTACCAGGATGGTGTCAATCACGGTGAGCTAACACCTCCGCAGAAAGTTCTTCATTCTATTTGTCTGAATCATCTAGAAGTGGCAAGACCGTACCATGAACAGACCACCGGCGCCCTGACAAAATATTGTGTAGCGGTATGGAATTCTCAAAAACATTTCTATGTCTTTTCTAAAACTGACCCGGAGCTGATGTGAAGGCCCTCAAGGAATTTCCCGCCCTGGCGAATTATGCAGATCACTGGCCAGCTAGGGATTTCGCAAAGATGTACTTGAAGAATATCATTGCACAACGCAAGGCAAATCAAGGTTCAGTGTAACTTGGCGGTGGTTCTACGTTCTACACGAGGAACAAGATTCTAGATCTAGGAATAATGTGATCCGTTACCAGATTGATCTCCCCAACAGGACGCTGGTTTCGACTTTGATGTCCCCAATGGGGCCAAGCTCTTCAGTCAAAGTACCGAATGGGTGGAGGGAGCTGATGGGTTATAGAAGAAGCGTCAATAGGGCTGACATAAGATTGCAGAAATGCGCTGACGTGACGCTTGATGCAAGCAATGAACAGCTTGTCTGCATTGGCCTCAGAGTTCTGTACGAAGTCCGCAGGCACCTGTTTAGTCAGAACGGTAATGAGTAGTACTCGCTTGTCGGCGTGCCTAAGCCAAACCATCTTGGGGTGTTCTATGGGTCCGCGCCTGGGCTCGTAGCTGCGGTCGCCTTCACGTTCCCTGCGCTCAGCGTCTCCTTGGCTGCAGCGGATGAAGGGTGCAACAGGCCAAGAGTGCCAGAGAAGAGTTGGCCAGGCATACGCTCAACAACGGCAATAACATGTCCCGCAAACTGAGGCTTGATATCATGGGTAACCCCGACAGAAATAAATGAACAGCCTGTACGAAGCAGTATAAGGCGGCTCAACTGCGTGAACTTCACGGCGGATTCCAGCGTTGTTCGAAACGACTACCCATCTGATGCTATTTCCCACGATGGAGGGCGGCCTGTGAATGATTAGCACCAAACAGGTAACTGGCAACCATCTACATACGGGGCGCTTCATTCGGAGACAGCGCTACGGCCTACGTTATGAGAAAGCGCAATTTAGTCAAATCGACTATGGAGTGAGTGGTAAGATTAGATATTTCATTTGAAACTATTGAACTGACTTGAAGGTACTTTAACCAGAAAGACAGAACCATCCTCTGCCATAGTCGACTCGTCAGCTAGGAGTATAGGTATGTGAACTGGGGATACTACGAAAGCAGGTGCTGGCGATGTGTTGGAAGTAGGGAGCTGGGGCGTGTTGCAATGCATGATAATTTAATACATATTAGCACTAGAATATCTTAATCGCGTTCCCAACTTACCAAGCTCATAGACTCTGAGATCAACCGACTGGACATGCCGATATTGACCACGGTCTCTTACTGTCACCCGTAAGCATTCATCTGCATATCATATCAGCATCGTAGACATAAATGCTATGATGAAATGCCTGTGACAAACGTACCTTGATCCCGCCACTTGTAATGTGTGTATCGTATCTGGTACACCATCCCAGAGCTCATTCTTGATAGCTGTCACCCGAGAAAGAACATCCTTCTCAACCAACCAACTCTACCGCACTGTCGAGGGCATCTGCACGGCCGTTGATTGTTGCAACAGTTTGCTCGTCTATGGGGGGCCAGGGCCGACTGCCAGTATTCAACATCTGGAAAGTCGCGGTATGCGATGCAAAGAGTGTGCAAGCCTCCAGTCGCGTAGTCCTTAGGTGAGCACGATGAACATATTGGTGGTACTTTGGGGGAAAGGGGCCTGCTGAAGGTGAACAGGAGAATGGGCGGTGGCACGGGTCAGACTCAGATTGCGGCAGTGTTTGGGTATATGGGTTGGCGTTGATTGAAACTTTGAATTTTGAATTTTTATATTTGACCATCTAGAAACTGATTAATATTGATTCACGTGTGCAAGTGCTAAGTAAGCTAACATGTGATCTAGTCTGAACCAATTGCGTCATGCACTTTTCATAAGTGCCGCTGGAACTCAGTGCTCAGTACTGACCGGTCGACCTCGCGAGCACACCAACCGACTCGGGTGACTTCCGTCTTCCCCTGGATGTCAAGCCAACGCATTATGATGTGACTATAAAGACTGACCTGGAGAACTCAATATTTAAAGGCGTGGTAAGGGTTGAGTACGTCCGTGCACACTCAGGTCCTTCAAAACATCATTGACCAATTTCATCAGCCTTGATGTCAAGAACGAAACATTACCATTGTCTTCAACTCAGTCGATCTGAAGTTGAACGATGCGGCATTATATTCCGATCAACTCAAGATAAAGCAGGTTTATCCTTCGTCTTTCGATGGCAAGGCGGAACATTGTATACTTTCCTTTTCGACCCCTGTGCCCTGGCTTCTCTGGAGAACTGACCGGATTCATGATGGGGTATTACAAGAGCTCGTTCGAGCAAGACGGAGCCAAGAAGTACTATACACTGACCCAGTTCGAAGTGCGTATTCGATCCCATTAACTGCGCCTGCACTTACGGATTGTCGCTAGCCCGCCATCGTGAGACGTGCCTTACCGCATTGGGATGAATCGCTTCTCAAGGCGACAAATTTACCAACCCCAAACGACCAAAGTAGAGGATCGCTCATTAGAGGCGCTCTTTTCGGCGTTGACGACTCAAGATAGCCCTGAGGTGCAGTAGAATATTTCCAAGTTCCAGACTACACCGCCAGTATGTCGACGTCGTCTAAGTCGGTTTTTAAACTAAAAACTAGTCTACAGATGTCTACTTATCTGGTTGCATATGCCAATGGACGTTTCGCACGCCTGGAAAGCTCTTATAAGGGACCTCTGAGTGGGAAGACCCGTCCCTTGCGCATATACTGTAAGGGCCCATCCTCACAGCATTCTGGGTGCAGGCTGATGTGATTCATCAGGCTCAGTATGCCCTCGACATCAAAGCAAAAGTTCTCCCAGTCTATGAGGAGATTTTTGACATCGAATACCCTCTCCCAAAGCTGGATACTCTAGCGGTAAGCGTCATGCGTAGAATCTCCTTCAGTCTGTTGATGATGTTTGATGGCCTGAAGGCCCGTAATTTTGATGCAGGCGCTATGGAGAACTGGGTATGAACTGAAGTTATCATTGTTGGTATGTCTCGTATCCATGCACTCACTGAACCCATTGACGCCAATCTTTAGATCGGTAAGCCGATGCGCTCCACTCTCAACATAACCATAACACCTTTTACTAGCGTGTACCCGGAATGGAAGGTCGACAGCTTATTCATATTCGAGCATTTGAATGATGCGCCGGATCTTGATGCCAAATTGTCTTCTCATCCGATTGAAGTTCATCGTCCTGCTGCCAACCAGATCAACCAGGTATGGCAAGGTTGGCATGCCGCACGGAGTGCGGCCATCTCATACAGGTGACCATCAGATTTTCGACTCCCTTTCATATGCCAAAGCAGGCCCTGGTAAGGCATTCAATTTGTCTTGTCACCGCCCCATCTCACGAGTGACGCTTTTAAGTTTTGCGCATGCTATCCAACTTTGTTGGCGAGGAGCGCTTCTTGAAAGGTGTTTCGATCTACCTCAAGAAGCATCTATACGAAAACACTGTCACCAGAGACCTGCGGCAGGGCATCTCAGAGTCCACTGGGGTAGATGCGCCGAGGATCGTGGATAACTGGACTTCAAAGGCAAGCGTGACAGTTTGATCCGCGCTCCATTCTAACACGCGTTGTCTCAGATCGGCTTTCCTGTCATCGCTGTCACTGAGGGTGAAAATGGTATCCATGCCCGCCAGGATCGTTTCCTGGAGTCTGGATCTGCAGAAGAAAAGGGCAATGAGACGATATGGAACGTGCCTTTGGCCCTGCTGACAGCTACTAACGATAAAGTCAACATTGATAAGCCCGCCGATCTTGACACTAGGGAGAAGGCGCTCCCCACCGATACCTCAATGCCTTTCAAGCTCAACGCGGGGACCTACGGTGTTTGTAAGTTTGTTTTCTGGTTGATAGTGTTTGTATTCATTGATGATTATAGACCGCGCGTTGTACTCTGATGAGAGGTTCGCAGCGATTGCTAGGAAGGCTGCCAAGGGCGATACTGCGTTCTCGCTGAATGACCGCATTGGCCTTCTGCATAATATTACCACTTCGGCGTCAACTTGGTGGGAGCACGAGGTTATCGTCAACAATCAGTACGTCAACTCCAACCAAATGCCGCTTGAACCGCTGATCGCAGTTATTTGTTAGTGAACGACGCGATAACCTACGTAAGTCAACGATTTGCTTCCAATGTCGTCCCGGTTCCTCACAAAAACCAGGGCAATTTGATATATCTCGCTCTCTCCTAGCGTACACCGCAATCGTGCATCCTTTTGGCCTCTCGCATCGCTCGGGTTTCCAGAAACTCGCTCAAAAAGAATTATTATTAACGAGTCGTTCTTTTCCTCAGCACTAGGCTTCCTGCGGCTGTTACCAGGCGTTGGAGCTGCCTTCGTTGGGGCTCGCGGCTCTACTACGTCCATGCTAGCTAGCTGCAGAGCTCAGCTGCGGCGTGACGGAGCGACTCAGCTCATTAGATGGGGGTGGCCGGGCGCGGACGACCGCTGATGCTGATCGGAATGCTAGAGTCGAGACTACCTTACGCTTGACAAACCATTGGCTACAACGCCCTTGTATTTTTAATTGTGATGTGCATAATGGTCGCCCTTAGCTCGAATTCACAGGCAAAAGCAACAAAAGCTTAATCTTCTTCTTGGCGCATAGCGGGCATCACAGTGAGGCGCTGGCGTTGGCGATATTGTGAGATGGTGAAATAATAGCAAGCAGCGATGAAAGCAGAGATGCCATCGGGTAAGGTAGATGACTTGCAAATATAACGAACGTCACATGATTAGCGTTACAGAATCGTGACAAAACTGAAAAAAAACGACAACTAATTAACGACGCACTGAAACAACAAACGCCTACGCTTGTCAATGTAGAATATAGTAATGCACCATCGAGCGTTTTCAAAATTATCGTAAGTTGCGAGATGAAAAAGAAATGAAGTTTTTGGTGTTCTGAATAGGCCTGCAGAGCCTAAAATGAAAGTCCGAAAGTGATGCCATGTTGCCGTGCGTGCCATCCCATCCTCTATATGGGCGGCCACAAAACCAAAGGTCGAAAACGCTGGAGCGAAAACCCTTGCAGCATTGAGAGCGTCGAAAAGAGCCAGAACAAGTGGGTGATGCATATGCGAAGGGCCTTAATGGGACGCAGGCAGCATGGGCAATCAAAAAATATTGTGGGCACCGTATGCTTCCAGAGAGCATCATGAAGGAGTTCGATGATTTTCACCCTCTGAGTCTATGATATCTATCTGACAGATACTAATTGTATTACTTACTACATATTCCTTAATACTCGACTAGCACTTGCACATAATGTCATCTACAATGTTTGGCACATTCGGCACACTCGGCACATTCGGCAAGAGGTTATCTGCACAGTGTCACAACATAGTCACATCATGTGATGTTCGCTGGATTTGCAAGTCATCTACCTTATTAATATTGAGGCTTCCGGAAGCCGCCCCGCGTTCAACGGCTCTGAGTCTCAAATCAGCTATTCTGGCCCGGGGTCTCCAATTTTCAAATTTTCATGGCATGTCAAAAGCTAGCGATTGAATGAGATCGAGCGTCATTGTGCAAGTACTTGTTCTGGCCCTTTAGGGCACGCTGTTCCCGCGCGGCATGCTACAAAAGGCCTGTTCCTGGCCGGTATGTCCTGTAACGAGGAAAGCTTGGCGGCCTCGACCTTCCTTCATCGAAGCGACTCTCTTTCCCATCCGGCAGCGCAACCGATGCACCTGCCCCTCATAGGCTTACGTCCAAATGCTGCTGCGAAGACCGAGCGGCGGAGTTAGAACTAGTTGTTGCCTTTGACGTTCGCGCGTTTGTGACCCGGATCATTATCTGCAGCACCATGGCCCGGCCTAAAAGAACTCAAAGTCAGAAAATGAAGGGCCCGTCAAAGGTACATTTTCCACCCTTTCACTCAGCATGAAACTAAACAAGGTATATCAATGCAAGCGCCTCAAGACGATGTCAGTCATTACTGATGCCGCGGAGGTCTCAAAAGCTGCGTCGGGGGCGGAAGGACATGAAAAGTCCCAATTACTTGCTCATACGACTGTCCCGCTTCCCACTGCCCCTCCCGCACCTCAAATTTTCTGCCACAAAGAACGCCGACGACTTATTCGCAACCTTAACTTTAACGCCAAAATTTGGATGCAGTATGCTACTGTTTATTGCCTACGTGGCATCAACATTGGTGAGCTGGCGGCACGACCAAAGTCCTCCGAAAGGGATCGCAAGGATGCGCAGGAGATAATGGCCGCAATGGCTGACTGGGAGGCTGACGCCTGCTCTGCCAAATTTTGTGATCAACAAGGCACCCCTATCTTAGCTTACTTTGCCCGCCGTGCTAAGTCAAATGCATGCGTTTTTCCCAAGGCTCAGGACAAGGTAGGCGCCTTGACAAATTGCAATGCACTATACTTATCCATCGTATGGTAGCAAGCGCCGCTCTACCGCCCCAGCCCCCTGGCACCATCTAAGGCGGGCGCGTTTGGGCCTTTTCTGTCTCAGCTGGGACGATCGGAGCGCGATATTAGTACAGCTGAGGAAGCAGGTATTGAAGTACAATATGACGGTATCCCAGTGCGTTTGCATGCCCTACCGCACCCCAATCTAACGGCGAGATGCAGTCTGAAATATTAGAAAAGGCTCTATGGGCCACTCAGGCCCTCCACCATTCGCTTCACCCTCACAAGGTCGAACGTGATGGCCGCCATGACCAGTCTGATTTTCTAATGCAGTACCAAAAGGGCCCCGACGCTACTCCCCAGGTTGTAGTACAGGATTTTGTTCTGGATAATACAGTCTACGTGCTTTCTAATGACCGCATTGCCTCTGAGCGCTGCGGCGTGTCCCACTTAGTCCATTGCTGGCCGGAGCAAGGGCAAAAACGCGCTGTGAGCATGGCTACTTTGTTTGACTGCGAGTTATTTATCACACCCTCTTCAACAGGCCGCATTTCACCCATCTAGGGATATGATTCGTACCGCCACAAGCCATCAAGCTGTGGAATGGTACTTTCAACATACAGTTGAACTTGCTATTGCGCTGGACGCCATGTTCAAGGTATCTTTCCCTGATGATTACGAGGTTTACGAGAAAGCCTTCAAAGCTGGGCGGTGGGTTCAAGCTGATCCAGGCCCTTGGTTAGGCCGCGCCATTGTCTGGAAGCTGCAGGTGCTTCCTCACAGGGATGGGCTGGATGCTGGCCCTACTGCTATCTTCAATCTTGGACGGTATGAGGGAGGGGAGGCGTATTTCACAGATCTGAAACTGAAATTCAAGTAAGTACCCCTTTAGCTTGTATTTAGCTTGAACCTCATCGCTGCGCCCAGATATGGTCCAGGGGACGTCATTATCTTCTTATCAGGAGATTTGTACCATGGGATTGGCGAATGGAAGCCACTTCAAGGCCTCGACTCTAACAATATCACGCCCGGCCGCGTTGGCAATGTCTTTTTTTCACCCGCCAAATCTGTTGAATTTTTGAAGGACCGTGAGCAGGGGTGGTTCAAATCCACCATGGGCGGGCAACTCCCCAAGAGATTGTAGATCGTGCGCAGTGGTTGAAAGAAATCGTCCCGCAGATTAATTTCGAGGTCGTTCACCATGTATTTACAACTACTAGCTATTGACGTGCAGTGAAAACAAGTAAGGTAGGCCTCAGGAATTGAAATATATCGACGTTTCAACCTACATCAACGCTCGCGCCCACCATCCACTACTCATCTCCGTCGGATCCAGCGAGCTCCTCAACGTTGCCTCGAGGCCCGCTGCCAGCGGTAGCGACTGCCGCCGATGCGTTTGTTGCCAGCTGTAGTAGAAGGTAGTTAGCTCATGTATACTAATAGTAGAAAAAAAACGCACCAATGTTTGAGCTTGCGCTTCAAATACTTGAGGGGTGCATCAGATCATCGAGTAGTAATAAAAAACAGTCATGTACTGGTTTCTCTGCAGCGGGAGGTTGTTCCCAGTATCCTTTGAATTGTTTGACTGCGCCCAGTAGATTTCCGGCGGCTTTCCATGTGGCTGGCACATAGATTCCTGTAGAGGGCCATTAGAATTTATCAATAAAGATGTCGTCGATGGCTGAATTGTACCGTGCAAAAACGTCTTGTAGGAATTGACCATCGTCGTCACCCACATCAACATCAGCGTCTGCATCGCCCTCGTCACCCTGAGGAGACCGCTCGGCCAAGAGCTGACCGTCGCGCTCCCTGTAAACGTTGCATCGGGCAGTAAACTCGGCTTTGAGATGCTCTGAGGGTGTATTGTGAGAAAGGTGTCGAGGAAAGATAGGAAGGCGTACCTTGTACTGGTGAAATAAAGCTATCATAATGCAAGGCAGTTAATGAAAGGTTCGTCGGGCCAGCCATTGGTATTGACGGAATCTTCGTTTAGGCATTTGCGAACAACGAAGCCTCGAGTCAGCATACTAATCAAAATGCGATAATGAATGCCTGCCTGCAAAAGTCTTAGAGTGTCTTTGATGCAGCAGAAAAGAAGATTAAATGTACCTTATGAACGGACTGCTGCCACAAAGCAGTGATAGAGCTCAAAAAATATATGCTATTTTACACATTTCTGGTCTGCTTGAGTTGTGAATCAACGGCGTTCATATATGATTGTTGTACAACGTTCAGTATCTCCACCAGCAAAAGATAAAAAAACACAAGAGCCAAGGAGGTAACTATAGTTCCATCGAATCATCCGCCCGCCTTGTCCACGTCCGAAGGCAAATGGTGCATTAGTGCAAGTGTGAGGCGTGTAAGCGGTCCACTTTTGTCGTCAGTACCTCCAATCTTGCCTGAATTTCTTTAATCTCCTTTACAATGGTAGCTTCCATTGACTATGAAGACGTCAGTGGACAACGTAGAAGAAAGCTGGAAAAGACTTACTTGTTCCATATTGGGGAACCTCTTGTCAAGCTCATCGAAAGGGATCTTGCTGATCTTCAAGCCTTTATCTGCGCCTGGCCCTTCGACTACGGGATCCAGAAGATCAGGGTTTTCAGCGTCCGCCTCGTCGCCTTGCCCCAGCCAGCTAGTCATCCATGGTTTTTTCACAATCGATGTCTCAAATAGCGCAATGAAAGTCAACGGAACAAAGAAAATTATGCCCATAATGACCCGATTGAGGTGCAAAGACGTCAGAGGTACAGATCGCAAATTGAAGGTTCATGCCGCACTTTTGCATATCGCTGGGGTCGCAGGCCAAATGTTCTCAAAAAGAAGTTAAAGTCAATCACTGCAGAGGGCCACAAAAATAGAAAACTTACTCAAAAGGCGCTACGAAGAAAAACCTCTACTAGGTTAAATGGTGCAGGGTAGACATAAGAATCAGGGGCGCGGGTCATGGCAACAGTTTTTCCTGCAAAGAATGTCATATACTCTGCTTCAGCGTCCTCGACGACCTAATCATTCCTTGAGCCCATGAAACCTCACAGAAAGACGAAATACTGACTTCAGCATACGCTGAGGAAAATAAAGAAATGAGGACGTTGAGCAGGGTAATCGCTGTTGCAACGTTCCAGCTGAAGTCGAACTTGTCGATCAGCAAGCGCGGAAATTCATCAAACGGGCGCTGACAGATAGTACAACATAAGTCCAACAGGGCTGCAAACATGGTTCAGAGACTTCCAAAACATGGACATGAGGCTTTACCTGCCCGAGAACTTGTCGTAGTTGGGAGACCTAAGAAAGTTCATCAAGTGCTCAAATTAAAGAAAAAGAAAATCCAATCTGACTGAAGTAAGCCCTGAACAAGGGCATTAACGAGTTGACCAAAATTAGACAGCTATGGGGAGAAGAAAGGTCGGACATACAAGTGATGGACCTTCGCTTGAACCGTCGGCAACATCTAGAGCATATAGACCTTGCAAGAATCCAATCCCAAGCACCGACAACAGCTGCACAAGGTGAAGGAGCGGGGAGACCATATACTGAAAGGAAACGAACCGCGAAGCAGATGCCCGACTCTTGTAGCATGCGAGGCACACATATTTGTATTGTTCCGGCATACCTGCGAAATCATCAGCATCTTTTATACGAGCACGACGCAATATGCGCTTACTGGTGACCATCAAAGATTGTAATGAGCTCTGAAGCAAAAAGCTGTGAGTGAGTCAATGGAACATCAAGAGATGCGCGGAGCTCAACTGATTAGTTAGATATTGTACCTCGCGGTCATTCGAGGGTTGACTAACCGTATGAACGGGATAACGAAACTCAAGACTTGAAAGCTCCTTAAGCGTAGAGTGTTGGAATGATCCCCGGCGGTGCAAAGACCAGCAATGCGAAGCAAATGTGCAGCCAGAAATAAGGGATCCGTTATGAAGGCAGCGACGTTCCAAAATCCAAAGGCGCGGTAGGTTGCATATTTAAATAGTTTGTAAAACTGGGATGACTTGTAAGACATTGCAGCGAATTGAGAGGCAGGAAAGTTACCCTGCGTGTGTCTGGAAGATGACTCAGTCAACCGTTCAAACAATAACGGAATACCCTCACCTTCAAGTGAGAATGCCAGCCCCACGGTATAGAGCATCCCAAGAAGGCTGCAACCAAGAACATTTTGAACGAGCATCCAATATTGAAGGTAAATCAGCAGGTGTTTGAACATCCGAGTCGACAAAGACTCACCAAATAATATTGAATAGCCTCTCATCCACCCAATTTTCTTGACCCTCCAAAGTACTAGGCTGTGACCTCGACCGCTTGGGAGGCTTTCACATTGAAATTTCAACAGTCTAGATAGAAATTAGTAGAGTAGTCTAGTTGTACAAATGTCTTACTACAGGTCCTGGTCTTCTGCACTTGAAAGTGAATTTAAAAGTTTTCAGTTGCGCAGGTAGCTTGAGCCTGATCGTGTTGCGGTCTGTCATCATGATAGCGTGAAGCGAGGACTTGAAGAATTTTTCAAAAATACTCACCTTCGCCCAAGTCTACCATAAAAAGAGGTCGAAAGGCAGCATTTGCCTGGTTAGTGGTGGGACAGCGAGAGCTCGAAGAGAATAAACGACGAAAGACGGGTCACGAAGTCTGAAAAGACTCTATTTACGTTTGTTGCTTGACGCCGAGCGTCTAAAATCAATGCTTTGCATTCGGTCACTTATGGTTCGTATTTACTTCTATTTATTTTAGGTATACTCAATTGGACTTGGGCATTGAGATTCATACACCTTGCGCAACTTTAAATCCGGTTTTCTTGACTTTGTTATTCGTGCTATTCGCATGTATCTCATGATGTGCGCCATTATTTCGTCAAGAAGTTCTCAACACGGAACAAACACTTGATAGTGTTTCATGTGCACAATGTCCACTGTCAGCCGGTTTCATTCATAGCACCAAGGGTAACGGTCTCTATATTTCTGTACATGCCGCAGCATCTGGAGCACACAAAGAAACATTGTAGTCCATTCCCGTATTCCTGTCCACCTGAATGTGAGCTCTACATATATTGATTTTGCTTGGCGTTGAACATTGATTGCTGACCCATCATGATAGGTCAACAGACAGGTCCACGTTTTTCTTCTTCTGGAATAGACAAAAACCCGGCGATGAACGAGTCACGGGCTGTACTAAAAATTCGAAGGGTGTTATTTGAATATATGGTGAGTCTGTGATGCTGTTGAAACGTGTCGCCCGCGCATGTCTCGAGTAATGGAGACTTCAAGTTGTTGTTTCGCGTATGCCCTTCCGAAACACACTCTTTGATGTATCTAATGTAGTTTCCTCCCCCAACGTTAACGTTCACTCTTCATCTTCCAATGCAGAACCAATGTCCCTGAAGACACCATATTCACACGTGCAAACCGCCTGTGTATCATGCCGCAGGCCAAAACTACTCGATGCCATAATGGTGTAGTGGAAGAAAGCATGTCTCACTACTACCCCGAATTCGTACCGCAGGAGGCGCGCAGCGAGGAAGCATCGGTCAAGGAGAACGTTTGGGAGGCCGAAGGTAACAAATAACGCAGCTCTATATCAACGCTTATATCATTCGCGGCACTTTTTTTCTCTGGCACGCTGGGTCGATATGCTCGATTCAGGAAGGATCTTGTATCTGGATAGTGCCAAGCATTTGATTGACGCTTTTTCTACTGACGACTATGCCTATATACCCGAATGATCAGTGTGGAAAAAAAATGAATGCGTTAGGGTACTAGTTGCCTTACGATTGTCCATATGATTCGTTCGAATTCAGAAGTCTCTAAAGCTTGATTGAAATTCCATGAGGTACATGCAAGTACATGTCACTTAAATTTTGAAACATAGAAAAGTATAGACTGTACTATGATACTATTAGCCTATCAATGTTCCAGAAAACCCGGTACTCCATGCGTTCATTTAGAGTCAAGACTACAACGTGCCACTGCTTCGAGCTGCATCTTCAGTAATATTAGGTCCCTCTGGCAGTATGATCTGAGCCCAATAGACTATCACACGAATGGCAGGTTGCAAACGTGACATCGGGATGTCCCTCAACTGGAAATATTAGTTAGAGGCGTCCGGCGGACTCTGTCGAACAACGAAATATAAATATTTACTGCATCATACACAACTGCCAAATCATCGAGGAGTTGAACCCCCTGCGGTCCCTCAGGGATGGGGTCTCGTCTATTGAACTGTAAAGCATTGAGTAAATTGAAGGAGTACCCGAATGCAATATGATTGCTTACCTCACGGAGAATGTCGACCACAAATGGATGAAAATCCCAACGCTGGTTGGCCAATTTGAACAGATACTCAACGCGGGGGTCATGGAATTCGACATCATCGTCAGATTCCTCTTCTTCCTCCGATTCTTGTAATTCTGATTCTTTGTTAGACTCGGAGTTCATCCAGAAGTCTGCATGTGTCGTCAGGCTGAGTGCATGAGGTTGAAAAATAAGTATCACCTTCTGAGTCAAGGTCGCTATCCTCTAGGGTAGCTCGGGAGTACATCAAAATGGGCCTCACTATTAGTCCTTGATAGCATTTGCACTCAGTCATCGTACGTGAAGTGTGTGGTCTGATGTGTAGTAAGTCGAAGGACAGTTCAATGCCTTATCATGGACCTTACAGCGCCTTAAATATGATATGCTTCAACAAAGGCAAGAGGCTCAAGATATGTTCCGGACAGATTCTAAGAAACCAACCGATTTTTGACCAATCTTTATCTTTGTGTTGCCACTTTTGAACTAGTTCTTTATGAAGACATTAGGTAACTTAGTAGTGCTGCCGTGGTTCGAACCTGACCATTAATGGTCAGGTTCGTCCGCGTTTCGGTCCATGCTGTGTTGGGAGTTTCAGCCGCATTGCAGGTCTGTCTGCCTGCCGTCTTCCACCATCCGCTGATAACCGCGCCAGCCTCTCCCTAGTCAGCAAGATCAGCACACAAGGCATGTCAGGCTCTCCGTATCCACCACCGACAGAGTCGTGCCGTCTGGAGTCCTGGACAGTGAAACAATGATATCAGGCTGCAAGGCGGATGTCATTACCCCCTGGACCTCCTGGACGTTGGCTGTTAGGAAATACGACGCCAAAGTCATAGTAAGTCATTACCAAGGGACACCAACATGATCTCTATCTAACCCCTCATGCAGTTGTGCTGTTTCAATTCGCGAGATGGACAGAACAATATGGACCTGTGTTCTTGCTCAGACAAGGCCATAGGGTTTTTGTGATTATAGGATGTCATCAGGTCAGCATAAAACATTTCATTGTCTATCTAGGCATAAAGTAGATCACGTCATAGGCTGCAGTGGATATCATGGAAAAAGAGCTTGCTCAACCCTCGCCGAACCGGACTGAACCGGACCGCGGCAGCGCTCAGCCTTAGGTAACCAGTTTCTGCTTTCTTTTGACAACGTGTTGATTTCGCTTCTTAGCATTGACACATAGTCCAACTTTCACGCACCCTTTCGCACCAGGGTCATAGGCTCACCACTGGCGGCATTCACAATGTGAAATTGTAAGAGGGTGGGGACGATTTAGGCAATCCCTGATAATCACTACTACATAGTCCTTTGTTCGTGCGTCATGATTTAAAAATGTATCATCTCACAACATCAATTTGAAGCCCCAGTATAGCCCACTCCCTCTGATGAGTCCTTCCCGCAGCAAAATCATCCGCCAGAATTACTTTTGCAAAACTTACAACCTTCGTTCCTCATCCTCAAAATCAAGCCCTAATCGCACCTCATGTATCGCTTCTGTAACGAGTAACAATGACACATTTCACCTTGAGCTCCAGGCTACGCGCAAAGTACGTTTGCGTTGGTCGTCCCTGGACCTGTCACTTTTCACTGACAGCGTCGTCTCTTGTTAGACAGCAATAGAAGTTAATGCCCTCGCTGCAGACATACCGCGCCTGAGAGAGGCAAGTAATGCATACTAATAGCATCATTGATAATCCTCTTTTTTTCTGATGGTTGGCTCACCAGGAGCTTAACACAGCAAAACATGAGCGAGAGCAGGCCTTCATGGAGTGAGATAACGCCGTCGCTACCCATGAGCGTGTACGCACCTGGCCTTCACTGGTTTACCTTTAAAAACTTATTCCCATCCTTTAGTTGAAGCACACTGTGAAAGTTGCATTGCAATGCCCAATGTGCGAAGGGGTTATTGAACGGCCTTTCACGTAAGTTTAATCCTGGTGTGATTTTAGATGCTGATGGCTGCATTTACTATTGAACAGGTTGAAATGTCGCCATACATTCTGCTATGACTGCCTCATCAGTTTTTTTCACCAATGTATCAGAGTCCGCTTATCCTTTCGCTCTGAAGGAATTCTTCCAGAGAATTTTAGGAATCATGTCCTGCCGTTCACCCTTAATGAGGTCGAAATACTGTGCGATGGTGAAGCGGCTATCCTTCCAGGTCGTTATTATCACTGCCCCACATGTCGAGCTTACATCTACGACTCTCCTACTGAAATCCCCTTGCTCTGCGATGTGTCCGCTGGCATAACAAAGGGACTTGGTCCTGACATAAAACGTGCTAAGCGTGGGATACCTAGTACAGATCCAGCTGCACGATGGGCAGTGTTCTTCAAGTAGGAGGGTAATAGCTGCAGGAGGCAAGAACGACAGGTCCAAGGAACTGTTATGAACCTTTCTCCCAATTCTTTTATGCATGTTACTTTGTCTGTACACTGATAGTATTCCGTCTAATAAAGGGTACCAGGTGTTAGATAGAAAAACAATCACATACTGGTTTCTCTGCAGCGTGAAGTTGCTCCCAGTTGAATTGTTTGGCTGCGCCCAATAGATTTCTGGCAGCTTTCCATGCGGCTGCACATAGATTGTTGAGGACCATTAGAATTTCTCTGGCATCAATAATATACACGCACCGTGCATTTATTGTTTTCTGGATATGCATCATCTTGGCTTTGCTTGGTGCACTCTGCTCTTTTAGCTTTGACTGGATGAGGTTTTAGTTTGGGCTTGGGCTTAGTGATGACGGCGGCGTGACTTTACAATCAGTCTTTCTGCCTACTTTTATTTGATACAATCACTGCTGAGCACCTTATTTTGTGATCCAGGATTGACGACGTGACTGCAGCGCCATGTCGAATATAGTCACCAGATTTGTCAGTGCTCTACTTGGCTACTATGGGGAACAAATTACTTGTAGAGAAGCTAATATAAGTCGCATTCGTGATTGGTTTCTGCAGGAATCAACATGTAGACATATATGATATCAGAGTGTAGATAAGAGAGATCCAAAAGCTTGGGCTATGATATCAAGTGGTGAGTCCACACCAAGAGTGACGACCATGCATCTGAAGATCAAGGCAAAAATTAACAAAAGTCCCGCTATTACGTAGGTTACGCCAGCTTCGAGTGCATAGCTACTTCCACTGGTTTGAGCATTCTTCTGACTTGATTCTTGTACGTTGGGCTGCGCTTGTCCAGTAGCTGATGAGAGGTTATAATACAGAGGAGTTGGGCCACACACTACTTGACTTGACCAAATTTTAATGTTAGGATGCCAGTCCTCATGTCCAGAGGATGCGCTTGCAATAAAATGCTTTCCGTTTTGAACCAAACAGTACTGTCATAAATGTATCATGATCGTGCAGCAAACAAATATACAAGACTGACTGCAATTGTCTGCACCGCAGAAAGTTCTGTCAGGTGCATACTAAATCAACAATCATGCAGGGCTCATTCGACTGATTCTTACCCCTGCCATGACAGAGTGCTTGATCCAGCTGGCCGCTGTCAATGTTCCACAAGTGCAGTTCCCCGTTATCGCTGCCACTGATGGCAAATTCCCCAGTGGAATCAAATTGCACATCACAAATCCGATTACGCCTGATCTTTATACGGAGTGTCTGTACAAGTAACAGATGGCAGGTTGGGTTGTCTGTTAATCTGTAGACATTGATTCCATCCACAAGATTCCACACAAGAAGAGAGCCTAGGGAATCTGAATATGCTGAACTACCGCTGCTCATATTCAGTCTTTACAATGTAGAGATACTAATAAGGCGCTCACATGCGGTTACCAAATTTTTGCCTCCACAACTCTTTCCAAGGTGAAATGCTCCATGCCACGCTATAAATGATTATTGTCATTACTTCGTTATCAAATTATGCAGTGCTCACATCTCACGAGAATCGAGATAGGAAACGAGAATGCTCTTGCCTTTCTGGAAGAAGTGTGTTGAAACAACAAGCGCTGGTCTCGGGTCCTGGGAGAACGGCGGATCCGCCAGTAAACACTGCAAGGGCTCTAAACCCACGCTAAGCCTGCAGCTAGATGACAAAAACTATAGCATGATTTACCAAGTTTTCCTACAGAAAGTCTGAAGAGGACGACTCTGCCTGGTCCCGTCGCAGCAATTATACCCTGAGCGTCCTCTACCTCAATGCTCATCACCGCACCTGGGAATACTGTCTGTGTGCTCAAAAGTACGTCTGCCCGCTGTCAAACAAAGGAAAAAATTCAAAATCTTGAAGCCTTACTGTTGAAAACACTTACCTTGTCACCACTCAATTTTCGCAGTTGCATTGTCCCATCAGCGCCACCTGACAGAAGGAAATTTTCAGCAGATGTTAGTGAACCAACTACCCACTTCAAGGCCGTTATAGGGCCTTGTTTTGGCCGAATGCGTAGGATTTCAGACGATTCAGCCATTGACCACAGCATGATATGTCCGTCATCCCCTACAACAGGTAATCATGCCCCAAAGTTCAAAGGGATAGTGAACGCTGTGCCGCACCAACCTAAATGAACACTCACCTCCACTAGCTAGGTAGCCCTCTTCACTGAAGCACATACAGTTGATCGGAGCTTTATGGCCCCTGAAGGAGCGCTGTAGATAAAATTTGTTCATAGAAGTCACCCAGTGGAAGGCTGATCACAGGCAAACAGCGCCAATCCCCAGTGAACTATACCTATGGCCAAAACGGTCAGAATCACGTAATATATACACAGGTATGTGTTCGATGTTTTTTTATACTTTCCTTTGTCTCGATGCTCCAGTATCCCACAATCTTTTACTGTATTGGCAAACTATCATTTATCTCCATTCTCTTCCCGCGGAAATGATATATATGTTTACGTGACTAGTAGCATAGCAGCTGCCTCGGAGTCATGCTTAGATGACTTGAAGCTTGAAAGTTGGGGCCAATGCTGCAAAGCTGGCATAAAGTGTAGCCGGCGATGTTCGAGCATGGCAGAAGGAGTAAATGTCACGTACATCCTTCGGAATCCAAAACAGATTCGCCAGTAATCCTGTTGGACCAATCTCTGATAGCTTGGCTAGCCAGGCTAGGATTATCATCGCGCAATGGTGCGTACACGTACTCGGTACATACCAGTATCGTAATATCTTTCAGAGTAGGATCACCTTGTAAGCTCCTTCTTTGACTGTATTGAAGAAGCAATAGATTATGATTCAGATAATCAGAATTTTGCTTCTTTTTCAATTTGCGACTCATGGCTATTTTAACCGTTGCAGAAGCACCTTCTCAGATGATCTGAACGCAAAACACCACGTCAAAAATTGGATGTCAACTTGAAGGTGTTGTGGAGCGCCGCAAGTGAGATCAAAGGCCATAAGGTGGGTCTAAGTGTACCCTTCATGATCTGCTTGATGAGCGTGGATCTCGTTTATTACAGCCTGTCTATTTGGTAGCTTCAGCTATATTCGTGACAGGAAATGCTGCCTTGCCTCTCTCAAAGATTATCGATGTGATGATCAGTATGCGAGCACTTCAAGCTGTAGGGCGAGCGTCCATCTAAAAAGCTTGATCAATGGCTGACTTCCCTCCTAAAGTTCATGCGCCATTATTTCTATTTTGGCTGCAACCCTGGCTGATATCTATGAGCCTCACGAGCGCAGCACTATGATGGGCATGCTACACCTCTCGTAGGACCCATGCTCGGCAGATCGTTGTCACAAGCCTTCGGCCGGCATGCAAATTTCTACTTTCTGCTAATCTGTGGAGGGATGATCTTGTCCTTCCTCACCCTGTTCAAGGACGCACACTGACGTGAACAAAGTCTCACATATTGCTCCGCTTTACGACAAAACAACGTTCTAATTCTTACCGCTAACGGTGAGTGAATAGTTGTCCTTTTGTATACGTTGTCAGTGATTTCATTTCGGGTTAAGGACTCGTATTCGGGTTTACCTCTTGCCTTTCATACACGTGCGCCCGCACTCTGGCAAACACATATGACTATGATGCATTGAGTGTTGGCGTGGTCTTGCTTTGATTGGGCATAGGTGAGATCTTCGTCACTTGAATTGTGGCAGAGGACTAACTTACTGTGAGGGGAGCATCGCTGGGAGTGTGATTTGTGGGCATTGGTCTGATCGGGTGCTTGCAAAGATGATGGAAGCGAATGGAGGAAAGTGGTGTGCAGAAGTGAACACTTTTTATACTCCCGCACTGGAGCTCTTGATTGACATCTTCCAAAGATACGTTTGGAGAGCTCATTATTGGGGATGCCGTGGCTACCTCCGGCTGTTATCAGTTATGCTTGGGTGTGCAAAAAGCATGTCAATGTTGCTGTCATTTGTGTCATGCTCATTCTGATTGGATTTTCCTCCACGTCGGTGCACCGGTTATTCATTGTCATCGTTGTTCTGACATCTACTTCCAGATGAATGTCTACTAGCTTGTTGGCATACCTTGTTGATGCCAACCTTGGTCGCTCGTGTACAGCAGTGGCTACAAACGGCTCGTTCCAGGGATCCCTGGCTTTTGTTTCGGTGATCACCCCCATACCGCTTCAAGTGAGCTCTCTTGATATCTGCTGTATCTCACAAATTCTGACATCAGTCCGCTCTCTCTGTAGAATACTTTAGGAAATGGGGGGTTGTATACTGTGCGGTCTGGCATTCTGATTGTGATGGAGTACATTGGTTATATTGGTACTGCGCGCAAGGGAGAATCATGGCACAAGGAAGGTGAGGAGCGTGAGCTAAAATGCTAAGTGAACGAATCTCTTGCGTTAAAACTTATATGATTCGCTGGCACAATTTGTCAACACATTCCAAAGCGCCGGCTTTATTTGCCATATGCAATTCATCCCATATGATGTGCAGTAGCCTTTCGAATGAGATCTGCATGCGCAGAAAATGTATGGATGGTTGAATGAAGGTCAATGTTGTCGTCCGTCACGGGGATTCCGAACATATAATGAGCAAAGAGCATGCGGAGGCCATGATGGTCGTCGAAAAGGAGAGAATTTAGGACTCCGAGCATGAGCGGCTGTGAATTGAAAAGGTGAGAATAGGAGACAAAATGATCAGAAGCGCAGGAGCGATTGACATGCAGGCGGCGCTCAGGTGGAGCACACACATGGGGTGTATGCGAATTTCTCCCACGGGATCAAATGCTCTGTGTTTATATAATATGTTAGATGTTGCGACCGTGTAACATTCTCTTACAATCACATAGAATCTCGAAAGACAAACTATTGTACCATCGTCTTGCGTGCATTTACCATTGTCTCGTGTACATTTCGCATCGATCATATTGATCGCACACACACGCAGTTGATGCAACACATTCATTCACACACAGCCTCGAAACATATCCCATTGTATTGCAGGTTCTACCTTCCTTGACTATGACTGGTCCAGGAGCACTATCAACATACTGTCAGCAATGATATATTGATAGACCAATCACGCAGTACAACGCAAGGACGCCCTGTACCCTGAGGCTTCTTTCCAACAAAAAATAGCTGGCAGCAACAGCTAGGGTACCGACGTCGAGCAGTGTGATCGGAAGGTTGATTCTAATACCGCTTGAAACGTTCTTCCAGCTTTCGCCGCACATGAGCGGATGCATAACTCAATACTGGATGACTGACCAGTGAAACGCCAACCATGAGAATAGCAAGTTTTACAGCTTCTTTTGGTGGTTCGTTAAGCTGCATCGAGTCCCACTGGTCAGCGCCTTGATAATTCAAATATATAGTACTTACTTCTTCAAGCATGAATTTGAGGAGGAAATTATCGACTTGATTTTCTCCAGGAAATTGAACATCCAGCTGTAGCGCGTCTCAATCAGTTGTTGCTTTTTTTGCCATTGTACAACTCACCTCGTCAAAAAGAGCAAAGACTTTGCTCACACGCTGGATGTCGCGCTGGGAAGCATGCTGAAATCGTTGGCTCAAAAGACTATGATAATTTTGGTCCACTTAGGTGTAGAACGTCAGCGATAGCAAGCTCAAGATAAAATAGAAATATCTTACATAAAATATGCTCCAATTGCTGTTCCTTGCCGCCATTCAAGTCAATAGAGTCGAGTTCCTGAATTGCCTGAGGAGTATCACTGACACATAGAGATGAAGCCACAGCGGCATCCCTGGCTTGAGACTCCTTGCTCATGATGGAGAGTGTTTTTGTTTATCATATCGGATGTGTCTCCTTTTAAAATCTCCAGAAGAAAGGAAAGACGCTTGAGGATGCTTGCCAAAAGCTTGAAGACCTAACAAAGGAATCAATAACAAGCAGGATTAAACACTATTTGTTGTCCGGAGTCGTGAAGTACTTCGAATCTATTTTTAAAATCTGCCATGGGAGAGTATTCACATGATTATTTCCCACAGGTCGGCGTACAGGTGCCTCCGGGAGCCCTTTGCAATGACCTTAAGCTTGAGATCTGAGATTCATGGTCATGCCAAGATCTATTACTATATTTTGGTTGTCGGTCGAGTTTCTCTTAGACGTGTACCAGTACAATGCAAACACTCTAATTTTAATCTCATGCATGTCCGTCCCTTGCTTTTTATCGCTCCTCCCTTTGACGTCTAACCGGCCATTGTATAGGGTATTGTTTCCGACTCCCTTTCAGGTCCGACTATGGCAATACTTAGATACTCTGTAGAAGGTAATAAAGGCCCTCTTGAGGCTTCCGAGTTACCGATTCATTCATTCTTCGTCAAACAGATCCATTCACCTTTAATACACGCACAGGAATCTACTATTGGGAGCGTTGATGTGGTTCAGCACAGTGTCATCTGCTAGCAAGCGGGCCAGCAATGCTACATGGGAACAAGGCCGTTCAGAGCAGCCAAAGACGCAGAAGAACATTTTGGATCCTACAATATCTGCACCACAATCTGCACCACCAAAAGTCAGTTCATCGCATTGCTCTCTCTGGAGTTATTTTGAATGATTACAGATAGCGTCATCGCCTCAGGAGTCTCAGCTCAGACTCTTGGAGGCCCTTGTTAAGGAGGTACGTAGCGTTATTTATGCAAAGGACGCATTCATTCAGCCCAACCTGGGGCTTGCAGAGTGCACGCAGAAACTCATCAGCATCGATCAGTTCAACGAGCCGTAGATCGCCATCAATATCACAGATCAAGACGCCTGTGACTGAGCACAACCCCCCCGAGCGCCGGGGTTCACAATCTTCTACGTGCTCCAACCGTACTATTCGAGCTCCCCCTGAGGGCTTGAATCGTTCTACTACGTCTTTACAGGTGATCATTGTTTTATGGCGGTAGAATAGACTTTGATGCAGCTCCACAGGAGCTCTTGGATAAACACAGCAATACGACGCAGATGCAGTCTACTGTATGTCTTTCATATAATTCAGGCGATTAGAACTGATTTTCTTTTAGTCCTCTGGTATCGAAAAGCAATCAGGCTCTGGATTGGGCGAGTCGTCTCTTGATAACGAGTCTCAGCAGCCATGCCAGTCCAAAGGAAAACAAAAGGCAATTGACATTTCTTCGCCACTATCAGATTCTCATATATTACCTCCAGTACGTCTCGCAGGTTCTTCTCATTATTGCTGAACTGACAATGTCTTTCAAAGAACTCGGTCACCTTTTCTACTTTACCCAAATTGCCAAACTTGCCGCCGCCGCCGCCCGCCCCACCTGCACCGACTGTTCGAAGCGACCCTGTGCCCCAACCGATCACACAAAATCAACAATTCCCGCCAGAAGCCATGGCCTCTATTATGCCATGGTTTTCTACAGGCTTCTCACATGTGACTTCAACGCTGGAAGGCCACCAGTCAGCCATTGCGAAGAGGATTGAAGACGACATTAAGGAAATCCGTCAGATTTGCATGCGGACCCAGGAACAACAGAGGAATTTATCCTGCGAGCATTATGCAAAGTCAAAGGTTAAAAGAAAGAAGCGCGCTGGTTTTGTTCCTGATCCTAAGGACGATTGCATAGATGCTCCCACTGATCATAGCAAGGTAACTTATAATGCTTTCAAGGTTAGTTGGTACTAAATTCGATTCATATTGGAGACTATGGTTACTAATGTCCGGCTGTCATAGGCATGTATCCGTCAGCATGCACATCATCTTCTGAAAGTCAGCGATTATAGACTGTTGACTTCGAGTAACTGTAGCATCACTGAAGATGAGAACTTTGCGTACATCTCAAATACTCCCGGCCGCATCCAGATTACTGCAGACAACTTTCATCTTGATCTTATGCGCTATCGAAGCACCAAATTCAACATCGATGCCATCCTTGTATTTGCCCTCGACTTCATCGAGAAAACTACCAAATTTGGTTGGTACAGCGATTCTAAAATTCCGGAACGATACTTTACTCGAAAAGCCGTGAAAGATGCATTCTGTTCGCATTTCAAAACCATCCGAGACTATTATAAGGATATAGAGAAGATTAAAAACGGAATGTCCACGGAGGAGCTCAAAGATAAGAAGCAGTTGGAGCTAAAGAAAAGTGCAAGTGTCATATCCCGCGTTCCGGACCCGGACCTATCACACACATCATTTCCGGAAGTCCGGATCCGGCCGACGTCTATCTATGTCCGGATCCGACCCGCGTCTAACTTCCGTGCCTTATCCCTTTGTACGTTCCTACTCCAGTTAGACCATATCATTTTCCGTACCTCATTTCATTTCCGCCTTTATTTTCATCTGTTCTAATCTCCGGGTTCATTTACTATTTTCCGATAGACTAGCGTTTGACTTTTCTATACACTCCGTCCACAGCTTCGTATAGCTTCGGACTGCGCATCTCTGTTCTCCGATAAGTCCTCAGTAGTATATAAACCCTGTAGAATCTATGTACATCCTTAGTTCGAATATCATATTAGACTCTGCTCATTCTCTCCTCCGTCCGACTTGAGTTTCTCTCTTGTCGACCTCCGCTCGTCTTAGGATCGACTCCTATAGACTTGACACCTCCGCCTCTACCTCTGGTAGTCCTCCGCTGTTTCCTTTCTAGTTCGGACTTTGTCCGGATTAGTCTTATCTCTTGTTTCTGAACGTCCGCCGGAATTCCCGCGCATCGGACATCAGACTCCGGACATCGCCCGACGCCCTCCGGACATCGTCCGGTAACCTTCGGACATCGTTCAACAACCCTCGGAAGTTAGGGGCACGTACTCGGGTAAGGGGCGCAGCGCACGAGCTGAAGCCAAGCCCTTCGGATCCGACCCTTGAGCACGTTCTTAACAGCAAGGCAGTCAAGGAAAAATCGAGTACGTGATCTGTTCACTCCAATATTTATATTCACACTGATGTCCATTTCAGCTTTATGCAGAGCGATTGAAAGCTTGTGCACTTGATGGTGGCCCATTTACACCGCATATGGCTCTCTTACAGGCAGGAAGCAGGGAGCGCAGGGTGTAGTTCCGATGAATCTGAGAGTGAACCGGACCAGGAACCTGCATATTTGCAGAAGGCTCCTAGGCGTGCGAAGCACATTGGATACAGACGCATCGAGCCAATTTGGCGGGGCACCGCATTCCGCTTGCTGATGTATCGTATTGACGACCGCGTTGATGACTTAAGGTCTTCGGGGGTCAACTTCGCGTCTTCCAGAGCCAGCTGACGACGGTGTGGAAATGTACCGCGCACTAGACTTCACTCAAACAAGACAAATCCGTCAGTCGCAGCGCCTCCCAGCCTTCCTCGAAATTGCTACAATTCAGTATGGTACAATTCACTCCCACTAGAAGCAAAGCTCCGGTTAGACATTAAAGACTGGGACTGGGATTTTTGCAATGGCGGACAGTTGGAAGTCGAAGGTGCACCTCAGACTGGTCATGAAGATTATTGTGTTCCGGACCCATCGGATCCATTTGGCCAGCGAAGGATGCAGGTTGATGGAGACTGCGAAGAAGGCCCTCCAAATTCAGACAGTTAGATACTGTATGTTTGAATAGTACTGTGGCAATATACATCATATACCAGACAGGAGAGCTGAGTCCGCATCAGAATCATGTAACCTTTCAAAGAGCTTCCTTGACGCCGTTGAGACTTTGCAGAGCTAACCGACGCGATCCACAACTACCTCTTGGCACGAAGGGATACTCTGGGATTGTACACAAAAACGAAGCAGAAGGAGTTAGCTTCATGGGATCCAGAATGAATCTGAATGATTTGCAGTCGTTTGTTGGAATTCTCAGTACTCTAACCGTGGCACGTAGAGGAGTGGCTCAACCTGTATCCCTAGTCGGGGGAAATGATCATTGCTAGAGATAGAACGAGCGAGTGCAAACTATGTATTTGGTTAATACAATCAGAGACTGGGCTTTGTGCTGAGAAAGCACCTTCGCTACTAAAAAAGATTCAAATGATATTTGCCTGAGATTTACGCAAATGCTTGCCTTGATTTCCTGATGCCCGACGATCATTTCGTGGTCCCCTGCCATCTCCTTCCACTTCATCAGCATTACTCGCTTTTTCCTTGCCCTTCCGTGATCCTGATTGTGCGATGTCCCCAGTGAGCAGCATCTGTCAATGAAGATGTTTAGAGTATGGGTGTTCAACGGATGTCAAGGACTCACGCTCGAGAATACGGTACTGGACCTTCATACAGATTCGTTTGCGCGCAGTCAGCTTTACACCGCGCTATTGAGAGTGCGATGTCGAAGAGACGTTCGGGCGCTATTTCCTACAGAGGCTGAGGAGAAGACTACGGCGAACGTAGTATACAGACGCGCGACGTCCGAAGGTGATCGGTACTCTTGTAGGGGTATATAACCTAATATTAGTAGAGTGACATAAAAAAAATGAAGCAAGGTATTAATGAAACCCCTCATAGCGCATTTGCACGATCCAATAGGCCTCTGATGCGTCTGCTAAGTCTCTCGGCCTCTATTTTCCGATCAAGGACTTGCTGAGCAGGACTATCCTTCCTCCGCGCCCACATCTTCCCACCTTTACAGTCACTTTCTGCTCTCTTTGCATGAAGAGCGGATAGATCAACAACAGGAGGCGATGAAGAGAATTTGATGACGTCTCAGTAGAAAACCTTAGTTTCTGCGGCGAGCGAGCGAATAGTAGGAGGAGCGGGTGGAAGTTCCGTATCGGATTTGTCTGCGTCAGATTGTCCTGAGGGGCCCAGTGGAGGTGTACGTACACGGCTGATATGTTCTGGGAGATGTGGTAGTGCTTGTATTTCCTTGAGTAGGTCCTGTCCCTTGAGATACGAGTTTTCTGTGCGCAAGAAGCGGACGGTGCCACGAAGAGCCTCGATCTATGTGAGAGTCAGAACAACAATGATAAGATGGGTCTAGACCTGCACGGACCTGCTCCAGAAGGCGTGGTGTCTCCACATTACCCTCCATGGGGACATTCTCTGAATCAACAGGTTTTGTGCCATCAGCTGGACATGGCAAGTTATCAGACCGTGCAATTGACCCCAATATAAAGAACCATACCTAGTCGCTCCGAACCGCAACCAACGCCTTCAGTTTCGCATTATCTTGCTTGAACGTATCCAGGTCTGCCTGCAGTTGCTCCATTGGCTCTTCGTATGCACGTTCCTGCTTGCGCGCTTTCGAAAGCTCAATCTCAAGATCTCCAACGGCTCCATGCGCTCGATCTTCACCCCTGACTCCTGTATCACTTGGTCTTTCGTCTTGAGACTCCGTACAAATCCTTGTATTTCCTCCTGCAGCTGTGCAGCTTTCTGCTCGGCTTCGGCATTGATAGCCATGCTGGCTCTGATCTCCTCAATTCGTAGGACCCACGGTGGTGTGCCAGAGACTTGGCCATCGTTAGCATGATATTTGACGAATATCAAAGTTAAATGAAGCCTACTCTTGAACGCGTTCTCAGGTTCCATTGATAAAGGGAGTAACTTGTTGCACTCCGCTGATAACTGGGCAATAGCTTCACCAACCGCCTCGAAGCAAGAGGTCCCAAGTTTCATGTCCTTGGCGACAGTGGACATTGCAGTCTGCCTGGCGTACGACAACACTGTTGCAAGCTGAAACGGAGCCTTGGCACTACGGGCGTCGCTAAGGTGTGGAATTACTTGTTGGGCGAGCTACAGTTATACAAATAAGTAGTCTTCTTCAGAAAGGGGAGCAAAAACACAAACAGAGATACCAAAGTTGACTAGCTCGGGAACTGCGTTGCTGAGAGTTTTGAGTTGCTGAACGAGATATGACTTGAGTGCAGAAGACTCCTGGATGATGTCATCGAGGCGCTTTGTAAGTTTCCTGTATCAGAGGCGATTTTACTGTGAACGGCGCTAATAATTGTGGCGAGCTGATAGTGCTGATGGCGAGTTGATATGAGCGCTGACGCTGACGCTGAGCTGCGCTGCAGCGCCAGAGCAGCGAATATTCATTTGAATCACATGAGCGGGCAAACGAGAAAAAGAGAAGCCCGAACTATAAAACACAAAGTCTGAGGAAATGTGACATCAGTATTCTGCGGCTGCAGTGGCGACCTTGGAACGAAAGTTTTACATCCCATGTATATCCCTAACCCCGTTGCCTGACGAACAAAGTGTTAAAAACCGAGCTGGCCATGAGTTGGCCATACATGCGGACATGGTTTAAAATTGAGATTGCGTGTATAGAGGAGCTACAATGTGTTTGCCACATAAAATCACGGCCGTCCGGATTGGGCTTCAATGATCTTGCAGTGATTTAACATTTTGCGCTTCAATTGGGATCCCGACCCGTGGCGTCACGTCTTTGAGTTCAGACGAAGAATGGCAAGCCTTCCTATATGATTTAGAATCTAAAATAAATGGTCTAAAACTAGTGGGATAGTGTTAACCTTGATATTTTACACTTCGTCGTCGTCGAGGATTCCTCTCTCCTTTAAAATTTCTGCACCGCATCTACTGCGCCACCTATCCATATGTTGTATTACATTCCCACCCCGTTTGATCTTCATCTGAACGGCTTTACCTTTTCGACTTTGCCCGCAGTGAGACAGGTCTGAATGTCGTGTGAAATGTCAAGGCAATACTTAGTATTTAGCTTGTCATGTACGCAGATATAAAATTTCAAATGTTAAAGAGATTTTGCATGACAACTTGAAGAAAAACATAAAGCATTAGTGAACATTTTGTTGCCAGCTGAATGTCATTGATAATAGTGATGGAAAAGTCCGGTCCGGTCCGGTTCTCTACGAAATTCGGAGAACCGCGGACCGGACCATCGGTTCAGTTCTTTCAATACTATCATTCCTGGGAATCTGCAACTGGCATGTAATATGCAAAATGTGCAAAACACCTCAGCGCAACTCAACGTGCTGCTTAAATCACCTTGAAAAAATTTAGGCGTATTTAGGCTATCTAGAGCTAATATACATCAGCAAAACACTAAATTTAGCACAGCTACCGTGGCGGCTTACAGCATCTTACAGCAGCGCAGGTATCTGTAGCGATGGGTAGTGATTAATTATAGCAACCAACAACTTTAATGATAAATACAATAGAAATTCACAGCGCGACATAGCACCACACAGTGCTACAGCGAGTGACACCAACACGGTGCTAGTACTACTGGTAGCTCTTGACTGCGCAAGTTTAAATGAAAAACATCCTGATAAGCTGCATTTACAAACATTGATTCGAAGTAGTACTACTATAGTAAAATATATACTAGTACTAGAGCATCGAGTTGGAACGGTTGGGTATAGGACTAGTGTTACTGCTGGTAGTGCAACAAAAGAATAGTATCACAATGATTCTAACAAGTCCAAGGAATTGGACACCACCTGGGCCTCAGAATTCAAGTTGAGTGTTTGGCTCAGAGTCGCACTTGCAGATCCTGGATCTACTTAATAGCAAATGTGTCAGTAGAAGCGGTCAAACAAATTTAACAGAATACAATCACCTGCTGGTGATGGCTGAGCCAAGTCTACTTCCAGGCTGAATGCATCCCCGTTGTCCTGACTGATAGATTTGCGACGTCGCTTTTGACTTGGCTTATCCTCCAACAACGTGATGCCACTTTTACGAACCGAATGGCGTACATAACCGATGTCAATGAATGTCAGCGTCCTCCAACTTCCTCTCAGCTTCTGTAGCCTCGAACTTGTAGAGTTTTCCGAGTGCTACATTCTGTTTGAGAACACAATCTGCGAGTGTCTTCTCCGCAAGGCAAACATCTCGCTGTGCTCGTGTTGCATTCAAAACAAGCTGGGCCTTGAATTCCTCACTAGTCCGGCCTGGAGTGTCGTTGGAGTTAGCAGATTCCTGGGTGAACAAGATCATTTGACTAGTAGTGTGTGTGGATGCCATTGAACTTACATTATCGCTCTCTCTGTAGTCTGAGTTTGGCTCCGTTTTTATTGGGAATGCAGGTGATGGAACTCTGTTCATCATGATGTTCAGCCCACCTCTAGTAGTAGAATGTGCGATATTTGGTGTGGCCAAGTGGTGCAATAATGCAGGGGATCGTTGGTTTCGCAGAGCGCCAATGGCCCTAGGAGTCCCGATGTGATTCATATTCTGCGTCGTAGTAGGGATACCAGTAGTAGACATAGTATGTTCAACCTGAGATCTCGTAGACGAGGACATCGGAGTGTAGTGAATGGTCGATGGGCGTGATTTAGTACTAGGTGATGTACTGGTCACGACTGGTTCAACATCTGTGCTAAGACTGGCCTGAGAGAGCTCAGAAAGAGGTCCTGATATTGGCTTTGGTGGTACCACTAGTAGCATAGTACTACTACGTGTTCCGTGAATTATTGCTTGCGTTGGGTAATGGGTCTGGGACTCGTGTGAGGGTGTTTGATTGGGTAGGGTCCCTCTAGTAAGAGATGGGCCTGTCACAAGTTGGGCACTAGCAGAGGACATTCGAGTTGTGTCAATGTTCAATTTTCCTGAGTCACGCTGACTCCCGAGTGAGTGATTTCAAATGTGATGTGACAAACTCTTCAATATCAATACAATGAGTCATGTGTAGTAGTACTGCCCCGCGTGTGGTATTATCTACTAGTAGCCTTGAGAGAATTGCTAGTACTAGTAGTATGTTTCATGAGGCTACAACAAGAAGAAAAACAAATGCAACATGGATAGTATGACGACATTAAATGACATAGTAGCACTAGTAGCGTATGAACCCAATCATGAATGAAATCAGTTCGACAACAAATTCAAATAGCAGAACAAGCGACGTAGAACTTGAAGCTTCAAGTTCTAGTACCGATCATGTAAATTGTCAGTGTTGGGAGAAAATAGAGTCAAATGATGGACACTCACACTCGACATGGCAACTTGAAGAGCCTACTGACGACACTTCCCCTTACGCTTCCCCTTGCCACTTCCATTTGCCCCTGCCTGATTCAGTTGCGCCTTAGTAGAATCTTCATGTCTGCCCTCAGACTGGATCTTTGATTTCTTTGCTGAGGGCTCAGGCTGCACGTCAAGCGACAACCCAGCAGAGGAAGAGGCAGTCTGAGTTGCATCGTATGAGGGACAAGTTGTTGGATCAGATGAAGAGGAAGTGGTTGGAACAGATGATAGTGAAGCAGTTGTCAATTGAGTACTATCGGAGGCCGAGGATGGAACATTGATGTGCGTCGTCTTGTGCTTGTCGTATTTGTGGTGGCGCCAATCTAAGTAGTGGCAATAAGCTGTAAGGTAAATCGCCAAGGAGATAGAGTTGGTAGCTGCCCCCCAAACGGGGTCGAACATGGGACGGGAATCACGCGCACTCTGAACTGCAGACTGCTCAAGTCCCATACCCTCCATCAACGATATGATATACTCCTTCAAATTCTCAGCAGCATCATCTAACATGTGCTCAACGTCATCCATCTGCAAGATGGGGTAAAGGGTCTGCAGAGGCGAGTTGAGGTCAGAAAGTAGAACTACTAGTAAGATGAATATATACATACCCCCTCTGCGAAAGTAGCAGTATTCTTGTTGTTGAAATTGAAGTGACCGTCCATGCCACGCTTGTGCATGCTGTAGCGAATCTGGCTGATATCGATCCAAGTGTGAGATCTGATATCCACCGGACCAAACCTCAAGCTTTTCTTGATACGCGAAGGGATAAAATCCTCATAATCCAATGCAGGAGCCAAGCGAAGTTGTTGTGCGATGATATTGTCTTCTTTTGGCTGTTGCCATTTGACTCGCTCTTCGAAGGATATGACGAAAGCGTAATCGATGTCTCGATGACCGTCGCATGTGATACTCAGCTTGCGCACCATGCAGTTCCTATCGGAGGAAAGTCCACATTCTCCAACCCACTTAGAAATTGACTTTGCCACCACTATCTCATCTGACTCCATGTCCTCTGGTGGTTGTGCTGTAACAGTAAGGTGTAAGTCTGGAATGTTCATAGAGTCCTTGTTTTGGATACGGTGATTGAGATGCATAGTGATGTCAATCAAGAGTTTGTCGTAAGGGATGGCTTCCATGAACTTATTGATAGCCTTTGCAAGGTGTGCGGCTGGTTGTTCGTGAACGGGAAGTGGGGGCATAATGTGAAGATCTTGAGTATCGGCAAAGTAGACGAATCTGCAATAACAGTTGAGACGTGGTCAGTGTACATATACAACTTAGGTACCACTCTGGCTTTACTTTGCTCTGACTTCGAAATCTCGCTCTTCCGATGTAAATGCTACCACTGCTGCGTACTCAGCAGGCGTAATACCGGCGATGACCTCACATAATGGTAAATATTAACCTACAACGAAGGTAGATTGGCCTACGATTGAATGAGGTTGAGGATGTTGAAGCGCTGTAGAAACAACAATACTGAAAGGAACAAATGATGCTCCTGACTGTATCTGTAAATGTTGTGAGGTCGCGCGTTGCCTAGTCTGCTATACTTGAGACGACAAGTGCGTTCGACCCTAAAGGGGAGGCGAGTGCAGCAAGGATCTGGTAGTAGGCGCTACTGGTCGGCCAATGCGAGGCACGGGAAAGCGAAGGTGCGTGCGTGAGCGGTAATGAGAGAGAGTAAGAGTGAGTTTGCTTAAGTGGTGATTAGATACTAGACAAGAGATACAAGCGCGAGGTGTCAAAGAATAGATTTCTACTATGTTCTCCTAGGTAGTATGTGGGTGGTAAGTGGGAGGTAAAGTGCAAAGTTGGAAAGTTAGTTCAGTATGTAATGCTGGCGCTTATATGGCGCCTAAGCGCTGTCATGCGGAGCCGAATCGCTACTGAGTAAGGTATGCAAAGATATATGTATGTAAGTAAGGGTCCATGATAAAAATAAAGGTGGAACGATACACAGATAAGAGAAATGGAAACATACGCACTAGAGAACTTGGTGGACAGTGGATGGATGCTTCCGGATGGCTGGCGCTATAGGGCGCTCAAGCGCGGGAAAGCGCGCGCATATATACATCGTGAAGCGCGGGAATGGTGCGCGCATGGCGCGCGTTGTGCGGGAAAGCTGCGCCTCATATAGGGATAGCTACAGATAGCACACAGAATGGTGCTGCAAGTTCGTGCAATGAACTCCCTAGTGAAAAGTGCCATATCACACCATGAGAGGCATGAGTCTGTCTCTACAGCGCTTCAAGGATGACTGCACAGCGATCTTTGCGATGATGAAAGGTCAGAAAGAAGATCGGTAGGTGATAAGCGATCTGAGAAATACTAACCTAAGCTTAAAGAATCTTGATTATCCAACTCTGTAAATTGAATGTTGAGCCTTGTTTGTATTGCTGTCTTCAGGTCTTCAAGAACTTGATTGTCTTGAAATTCTGTGTCTGTTGGAACATAATTGTGCAAGGAATATGGGGCCTTTTTGACTTGTTCTTGTTGTACACATCGAGGAGGGGAAATCAAGCTCAGGTTTGAAGGTGGTTTTGGGAGCCAAGACTTTGAACTCTTTGAGAGCTTGGAATAAATAACTGGAAGAGCCATGAGAGTGCTGGTGACAGACATTGGGAGTTATGATGACAACAAAGGGCTTGTGAATCACATGGACAGCTAGTAGTAACAAGAGTGTAAGTTTAGTCAGCCGAAGCCACGTGTGTTAGGTAGCGCTGCACAGCGCTACCCAGCGGGTCCTCGTGCAGGATAGTGTGCTTTTCGTGATGTGCAGTGCCTTACAGTAATGCATAGCAACATATAGTTCTTTATCCATTGATATCTACTATCATATTCAACCTACTAGTATTGGTACTTCCAAAACAATTGAATCATGATACAAAATACTATGAGTTTGAGATAGCATAGTAGAAGTCTTTGTCGAAATATTTGTTTAAGAAGAAAGTTTGAGCAAAATGAGCACTATTTTGTGCTGTTAGACGAGAATCAGCAATAGGGCCAAATTGGGGGATAATGTGAGCTAAAGAACAAAGTTGATCTAGTGGGAGGATGTCGCTGAAGGGAGTCCCTGCTGATCGCATTGCACGTTTTACAACATGCATTTTTGTTGTGCGTTCCAGTAAGTTTCCATGTCGCTGAGGCACAATATCCAGGCGTTGAACATAGGTAAGAAAACGTGTGGCCCAGCGGGCACTACTAGTTTGTCCTCGTGGAGGAAGCGGTTGCATGATAAGGTGTACCTCAACAACAGCATGGCCTGCAAGTTGCTCGATTGTCAAACTTGGATATAATATATAAATTAACATTTGAAAAGTGTACCTTTAAGCCCACTGGTGGGCCATCGTTCACATCTGCCAGCCTGAGTGGTATCATCAACAGCAAAAATGGCAGTGTCGTAATGGCCATACTTCCAAGTTGCGCTCGGAGGTGATGCGTTGACCGTAAGAGCAGGAGAAGTGATAGATGGGCTATGGTAGGATGCCTGCTGCACACGTACTTTGAACCAGACCATAAGGTCGTCAAATGGAAGAGGTGCATCAGGTGGTGCTCGGCGCTGTCCCTCCAGCAAGTGGAAGGTTTGAACAGTACCTTCTCGTTGAATATAGTCAGCGAGTGCCCCCCCAGAGATCATCCAAAACTGTCTGCAAATGTAGTTCATCAACATGTGAGCCTTCATCTGACTCGGAATCATGATGTCCTGAATCAACATCCATTGTTCGAGAAGCAGAAGTTTGTGATCGTGACCGAGCGATTATTGATATTGTGATATGAAAGTTTCGACACTTTTCTCGGCGATCAAAAAAACGGCATATTTAAGCATCATAATTGATGTTGTTAGAGGAATCTGCAGGATCCTTGATTAGAGTGATGTGAGCATGCTCTGTGGTGTCAGCAGACCACTGCAAGAGAGAGCTGACATGACGTATACTAGGCACGACACTCTGCATCAACTCCAGTTTGGGTATATGCCAGTTGTTGAGGACCTGTTTGCTCTGGGCACCTCGATGCGTGCTGCAAGCAATGATATCTTGCTTGTGATCATGAAATTCACTGAGGGCACCAAGAATATTTTGACAATGTGCTTCATTGATCGTAGTCGCTTGTGATAGATAGCGAAAGTCCATCAGAGCGCGAATGGCTATGACAACGCCAGGCGGCGCAGCATCAGCAATGAGAGCAACAATATAGTGTTGCATGTCGCACTGGGCTCTTCCAGTGACTTGTTTAAGCTTTGAAATACCATCTTTGAATTGTCGGAACGTCGTGAGTGGTTGTAAAACAGAGAAGTGAAAGTCTAGTTCCTGCTCGCCAACAGCTGCGAGACACCACTTAACATCGTGGTCATAAAACTGACGGTGCCAGTGATGCAGGGGTTCGGGAGTGAGAAACAGATATGGATCCGCGAGTGACCAATCATGCCAGAATGGCTGGGCGACACTGCTCAGGCGGAAGGCAGCACATGCATCAAAGTAGTCTTCGATGTCGAGGGGATTGCAATCAATGCTCGAAAGCTGCTCGAGAGTCGTTTTGGCTGTTCGAGGAGGGTGTTGAAAGGCGTCTCCGAAATGTTCATACATAGCCATAGTTACAGGCAAGGTCTTTCCTCGAACACATGCAAGCATGCATGCCTCAGGTGTATCAACAATGTATGAAGCTAAGGGTGTGAAACAATATCTGAGGTTCCCAACTGGGTCAGACATCATCCTCCCGATGCGTGCAGCTTGCTTGAGCGGCTCTAGCACAATATCTAGACATTGGTGGACCAAGCGGGCTTCAAGAACACTCTGCATCCACTTCACCAGATGCAGAAATTCAGCAATTGGAAGCAGCGCTGTCAGGAGGAACACATGTGAGGATGCCTTGTTCCGAGTCGCCATTTTGATGTTGGCAAGGCTAATCAGGAGCGGGTGAGCGATATGTCCACCAGTCATGTTGGTGATGTTAGTTTTATCAGATGAAAGTATAATACCTAACAATGTCACACCATCTGGAAGTTGTGACTATGATGTGGTATGAGAGTTAGTAAGATGAACTTGAAAATTATTGATCACAAGGTACGTACCTGCATCGACCATGCTGTGTCCCCTGTCATCCATTCACTATAAATTCAAACTGTACGTTCTGCTGTTTCATAGACACGTTGAGGTGTGACATTGATTTCCTTGGCAAAGAGCGGGTGGCTAAAAAGCGATTTGATGCAATCCAACGGATCGCACCAGTCAAAATGTAGAGGTTGCTTCGTTGGGTGAGTTGTTGAGACAATGCGGTACTGCCACTTCGGAACAGGAGGCAGCAGCTCAGCGCGACCACATAACTCCTTGGCTGTACGAAAGGAGAGAGGTAATACTTTAACCTGTAGAGAAATCAGCACTTGTGATAGCAACATGCTCGCTCACTCAAGACGTACTAGTTCCAGCCCCAGGAACTCATCTATGGCTGCCATACTTAATGACAAGCACAGGAGAAAGCTGCCAAGCTCCCAGTCCTGACAGGATGCGAATGGATAGTAAAGATTGTCCTTACGTTGTACTGCATATGCATCCATATCAAACCTATCTTGGAAGGTTTGGCCGTGCTTATATACCTTCGCGGCATTCCTGAAACGCTCAATGTAAGGCTTCTCCAAAGCTTGACTACCTAAAGGCTCTTCAAGGGACCCTGCCAGTGGCAAGTCATTCTCCGAGCTTACCCTGCCTCCCTCGTCACCATAGAAATCGCAGCCCGAGTCATTCATGCCTGCTGTTTCTCCATTGTCAACTTGAACTTGAGACTCGGAGTCCATTTGGAAATCTTGAAAAGGGCTTGGTGTTCTGGAATGGAGAGAGCCAGCGGATGACGACTCAGATGGGTTGAGAGTTTCTTGCTGGTCTGCCAACTTCTGTGAGTCTTGCAAAATTTGTGCAGCGCTCTCAAGTTGATCAATCCATCGTAGGCAGGATGTAAGGGGCTGGCTCAGGTGTTGTGAAACAGCCTGAGCACTCTTAAATTGTTTCAAGCAGTTAGGGCAGTTGGCTGTCATTGACTCAAAGTAAGGATGGTGGTGCTATTCAAGTTAAAGTTCAATGTTATTGATCCGAGTCAGCTGAAGAACATATACTAGTAGTAGTAGAGTCTCAGCTACCGGTACGACTCGGCGGATTCGGATCAGATAGTAGTGCTAGTACTGTATTTAGTAATTAAACATATGCAGGCGCTAAGTACTACTACTACTAGTACTACCTAAATGGATGCTGTAACTATTTATTATTTGGCATCAAATTGAAGGTTCGATTTTCTCCATCATTCGCCTAGTAATCTTGTGCTAATACTACCATGGGCCGACAGAAGAAGCCACGAGTCGGAGCCACGTCAGTTCAAGTCGTCGAATCAGACTTTGACGATGAACCAGCGACAGTTCAACTTCCCCGTCGTCGTTCAAACCGACCTGGTGCTGGCGTTGGAGGCAGGAATTCTCAACTAGAGAAAATAGGAAATGCCATCCAGACTCCAGTCAGAGCATCCAGCAAATCGAAGGTTCAGAATGTGGTTGTCCCTTCGGATGAGCCTGAAAATGCGATGGCTCTGGTGGCGAAGAAGAAGGGGAGAGGAAAAGCACCTCGGCAGCTTGAGAGAAACCTGAGTGTAATAGTAAGTACTGGCTTGGTCAATTTTTATTATCATTATCTCAATACTAATGTTGGTATTCAGCAGGAGGCATCCGAGTCAAGCCTCACTGCCGCAGATCCCATACCTACTCTACACGTCACAGACCAAGGGAGGTTTGGATTGCAGGATCGTCCGATTCCCTCAGCATATGTCAGTTCCAAACCACTCCAGTCCCATCAAACGGATCCTCCTGGGCGTGACTTAGTAACGATATCTCCTACCCAGCCCTATGTTCGTGATCGCGGTACCTCTCAAGGTGCTTCTCACTGTGGTGCTTCTCGTGGCACCTCTCGTGGCACTTCTCAGCGCAGTGTATTTCGTGGTGCATCTCGCACTAGCAGTGTCCCTCATGGTGCCCCTCTTCACGACCCTCAGGCTGATAGGATCGGACCTCCAGCTGTCCAGCATCCTGCCAGTGCCACAGTTGGCGCACATGTTGTTTCTCATGATCCTCCTGAGTCCGTCAGTGCTCGCCGTATTTTTTCTCATAATATTCCTCAGTCTGTCAGTGATCGACGCTTGGGCTCATCTACTATTCCCATTCGCAACCCTTTAGTTCAGCAGCATCTGTCAGCCACCATGACACCCCACTGCGCCGTTGCTTGCCCTCCTGCTTTCGGTTCCTCCAGTGGTCCAGATATTTTTGTTGACGATGCTGAAGAAGGTAACAAAGAAGCGGATGGAGAAGGGGACATTGAAGAGGATGTCATGTATAATGAGGGAGGAGATTCTGCAGAAGAAGATGTCATTGATATCGATATGGAGCACGAGGAGGATTTTCGCAGGACTGACGACATCATGCAACCCTCAGAACACGATGATCAAATGTACCCCAGCAACCAAGTCAGACGCCCTGCGCAAGCACCTGATCAAGGTGCATATTTTCAGGATGAGGATTCTAATCGTGACAACGTAGGAGCGACTGGCATGTATCGGAATGATCGCACCTCTAGCAGGAAGAGTAAAGACCGGCACATCAACATAGCTCAGGCGCCGAAGCGAGCGAGCCTGCAAAGCACTGACAAACGAGCTCGGAGTCGTTCGAACACCCTAGTGGTTGTAAGTACTACTCACTCATATTGCTACTACTGTGTATTGACACCGTTTTTCAGCCTAATATCGATTATGATGTCCTCCAGGCTCACCACAAGAAGAATCATCGGCCATGTTCACCGTCCCCTACATATTTGAACAGCGTGCGGAATCGCCATCTGAAGACTAAGTGTGCTCACACAAGAAACACCCTGTCAAGTGATGACTCTGACCAGTCTGAGCAGGACGACTTGGAGGACCTCGCCAATGAGGTCGAGATTGATACTGGGAGGCGCCGCCGCACCAAGAAAGCGAAAGGTGCTACTACTAATCGTGATGCAACTAATGTTGGGTTCTACCCGTCACTCTGGCAAAAACTTCTTGACCGCGCGAAGGCTAATTTCAGGCTTCATATTGCTATTTCAGTCCCGTTCCCTGACAAAGAGGAATCCATTGGCAGTACTGGAGTCTGTGGTGAAGTGATCGCAGAAGCGATTGTGCACTGGCAAGAACAGAAACGCAAACTCGAGAAAGGTATTTTATTTTCTCAAATTACAGTTAGTACTGCCCACTGACAAGCATATGAAGGCTACTACCCTGAATTCAAGATGGAGATGGCTACTGTGGTAAGTCGTACTAACATATATGTTTTCATTCACTACTAAGTCGTGCGGATCCAGGTTCTTAACGACGCTGCGACATTCCGCAGCAAGGTCAAACAGATCACACTTACTGTCATTCCGATGGTATATGAACTAGCACTTGGCATCAACGGGAATACAATCGATAGCATCAAACTCAAGGCAACTGGTTTGTTGAAGAAAGCAATGTATCTACATGGCCATCCTGATTCTGAGGTATGTTGTTCGTCGTCCTTGATATTCAATTCTAAATGTCTAGTACTAGGGTTGTGCATCTAACTTTGCGAACGACGTGATCCGGATCGCTTGCCATAAGTCATTTTATGACAATGGTTCCAAATCACTCAAGCAATTCGCTGAGTTTCAGAAGACCGTTCCACCCCCAGCGCTCTTTCTCGTTGGGACTATTGTGAGTGTGCCTGTAGTATGCTTAAAGTGCGTTTGCTGATTCTGAGTTTATTCTACTAAGATTCGTAATGTGATATATATCTACAGTAAATATGGCCAGGTAAATGGCGCCAAGCAGACACCTATTGAGGATTTGGAGGCTTCCTATGATCGTATTTCGACGTTGTTTGACCGCATGAACAAAGACGAGTATCACGGACCGAAACTGCGTCAAATGCTCAAAGCTTGGGCATTGGAAGGCATGTAAGTCCGGCATGATTTTTCACAAGTAACAGTATATTGACCATCGAGTTAGGAACGCACATGGCGCCGTCTTTGGTGCTGACGAAGGTGACGACGGCTGTTCAGAGTGGGATGTTGATCTCGATTAGTTTACTACTACTATCATTGTTTTATTTTGAATTGAATTATCATTGGTTTTCATATTAATGTGTTAGTGTGTAAGAATAATTGCTATACTAACAGTACTGGTAGCAGTATATTAAAAGTGCTACTACTATGGAACACCATACACCGCTGTATGACACTGCATAGCAGGTTTGTGCTATGCAGCGTCATACAGCGCTACAGTGCTGTGCGGCGCTGTGCCCGACGGCACAGCATGACACATCCGAAGCACACACTGTGGCTTGGCTGCACATGGGGGGACCTCCCTGCGAACCCTGAGTTTCTGTATGGCAATGTGCAGTGCCACATACCCCATTTGGGTTTTGCTGATGTACTGTCCAAGTAGAATAAAAAATTCTTGAATGTTGCAGCTGTGAGAGACAGAATAGTGATTTTTTGCAACCTCATATAATCATAAATGATCCAGATCCCATAGATCCCAGAGAGATATTCAAAAAGTTACACCTGGAACATATCAAACACCTTGTCAGGGTGTCAGAACGCAATTTCGATAGAGGTCATTCTCTTGTTTTAAGATGCTATAGACAGATGATTGACAACGTGTATGAAAGTGTGACAGCAAATAGGAGAGTGTGTAAGAAATTCAATCTCTGCTATGGCACACTCGGCTTGATACACGACGTCCAATTGCATCACATCTCATTCTCGTATCCTTACAATGGACTGAAGGCTGCAGCACTGAATATTGAATTGTTACAGCGCACTTTGATGACCAACGCTATGAGGGTTTATTTAGTCCCCCGTTCTCGCAGGCACCACCTAGAAAATGATAATAATGTCGCTGCGTCGTACCTGAATTCCTGCAAGATATGATTCCCCCAAATTCAATTCTGCAGCCACCAGGTGTCACTCAATCCTCAATATCAATGTCCGAGTCAGGCATGGATCGGCCGGCCCCCCCCCCAGCTATGTACCTCCATATTATCCAATGCACCATCCTACACCTCAGTCTCCACCTGCTCTCCACCCTCAGTTCATATCGGTTGGTAGACATCTCACTGGTATGTCTCAGGATTTTCAAGTTGGTGGTGGAGCGATTTTCTTGGCCTTCATCCGACACTCCACCACAAAATCAGCAAAAATCAGCAAAAATCAGATTCATATAGAGCAGCTACGAATCTACGACGGTGCAAATCCATAGAAGAAAATATGATGTGGTTGAGGAGTTACAAAAGGTTTATTGAAAATGTTGCAGAACCCCAGGAGTGATAGTAAGCCGAACCGTGGACCAGACCATCGGTTCAGTCCAATAATGGTCCGGTTCCGGTTCAGTAGAGGTTCGAACCGAGAACCGGACCCAAAAAAAATGTCAAAATGTTTAAATGTAGCTAGGTACAAAAGTCGAATAAACTACACTAGCACAACATCCTCGTCATCTTTGTCATGTAGTGCAGCAATCAATGAATCCAGATGCTGTTCAGCATCACTAGCGGCCGAAATGTGACCATTGCGATAGGCACTCTTCAGCAGCTGCAAACTCTCGAATACATCCTCCTTAAGACGGTTCCGTCGTTTTGTTCCTGTAAGCCCACCGCTTGAGAAAGTGCGCTCCGATGTGGTACTACTACCCTGAATAGCCAGATAGTCTCTGGCCATGCGCGAAAATGTCGGATATAATGATTGGTGATGCTGCAATAAAATAAGCTAGTTAGATACAAAAGGACTCACAACAAAAATAGAAACTTACACCCCACCAACGTACAATGTCTTCAGTTTGCTCAAGGGGACTCTGAAGGTATGCTGTAAGTTCAGCACAAGGCTTAGCCTGCACACGATCAGACACTTGACGGGCTTGCACAGCAGCAAGGACCCATGAACGGCCATATTGGCCATGTCCAACAGGTTCCTGCTCGGTGTTTTCACCTGCAGGTGCTGAGGCGCTGAGGACATATTATGCATCAAACTATTTAAACGAGTCAGCACATAACTATGTCGCCAATAGACAAACACTTACAACTTGTTCAAAGATTTTGAGGCCAACATCAAACAATTCTTTCTCCCATTGATGTTCAGCGTATGTGAGCTTCACATTAGGATCGAGTGCTGTAAATGCAAGACATTAGTATCATAGTAATGAATCAATGAAAGTAAAAACATACCAAGACAAATAAAATATGCGCTAGTGTCCTTAGTTTTGTTGTATCACTTCGCAATATTCTTGAGTCCATTTTGAAGAGCATCATGTACTGGAGAAAATCGAGCATGAGCGGCCATATTTTCCCAGGATTGCTGTAAAAACTCCAGGACCGGAAGGGTGCACCAAACAGAAGGATCAAGTCTTGCCTGCCTCACGGTCCGCATCCACCATAGCTTTAGTTTGTGCATATGAAGCCTCCGCACCATCCTCTGTGCAATCGGCATCATCCTCCAAGTCAGTTTCAATGGCGTCGGCATTGCCCCCATCATCACTAGAAGCACTAGAAGCTGAAATGACCTTGCGTGCAACTCGCTGTCTGGTCCCTGGACCATCAGCGGCCTTGCGCTTGCTCCAGGCTGAACCTGATGAGGCGACATTATCAGGATCGACCATTTCGTCGAAGGTCGAGGTTCTCGGGCACTACATTGAGCACCAGTAAAGAAATGGTGCACTGGAGGAGTAGAACTTGCTGCAATGGGACCAGGGGCAGATATAGGCTCCTCGTCGTCCGGGTCATTGTGCCATACGATTTTGGAAGCATCTTTTAGATGGCCGTCAGGACCAACAGCGCACTGGTCAGACATAATTGTAGGTGGGAAAATGACAGATCAGCTCACCATGTAATTCACGCGACCCAACTTTAAGCTGCACCTATTAATCAAAAAAAGCTCAGGAAATGTCAATCAGTAAATTAGTTGATAAATTACCTGAAAGTCGTTGATTGAAATTTGAGAATCTGAATGAGAGTCCGAAGTGGCGTTGTCAAGGTGCTGGAGTCGCAGATGGTGTTGTTGGCGCCTCCTGGTGTGGTAAAAGGAGAGGTGCCAGAGGGATATCTGAGACTTGCGGAGAGATGATGGATGACGCGGACGAGGCAACATCAAGGTTGTCGTTAAGAATAGCCTACCATGTTCTGCCGGTTAGAGTAGGTCTGTCAATTATAGAATTAGATCTACACCCTATTATTAATAGTACTACACTAAAAATATTTACTGACTTGCCACCGGTTCAAACAGGTTCGAACCAGATCAGAACCGGTTCTGCAATTCTGCAAGTCCTCGAACCATGGACCGGACCAATGGTCCAGTTCCCCCTATTGCCTGAACCTTGAACTGGACCCTCGGTCAGGTTCGAAACGGTCTGGGTTCGAACCGTGGTTCAGAACCGGACCCGGCCACCACTAATTGATAATACGAAATATAAATATATCTTTAATGCTGGCTTATACTTCGAAATGAAACTTCACGTTTAAGACTTCAAAAAACTTTAACCATTGCATGTGACCAAATGCCTGCTCATAATACGAAGTTTGGACCACCACTTAGACGGGCATTAAAATTTAAAATACCTCTTGACAATAAAACAGTACATAAAACATGAAGTTTTGGCTCCAGATAAAATTAATTGCCCGATGATTGCCCACTTACGAGTACACGAGTAGATTTTCTGTCCATTTGAAGAAAACTTGTATTATTTTTTTTTGCATCAGATTGAGTCCTTTGGGGTCGCAGACCCCATATTGGACATGTTTCGTCATATGCTTTCCCCCGTATCCATGTATTCTAATAGTACATACATATTGAGTCCTTTGGGTTGCTTTCCCCATGTCCATGTATTCTTATAGTACAGTACAGTAAAGTGATGACACAAAATGATCTAATTGTCTGTGAATGCTAAGAGGATATCAGAGACGCACATTAAACGACAAAAAAGATAGCTTACCACTTGCTTTGGTAGTGAGAAAGTCAGAACATGCCGCGTCAAGATTCTTCTTGAACTTCTTTGTCGCTCCATTGAATTTCAGTCCATGTTTCCAATGTGTGTTGTTCACCGGACCATTGTTGTCCACATATTACAGTGACCTATCTCTGTATAATACGAGGCAACGGACATGCATAATATCCCGTATGATACGGGCCAGCGGACCATGGGCCCATGATAAAAATATCCTCGACTATGACAGATGGGCCGGGAGGGAAATTATTCCCGATGGAGGTGGGTGGGCCCATGCAGGGAATATATAGAGTAGATGAGTGGGCCGATGTACATGAATATTAGGTGGACGGGTGGGCCGAGGTAGTTGGATATTATGCAGATGGGTGTATTAAGGTAGATGTGTATGAGATAGATGGGTAGGTACTTGTTATCACATTCACGGGTGGGCCCAGACACATATTAAATTAGACCGGTGGGCCAAGGGTATTATAAAATATTGTATTAGACGGGTAGGCCCAGATGCATATTAATTAGACCGGTGGGCCGAGGGTGTTGTATGGGATGTTGTATTAGATGGGTGGGCCGAGGGTGGTATAAAATATAGATGGGTGGGCCCATGTGTATCATAATTGTAGACATGATGGAGCTGAGGTAGTTGTACATCAACCAAATCAGAGGAGGTAATAAATCAAAGTTACCAAGTTCCCGGAGCAGCAGGTGATCTCCTGACATGGCCTTTGATGGTGCACAGGTTGTCTTGCAAAATTTGGAATCCGGGGTGCGAAGCTTGTGTTGCCCTACAAGAAGCCAAGTTCCAATTACCAACCTTTGGGTCAACCATACTCAGAGGAGGTAATAAATCAAAGTTACCGAGTTCCCGGAGCAGCAGGTGATCTCCTGACATGGCCTTTGATGGTGCACAGGTTGTCTTGCAGAATTTGGAATCCGGGGTGCGAAGCTTGTGTTGCCCTATGAGACGCCAAGTTCTGACCACCAAAATTTGGGTCAACCGTACCGACTTCCGAGTTCCAGGACCCGGGAGTCAACAAATGAATATCTGATAACCAGCACACTTCCAATCAGGTAGTATTTCATTGAGCAATGGATCATCCAAGGGGTCCCTTATCAGACTCGGTAGTCAATATAGGCAAATGATAATGAAAACATGAAAGTTGTTATTATGCTATTTTTCAAACCCGAGACCCTGAAACCCATTGTTCAACATGTCCATTTTTCACTCACTGCACAAATCATCGAGTTTTGAGTGCCGAAACCCAAAACTCGAAACCCGGTGTGCAACATGTCGATTGTTCATTTACATTACACGAATCATCGAGTTCCAAGTGTTGAGTGCCGAAACCCGAAAATATGTATGGAACATGTCCATTTCCTACTCATTGCACATATCACCGAGTTTCGAGTGCCGAAACCCAAAACTCGAAACCCAGTGTGCATCATGTCCATTGTTCAATTATATTACACAAGTCATCGAGTTCCAAGGGCCGAGGGCCGAAATCCAAACCCCGGACCCCGAAAATATGTGCGCAACATGTCCATTTTTCACTCACTGCACAAATCACCGAGTTTCGAGTGCCAAAGCATGAAACTTGAAACCCAGTGTGCAACATGTTGATTTTTCATTTATATCACACAAATAACCAAGTGCCAAGTGCCAAGTGCTGAAACCCGAAGCCCGAGACCCGAAAATATGTATATAACATTTCCATTTTTCACTTGTTGCACAAATCACTGAGTTTCAAGTGCTGAAACCCAAAACTCGAAACCTGGTGTGCAACATGTTCATTGTTCATTTACATTACACAGATTATCGAGTTCCGAGTGCCGAGGGCCGAAACTCAAAACCCAAAATCATGTACACAACATGTCCATTTTTCACTCATTGCACAAATCACCAAGTGTCGAGTGTCGAAACCTGAAACCCAGTACTTCAAATGAACACGAATTGTATTTGTATGTATTATCCATTGGTGTAGGGTTCAAATAACTTGGGAATTGTATTTGTCAGCACTCGGTACTCGGTACTTGGTGATTGGTGGTCAGTGGTCAGTACTTGAGACTTGGTAGTCAATATAGGCAAATGATAATGAAAAAATGACAGTTGTAGTCCACGTCAAGGTGAGTGTCTTGGTAGTCTTTCCTTGTCATTCGGCAAAACATCAGCAATAATGAAAAAATGAAAGTTGTTATTATGCTTAACTTCCTTACCGAAGGTTGTAGTCCAAGTCCAGGTAAGTGTAGTGATAGTCTTTTCTTGTCAATTGGTTATCTTTTTACTCATTACGCAGTACTCGGTGTGTGGGACATGATGCAAAAATTGGACATGTTCCTTCAAGGGTAATGCTGTATTTTCCATGTATTGTCTTTGAAATAACAGCTTAAAATAATGTTAGTTTTCTTCTCTGTGTTTTTCAAATATATACAGAACATTTGAAAAACACAGAGAAGAAAACTAACATTATTTTAAGCTGTTATTTCAAAGACAATACATGGAAAATACAGCATTACCCTTGAAGGAACATGTCCAATTTTTGCATCATGTCCCACACACAGATCATTGAAACATGAATTACTTTTTTTCAATGTTTTGACAGGAAAAATGAGGGGAAATTTCTATCTTCTCAATCAATGTTTTTTGAATGTTTGGTGGAAAAAAATGGGAAAATGCCTGCAGTGTGTGATGGAGCCATGGGATTTTCTTCAGCATCCGAGTCGCTCATTTGAACAATGGGCTCCTTGTGTCCTTTCCTTGCTGGGGCTGCTAGTGTTTCTCCAGTTTTTTGCAGTTGTGCTACATGGCTGCCAACACCTCGTGTACTTCTCTTGCTTTGTCGAGAGGGAGCTGCTGCTGGGGCAGCATGCTTTGCCTTCTTTCTTGGAGGCATCAGGAAAGCCGGAAACATATCAATAGTATAGCTGATCTAGTGCTGACACTTACATTTGATAATTAGAGCTAGGTAGATGTGAGGGGCCAGAGTAGGTTGTTTACTGTGCTGCAGCCCTATCAAAAGGCTCATATTCACGTTCTACTTTCTTCTATCATAGCCACAAAAATTCAATTTATTCTTTGCATAATCTGCAGGTCACCAATGTTACAAGAAGTATTCTATCGTGATTGCCCAAAAACTATTTTAAGAAAATCAACCACAGGCCTTGGGACATCTGGAATACCGTCTCAACGCTGAGGTGTAAAATTGCATCAAATTCTGCAAGCGTGAACAGGTGAGTACATGTAAGTCAACACCACAGAGAGAACTCGAACCTTGCGGCATTTTTGCACTGCAACACCCACTGCACCCAACTGTGTTGGAGTAAGTTTATGGAATGGTGTACCAGGAAACATAGCTTTTTCTTCAGGCCAACATGCAAACCAACATGAAAAGAGTGCACTGAAGAAAAAAATATGTTGAGACAGATCACATATCGCAAAGAATTCATCCGAGCAAGACAGAAGGAATTGCTGCTGGATGTATCGGAGGGGAAGAGGTCTCGTCGGTAAAGACTGTTTGCCTTCAATTCAGCAACGACGTGCACAAGGACTGCATTACTTACTGACACAGACATTGATTGAGATGAGTTGGGGTGTGAAGCTGCCTGATGCCTATTTATTACAGTTCAGGCAAATGCTTTGAGGAAGTTCACATTTTGAGTAATAGTGATGGCAACTGAAACAAGGACAAACATGTGACTCTCAATACCATTGTATTTGAAGTGGTGTCACAAGTATTGGAATAGCAATGATCCTCGGCTGAATTTTGTAAGCATCTCCGTGTCTATCTCGCTTACAGCTGCATAACACCAGAGCTCTTCAGTGGCAGCATTCACCAATTTGCATCGATGAAACAGATTACTGAGACACTCCGTGATTGCAGCGGATAAATGAGACTTCCCCCTATGAGATGACTGTATGTATTCCTGAATGGACTCAAGTATTTCCAAACAATCTGAAAGCATTGCGAGGACAATCTGTTGGTCCCAGTGGCCTCAAATCATCTGCGCATACAGTGTGTTGAATATTGAACAAGTCAGGAGGCTCGCCTTGGCGACATCGACACCACAACTAGGAGAACATGAGGTGTTCAGTATATGATGTTGTTCAGAATTGATGTAGAAGTATATTACAGGGTTGATGGTTAAGCGGCTGAAAAGAGTGTGGTTGAGTTGTGGGCGAGCTGTTAAAAGTGACAGTAATCAAAACTTACAATAACTTTGGCAGAATCTATGTGTCCTCCTGATGCCGAGGATGAACTATGATGTGGAGGGCTAGATGTTTGCATGTGTCATCCGAGAATTGACATGGAGGGACAGATGAGCTTAATTTGCGACTGGGAGCTTGTTGAACATACGTAGGAGGACCTGTGATGGATGGCTCACCAGAGCCCATGATCTGGCTGACCACCTTTTCAGCTTGTGATGACCTTTGGATGCAGATTCTCTTCTTCCTGTATAGTGGTGGGTCAGTATCATGTGGAGGAATAGAACATCATGAAAACGTACTTAGATGGACTTGCGCCAGAGACCTGACACCCAGAATCTATGACTTGGCTGACAATCTTTTTGGTTCGGTACTTGGCTGCCATTTTGATGCTGATTTCCTCTTTCTTCCTGTATAAACGGGTCAGTGCTGTCCAGCTTACTAGATGTATTAGCAATGCCAGACCTTTCATAATATGTCCTTCTGTAAATCGAGCTGCATTCTTCTCCTCAGGTGTGTTGTAGATGAGGGGATGCACCATCGTTCACCGTGTTTGGATAGTAAATGAGGCACAACAACGATAAGACTCCAGAAACACAAACCTGGATACAAAGCCAAACACCTGCCAGTCCAGTACTATGAGCAACTTCAATTCGCGTCTTCACTCACTGTTTCGTCTGCTGCCTTCAAGTTCATTGTTATTGTTGTTCCCAGTAATTACGCATAATTTAACTATAGTCTTTTCTACTAGAATACAGCTGGTTTCACGCAACACAGTATTTATAGGAGATTTTGGTTCAGAACATCTCATATGACATGTAAACGAGAACATTCTAATAAAATACACAGCAAACAGCTCCAGTCACATTCAGCATTCAGAGAATTCATACATATGATACTCAGTTTTGAGGTGTGTTGAGATATTTCACCACCATCAAGCAACTAGGTGTTAAGAGTTCTGCCTCAGGGGTATTAAGTTAGCTATACCTATACTGCAGGGTATTGAAGATGTTTTCTTCGGTTAACAAAGAAAACATTTTCAATACCCTACAGTATAGGTGTAGCTAACTTACCTCTGAGGCAGAACTCTTAACACGAACAGTTTTGAGGGCAGGCTGGCCCCCTCAAAGCGGCCCAAGGAAAGTAATCGTGTTAACAAAGAAAACATTTTTAATACCCTACATAGGTATAGCTAACTACATTTTCTTTGTTAATGCAATTGCTTTCCTCTTCTAAGCAGCGGTAGGGTGAAATTAGTTGCAGTAGATGCCACGGTGACCACTGAGTTGATGATGGGTGGTGCAGTGGCCACAGGTGGAATGATTGCAGATATTGCAGGAGCTGCAACAGTGACTGCTTAAGTAGCAGCAGCCACTTCCTGAATAGCAGAAATGACTGCATTTTGCATGACCACAGACAGGGCAGAGGTCAATGAGACTGTGTTGTTCCCATTGATGTTTAGTTGGGCAAAGAGTGCCGTCAAAGAATCTAAACCAACCATTAGAAAAGACAGAATAACAAATGTATTTACTTACCACCGCTGGAGGGACTAGCAATGGATGCTGCAGGCACTTGACTATCAGTGCTGGAGGAGGTCATTGTTGAGTAGGACCTGTATATTGAGCATTAGAAATTTGCAACTCACCTGCATTTATGGATACATATAGCTGATGCTTGCAAGTTCAAGTTCAATTTGTGAATCAAGTACATAATCAGCGGAGTTAGAAATGTAATTCCCCATTTTGTACGATGTTCTTTCATCCATTGTCATATCCCGTATTCCGGACCTGCATCTGACAATGTTCCCATGCCTCATCCGGACATCTGGATCCCCTATCCACGTCTCCAGACCTTCAGCTTCTCTATTTGCCCAATTCCCGGATCCGATGTCCAGACATCTGATTTGACATCCACATCTCTGGATCCGACCTATCTGTCATGTCCAAACTCAAACCTTAAATAAGCGCCCATCCCCTTATGGTAATCACCTGTCTCCGGACTTCCGAACATCCGGATCCAACCCACATCTATCTTCCGTGCCTTTTCCCTTTGTACGTTCCTTCTCAAGTTAGACTATACTCATTTTCCGTACTCCATTTCATTTCCGCCTTTATTTTACTATGTTCTCATTTCCGTCTTCATTGACTATTTTCCGATAGACTAGTGTTAGATGTTTCTATATGCTCCGTCCATAGCCTCACATAGCCTTGCACTGCGCTGACTGATTCTCCGTTATGTCCTTTGTAGTATATAAACCCTGTAAAGTCTCTATACTTCCTCAGTCTGAATATCACACACACCCGCCCTCGCACTAGATCTCACACTAAGTCCTCACATCAGTTCTAGTCCTCCAACTTAGTCAATATCTATCTCAGGCCTAGGGAGGCATTCCCTAGGCCGGAGCTCTGATCCTCCATTCCTCCAAGTTTCCGGAAGTTCCTCTGGAACTTTCCCGCGGTCCTCCGGACCTATTCTGCTTCGGACTTTGTCCTTGCAGCCTTTCCTCTGTTTGCTTCTACTCAGGACAAGTCCTGAGTAGCCATTACACATATCCCCGTCAGGACAAAACTCCATCGTAATTTCCGGAAGTTCCTCCGGAACTTTCCTGCACTCATCCGGACTTCATTCTGAAGTTAAGGGCACATACTCGGGTAAGGGGCGCAGCGCACGAGCTGAAGCCAAGCCCCTTGGAATCAGTCCTACCCTTTGTGCATGGTTCTAACAGTATATTCAGACTCACACCTTACCGAGTATACTGAATCCTTAGATCATACCTGAAATCGGATCCGACTTCTGTCCCTTGGAAACTGTGTATTCTTCCTCCGAACCCTCCATTTTTCTGTATCCCATTTCCGATGAAAACTCCGGATTTTCCGGAGCTCATTCTCTATTCCCTGCATCTGTAAACATCCGCCAGAATGCTCAATTTCCACCCTTCATGCTCTGCTGTCATTTCCACTTCAGTATTATGACACTCCAGTCCTGAAACCAAACAGGATTGTCACCTCCGTGGCAGAACAAATAGGTTTTCGGACTTGATGTCTCGTAATTCCCTGATCCGATCCTATCTTTCCGATGCCCCACAGTTCCCTGTAACTCCGACGTTTTCCGTTTCCGAACTATTTCCTGAACTGGCAAAGTCAACTCCGGAATGTCTCAAACATTCAAACCATTGGGATTCTCCTCGTACCACCTAGAATATACTTGCTCACCCACCATGATCTGTTGATCATTAGGGTATTTTGCAGACCTCCGACGTCAAGTCCGCTTTTTTGCAGAACCCCTATCTTTGGACTAGCCATGTTCCTTCCACTGGTTTATTTCCAGTCCGCCTCCATGTTGGATGGCACCTCCTCCGGTCAAAGTCCGGACCCCTATCCACCATTCATATCCACCACCCATTTAGCATTCACCTTGTATTGGTATCCATTACCCTCCTTGTAGGGGAACTCCGTCTTTCATGATGGTTTTCCTGCCAAGTGTTCGGGTTTTGATTCCTCTGACAATGGCCCGCTCGGGTTCCTGCCTCCATTTCTGGATGGCACTCTTTCCTCCGCTCTAGCCCCTATCTGCTCTGAAGATCCACCATCCAGAAGTTTGCTGTCGATTCTCCCTTGATGTTTGGAAGAGATGCCTTGCCTTCCATCTTGTCCTATGCAAATTCCTCCTGACCATTTCCTGGCTTCATTATCCACCTCCAGACCTTCAAACCAAAACTCCGGAGCTCGTCCGATTCATTCTCCGGAAGTAGGTCCTGGAAAACCATCTGTTCCTCTTCAGAAGCCTGTCAGTCCTTACATCCGACTTCCCGTCCGAATCAACAAACTTTCCGAACCTCTCCGCATTTTACCCCTATTCTCCGGACCTCTATTGGCTTTCTTGATGAAGGTCTCCACCCCTCTGATCCATACCTCCGGTTTGCTCCTTGTCATCTCTGAACATTTCCAGACGAAAATGAACCTTCTTTACAATTGTTCTTTACAGTTACTGATACCATGTCCACTCCAGTTCCTGCCCATATTCCCTCCGGGTCCGGAAAATTGCTGGAGATAGCTCCGGACGTCCGGACTTTTCAGTACCAAAGTATTCCTTCGCGTTATAGCTCATCTGTCCATCTCTGTTCAAATCCTGTGTCAAATCTCCATGTTTCCGAAAGATCTGTTCACTCCCTTGCTCCAGGACAAGTCACATCCTCTCCGGATCCGAAAAAACTCCTATGGGTATTCTACGCCATAGCCTGGACATGTTTCATACAAATGTCCATCCTTCATCCCCACTTTTCCACTCTGCAATCCTTCCATCCATCCTCCCGTCCTTTTTTCTCCGGATACCAATGTCCAACCTTTACCCCTATTTCCGGAGCTCAATACTCCGGATTTCCGGTGGCTTTCTTCATGGAAGCTCCTACTCTCACCTCCGATGTACCCCTTGTCTCTGGACTGCCTCCATTCAGAACGGATATATTTTGCAATAGCTTGTAGTTGCTTCAGAACCACTTTCACTCCCATCCGAGCTGCTGTCCCATAGTCCCTCACCATTCAATAGTGCCTTCTCTGGAAACCGCTCCAGCTCCGGAAAAGCACTGGTGATACCTCCGGAGTTTTTAACACTACAGTCCTGCTTCGCATTATATCTTCCACATCTGTTCCTGTTCACTCTTGTGGCTCACTTACAGTTTCCTCCAAAAATCCAGCCCCTGCCGGATCCCTGTGCCCATTTTTCCTCCATTGATGTTTGGAAACATCTCCCAAAAGGGGGGATAGGGACTCCACTTGAGTATTCACTTCACCCTCATCAGCCTGTGTTCCACCCGGAATTTACTTGCTCCGTCCCATAAAGGAACAATTTCCACTGTCTTGTGCAGTCATCCATGCATGTGCAGCTTTCCTATCCGGACCATTCAGTCGTATTTCCAGCCGGATCAGCTCTGGAAAAGCGCGGAAAAAGTGCACATTACATTGCATATCATTCAAAAACATCCGGAACTATTCATCCATGATCTTTCTAGGCCATTGATAGTCATCCGATGCATTTGACTTCACTGCCTAGTGTTCCATCGTGTTTGACTGCACTTCCACCTCACTTCCTCTATGTTCCGATCCACCTCCTATGGGTTTCCACACCATAGCCCCTATCATCCGGAACTCCGGAATTCCGAACCACTTGCAAACACCTCTGTCCTATCACATACATCTCCTCTGATGATCCATTCTCTTCCTCCGCTTTTCCGACTCAATATCTGTTCTGACTCCCATCGGATATTTCACGATAGACCCTGGCATTGCCAAACACTTATGTCCGGACCTCCTATCATGTTTTTCGACCACATCCGACCCTAATCTGACAAACCCACTTCCAAGTCCACTGTGTCACCTCCACCGATAAAACCGACTATATATCCCTAGTTAATGCAGTCGCCTGTTGCAGGACTTGCGAGCTATAAGGATCCGGTCCATTTCAGTATCCACCTCCACCTGACCAGTGTTGACCTCCGGACCATTAATTTCCGGTCCGTTGCATCCCTTCTGAAACCTCCTGGAAAGCATTTCCGGAGTTCCATCGGAAAATTGCGTCTTTGCAGATGTTGTCAATCCACACAATCTCCGGCCCATCAAACAGCTTGCTCCATCCTTTATGAGCCTATACACTAGCTATCCTTTTGCTCTAGCAGCTGTACCAATGGAAATTGAATATTCCGGAAAGACATCCTCCCTGCACTCCCATCCTTTTTCTGCATTTCCGACCCTCCGCGTTTTTGACCCTTTGTGTTTCTGATCTCCGTGTTTCCGACCCATTCCTCCGCTATCATCATCCTTCCGTCCGACTCCTGTTGGTTCCCACGCCATAGCCCTACTCCGGACCATTTCAGATCCATCTGTCCCATCATAAGGTTTTCCATCCACCACACACATTCCTCAAAAGCCTTGCACCGGATACAAAACCCTGCTGAATTGTAATGACTTTCAGTGCACCTGGAAACTCTGTCCATGACCTCTCACAGTGTGCAATCAATGCTCCGGAACCTTTCCGGTCTTAGGGGCTAATTTCCGGAAGCTCACAGTCATATCCAGCAGATTCCTCTGACGCACTTCCGGCTCGAGTGATAGCACACATCGCAGATTGAAATCCATTCAACCTCAGACCTCCGTACAAAGGAAATCATGCCTCATAGCACTCCTTTCTCACTTCCTGCACTCCGGAAGTTCATCAGTCATCATGCAATTACATCTCCAATCATTTTCCGGTCATAGGGGCTAATTTCCGGATTTCCGATGATGCACTTATCCTTAGCTGTACCTCAGTACAAGCTCTGCTTCATGGAGAAAGACATGTCTCACAGGACTCCTCCATCACATCAGAAAGAGGCCTGCATTGCATCCACTCTTGCCCTCTTGTCCTGCACTCGCTGCATTTCCACTGTCCTGATACAACCTCCTCTGCTCTGAAAGCTTCCTCCAATTTTCCCACGCACTTTCCGGACTTCCAGTCACCTTCGGAATTATCCTCAAAGTGTTCCAGACTTCCACTCCGGAAACCTATTTGTCCTCACATCACATCACCATTCTTCACCACCGTCTATGACGTCCAGTTTCCAGATGAAGTACTAGGCATCATAATGAACCAGGTGTGTGTCAGGAACATTTCCGAAACCTCCGGAGATTTTCAGCTCATAGGAACCAATCCTCCGGAATCCATCCATCATTGTCCTCTGCCATATACCAGCAATCTCCGTTCCGGACTTCCTGAGTCTTCAGCCTCGAGGGCTCGGCCTTAAAGGGGGGATACTGTCATATCCCGCATTCCGGACCAACATCCGACGATGTTCCCACGCCTCATCCGGACCTCCGGACCTCCTGTCCATGTCTCCAGACCCAATCCTCTATCCGTCTGGATCCCTGTACTCCTGAATCTGATATCCGGACGCCAGATCTGATATCCACATCTCCGGATCTCCGGATCCGACCTATCTGTCATGTCCAAACCCAAACCTTAAATCAGCGCCCATCCCCTTATGGTAATCACCTGTCTCCGGACTTCCGAACATCCAGATCCGACCCACGTCTATCTTCCTTGCCTTTTCCCTTTGTATGTTCCTTCTCAAGTTAGTGTCATATCCCACGTTCCAAACCCGGACCTATCACACATTCATCTCCGGAGATCCAGATCCGACCCGCGTCTATCTTCTGTGCCTTATCCCTTTGTATGTTCCTTCTTGAGTTAGACTTCCTCATTTTCCATACCTCATTTCATTTCCGGCTTTATTTTCCTATGTCTTCATCTCCGTCTTCATGTACTATTTTCCGATAGACTAGTGTTTGACTTTTCTACATCCTCCATCCACAGCCTCACATAGCTTTGGACTGCACTGACTGACTCTCCATTAAGTCCTCTGTAGTATATAAACTCTGTAGAATCTTTGTACTTCCTCAGTCTGAATATTACACATATTAGTCCTCGCACTAGTCTTCACACTAAGTCCTCGTAACAGTTCTATTCCTCTGACTTAGTAATCATCCATCTCAGGCCTAGGGAGGAATTCCCTAGGCCGGAGCTCCGCTCCTCCGCTTCTCCGACCCTCCGATCCACCATTCCTCCGATCCTCCAAGTTTCCGGAAGTTCCTCCGGAACTTTTCCACGGTCCTCCGGACCTATTCTGCTTCGGACTTTGTCCTTGCAGCCTTTCCTCTGTTTGCTTCTACTCAGGACAAGTCCTGAGTAGCCATTACACATATCCCCATCAGGACGAAACTTCATTGTAATTTCCGGAAGTTCCTCCGGAACTTTCCCGCACTCATCCGGAAGTTTCTCGCACTCGTCCGGAAAGTCCTTCCGAAGTTTCCCACGCTTCTCCGGACTTCATTCTGAAGTTAAGGGCACATACTCGGGTAAGGGGCGCAGCACACAAGCTGAAGCCAAGCCCCTTGGAATCAGTCCTACCCTTTGTGCATGGTTTTAACAGATTTTGAGCGTGTGCTTGAATTTAAAGTTTTATTATGACATTCAACTTGGGACAATTACTTGAAGTTTGGTCCATGGTCACTATGTTAAGTTGTATCAAACAATTAGACCCTGCCGAAAATATCAAGTTCACGGCAACAACAAAATGCGATGACAAAACTTGAAGTTTTGTCTTCAGATTAAATATATCGCCCGATCATCGCCCGCTCACCCGCCTGCAAAAATGCAAGAGATTAAATAAATATATTCATATTGAAAGCTATAACAACGCAAGAGAGTTATAGATATTGATAGTAGTGTTGGCTAGGTAGTTTCAGTCATGAGATAAGAATAGGATCACAGCATGACAGTCAGAAACCCTCCATCGCGCAAAGTGACTAACGACCCATGACACCTTGGCATTTTCAAGGCGGGTTTCGAAGTCCGTCGAGTACAATTTCGCCGGAAAATCAGGGTACATTGAGAAGGGATCGATGATATGGTGATCTAGCAGGATATGTCGCTGTACAGCAAACAATAATTCTCCTGTCAGCGTACTATAAATGTATTTGATGCTGGCGGCGACAGGGGTTAACGACCGATCTCCACGAGGATAGAAGAAAATCTGGCTGTTGCCCAAGTGTGTAGACGCCTTACTGTAGATCACACCATCGAACTTGAGTGTAGCGTGTAATACTGCTGTTCATTGTCTGATGAGGGTATACAGGTCTTCAGGCACCGCACTAATTGCTGCACAGTCGGCAACCTTGATGGCATCATTCATGGGATCTTTGGCAAGCTCGTGGATAGAACTTGTAGCGCTCTTATTGAATACCCGATCAAACAGGACCCCACACTCTTGAATAGCAGGCGGACAGTTGGGTTGGGCGAGCCAATGGCAAAGTCTTGCAGCTTTGATATAGGAAAGAAGCATCATGTTTTCAAGCTCCCCTAACAGGATTAAGTCTAACTTTCTCGTTCGTGCCTTGAAAGGACATACCAAATTTGTGATTGACAGGAATACATTGTATAATTCCAATTAAATGTTCAAAAGGAAAAGACCACCATGAGTGAGCAGGCCCAAATAGGAGCAGATAATCATATATATGGAAAGATGCATGGTGATTCAGTCACACAGAGAAGGTGGGATGAATTTTCTGCAACTTTCTGACATAAGCAGCAATATGCAAGCGATAGGCTTGAGCCCTTCTCAGTGTCATTGTTCGTGCACAAGCAAGATACACTGCACCAACTAATTCCATAGTGTGATCGAGGATGGTTTTGAAGCGAACAGCAAGTTCGTCAGAAGAATGCGAGGTACCAGCTCCCCACAAGCTCACGAGGGCGATGGGAAGATAGATCGTGATAAGGGATCACCACTCATCAGCCTTAATTGTCCCAGCCGATGCCTCGCCAAAATTCTTGGGGACGGAACCAATCCAAGTGGGGGTGGTTGTATCACAGATGATGTTACAGATTTTATCAAGTACTTCTGCTGTCTTGAATGAATGAACTTTTTGAGGGGCCACTAGAGGTTGTCCGCGACGCTATGAAGTATGTGTTAGAGAAATTGAAAGCAAGAAACATTACAGCGAAGAGCTTACCCAATTAACAAGAGCTCTAATGTAGTCAATCTTCAGCGTTCTGCCAACTTTCCGGGGCATACAATGTAAAGAATTGCAAGCAAATCTCAATGGTCCGGAATTTTTATGAGACAGAGAGCTTTTTAGCTTGTCAAAGCGTTCCTCCAGTTGATTATTGTCGCCAGAACCTACATGAGATGCGAGGAGGGTGCGAATCACAGATATTTGTGTTACCTCTTTGGCTGTCATTGTCCTGGGAGGTATTTCACCAAAGTCACACACAAATGCTGGGGAGGGCGATGTTGATGTGGTCAACTCTGAAGTTAAACCGAGAAGATGTCGGGTGTGGTGTTGGACCAAGCCTTCCAATATGCAGTGCATAGGATCAACGACAAGTTGCCAGGAGGGGTCCCAGTATGGTAAGTGCCAGAGTTCGGAGTAGCGCATGCCATGAGCCTTGAACAGTCTTTCACGTTCAGAGGATGTAGCAGTGTCTCTCCACTGCTCAGCATATTCTCGCAGTTTTTCTCTGTTACAAGGTTCCCACTTCTCGAAGTCGATTCTTCCACAAGTAGACTTATGATAACAATTGCATGCACTGCAATAGAAGTGACTGCCAACTCCAGCCATAGAAGCAATATGACAAGCGGCAGGGAGGTCACAGACAACAGGGGCGACAGCGCTACGAGTAAGCCGGCCATGGGGGTAACAAGCCATTTTGGAGAACTTGATACCACGCTGCCATGCATCTACCAAATCATTGATAAGGGGTCGGATGTAGTGGTTGAGGTTCTCCAGTGACGGCTGCTTTGGACCTGGGATGATACCTGCAACATACATATTCTCCGGCTTGTATCTGATATCCACCGGTAAATTTAAGCATGCCATAGAGATAATTCCACATGATGTACTAGCTCCGCGGATATTCAGACCTTCCAGATTGAAAAAATCCACATGAAGAGCAAAGACATAGTGTCCCTCCTCTCCTCTATCAACAAAAAGTGAACCCAGCTGAGGACCATTGAACTGACGGAGAAATTGAGCTTCAAAGGGGGTTTTGATGAAGGACGGATGGGGGGAATTGATAGAGTCCGTGAGATTGTCACATGCCTGATCCATCACGGCCTCAATATCTCTACGAGAGAGGAGACCGAACAGATAATCCTTGAAATTGTGGTACATGAAGGTCCTCCTAGGTCGGAAATTTCCATCAGCACCAACAAGCAAAGCCTCGCCACATTTGGTCATGAGCATAGGATGATGAGTGCACCGTTCAGGATATACTGGAGTCGTCGAGCCTGGTGCATAAGTTGGTGGATAGATGCAATGGCAACTGCAGACAGCATACAGGACAGTCTTTCCCTTGAGATGGAATCTGGCCTCGGCGCTTTCTGAGGTCATTGGGATCTGCTTTAGGATATTTGTGTGGGAGAAGTTGAGGCCATTATCTGGCCTCCGGAATGCGAGAAATAGTATGATGGACATGATCTTCATAATTAGATCACAACTACTCCTGCTGACCCCTATGATAACTCTGCATGCGACGCCAAGGAAGAGAATGATTTGAACGATTTCATCTAACTCGTTCACTGGATCTTGCGGAAGGGTATCTACTGAACGATAAGCAAAGAACTGTCACGATGATCCGCATGCTTGCTTACCGGTATTGATCTTGACAGGTGTATCATCGGATGGCCCGTAACTGCTGAACTGGGTTGCCAATACGTCTGAGCCCCTACAGTGACAAATTCTGTATTATACGGGCCACCCGACCTACATAATATCCCGTATCAGACGGGCCAGCGGACCATGGGCCCATGTTGTGTATATCCTCGATGATGACGGATGGGCTGGGTAACATATTATTTCCGATGGAGACGGGTGGGCCCATGTATGCCAATGATATATATATCCTTGATGTTGACGGATGGGCCGGGGGAATATGATCATTCATGGAGATGGGTGGGCCCATCTGGGTAATATGTAGAGTAGGATATTATAGACAGCTGGGCTGAAGAGAGAGGTAAGGCAAATATTGTTATATAGACGGGTGGGCTGACAGGGGTGTATTACATATATGGGTGGGCCGGGGTAGCAGAATATTACATAGACGGGTGGGCTGACATGGGGCATATTACATATATGGGTGGGCCGACATAAGGGATATCAAATAGACGGGTAGGCCGAGGGTGCGACAAAATATTTATTACATAGACAGGTGGGCCGAGGTGGTGGAATATCACATATACGGGTGGGCCAACATAAGGGATATTAATTAGACAGGTGGGCCGAGGGTGCGATAAAATATTTATTACATAGACAGGTGGGCCGAGGTGGGGTATAATTATATAGATGGGTGGGCCAACATAGGATGTATTACATAGACGGGTAAGCTGACGTGGGGGATATTACATAGATGGGTACATGTATGGGTGAGCCTAGATATGTTTCATCAAGACATACAGCTGATGTAGCCACCAGCAAATCAAACACGTAGGATACATGCACACTATGAGTGCATATACCTACCATCGACCACCGAAATCTAAACCCGTAAGCACGAAAACATGAATCGACCATGTGTGGAATTGACCAATTATCGAGTACTGAAGTGGGAAAACCCCACACCTGAACCCTGGTGTGCAACATATCCTATTTCTACACACAGACACCAGAAGCACAACACTCGCAAAAATATAAATGTCAAATTTTCACAGTGCTGAACCCCGAACCCTGAGATTTTACCAACTCCCGAACCCCGAAATTGTGGACTGCCGGGTCTCGGGGGTTGGCACTCGGGACTTGGGAAATTTGGGGAGATCAATAAAATTTGATTTACAAACAAATTGATTTACAAACTTTTGAAAGATATCTGTTGTCTCACATATCGAGTCCCAAGTTCCGGGACCCCCGAGCCCTGAAACCTGGGACCCGGCAGTCCACAATTTATATGTGAGACAACACAGATATCTTTCAAAAGTTTGTAAATCAAATTTATTGTAGATCAAATTTTATTGATCTCCCCAAATTTCCCAAGTCCCGAGTGCCGACCCCCGAGACCCGGCAGTCCACAATTTCGGGGTTCGGGAGTTGGTAAAATGTTTATGGATATATGAAAGGTTGATTCAAACATGTTTGAAAAATGTCTTTCATCTCAAAAATCGAGTCCCGAGTTCCGGGTTAGTGCCAAAGCTTGAAACTTGAAATCAGTGGAAAATGAAATCTCGCAACAATGTACACATGAAGATGTTTCATTTCCTTTGACAATTCACCGAGTGTCTTGTACTAACCTGACAACATAGTCCGGGCTTCAGGCTTCGGGGCTCGGTACACGACACTCGGGGAATTGTGAAATTTCTATTTCCTTGGACATTTCACTGAGTTCCGAGTTCCGAGTGTCGAGTGCTGAGTGCCAAAGCTCGAAACTTGAAATCAGTGGAAAACGAAATCTTGCATTCATCCCACCTATGTGAGTTTCATGATGTCGCAGATCCGGGAGATCCATCCCGGATTGTATACAACTATGATACTCCATGGTGGATGAGACAAACTGCAATCCCGAATGAACCATGACAATTGGATCAGGTAATGACTTGCTGTATCTTTCACTACCAGCATTGGCTAGTAAGAATTTTATTCCATTTCCATGATTCATGACTAATCTGTTCTAGGGTGGTGTTGAGAATGATGGTCTCACTCTTCCAGAGCAGGTGGATCAAACCTCAGTTCCAGCACTGATGGGACTGAGGTGGATTAGAGAACACCTCCTGATATTGCTTGAGGAGCAACAGGAGGGCATCTGTGATATGATGGCAGAGATGCAGATGTATGCCACCATCCTAGACAGATTGAAGATAGGCAGAGGAGAGTAGCCCTAGTCACTGAGTTCAGAATTTTGAAGTCCATGTTCCATACATGATGTAATGAGTACTGAAAATCACATACCAACTTCCAAATATCTATTCGTGTTCTGTGATTCAAGAATCGGGCGTCAGGGACTCGGTATTCAGAACAGTGTCGAGTCCCAAACCCTGAGTCATGAGTCCCAAACCCCAAGCTCCGAGTCCCAAACGTATTTGTGTTCCATGATTCAGGAATCGGGCGTCAGGGACTCAGTATTCAGAACAGTGTCGAGTCCTGATTGACGAGTCCCGAACCCTGAACCCCGAGTCATGAGTCCCGAACCCCAAGCTCCGAGTCCTGAGTCCTGAACATGTTCGTGTTCCATGATTCGGGAATCGGGTGTCAGGGACTCGGTATTCAGAACAGTGTCGAGTCCTGAGTGACGAGTCCCAAACCCCGAGTCATGAGTCCCAAACCCCAAATCCTGACGTTCGGGACTCGGGACTCGGAGCTCGGGGTTTGGGACTCATGACTCAGGGTTTGGGGTTTGGGACTCGACACTGTTCTGAATACCGAGTCCCTGACACCCGATTCCCGAATCACAGAACACGAACCATGAAACACGAAACACTGATACATGCAATCTCCAATGTTCCGGATACCCTGACACCCGACACGGTTGCCGAGCTCTGGGTTGCTGAACCCCGAACCCCGAAATTCGGGACTCAGGACCTGGGTTTCCGGGTCTCGGTATTCAGAACAAAGTATTGAATTCCAAGTCACGAGTCCTGAACCCTGAAACCCGGGGAGTCCACAATGTCGGGGTTCAGGGTTCTGTCAAATGTGTACAGCAATCACAAATGTTAATTCGAGCATATTTATACATCTTCTCCCAGTCTCAAATATCGAGTGCCGAGTTCCGGGTTTCAGGACTCAGTACCCCAGCACTCAGGACTCCCATATGTCAAGTCCCGAGTTCCAATTATCATGCCGCGGACACGATGGCTGCTGGCCTTGCAATGGCTTTAAGGATATTCTCGCAGGAAGGTCCCTTCAATGATGCAGATACCTCCAGATCGGACACATTCTTTGGGATTGGTGAGTATGACTGCCGGAATCACCATCTCATCAGATCCTACCTCGTGTCCCTGTTGAAACCATGCCGGAGATAAATTGATGCATCCGGGAGTTGCCCCAACATCTTCCAAGCCCCGGTTGAACCACTTGTGATTAGTTCGCCAATTGCCATCAGCCCTTACACTTTTTTTGAGGCTTGGAGCGAGCAAATTGGTGGCCTCCCTGATTTCCTTCTGTAGGTTCCATTTGATATTCAATATCCATTGAGTAACAATGTATATTACACACCTGGGTGGTGTCGGTCAGGGTGTCTGGGAGGTATATATCTTGCAATATCCATCTGCATCTGAACTGTCATGCAGGAATTTGAATGATAAAATGAATTTTCCAAATCTGCAGGAAGACCCACTGGGATTTTTATATGCTTTTATGAGTACATCAGCCAAGCGATCGCACACCATCACCAGATCAGTGTCTAGGTTGGGAGAAGGTATGACTGGGTCTCCTCCAGTCTTCTCTGCCTTGAATTTCTGTTTGGTATATTCCCCTGCTTCATAAGTGACAGTCAGGGCCCAAGTGCGCCAGATGTTTATGCTATCAGAAGTGGAAGTGGAAGAAACGTTCATGCTGGATGTTGATCTTGGGAAATCAGACGCTGAATGCTAGATGTCCAGACTTTGGTGTTAAAGGGGGTGGAGATAGTGAGGATCAGATAAGGGAGCCTTGGATAATTTTGGCTGTCAAAGATGTATTATCATCCATTGCTCAATGAAATACTACCTGATTGGAAGTGTGCTGGATATCAGATATTCATTTGTCGACTCCTGGGTCCCGGAACTCGGAACTCGGTATGGTTGACTCAAATTTTGGTGGTCGGAACTTGGCTTCTCATAGGGCAACACAAGCCTCACACACGGGATTCCACATTCTGCAAGACAACCTACGCGCCATCAAAGGCCATGTCAAGAGAGCACCTGCTGCTCTCTTCAGAAACATCTCAACTTCGGTTGGCCATTTAACACGGAAAGTATTAACTAAATTATGTGTTGAGTCCCGGGTCCCGGAACTCAGAACTCGGAGAATTTCAGTGGCCAGAAGTGGGTGTCTCGTAAGGCAACACAAGCCTCGCACCCCAGATTCCACATTCTGCAAGACAACCTGTGCACCATCAAAGGCCATGTCAAGAGATCACCTGCTGCTCCGGGAACTCGGTAACTTTGATTTATTACCTCCTCTGATTTGGTTGATGTACAACTACCTCAGCTCCATCATGTCTACAATTATGATACACATGGGCCCACCCGTCTATATTTTATACCACCCTCGGCCCACCCATCTAATACAATATCCCATACAACACCCTCGGCCCACCCATCTAATGAAATATTTTATAAAACACTCTCGGCCCACCCGTCTAATACAATATTTTATAATACCCTTGGCCCACCGGTCTAATTTAATATGTGTCTGGGCCCACCCATGAATGTGATAACAAGTACCTACCCATCTATCTCATACACATCTACCTTAATACACCCATCTGCATAATATCCAACTACCCCGGCCCACCCGTCTACCGAATATTCATGTACATCGGCCCACTCATCTACTCTATATATTCCCTGCATGGGCCCACCCGCCTCCATCGGGAATAATTTCCCTCCCGGCCCATCTGTCATAGTCGAGGATATTTTTATCATGGGCCCATGGTCCGCTGACCCGTATCATACAGGATATTATGCACGTCCGTTCCCTCGCATTATACGGAGATAGGTCACTGTAATATGTGTACATCTATCTGCGATCTGATCGCCTTCTTTTGTGCAATTATGATATTGGTCTGCCGAGTAACCTTTTGCATAGCTTTACGAAGTAAATGTAGCTCATGACCAACATGATCAATGCGACAAGAATGCAGCAACAAGTGAAAGCATTGCTGGATCCGGGACTCGATGTTATCAAGGACTGCGTCAGGTTTGAGCTCGACAGTACAAACTGTCGAGCTCGAAGAAATATTGACTGGCATATCCATAGCAAGGGTCAAGCGACGAAGATCGTCAGCGATGATGGCAACTGATGACGTGTTATCTGCGATGGTGCATGTGGAAAGGTCAGTGGCAGAAAAATCTATGTCAATAATTACACTGTTACCTGTGGCGCGTTCCATTTTTACATGCAAGACATGAGACACAATTGAACGTTCGGCCATGAGCACTCCTTTTGGTGCGCCTTTCTCATCATATCCGCCTTTCTCAATGCACTCCTTGCAAAGACATTGTTTGAGCGTTGCACGGGCTACGGGCATTGAGAATTGAGGGAGGTTGGTGGCTGGGTGATTGGAAGTAGATCCTGGTATAGCGGGACTTAAATGAAAAAAAAAACAAGAATGGAGCAACTCACAAACAAGGGCATCGGAGACAATTGCCAACAACGAAGTACAAGGTGATTGCCTATATGGTCACTATTCGGATGCATGACAAGGAACAATGGAACAATACATACCATGATTTATATCTGATGAGACAATCGCAACAGAATTCCAGTGCCTGTGAACAAAGTGGTCACGCAATCCAGTCCCTTGGGAGGATTCCACATTCGCAAATGTCGACGAGGAACGGTAAGCTCAACAGTACAAACAGTCGAGCTCAGAGTGATGAAAGCCAAAAGTATAGAGTTGAATGATGAGCTCGAAGTTAACAGAACCAAGTGTACATCGATCGATTGGCCATATTGTTCTTTACCCAGGCTTGCACTTAAGTGGGTGACCAATTGGTCATTCACGTGTGCACCTACATATGGTCTAGTGGAAGGTGTTCTCAAGGATTATCCAAATCCAAACATGTCTCCACATCGTCGGGCGTCAAGTTGACTGGGTGGACATGCAAGCAGAGCTTGCCCATCCAAACAGCTATGAATCTGTCGAAGGAGTAACGTTGGAACTGGGTTGTACATAGAGCGTATTGAGAGTGAGCTCGATAGTACAAACTATCGAACTCGAAGAGATCTGGGAATGATGATCTCGATGGTACAAAACCATTGAGCTCGAAAAATCAGGGGCAAGATGATACTACCACAACCGTACAAAACAGTTGTAGTAGCAGACTATAGTAAAGGAGTAACTTTGAACCTTGGCGAAATTTGAGATGGCGAGACAAACAGCTGCAAATAATATTATGTCAGCATTCTAATTTGGGATCAAGTCGCCCACCTAAAATAAGGCGGTGGGGGTGGGGAGTGCTCAATGTTAGGATGAGCTCGATAGTACAAACTATTGGGCTTGGAGAGATCGGGGGCGATAATCTCGATGGTACAAACCATCAAGCTCGATAGGGAACAATGATCTCGACAGTACAAACTGTTGAGCTCATCTATGATCATCAAAGTCAAAAGCGAGGACTTGGTATAGTGATAGAGTTAGCTGTCTGAATAGTGGATGATAGTTGCACAATGAGGCTGGACAATTAAGGCTTTATTATTGAAGCTGCCAGGGGTCTGACAGCAGATTTGGCTGCTTGAAAGACTGGTAATAGCCCTATAATGAGCCTAGCTGTTTGAAATATTCTTTATCTTCCTCTATATTATCTCTTTTCATGACATTCTCCTTCATATCATCCTCACAGCAGTTTGAGGCGATTGAGATCAAGAGAGACGGAGATTGGGCTCCATGGGAGTGGTGACAGGCTTGCAATCAGCCATGCCAAAGTGTTCGAGGATGTCCAGTGAGTACTGACGCTGGGAGAGTGATATGGTGCGACTGGGACGGTCTCTGTCTATCTTGATACCAAGAAGCTGAGTGGTGGGACCAAGGTCGCGAAGTTTGAAGTGTTGGGAGAGCTGAGAAATGATTTGGTCGATGGCAGAGAGGGATTTGGATGCAAAGGTCATGTCGTCCACAAAGACAGGCAGGATGATGCGGTCTTCACCTCGAGAATAGACATAGATTGCTGCATCTGAATATGTCTGGCTGAATCCAAGAGACTCGAGCACAGCTCTCATCTTCTTGTTCCAGCGATTGCCTCCTTGCTTGGTGCCATAGATAGACTTGTCCAGAAGACACACAAGCATCTTAGGATCGCCCTCAGCAAAGCCTTGAGGGTTGCTCCATGGAGACTTCGCAGTCTGCCACTGGTCAGTTCTCCAGAGAAGCCAATGGACAATATTACCTTTGACCCGGCAGGTAGACATGTTGAAAAGTAAAGTACACAATATTCTGCCTTGTCATTAAGAGATGAAGAATTATTGACCTACTTGATCTTGAGTTCATTGGAGTGTTGTTCAACTTCAGATAGGCTACACATGCTAGCTAAGTGGTGGATGCTTGATTTAGAGTTAGGAGTATGTGCCACGTTGCTGCTCAACATTGTCAAGATTGTTGTTGAAACATTGAAGGGTTTGGAGTAAGATGACTGCATACATCCAAGAAAAGGTGAGGTAAAGATATTATATTGTATATGCTATGTACAACATGCAAAACACACCTCAGGTAGAAGTCACTGTAAGGTAGATCAGACGTAGGTGAGGTTACCTCTAAGTTCAAGCTATTGTCGACACCAGTGGTAATTTAAAGAGTCAGATTTCCGACACCATAGAAGTCGGCTGATATTTGATAGCTTTGACATGGCTGAAACCTTAGGTACCCCCAGATTCTCAGCCATCTCTATAGTCGTGGGCAAACAAAGTCATTTATTTTGGTATCTCAACAATATGATTTTTTGGGCCAAACTAACTTCAGATTTGGATTCAGGACCTCAAAATAGGTCTAAAAACAACTCTTTCAATCTTTTCCTACGACATTTTTAGTGTGTCAAAACTTTTAGTCATTTGAACAATGCTACTACCTATGACAAGACCGCCTCAATTGCCATCATCACATGCTGAGTGACTGAATGGTATCACTTCTGTTTTATAGATAGCCCATTCTGCTGCTTTTCTGGTCAATCCAATCCTATATGCACTCATAAAACAATATGTCTGATTGATGAACCACCAGATAACCTCGACTGGAATCTTGACAATCAAACATTTGCCAATGTCTAGAAAGTGATCCACACACTATCTCAATTGGATTGAGCTCACAGTGAAACTTTGGTAGAAAGATATACTCATGCCCTGCGCTACTGATGAGCTCTTTGAGCATTGATATTTGACAGCAGAAGTCATTCTGTTGACTCAGTAGCCACGCCATGCAACAATCTGTATTGTTGATGGGACAGACAGGTGAGCACTTTGTCTGCATGCCATCCATATTGAATCTGTGCTCTTTCAGGATGATTTTCAGGCCCTTGAGGTGAAAGGATGTGGATGTGATGTGTCCTGTGTACCTCTGATAAAACAAAAATTGAACTGCAAGTCTGATTCTGAGCGCCTGCCTTGATATTCTGAATCTCAGAAATGTGGTAGCAGGAACACTTGAAGCATTTCTGTACAATCTAAGTCATATTCAGAATCAGGAAGCCCAGCAGTCTACTTATACAGAATTTTTTGTGACACCTTTTCCAAATTCTGAATAGCCTGCTGCTCTTCAAGTGTTTGTAGGTGAGACCAACGTCCTAGAGGTTTTGGAAGAGAACTGCTATTGATATTGGCATCATGATATATGTGAGCCATTTGCCGATCTTGTCAAGTATGCAGCAGTGACCTAGCAGCATGTAGACTCCTTAACAGTTTAAATTGATCCGGCAATCAAGGGCGCATTCAGATTGGTGTATGCAGGTTAATACATTGATGTAGATCACAATTTGCCACCCACTCTATACTTTTTGACAATACACTAGGAGTAGCTATATGTGCTGCAGGCTGGTAATCTTGACTTGTCATGCTGATAGATAGAGAACTGTAGTGTTTTTTTCATGATCTAAACTACCTCACAAAGGTGCTTGTGGTATTTTGTGTTTGGAAAGCAATTATGCAGAAGTGTTGGGGCAAGGTAAATGATCCAGAATGACCATGATTCTGCTGTGAAGTTTGAGTGATCATCTGCAATATTGCCGAGGACTGGAACAAATGTAATGGTGTAACACTCAGAACCTTCCTGGGCAGCAAATAGGCTATTTTCATATATATGTCAAGGAGTATAGTGAAGTATTATAAGGTTTCCTTACCATTGTCCATCATTTGTCCAGCAAGTAGTAACCTCTGTGCGAAGCTGAACCCACACTTTCCCGTGCGTCAGCTGCATTGGACGTGCATTCCTGCACATTGGATACCTTGGACGTGCATTCCTACGCTTCAGATACCGCAGAAACAAATTAGGAAAGTCTTTTGTCCATCCATAGTGCCTTATTACATGTCCTTACATATGTACTATATTTCCTATCCCTTCCTACTCTGAGTAGGATTCTAGACAGTATAAGTTGCCTATACTTTGGACTACTTACGACACTTCCCTCATACTGTATACCTCACCCTTTAGGTTTACCTTCAAAGTAGTCCCTTGTAGTGCACACTTTTTGACCCCTATTAGGTCCCTTATACCTGGACTATACCTAGACTTTCCTTACCTCGCATATACTTTGCCCTTGCTCTCTCAAAACTGCATTCCTTGACTTCCCTATACCTTGTCCGCACTTTCTTGTACCTTCTGCATCTTCAGCCATGTGTTCCTGTGCTTCAGATAGCCTCAGATACATTCCTGTACCTCGTGCCTATCTGTCCGCTATTTTCCTGCACTTAGCGCACTCTCGGGTCGCACATATCTATCATTGTTCTAGTAGCAATTTCCTTTAGGGTTGAACATGTCTGGTTAGACATAGCAGCTAGGCATAGCTTGACCCGATATTTTCTTGCTACCCAGCTAGATTGTTGTTTTCACAGCAGGAATGTTTGCAATTGCGGCAGCAGTTTCTGCTCCAATTTCAGTCCATATGTGATCAGCTATCTCATAATCTTCCTTTCCAGTGTCCATACACCACGGACAAGTTGAGCGGCAAACTGGTATACATGTTGTGAGATGATACTATATTATAGGTGAGATTTCAGGCAGACAGTACTTGGATGGAATACAAGTAAGAGCCCAAGACATAGCACCAACATTGTGTAAGCTGCTGGAGCCTGGAGCAAGAGGGTTCGTTCAATAAGAGCCTTGAAAATATCTTTTTCATGAGACATTCACAAGAATTCTGCTAATAACTTTGCCCTACCTCACAACTGTCATATCAGCATTCTCGATACACAGCGGGCCATTGCTAGTTCTTATTCAGAGGAGAGCTTGAATATAGGGTACCTGGGTGGGCCCAGCGGTGCTGTTTACCATATTGTTATGGGCAGGCCCACTGTCCGTATTCTTCAAAACATTGCAGTGGGCTGACAGGGGTCTGGATGAAGTAGACTGTGTTTAAAAGTGGGCTCACAGTAATGAGAAACAGGGATGATTCAACAATTCTGAGTGGGCCCATGAGTTTCTGAGATGGCTGGAATACTGGTGTTGATGAATTGCTAGTGGCCAACAAAAATGAGGCATTCCAGCAAATGTAAAAGTAAACCAGTGAGTGGAAATACCACCACCGGTGAATGTAGCAGTGATCAAATGATGGCAGATCATAAGGTCAACGACCGCCAGCATATGTAGCGGACTACTGAATGTGCAAAAATAATCAATGGCTGGTGGAGATCACTCGGTGCACTGGCAATGTAGTCTGGCCAGTCCTACCAATATGCTATTGATGCAGCAGGTGGATCCATGTGACAGGCAGAATAAAGCAATGGGATAAGGCACCCAAGGAAGCCCATATCATGTCTACTGAATTGAGTAGGCCTGGGCTCTGTATGTGCGGTAGATAGGTGGGCATGAGGTACCACTTTTATGAACACTACTGGGCCCAGCTGATTGTATACTGTTGGGCCTATGCCCTGTATAGCGATGGCCAGATGGGCCCAATGATGCCAGATTGATGCAATAGGCCCACCCCGGTATCCAAAATCGGCATGCAGGCCCATAAAGTGGCTGCTGATAGGATGCGACCCAAGAGATACATCTTAAATCAGGGGTAGGCCCAGATCACATCTAATGAGCAGAATGGGCCCAATCTTGGCTAACATGATTAACAGGCAGGCCTAGTGGGCTACACAACATCCACTAATAAGCTTGAACCAGCGATATGACACCGAATGGCACTGACCATCACCGATACATCTATGGTCAGTCAGAGACTGGCTCAGAAGTTTGCCAATGCATGTATGGTCCAGAAGAATCAATGACGATGAGGGCATCCCCAAATGTACTATATGTACCTCAAATGTGAATTCCATCACATTGGTAACTACAGATTTGTACCTTGAATCATCACCTTGGGGTACATCTACAAATTCATGAATATTATCTCTCATGTACCACACCCAGCCAACTCAATCGCCATTCACCCAGTTCACCCCATGCCTAACAATTCTTCCTGAGGTGCCAGCCATGACACCTAGATCATAGGCAATTTCAATCCCAACATTCGGCATCTTTATTTGCGCCAATGTATAACTACCGACACTGGTCATTATGTCAAACCATTGAGCACAGGATCGAGCATCTTGGTGCAAGGGAGTGTACCAGTTGCACATAACAGCGATGACAGTAAAGATAGATGGCTACCACTGGTCTGCACATCGCCTGATAGTAAGCTAGATGAGCTTGCAGGAATCACCCCAGTGAAAGATTTATGCACCCTGAGGTAAGGCCATGTTCATTGATTTGAAAATTGGATTCATAGGTGTGTCATTTCTCCTTCGGTGATGTACCATGGGTGATACTCTTGCCCAGCGAGCCCAACATCATCATCATCAGCGAAAGCATGTCATTCTGGAACAGTGAATGGAGATTGTTGACAAGTTGTGCAAGCCTACCTGAATAGCAGCATCAATTGCTCCAGGGAGGTACCGTAGCATAATGAGACCAAATTTGTCCAGGACAATTGCAGGATGCTCTAGGATAATCTCATGAACCAGTGGGTATCAGGTGAGTAGAAATTCTTCACATCCAAGGTTAACATCTCTCTCCCACTTTTGCAGTATTTCAGAATACCTCATCATATCAAAGTTGATAGTGACTAAAGCCAATTCAAATAAACGATAGCACCAGGTGTATGGAAAGGTCATTACCAGGATTGAAATATGCATTGGCAAGGATCCTTGCAAGGTGGGAGCAACCTAGCATCACCATCCAAGAAACTCTCTGATAAGAATTTAGGTCCATTCGAAATCATAGCCCGTCCGGGTACGCACTCCTTCACCATCCAACTTCCATATTCCATGCATTCTGTACACCCAGTTTTTCATGTCTCCCAGTTAGAACCAGCAACTCCGAACACTATTCCTAATTGTATCCAGCCACCTCCACCTCTGGTCGAAATTGACGGAGAACCCGAATATGAGATATCCGAAATCCCAGACTCCAAGTTAGACCTCTGGAGACGACATTGTCAACTCCTGTACCTTGTCCGGTGGTCTGGATATGAAGGAACGGACGAAGAAACTTTGTGGTTACTTGCAACAGAGTTCGGAAACGCATCCGAATTAGTATCAGATTTCCACTCCATATATCTGAACAAACCCGGTCCTATTCAACTTTGAAGTACATAGTGTGCATACAGATATAAGTATATTCAGGGATAGAAAAAGAAACAGACCGAAAAATCTTACATCTCCATGGAACCTCCGGATTCATCAGCCTCTCCGGATCCATCTGCATCACTTCCGAATGCTCATCCTCCTTCAATTTGAGGCTGACTTGATCAGCTAGGCTGGCTCAACCTTACTGATGACATCATGGGTGCAGCTGCCCTGCCACTTTATGAAAATGAAGTGCTCACAACAGACACATTGTATTCTTTCATTAGACACTAACTAACTAACCCTAACTGTACAAAAATGATTTGTTTTCTTTCATTCATAGACAGACAATCAAACGCACTTTAATTGAGGTGTGATCAGTGAGGCTAAAATTTTAACACTGGGGAAGCTGCATATTATGGCAGGCAAATGTCACCTTGCATCACTCTCACAATCATGTGACTTATTTTTGGGGCAAAAAGTTAAAAGTTGCATGTCCAGAATATGCCTATAAAAGAGTAATACATTTAGGCTATGTTCTACAATAAGCAAAGTATACAGTCCGAGTTGAAAAAACCAAGATAGAAAAGACTAAGGTAAATAATGCAAGACAGGAATGGAGGGGCCCTCTCCATCCTAGCCTTGCACTCTACAGTAAATGAAGCAATGTAAAACATAACAGGCACATCAAGTGCAGACCACCAAAACTATGGTGAAAATCAGTATCATTAGAAAAAAACACTGTTAGTACAGAGCAGACTTGAAAACAAAACAAAAACAAGCCAGAAAAGTCAATGCATCTTATAAAGCTAGAAAGTGAGTTAGTAGATTAGACTTAACAGGAGAGACAGACATATGAAGGCACCAGTCCCTGGGAACATAGATAGCCAAAAAGTTACCTCCAGAACACAAAGTTAAATGTGCCAGTCCCTGAGGACATGGATAGCCAAACACTAACCCCCAGAGCCCAAAGTTGGAGGCACCAGTCCCTGGGGACATGGACAGCCAAAAAGAGTTAAAGGTGTCAGTTCCTGAGAACATAGACAGCCAAGAATATATCTAAGTCAGCCACTTGGCAGAATGGAAAGACTGACCTGTAAGGCACACCAGCTATCAACAACTGAATAAACATACAAAAGTGAGTAATGTGAAGCACTGTAAAAAGACTGACCTCAGGCGCACTATCAAACCTTTTTGATAGTGCACCAGTTATTAACCATAACTGGAAATAAATACACAAAGAATTAGTATTATGAAGTGGTTGTAAAAAGAACTTACTTGATATAGTGGCCTTGATATAACTGTAGCGCTGCCTTTAACTACTTGCAGCTGCAGTCTGCAAGTAGCCAAAGGTCAGATGTTGTTAGTTATATGATCATTCACCTCTACAGTATGCATTTCTATGTCTTTTATGTGTCTTATTGTGCCTTCATACTCATAGCATTATTCCTGACACTTTACTTACTATTTACATGACTTCCTGACCTCCCTAGGACATCCCTAGGTCGAGTTATTACTTACTCTTTGATTGTGGCTTGTCTGTTTACATTTGTTTACCACACGTCGCCCATATCCCAGAGTCCAGTGCTCCCTGCCTCTTTGGCAACTTACTCTGGACTCTAGGTACTGTACAACTTTACTACACCATTCAATAGATTGGCAACTTACTCTGGACTCTAGTCTGATCTCTTCTGGTCTCTCAGTAGGCTCTAGAAGCGGCCCACTTCACTCCCATCTTGACAGGTTATGAGCCCTACACTGTAACCGCTTCAAAATCGCTGTTGCTCAAGATCCACTGACGATATCGACTTGATTCTGAGCGAAAACTCAAGACTCTGAGGGACGACAAAGGTGGTGAGTACATGTCCAATGCTTTCATTGACTTCACTACCCAGTGTGGCATAGTGCGCCAGCACACTGTCAGGGCTCATCCTCAACAGAATGGCGTTGCTGAGTGAGCCAACAGGCTTCTAGCTGAGCGCATCACCACTATGTTGGACGAGTCTGGCCTTGCAAAGTCCTTCTGGGGTGAGTGTCTTGCAGCTTTGGTTCATGTATGGAACAGGTGCCCCACTGCTGCAGTGGATGATGCCACACCCTACGAACTGTGGCATGGGCGAAAACCTGATGTCTCTCACCTGAGAGTGTGGGGGTGCACTACCTATGTGCATGTGCAGAAGGACAAGCGCTCTGTGCTCGAGTCCCATATTGAAAAGTGCGTGTTCATTGGTTATCCAGATGGCTATAAGGGCTGGAAGTTCTATAACCCCACCTCCAAGCGCACTATTGTTTCAGAATGCACCGACTTCGACGAGAGGCATCTGCTGCTCTCTAAAAGGCCTGCTAGTGCGCTTCTGCCCTCTCCTTCTTTGCCCACTGTCAAGCCTAGGGTGATTCCAGACTCTGGTGATGATGATGATCTGACTCTGATGAGACGCTGATTCAAGGGGGGGCAAGGCGCGCAGTTAGATGATGAGGTAGATGATGATGTGGAGGATGCTGATGTGGGCTTTGAGGTGTGCTACTCTGTGGCTGCCTCAGCTGAGCCAATGTCATTTGCAGAGGCCCTGCGTCGTCCTGATGCAGAGCAATAGCGCCAAGCTGCGCTTGAGGAGTTGGCTGCTCACCAAAGCAATGGGACTTGGAGATTAGTCGAAAGGCCAAAAGACCGCAAGGTCATTGGCTCAAGGTGGGTGTTCAAAGTCAAGCGCAATGCTGATGGCTCCATAGAGCGCCACAAGGGATGCCTTGTGGCCAAGGGCTACAATCAGCGCCCTGGCTTTGATTACCTCGAGATATTTGCTCCCACTGTACGTATGCCTACCATTCGCATTGTCCTTGCTATGGCTGCCATTCATGACCTCCACCTTCGCTCTGTCGACGTCTCTCATGCTTATCTCAATGGAGAGATGGACTGCGAAGTCTACATGGAGCAACCCCCAAGGCTTTGCTGAGGGCGATCCTAAGATGCTTGTGTGTCTTCTGGACAAGTCTATCTATGGCACCAAGCAAGGAGGCAATCGCTGGAACAAGAAGATGAGAGCTGTGCTCGAGTCTCTTGGATTCAGCCAGACATATTCAGATGCAGCAATCTATGTCTATTCTCGAGGTGAAGACCGCATCATCCTGCCTGTCTTTGTGGACGACATGACCTTTGCATCCAAATCCCTCTCTGCCATCGACCAAATCATTTCTCAGCTCTCCCAACACTTCAAACTTCGCGACCTTGGTCCCACCACTCAGCTTCTTGGTATCAAGATAGACAGAGACCGTCCCAGTCGCACCATATCACTCTCCCAGCGTCAGTACTCACTGGACATCCTCGAACACTTTGGCATGGCTGATTGCAAGCCTGTCACCACTCCCATGGAGCCCAATCTCCGTCTCTCTTGATCTCAATCGCCTCAAACTGCTGAGGAGGCGTCTTTCATGCGTGGTGTGCCCTATCTTGCTGCTGTTGGCGCTCTGATGTATCTAGCCACCACCACTTGACCTGACATTGCCTACACTGTGGGTGTCCTTGCCAGATTCAACTCAAACCCAGGCGTCACCCACTGGCAGGCTGTCAAGCACCTCCTTCGCTATATCAAAGGCTCCATCAACCAAGTGCTTGTATACAAGCCTGACCCCCACTCCACTGAGTTGTTCTCCACATTCTCTGATGCTGATCATGGGGGTTGCAAAGACACTGGGCGCTCTACTGGCGGTTATCTTGTCAAGATAGGCACTGGTGCGGTCTCCTGGAGCTCCAAGCTTCAAGGAGTCATTGCTCTGTCCACTACTGAGGCAGTGACATACTAACTACTATTTCAGGCCAACCTTTCCTCAACGCATGTGCTTTGTAAATGTGTCTCTATTGTCAACATGTCTCCTTTGTCACCTGTGAGTTTGTCTTGTTTTTGTAACTCTATAACATACTAACTACTATTTTAGGCCAACCTTTCCTCAATGTGGATCTATTGTGAATCTTTACTGGCGAGTTTCTTTTGTTTTTGTGTGGCCCTGTGGCATACTAACTATTATTTCAGTTCAGCCAACCATGGCTCACACGAAGAACACTGCCAAGAAGTGTACTGGTGGCTTAGCGCCGCACATCCTCCTCAAGATTGCAGCAGCTGGACTAGCCTAGCGCAAGAAGGCTTTGGCTAGTACTAAGGGTACTGTGGGAGGTGGTGATATAGAGAACAGAACCGTCTATCATAATGGGGTGCATCTGTTCTTTTTGTTCTATTTCCTAACTGACATATTTTTTTTGCATTCATACAGTTTTGCATCATTTGCAGGGATGGTGCAGAGCGCTTTGAGGAGAATACTCTCTTCTTGTGCACTCTGTGTCCCAGAGTTGTCTGCAGACTCTGTGTCATATCCCGCATTCCGGACCAACATCCGACGACATTCCCACGCCTCATCCGGACCTCCGGACCTCCTGTCCATGTCTCCAGACCCAATCCTCTATCCGTCTGGATCCCTGTACTCCTGTATCTGATATCCGGATGCCAGATCTGATATCCACATCTCCGGATCTCCACATCTCCAGATCCGACCTATCTGTCATGTCCAAACTCAAACCTTAAATCAGCGCCCATTCCTTATGGAAGTCCACCTATGTCAAGGGCACCAAGGACAAGAGTTACTATGTGTTTGAGTGCAAGAATGATACTGCAATGTAAGACACCTGTTCTCTCAGCCACTAGGTTTCACCATACTGTATCCTGGTAGGAAGTATGGTAGTACTTGGTTGGATATTCCTGTGGAGGCACAGCTGGCTTGATTTATATATTTTTCATCTTATGTCCTAATTTTGCTTATGTCATCACCTTATAAAAGTTTGATTAATGATTTGTTTACTGTTGGAATCTTGGGGTGTGGTGTAGACTACATTAAATTTTTGTGTAGGCTGGATGTACATTATAGGCAGTAAACATAAATGTCACATGACCATGTTTGTCGTATAATCTAATGTTGAGTTTTTTTGAGGCACATGCCCAAAAATATGTTTTGCAAACCTGTATCAGCCTGCACCCTTGTTACTTGTTATTGTCTGATATAATGGCCAGCTGGATACTTATTTTAGCAATGTGTTGAATGAATATAATAAGGATTCCTTTGTGACAGCCAAAGGAAATTCTGCCATGAGGGCTCGCATGCTTAAGACAATCAAAGATGCTATAGGCAGCAGTGAAGCAGCCAAAGACCCTTGTGTCATGCTTCCTGAGAAAAATCTGTGGAAGGTGAGCTTTTATAATTGTATTCTATACTAATCTAATCAATACAGGCTATCTGTATTTATTATTTGGACTTCCTGGAAGATGATGAGAATTGCAAGTCGGAGGAAGAAATTATTGAGGGAGGAACTAAGGACATATCTGCTCCAGATGCTGTTACTGTAGAGATGGTGAGACTGCAGAAAGATGATAAGCCTGAGGATGCTGGGAAATATAAGACAAAATTCTCCGTGAATCTTTGTGCGTGTGTTATAACAATTTTTGCGCAGGAGACATATATATGCACATGATTCCATGAACTGTCTGGTTAGAGACCCACTTCAACTTGGTGAGTGGAGCAGAAATTTCATGCCTCAAGGATAGAGTCACTAGAGTGGAGAGAAAGGATTTAAGACTTACATGCACTTATTTTGCAACTATCTCCCTATTCGAGCCTGAGGTACATGAAGCACTTCTTCCTGCTTGTGAGCCTCTCTTATGTCAGAGGACTGGTGAGCCGGAGATACTAGATCAGTATCACATATGCTTGGCTAAGAGCTTATTGTCACCATCCGCAAGGTTTTGTTCATCATTGAAATTTGGCTTAGTGAGCTACAGTTGACCTGCCTCAAATCATTAGCTTACTAGTGCTGGGTATATGTATAACTCTAGAGACATCAATACTTCACCTTGGGACACTTGTCACAGTGGCAAATGTGCATACATCAACCCCGGCAATAGATGGTCCAAAGGGATGGAGACTCACAATGTGGCAGGAACATCCTATAGCTGTCACATGCCAGTGACAACTACAATGTTGTAGGACAACCCATAAGGCTGGGTCTGTGAGTACTCTCATTCTTGAAGTGTTCTGATCAGCATAGATTTTGTATGAAACATTTGCAGCCATGGCAAGTACTCCTCATGCTACCTAACCTGACATTGATACAGCCGAGCACAACTGGGCTACCTTCATGACTGCATACACATTGGGTCAGTGGCACCCTCATCAAATGCCTCATCATCTGCATTCAATGTTTCTACTATTGTCAAAGATTACACCAAAGTCATTGTCACGTAGCGGCTGCAGGTTCTGCAAGTTATTCACAGATCTGTGATGCGCAACAGGAGGGCAGCCAATGCATCTCCCTTTATATCATGAAAAGATGAAAAGTTAGGAGGGGTATCAATAGGCTGTGGACCAGTGGTCTCGAACCATCTGTATGTTAATGTTAATGTTCTGCGCACAAAGTGCTTCAGATATACAGAACGCTCCACAGCACATTCTGTTGATAGGGGTGCATTATGTATAAAGACATCATTGACCTATTAGACATCATGAGGACTGTTCACCAGAAGGTTTGTAGTGGATGGGGTACATTGATGGACGTGGGGGTCAGAACCACATCACTGGTGATGCTTGGGGTGACTTCACTGCTATCATGAGTGTGAATACTGCAGTTCCCATAAGGAATGCTGTACTATAAGATTGTAAGGACTTATGTACATATTGGTCACAGTTGGCTATTGGAAGTGAAAACTGCTGTCAGAAAGTTGTCTCGAAGATGAAATGTGGTTCAGATGTAATATTCATCAATTGCAACACCACTGTTTGTCCATTTGCAATAGGAATTTTGGAGCAAAATTCTGCAAGAACTATATTCTTCATAGGCATAGTTAGTACTGTGTTGAGCAACTTGAAAGAATGATAGGACACTCAATCTGTTTCTTTGTATACCAGGTGGGTGCATTAAGTTCCTGACTAAAGATTCCCATGGATAGGCTTGCTAACCTATTCCACCTTCAGCATTGGATAAGTCTGACTCAGACATTCCAGTAGTGGTCTCGAATTCACACCTCATCCTCATTGGTTCTCTGAGACATGGTCGCAAACGACCCTCAAATGAAAAGTTTGACAAAGGATGAAAAGGCCACTTAGTAAGCATCATGGCTCTCGAGGAGCATCGTGAAAAGAAGGCATTCAGTATTTGAGCAAACAATTTGGTGGCTGCATGAGATGTTCTTGTCATGACAGAGAGGATTGTCAAGAAGGTGAGTCTGCTTGCATCTCAACTACAATAAACTGACTCTTTTTGAAGCTTGATGACCTGCAAATTCGCACTGGCATCTATGCAACATTGTTCGTTGTCCACAGTCACATTAATGACCCTATGTTGGACATAGCCCTATACACAGGGGGCTTACTCCCACTACTCTATTGTATGTATGTATGTTAAACTATGTTTGTGTTGGGTGGGTGTACGCGTACTCCGTCGGCATAGTGTTGGGCAAAGGCCGACACCAATTTTGTACAAAGGGAATATAATGGGGTAGGTATTTTGGAGTTGTTTTTGGGAGACATGTTGGCTTGGTATATGCGGGCGTCTTGTCGTTGTTGCATGTGTGTTCTTAGTCCTGGCCGATGGTGTTTTCTTCTACTTTTCTTCTTTCTACGCTGATCATGCGTCCAGCGCTGATCTTTCCCTTTGGTCTCGGAAAGTTGGTTGTTTGATATTATATATGTGTGGTTTCTGTTATGGTAGACATGCTTAAGTTCTGTATAAATTATGTTTTCAGAATCTCACTGAAGGTGGGTTTGAAATGTCCTGTACTGTTGATGTATCGCATGAGAGGGCTGACCGCTTCGTCTGATGTGAGCAGATATGTGAGGGAGCTTGCTTTGCGGCGTAGGGTGTTTGATAGAATGTGGTGTTCTCTGATGTATTGGGAGCAGTTGAAGAGGAAGTGAAGTACAGTTTCTCTTGTTTCCTGACAGTATGGGCAATGTGGTGAGTCACTTTTTCCTATGCGATAGAGGTGTTGGTTGAGGGGGGAGTGACCGGTTCGGAGCTGCGTGAGGATGCTGGCTTGATGTCTGGGGAGTGCGGCGATGAGTTTGATAAACTTCTTGGATGGCATGCTAGGGTCTATGGTTGAGGCTCGTGTGTAGTGGGGCGATCTTCTCCATGTTGCAGTCCAGTTGTTGATCAGGTCTGCAGGTACAAAAATTGATCATTCAGGGCCTGGGTGAGTAACAACATTGTCTGCGTGCGCTGTCCCCATCTAACATCATCTCTAGTTTCAATCACCGGCAAAAAAGACATAGTTATGAACTATACCAACTATGAAACAGCTATTGTGGAAGCCTATGGGGTGCGCCTCATAGGATGGCCCGCAGGTGTCAGCTTTATCAACCCATCAAACATTGGCACAGTAGGTGACATTCACAAGCTTCGGGATGCACTCAAGACTAGAACATGCTTCTGGTCTGCTCTGTCATCAGCAGAAGTCAAGGCTCACACAGCTGAACTTGATGTGCGCTGGTTAGCTGGGGAGGTGATTTGTGAGCCACAAAAGAAGTGTTCGGATGCTGGAGTAGCTCGGAAGCGCAAAGTTCCACCCAGATCAAATAAGAATAATTGAAGGTCATCAAAGAGGTCAAAGGAGGCCCCTGCTCAGCCTTGGGAAGCCCCCAAAAGTGCTGAATTTGTAGAGTCATCTAATGAGGAGGAGGAGGAGGAGGATGAATAGTAGTATTACATAGCCTTACTCTACTTTATGGACACAGAGGTTTCGTGTATGTATCATGATACTTACTTGATTACTATGTGTCAAAATGTGCCATCAATTTGTCCACATTATCATAAGATATGTGAGCTCATCATACGACACAGTGAGCACAAAGGCTCGGATATTATTAGCCAGTGCCAAGAACATGTCACAGCATTGCCGACATGCTGGCGGTACTATCTGACTATATACTACCTACATCTAAGCAGTATAAAGTATCTCTGCATTCAAGCAATATAGAAGGAGGCTCTGACATGCTGAATCTCCCTCACCTTACAAGTGTGAACCCTACATATTATCACCTATTATTACTGTCCTTATGTGGGAGTCACAGGTGTGAAATGGGGCCAGCCGCATGGGTTATGACCTATAACTTCTCACAGCCAGCCTGCTTTCACAATGTATAGAGTGGGCTGGCTGCAATAATAGTGACCCATACTAGTGAAGGCCAGACTAATGTTGCAGTCTGTGCAAATGGGCCGGTGTAGAGACTCGTGCCTCTCATTGTGTAATATGGCAGTTTTCACTAGGGAGTACATGGCACAAACTTGTAGCATTACTCTGTATGCTATCCGCAGCTATTCCTATATGAGGCGCAGCTTTCCCATGCAACGCGCAACATGTGCACACTTTCCCGCACTTCACAATGTATATGCTCATGCACTTTCCCGCGCTTGAGCGCCCTATAGCGCCAGCCATCTGGAAGCATCCATCCACTGTCCACCAAGCTCTCTAGTGCATATATTTCCATTTCTCTTATTTGCATATTGTTCCATCTTTATATTTATCATGGACCCTTACTTACATATATCTTTACATACCTTACTTACATATATCTTTACATACCTTACTTGGTAGTGCTTTGGCTCCACATAACAGCACTTAGGCACCATATATAAGCGCCAGTAGTACATACCAGAAAGGGACAACATATGCCAAGGAGTGAGGAGTGACTTTCCTCATGTTGATGATGGAGGCCACACCAGTTTTAACCTTGACCTGATTTAATTGTTGACAGATGCGCCTGTTATTTTTAAGTATGTCAGCTTCGTTGGGGTTGACACGCATCATGCTAATCATGTGTAACCTTCGCACATGGAACTTTAGCAAACAACATCTAACAAGAGCAGTGTGCAGTTTTTATCTAAGTCCACAACATGAGTTGTCCCAGCTTATTGAACATGTTCTTGTGACCCTGCCATTATGCCTAGCGCCTGACTCCATCCTGCTTTTAAACTGTCATCCAATAAACATCCAACCTATATTTGACACTTGTTCTCTCTTAAAATCGAACATCTCCAGGAACACACACGTATAGAGGCAGAGATGTGGATCACACAAGTGGCCACATGTATCATTGGCTATGAGCGCATATAGCAAGGTTTATAGTCAGTAGTTCCATATCTGCTCTGGCTATCTCAGACCCTAATACTAACATATAATGGTGTAGATGTGCACATAGTTAAAGTAGTAGATGCAGATGTGTCCATTGAGGACACATGTAATGTGAGTTCAACATCTGGGCTTAGTAAGTACCAATATACCTGCACTGACTCTCCTTCTCTAGCTCCTTCTGCAAGAAGACATTCCATGTCTAGTTTTCCATACTCTTCTGGATTCAACTCAGACAGGTCAACCTTATCTTAGATTCATTGACTTTGCACTAACTCCCATACTGATCAGATTGTGAGTGCTACATGAGAAGAACATAAACCTGTGCCTTGTTAGCATCGTGTGTGGAACAGTCAGGTTAATGACGTGCTTTATGACTTGTGGATCTTATCCTACGTGACAGATTTCGTGGTGTGATGGCTTTTACTTTTTCCTCATCCTCTATGCACATATTGACGCCCTTTCACTTGTAGACCTCTTTCCCTACAGACCCTTCTCATTAATGCTAGCTGCATTTCACTGCTTGGAGTGTTTGCGAAGGGAATAGTTATGGTGAGTATCACTATCCACCTATTTGTGTATTTTGCTAACACCTACATATCTCCACCTCTAAGTGCACTGTCATTGCAGAATGTGCTGACTTTGACGAGAGGCATTTGCTTCTCTCTAAAAGGCCTGCTAGTGCGCTTCTGCCCTCTCCTCCTTTGCCCACTGCTCCCACTGTACATATGCCCACCATTCACATTGTCCTTGCAATTCTTGATGTGAAGACCACATCATTTTGCCTGTCTTTGTAGACAACATGATCTTTGCATCCAAATCCCTCACTACCATCGACCAAATCATCTCTCAGCTCTCCCAACACTTCAAACTTCATGACCTCAGTCCCAATTTTCACCTCTCTCGATCTCAATCACCTGTGTGGTATGCCCTATCTTGCTGCTGTTGGTACTCTGATGTATCTAGCCACCACCACTGGACACGACATTGCCTACGCTGTAGGTGTCCTTGTTAAGATGGGAGTGAAGTGGGCCGCTTCTAGAGGCTACTGAGAGACCAATTCAGATGTTCTACCCCGGAAAGTCACAAGAACTTCTGCAATGATTATCATGTGTACAGGCAAGGTGCCCCTGTATATTCCTGTGACTGCTATAACTATAGGGAGATGGCAAGGTACAAATATACCAAACCTGAACCCTCACCTTCAGACTTAGAGTAGGTACGTCAAAGATGAAGTTGTTCTAATGGATCTAATATCAGGCATCAGAAGCTGGCAATAGTGACTCTGAGGATACCAAAGCGTTAAGTCTAAAATGGAAGATACTACACGGAGATGATGTGAGTGCGCACAGTTGTTTCATTAAGCTTGCAAATAATGTACTTACCACCGCATGCAGACTGTGCATAGCATCTCTTGCGACATTGCCACTGTGTGGGAGGTGTCAGTGCCCGACATTCTGTTGAATAATGGGCCGCTGTGGTTGACATATGCCTGTGATAAATTTGATGATGTTGTCTAAAACCCAGAGAAACACAGACCTTTTATCCGTAACCAACATTTTCACACCAAAGTGAGGAAATGAATGCAACGAGGGGACCCCTGTTGTAGGTGAAGCTTATGGATTCCGACTTCCCTGCATCGAGGAGGTTTGCCCACTGCCAATGGTTTTGTGTCTGGTTCAAATGGTCAGCCTCGCCACCAAGAACATTAACACTTACATTTCACGTTCCTTCATTAATCAGACCATTTTGTTCCAGTGTGATGGGACCGTTATCATCTGCCATCAGAGTGACAGATAATGTTGGCGAGTACTGTGCAAGACAAGCAGTTTTGACTCAATTTGGCAAACTCCATATTTGGGTCGGAACAATAAATTAGCACCAAAAAGAGGGAAAAAAACAGTAGAAACGAATGTCTAACAGCAAAAGGAAATTTCACAGTCTGAGCCGAAAACGACCTCTCTGAGGTCAATGTCACTACCATTCTGAATCTGCGTAGAATAAATATAATGTCTTGGAGGTGTTGAAGAAGGTGGAGCATCTCCAGATTGGAGCAGCCTGGAGCTCATCCATTGAAAACCTAGCTGATTTTCAAGCTGAAATTGACCAGTAATCAATTATGTAATCAGTACTGATACTGAACAGTGTTAGTTATATGATCATTCACCTTGTGCCTTCATACTCATAGTATTATTCCTGACACTTTACTTACTATTTACATGACTTCCTGACCTCCCTAGGACGTCTCTAGGTCGAGTTATTACTTACCTTTTGAGGCTTGTCTGTTTACATTTGTTTAATATGCATCACTTATATCCCAGAGTCTAGTGCTCCCTGCCTCTTTGGCAACTTACTCTGGACTCTAGGTACTGTATAACTTCACTACACCATTCAATAGATTGGCAACTTACTTTGGACTCTAGTCTGATCTCTTCTGGTTTCTCAGTAGCCTCTAGAAGTGGCCCACTTTACTCTAATCTTAACAAACAGCTGCAGCGCTACATCATCAAGTCATAATCTTCCCCCCACCCATGACACGCGAACTCTAATTTAATGAGGTGCATAATGTCATGATTTCCGTCATGCATGCGGTGCGGATCCCATGATAGCTCCTGCAAATCCACAGCTAAAGAAGGATGATGTAGATCTATTCTAATTCTAGCTATTTGTACCCTAATTGACTGTAGTTTATATAGTAGCAGAAGCTTTATTCAATGTCATTTTTTCTCCCATGATCATGTTTATTGGTTCCTTCTCAACCAAGAACATAGGACAAAGCCAAGAGATAGAAATAGTTACTCAACCAAACTATGTCTGTGTTCTGCACTGATGCAGCGGGGTAGCCCTTGAATCAGCCTCCAGAAGTTGATATTTGAGATAGGGGCAGGGCTAACAACCATTTGGCTGACCCCATTCTGAAACTCTGCATTCAGGCGAATGCCCCATCATTCTATGCTATTTTGCTCTTCTGGTTCTGGGATTATTTCCTGGATCTGCATCACCCACACATACAATTCAAGTATCAAAAACAATTTGACCCCGGGCACCTCCACAGACACCTGCCAGTCTTCTATTTTAGGCGACTGAGTCTGATGACACAGATTCAGGTTGTCACAATAGCCATTGTATGATGTACGTCGCAATCCCCGACTCTATGGAGTAGAGAGAGGGTTCTTGTAATGGTTGCGCTTAGGGTCTGACTTATTATTTCTCACTCCCATCCACGCAGTTATTGCACTCATTTATTTCTCTAACTACAGCTACTATGCCTCGTCCTTTGGCTGAGGCAGTGGCTACCCATTTACTCCCTTCCCATGTTAGACACCACCGTGTTAACCCGAGCCTCATAGTATAAAAGTAGGAACCAGTCGTACATTACAGTAGTGTTTTCTGTTTTCTGGACCCCCGACATCAGTGAATTCATGAGTTCGTGATATTGTAGCTGTGAGAACTGGAGAAGAATGGAACTTTGCTCTAGGTAAACATGGGTATGTCTACTGCGATAAATCTGAGTTGTTGGTACATAGCCATTAATGTCTGCAAATATAGATTATTGCGAGGAGTTTATGATAAGGTTGTGACATTGTAGTGTGATGGCTGGTAAGAGATTATAGCGTAAGTGTGTCTGTCCTCCTTGTTGAGCATGCTCATTCTTCAAAATTTATGATGTGAATTACATGACTTTACATGACTTTCTCATGGAAAGCGGTGTTCACATTGGCCACCAAATCTATATTAGCAGGCGAGTTTGTGACAATGTTGTGATATTGAACCATTGATGCCTGTAAGAGCTGGTAGCGTCAAGTGCATAGGTTTTCTGAGTGTTTTTTTTCTTTCCTTATGGTTCAACTATAAGGTTATCTATAACTTTTTGATAGAACATGCCTTTCACATTCGCTGATCAACTGTTAGAGTTGGCGACCAACCGCATTCTTCCAATAGGTTTAGACGTGTGATTGATGTTAGCACTGCACTACCCTCCTGCTGGGCCACTACAGATGACTGCCATTCTCCTTCATTTGGCAGTGCACTAAATTTGCACTTAGCCCAGCTGACACTTGTTAGCCCCAAGTTGCTCATAGTAGAGGAAAAAGTGGATAATATAGTCCACCCACTGGTAGGTGGCCAGGAGTGTGAGCCTGAGGATGGAGGTGTCATGGATGCCTAGGCCAGTAGAGACACTTGATGTATGATGATCTTGTCAGTAGCAGATGCGAGCTGCATTAAATTCATGGTATTATTTGCAGCAAGAGTCAGAGGATACAGTGGAGGGGGCATCATAACAGCACTGGAAGATGACAACTCGGAAGGTGCAGCTGAGACCATCAGGCTGGCCTGGGGCTGACACTTGATGAACTTTCCTTTTGCAGTGCTTAGCCCATGGGGCATGATCTAATTGATGATGTCAAAGTGCGAGAACCCTTTAGTCTTGAATGGTTTTGCAGTGAGGCTGTTCTAGTATTTCAAGTAGTTTAATGACAGTTTAGTCTTATGTTCATCATCTTCCTTCTAGGTGCCTTAGCGAGTACATCTCACTCTACTGCCCATTCAACCACCACTTGCTCCACCATTGTCACCATCACCCCAACTACTCCCATCACCCATACTGTCCCCATCGCTCATACTGCTTCGATCACCCATACTGCCTCCATACGAGTCACCCCCATTGCCTATACTGTCCTCATCACCTTCGTGGCCCATACTGCCACCCCCACCCCCACCATCTCCATCTTTTCCATATCAAACCAAGTAGCAAAATACAGAGACAACACTAGCACACTTAGGGTCAGCCTCCATCTGGCAGCCAAGTGTGAAGCTAATGTGAGTATCGCAAAATAGCACCACTCGATATGTCATTCAGACTCAGATTAGTAACTCATACTGATCTTCCTGTCTGGCATCACTAGTGCAAACCAGCAAGTGCATTCCATTCACACTAGTCTGACAACACATAACTGATACTACTGTACACTATGGATATAAAATGAAGGCCACAACACGGGTGAGTATGATCATACTTGTTCTGTGACTTCTACTCACTAGAGTCTTTTAGCTTTGTTCCTATTTGATGGTGCAAGCCAGCAACAGTGCCAATATTACTGACTAAGAGCAGGACCCAAGTGCAGCCCTAGTGGAGGAAATAGGATGGTGGTATGAGAGGTGGTGTGGCAGGCAGGGCGAGGATCAGCAGATACCCTACTATATCATCTAATATCAAGAATTCATATTGATACCATTTTTTGGGCCAAATGAAATGATTTTTGAGTCCCTATATTCAAATAAATAGAATAGAAATCTATCAATACACCAAAATTTTCTCTCAATCTCTATCTTTTTGTGTCTTAAAAAGTGCTGTTTTTTCAAAAGACATCAAAAGACAGCAAGAAAATAGAGGTTCTCTGATATATTATATTTATTCTGTATCTTCATGTATCGGCCCAATTCTGATTGATTTTCACTGGGACTGAAGTTATAAGCTTTATTTCAGTGGTTTTGCAGATGATATGACAACTTGATCTCATTCATCATAAAACTCAACATGGATCCCCTCATAAAAAACCTTCAACTCCACACCATAGAAATTTCCTGGATGCTCCAAAAGTCATATTCTCCTATGAGCATAGGAAGAGAAGACAAGTCACCAGAGATTAGCAGGGGTTATGAAGGTGAAATTATGAGTAGGCCATATACCAGGCTCCTCACTCTTTGACATGACATCACCTAACAGATACACCAGAATTTGAGAGAGACACTGGGAGGAGCAGCTCACACAGCTCTCACACATCACCTGCACTCAACGAGGCAGGCAACCCCTTCATCTCCAACTTGGTAGATATGAGCAACCATGATGAATTGTGACAATATGTGAGCCAAACAGTAGGTAGGTCATGTAGCACCTGCTTCTCAGACATTTCTTTATGTATAGATAGATCGTGTCACGTATGCATGTCCCAAAATCCAGACACTGTGTCACCCTGATGTTCTATTTTTTGAATAGGTCTTCCTTTATAACAGGTGCTGTTGAGCAAGATGTGTTCATGTGTAGCCCAGTCAGCACTATCAGCACTGGCTGGCACTTACATTTGGATCTGTTATATGACATGTCATATGATGTGCCATGGCTGGAGCTGGACCTCGGGCTAGAAGAAAGAGATTTATTTATGTCATTCTTAGATTTTGACCTTCCTGACCATCCCTACTCCCAGGCTGGTGAGGCATATCAAAAGCTTATGACATGGCTCGAAGATACATCACAGAATGAGAACTTGGCTAGAAAGCACTTTAGATGGTTTTATGCTGGTACTGAAAGGTTCATTGTAGTCTAAATATGTCACAGGTAAATATTATTGAAAGCTCAATATCCAACTCCTGGCAGGTTTCCTCTTAAACAAATGGATAGGAGGTGAAGTACTTGATTTCATCTTGGAAGTCATTTAAACTCGAGAAATGCCTACCACCAGTATACATCTTCAAACCAGCATAATTTACAAAGAATCAGATCAAAGGAAGGCACAGGAGATACTGCAGGTACCAGACAGGGCAGCCTCATGTATCCTCATTCCAATCTGTTATGCTGGACACTGGGTGACTGTTAATGCAGACCTTAGCACCAGACATATCACTATCTTTGATTTTCTCAATGCCAGTGATGCCATATCTCAGCCTCTCACTGGCAAAATCACTCAAATATTGAATAACATCGATCAAGAACCGATCACTAGGACACATTGGTTCTTCTATCTTCATACCTACCCGCAGCAGCTTAATGAGTTCTCTTGTAGTGTCGCTACCAGAAGTGCCATACATTGTGCTGCACACCCGATGACTGCCCTATGGAACCCACAAACTCTTAGTTTAACATATGTGAATTACTATAGGTTGTGTGTGGACAAGATGTTACTGGTGGTACCTGACTTTACATTTAACTAATGTATTACTATAGAGCACTGTGGCAGCACTGACTTATAGACCATGACTACCTCTCTGCATAGACATCACCAGTTGACAATGCTAACAAGATCACAGTTGAAGATGTGCTTGAGTATAAGGTTCTTTCCATATAGAAAGAGATATAAGGTGAGCAGACATTGGTTTGGATGCTGATGAATGAAGGTTCACTGTTTATTTATTGTAGAATAAAACTTACAAAATCATCTGCGTCATACCAAGTCATATACCCTATATCACTTGATAGCCATATCTATTGATATGGCCAAGATTAGATCACTTATGATATCGATCAGTTAACTAACCTGCAATTTTTTCACCTTAGAATATGGGTTACTTGGTATTATAAATTCTTATGCCGAAGTATCATGGCTACAGCTATTTTTCAAAAAAATATGGAGCATATCACTAACAACCCAACTTCCACCATAACGTTCAAGGATAGGATATCGTTTTGCACCTACAGGAAATGAGTGATGAACATTGTTGGTAAGACCAGAACCTACCTCTGCGTAGACAATGATTAACTGTGGCTGTGCTTGGAGCCTCCATGACTTGTGCACTTTGAGGTATTCACGGGCCAGTTGTGAAACAAAAGCCTGTATGGAAACCATTTAAACAGATAGATGTGACAGACACAACGACACGCACACAAATTTCTTCATATTCAGACCCAGGCCAGCCAAGCATCTCCTGTAAATTGTATCCGCCCTGGCTAATTTGGGAGACCTCTCCTTGCGGCTTTGGAATCTTGGAGAGCAAAGGAACCACTGGCGGAATTTGTTATACAGCATCAGATGACAATGAATCCGTGTCGCATGAGAATGCTTGGTGCTGTGTCAAAGGAGGAGGGGTATAGCCACGTTCAGGGGGAAATTCCCAATGAATGGTGAGTGGCTTGAAGTGGCGACAATACCGCCATTCGGAAAGCGCTTTGGGCATATTCAGTTAGACAAACTTGTTGAACGGGCAAATGTAAACTTATTACCTTCATGACCAGGAGGAGGTTCTATTTAGCAACGCGCGGATCAGTTACTGGTGGGATACAAGTTGTTAGTTCCAATACTGTCACAGTGACTGCCTTGTACTCACATGTACACGATTTGGGTCAGTCTTAGTTGTCAATGTTATTATTGAACAAAATGAATGACTACTATGCAATGTTAATGACTATGGGCCCTTGTCTTCACAGAACAAGTACTAAAAGACAACAAATAGCATGTTGATGACATTGACTACTATGCAAAGTTAAGAACTATCTATATATAAACATTGTGATCGCAAGAGAAAGAAACCTTCACAGCAAGGTTTTGGGGATTAAGTAGTGAATGTGAGAATTAGACTCTGCTGGAATTACCTGAAGCGGCTGAGCGGCTGACTCTGAGCGGTTGAGTGGCTGCCTGATAATTCCATCGGAGTTTTGACTGACTCAGATTCACTACTTAGGCACTGAAACATGGGCCTGATTGTTCTCCTTCCTTCCATATATGTTGTATACACAACATTAATGTTATGTTAATGCTATGGTAATGTAGATGTAGATTTAAGTTATTGTATACATCTATATATCTCTGTCTATTGTAAGCAGTCAGTGTATTTCAAAATGCTGCACAAGTCTTGAAAAAGACTAAGGTCTAGCGCATACTACCTCGCGCACGGTGTTGAGCCATTGAGTAGGTCATTCCATTCTGTCATAGGGTTATAATAGCTCATGTAAAATTGACACGCAGACTGACATTGATCGCTCCTGCCATCAAAGTATTTGTGAGTGCCCCGGGCATCATGTCCCCAATCGCCCCTATCGCCTCATCCACCCTCATCTAGATTTCCTTTTCTAGGGCTCAGCTGCTCAAATTAATGAATTAAACTCCTGGTGCGTTTTTTTGTCAGACATCTCCCATTCATTGTTCGACCTGTCTTATTATGATCTTGTTCTAATGCCTGGTTCTTTCAGACAGTGTCTATCGTAGCGGTCCTAGTCTGCAAAACTAATGAATTGGACTCCCGGTGAGGTTGTTCAACTTGTCTTATTGTGATCTGTCCTAATGAAAGTTGTATTGCACCATTCTCTCCATCTGCACTGCACAACATACTCACCTACATGGAATTCCACCCAAAAGCTGCACTTGACAAATGATCCCGGACAGTCTCTCACGTTCATATGTTCATCCCTTATCAATATTTTTTACCCGGAGCATTCCACGTATTGTTTCTCAATCTTGTGGAGTGGAAATTCAGATGGATGGAGTACTCAAATTGGATAAGTGCCCCACTAAGTGGCACACTTAGTGGGGAACTCATATAGCTCATGCAAATTTTTAAAATCATTGTCAGAATCTAACTTTAGAGATATCTATGTACATATTCATAATTTTTCCTCCCTTGGCCTGCCAAACACAGCCCCACTCTGTTCCCTCAACCGATTTAAAACAGAGTCTCAATTTGATTCATATTTTATTGTATGGCATATTTACCATTTATATGTGAATCTTGTGGTCCAAATATATCTGCCATTTTCATTGTCTGATTATGAATCTAACAATACACCAGATCCATGCCAACAAATTCAGCAATTTTGTCCATACATATTCTCTATTTGTGTATGAATCTGAGGTCAAAACTAATTGCCAACCTTTTTTCACTTTGATGATGAATTTTGAGTTAGACCATATTGTGTTATATATTAAGAATTTATCCCTCAATTTGAATGGAATCTGTCGCAAACTTTTATTCCGCTGTGTCTCAGGTGTAAGCCCACTGTGTGGAGGTTGTTCTGAGTGCGTGTAGGTGCCATAGAATGTAAGTATACTTGGTAAGATGTGAGTTCGAATATACTGTTAAGAATGTGCTCAAAGGTTGAATCTGAAGGGCTTGGCTTCAGCTCACGTGCTGCGCCCCTTATCCAAGTACGTGCCCCTAACTTCTGAGGGCTAACGGATGATGTCCAGAGTCCAGAGTCTGATGCGCAGGAATTCTGGCAGACGTTCGGGAACAAGTGATAAGACTAATCTGGATGAAGTCCAAACTAGAAAGGAAACAGCGGAGGACTACCAAAGGTAGAGGCAGAGGTGACAAGTCTATAGGAGTTGATCCTAAGACTATCGGAGGTTAATGAGAGGAGAGACTCAAGTCGGACGGAGGAGGGAATGAGCAGAGTCTAAGATAATATTTGAACTGAGGAAGTACAGAGACTTTACAGGGTTTATATACTACAGAGGACATAATGGAGAATCAGTCAGCGCAGTGCGAGGCTATGGACAGAGCATGTGGAACAACTAACACTAGTCTATCAGAACTCAATAAAATGAAGATGGAAATTAAGAAGGTACGGAAATTAAGCATAGTCTGGTTATAGGTATAACCGGGTGACCGGACACAGGGGCTAACTGAGAATGGAAATACCAAAGGGAAAAGATCTGAAAGATAGAAGCTGACTGGATCTGGAAGTCCGGAGATGATTGTGTAATAGGTCTGGGTTCAGAACACAGGATATAACAATGGGCAGCAAAGACATTACAGCTAGCTACAAGTGCAGGAATCACACAGGGTACATTCATGATCTGGCAAGTGCGCAGCACACTACCAGACATTGTCAAGGATCTACTCAAGGATGAAGAGTACATGAACTGGGAAGAATTTGTAAAAGCAGTAACAGAGCTGAAAGAGAGTAGATTAGCAAAGGAGCAGGAGCAGCACAACCAGCAGATGCAGGAGCTAAATACCCTCAAAACAAACTTAGCTCACATCCAACAACGAGCATCAGCACCTAGCCCAGTTGAAGCACTCCAAAACCAGCTCAGCAGAATGTCGGTCAATACACCAAACCATCCAGTAACATTGTTGAATGGAAGCAGATACATGAGAAGACCTATAACCCAAAGCTGCCAGCCAGCCGTAGTCATAGATGAACTAAAGGCAAAAGTCAGGCTCCTTATCATATTGTTCCCTCACCACCCAGACACCCTAGCAGGTCATACAACACATGCAGCCCAAATTACACAATAGAATGTAAAGTGGGGAGATAACACACAGGTCACATATGAGACAGGCTATCCTCTCAAACTAGGGATGACAACCATATGCTCAGGAGAATGTTTCTCTTGCAGTACATATGAACATAACAGCTGCAATTGTGTACTACCCCCAGGAGACACAGCATATCTAAAAAGGAAAGAAGCCACCTGGAGAGTAGTTTTGAGCAGGGTCCTAGGTGCTTTCAACCACTTCACAGCCACACTAATCACACTTGTATATGCATATGAAGGCAGACAGTTCAGAAAAGAAAAATATGAGGAAAGAAAAGGAGATGGGTTAGTGTAGACAAGAGCATCACACTAACCCCATAAGAAGCAGAGACCCATATTAGAACAGATGTCCTCACATGCACAGAGGCACCATACAAGGACCAAACAATCCAGTCAAGCCCTTAGATTCTGCTTGCATCTTTAGTTACACCTGATGTATATGTATCTCTTACAACAAATGTGGAATCAGCTTAACAGTGGATATCAAACAATGAGCAAACTTAGTGGGGGGAAAGAACACATCTCCTTAAGGCAAGTCAGCTAAGACCAACATATATCATTAAGAAGTGCAACTAATGAGAACACGAAGGAACTGCAAAACCTCACATACCAACCTATGGATTCACAGCTGTGCTGTCACAGAAAGTCCAGACTCAAGTGCCAACCAGGAAATGGATAGAGGAGCTACATCCCATTGGATTTGCCTCCAAATATACATCACTAGCCAAGCAAGGCTACAAGTCATATCTACTAGAGTTTGCAGCACTTAAATTCAGCCTGAATAAGTTTCAAACATTGTTTAGAGACAACCTGTTGAAGTAGAGACAGACTGCAATGCCCTCAAAGATATGCTACTCAATAATACCCTAAATATAGTCCATGTGCGATGGCACGAAAGCATCCTTTCATACAACATCACTGATATACAACATATCCTAGAAAAACTAAATGTTGTCGCAGATGGATTGAGTCACAAATGGGAAGGAGAACCATGAGTTGAAGGAGATGGTAGTGAATGGACAGTCAGTGAGAACTGGAAAGCACGAATGGAACTCACCAATGTCATTCTAAATGTGCTAAGCATAAATCCAGACATTAGAGCACTGTGGCTTCATTTCACTAATGAACCTCTGTTTCTAGAAGTCATTAATGCAATATTGACTAGGCAAAGTAACTCCTCACTGCAAGACCGCACATGCACCCACCACAGAGCATCATAGCACCTAATCAAGGGAGACAAACTATGGAGGATAAAGGGAGGCTCCGCTACCTATGCAAGAGCCAGAGTTGAGTGCATACCCAGGACAGAAGCCATAGAATTATCCAGGAAAGAACACACAAATGGTGGCCATTGAGGGAGAGATATGATGAAAATCATATTACTGGATCATATCTGGAGTCCAAAGCTTGATGCCTCAATTCTAACTGTAGTAAGAGATTGGTCAAAATTTTGGACCAGCACACATTCACTACCTCTTAGAACCAATCATGAGGAGACACCCATTCGAGCTTCTCATAGGTGATTATTTAGCACCCCCCAAAGGAAAAGGAGGATATAGCAACCTTGGAGTGTACCTTGACATTTCTTCACAACACATCTGGGTCTTCAAGTACAAGTCTGTAGGAAGCACAAACACTATCATTGATAGTCTGTCACACATATGCAGCAGTTTCACACCACCAGAGACGTTTATGTCAGATTGGGATGGGCACTTCAACAACAATAATGTGAAAATATTTTGTGCATCAAGAAATAGTAAGTTACATGTAGTTGCAACATACTCACCCTGGATCAATAGACTCGTTGAATGGACCAAGCTGCTGCTACACGTTCTGAAGCGTAAATGTGCACTAAACCTAGGTAAAGACGAGGCAGAGAACACATTATGGGACAAGCTTCCTCAATCATGGCTGGAACACCTTGACGAGGCAGTAGACACCCTCAACAATCGCCTATTACTGGCATTGAAATTCTCTCCCAAGGAACTATTACTTAGCCTTGTAGCAAACATCCCACATACTCTGCTCGAGGAGAGCTCATCAATACTTTGTCCAACAGATGCCCTGTCACACTTCACATATGTAGAACAACAGCAACTTGATGGATATGACAAGATCGTGCATCACACTATCAAATGCAAAGCAGTGTTTGACAAAAAACTTCTACAACGAGCCCCAGATAAGGTCATCTTTAAGCAAGGACAACTCGTACAGGTATATCAAAGTAATCTAGACTATATCTTCAAAACAGACCGCAAAATCCTTTCCAAATGGTCCTAAGACAAATCTGAAACCACATACTTAACTCCTACACCCTCAAGATGGTACAGTGCAAGACAGCTAAGAGCATTTGTTTCCCAAGCAGGTACCAAGTTGGAGCAGGACCAACTGAAGTATGAAAAGAAGTTAACAAAGAACAAGAATGATGAAAGAGAGGAGAACAAGTTAGTGGCTAGTGGAGATGGAGAGCTGAACAAAGTGGAAGACAAACTGGAGGAAAAAGTAGAGATAGAGGACAAAGATGAAGGCGAGGATGAAGATGAGGACAAGGACAAGGAGAGAGGCTAGGTAACACTGAGGGCAGTATCATTTATTTTTTAGGGAGGTGCATAAAGTAGGGGTCTCATGGTCATAGCATAGCATAGGAGAACCCAGCAGCCCATTCCAAGGCTTGGTCAGCACAGTAGCATGGTTCATTCTGGTCAGTAGCATACACACACACTTTCCAGGTAGAGCATTCCTCTGAGTCTTGGTTTGAGCCTCCCCACTCTGTCCAACAGTTTACCCAAGGTGTTTCGGAACAATGGTAATATATTTAACTACATGGTATGGAAACATTAGCAAAATAAAAAATAAAAAACAGCTCCAAAACTATAGTAATACTGCAACTCAGACACAGGAATGCAAAGACTTAGTCGAGGATGATTTGTAGATGAGTGTGTTTGGTCTTCTCAGTGCCATTGAGTTTTAGACATGCAGCCCTGGGTGAAAATAGTCAGCATCCAAAACTTTAAAGAAAAAGATTGTTCTTGTCATCCTGCCTCAGCCCATTACTGAAGTTGTGCTACTAACCTAGGACCGTGATATGGATGTTGAAGAATTTGATTCATCATTCTGACCATCTGGCGGTATATTAGGCCATATTCCTTGGTGAAGAACTTGGAATAAGATTTGCTATGACTATTTTTGATAAGACCATTGAGGACACAGTTGTACTATAAAAATGTCAATACATGATATAAAAGCAGAAAGTAAGAAAGTACCACAGCAGAGACTAAATTCAAGCATGTGATGGGCAATTGCTTGCAAAAGATATCTGGTCTCTTCCAGGCAATTCAGTATGGCCATGTGTACAAGAATCTAATAGCTGCATTACGAGAGGCCAGGATAAGTGAAGTTCCTTCTTTTGCCCTAGTGATTTTAATGTATGTTGTCGGAGTCAGTGCACAATCACTCACCAATACATCCAAACCAAACCATAAGAACTCAGATTCTGAAAGTAATTGTGAAGTAGCATTCTGGACCCACATTGTACATTCTTGAGCAGGGATAGAGATATTGTCAGTCTACAAGTAATATACACACCAATGAACCAGCGGAGGACATGAATAGGACAGACAGAGGATATGTCACAGACTCAAAGAAAAGCCAATGCAAGCCAAAGTGCACATGAGAGCCGCAGCTGTTGGCCGACAATGGGATGCTTGTGCACTGCACTAACAATAGTGCATGTCATGCAATGACCCAAGGTACAACACAAAAATGGCCTCTATGAAGCTGTAGAGACTTTAAGTCTTACAACATATTCCACATGACATTCTCCCTTGGTGTACTCAAGGAAGCTTTTCCAGCACAGCCATACCAAGCTAATAGAGTAGGTTTCGGCCCATCTTCTGACTGTTTTATCTTTCTCTTTCTCTGGGGAGCCTACCGATCATTAGTGTGCTCAGCTACTTAATGAAGCAGCTCAAGAGTTTCAGGGTTAGGAAGATAGGGCTGGCTATTTTTCTTGTGGTGGGACTCCAATATATTGCTAGGCTTTGAGGTATGCAAATGACGACTGTGAGCCTTGATCAGAATAAAAACTATTTGCTTACCTCAGAATATTGTGTCTGTTGTTGCTGTTGTACTCCTACTGAAGGATCCAGAGAGTCTTTGAATGCAAAAAGAATAAGTGCAATGTCAGTAAATCTACATTAGCATACCTGGGAGTTACTGTTCTGGTAGACAGACAAGGATTGAGAGTTTGCTACAGTGTTTTTATTGAGGCTTATCTGAGCAGCTATGTCATTCTTATCACAGGAGTACTGAAAATTGAATTTAGGTGAGATAATGAATGACTCGAGGCTGTAATTCATTTAAAAAGCCTGTAAGATTAAAATAGAGAACAACATCAGGTGAATCTTAGTACGATAAAGGCAATTACTTGGATAGCCATTGTGAGATTAATACTCATTCTCATTGGTATGCTCATCCTCGTCCTCATCATTACTGTTGTTGGTGCTGCTGCCTTTGGATCTACTGTTCAACAGTTTGGATTCTTGCAGTATAGATTAACACCTGACATTATTATTCTCCTCAAAAAGGGCCAGATCCAAGTTTTGTTCCATGAAGGTGGTGAGTGGCAGTACAATATTATGTGGGTTTGGATCATGAGCTACTTTCATAGCATGCTTCTTGACAGCCTTCAAGCCAATAGCAATATGTGAATTGTTAGCCTCATAAAGACTATGACTAGTGCTAGGAGGAGCAACCAAACCAACCTTCCACCAGGTTGGTATATTGAAAAACCAGAACCTGTGTTATCAATGCTTGCAGGACCATTGGTAATAGTAAGTGAACTATAAGGCAAAGAAACTACCTAAATGCAAACATCAGCATTAGTAAAAATATATACTTACATGCCTGACCTTTGAATGACCCTTCTGTTCTTTACGAGCTGGTTCTGAAGCCTAAGAATTCACTGGGATATTAGGACTGAGGGATGTGGAGCCCTTGGGAGGACAACTTTAAGACTGAGACTCAAAGACTGCCCCAATCTTTTCTAGCTGGCTGTTCCTACCTCTTTTCCCTGTATTGGGGCAGCTGGAACATTGTAGAGCACCATCTTTAGCTTTAGCAAGGCCAAGAGAAACAAGTGGTATGCTAAGTGTTTTGGTGAGATCAGTAGTTTGGCAAGATTTTTTTGGTACACCTGCCCTGCCAGAAGCATCTGAGCCTTTGTGCTTTGACCTCTTCTTCTTGGGGCTGTTAATAGCATGAGGAGCCATGATTGCAACTGTATGGAGGATAGAGAAAGAGGTGAAGCCTGAGTCTAGTGATTCATTGAGTTGCAAACTCACCAGCCTTTTATACACTAGTATTATGTCTCAGTGCCAGGTGGACCAATAGAACGGCCTTGATATGAGTAATGGATAGTATTATATTTTAAAAATATATGCAGCATCACACTGAAGTGTATACCATGTAATAATCAATGCTGCATGTTTCAAGTGACTCAATTTAATCAGAATAAATGTGTGAAGTCAAGTTGCCAAGAAACATAATTTTGTTAAGATGGGAGTGAAGTAGGCCGCTTCTAGAGGCTACTGAGAGACCAAAAGAGATCAGACTAGAGTCTAGACTAAGTTGCCAATCTATTGAATGGTGTAGTGAAGTTATACAGTACCTAGAGTCCAGAGTAAGCTGTCAAAGAGGCAGGGAGCATTGGACTCTGGGATATGAGTGATTGTCATATCCCGCATTCCGGACCAACATCCGACGACGTTCCCACGCCTCATCCGGACCTCCGGACCTCCTGTCCATGTCTCCAGACCCAATCCTCTATCCGTCCGGATCCCTGTACTCCTGCATCTGATATCCACATCTCCGGATCTCCAGATCCGACCTATCTGTCATGTCCGAACCCAAACCTTAAATCAGCGCCCATCCCCTTATGGTAATCACCTGTCTCCGGACTTCCAAACATCCGGATCCAACCCGTGTCTATCTTCCATGCCTTATCCCTTTGTATGTTCCTTCTTGAGTTAGACTTCCTCATTTTCCGTACCTCGTTTCATTTCTGGCTTTATTTTCCTATGTCTTCATCTCCGTCTTCATTTACTATTTTCCGATAGACTAGTGTTTGACTTTTCTACATCCTCCGTCCACAGCCTCGCATAGCTTCGGACTGCGCTGACTGACTCTCCGTTAAGTCCTCTGTAGTATATAAACTCTGTAGAATCTTTGTACTTCCTCAGTCTGAATATTACACATATTAGTCCTTGCACTAGCCTTCACCCTAAGTCCTCGTAACAGTTTCTAATCCTCAGACTTAGTAATTATCCATCTCAGGCCTAGGGAGGAATTCCCTAGGCCGGAGCTCTGCTCCTCCACTCCTCCGCTCCTCTGATCCTCCGATCCACCATTCCTCCAAGTTTCCGAAAGTTCCTCCGGAACTTTCCCGCGGTCCTCCGGACCTATTCTGCTTTGGACTTTGTCCTTGCAGCCTTTCCTCTGTTTCCTTCTACTCAGGACTTGTCCTGAGTAGCCATTACACATATCCCCGTCAGGACGAAACTCCATCATAATTTCCGGAAGTTCCTCCGAAACTTTCCCGCACTCATCCGGAAGTTTCTCGCACTCGTCCGGAAAGTCCTTCCGAAGTTTCCCACACTTCTCCGGAAGTCCTTCGGACTTCACTGGACTTTCTCCGGACTTCATTCTGAAGTTAAGGGCACATACTCGGGTAAGGGGCACAGCGCACGAGCTGAAGCCAAGCCCCTTGGAATCAGTCCTACCCTTTGTGCATGGTCTTAACAGTGATAGTGTCAGGGATAATACCATGAGTATGAAGGTACAATAAGACACATAGAAGACATAGAAATGTGTATTGTAGAGGTGAATGATCATATAACTGACAAATTTATAAGTCATACAAATTACAACAACCAAAAACACATAGTACATCAGGTCAACGTGAGAATGATAGTACAATACAGTAGCAATAAAAAAATGATATTTACATTGAATAATCAGCCTGTATGTATGCTAACTGTCTGACTCATTGTCAGTCTTCATCAAAATATCATTAGACTTCTGACACTTGGATAATTTCATGAGGAAAGATTGTGAAGTAATATGCTTTTTGACATGGTCTATGAGAAAAACTATAGATTGTTTGAGCGTCTTGACAGTGGAAATGAGCTCCTTATCATCAGAAGGCAGTCAAGATGAGTGTTCAATAGTGTAAGGATGGTGTCAAAGGAAACAGGGTTCTCCATATTGTCCTTCAAAGCTGTATGCCACTCCTTGGCAAGAGGGATTAAGTCTTTGAAGTAAGGATGAATCTTCTCTACAAGATAGTGTTCCTCCTTCTTGGTTGCAAAAAAACTACCCTTGAAGGCCATGCAGGATTCAAAGTCCATGTTGTTCCAGTGATCAGGTATTAAGTTTCCTAAGCTATCCTACCATGGGGACCACAGAATTTGATGCAAATCCAGATGAATACAACAAAAGTGATTTGAGGTCATCTGAAAAGCATTGAACGACATATGATACAGGCAATGCCAAAGTGTTTGAAAACATTTTGGGGATATATTTTGGTTTCTTTCTGCCCAGTGCTGCCTGTTGTGCATCTCAGAGTTGGACAAGAAGCCTGCGAAATATGAATGGGATTGTTCCCTGTAGATTGGATGAATAGAACAGTACTAGATGTACTGTAATTAACTGAATGCACTTACTGTATCACTGATGGCATACTTCAGATCTGGATTTATGTGCACTGTGAACTCCCAGTCGATTAGAAACCCCCTATTACCATCTCATAACAGATCTACAATCATTGCATTATTTAAGCTGCAGTTGCAATATAGAACCTTGTGTTCCTGACATCAGCAAACTATTAATTTCATGACAGGTGTCACAGGTCACACAAGGGTCCACAAGGTGCCACAGGCTTACAAACTTCACAAACATATAATAAAACAAGCAATGACCTTCGGTCGTTGTGTTCTATTTACAAAAGCAGAGACTTGTACACTATATGTTTGCTGTATCTCTCCCTTCATTTCCTGCTGAAAATAAGCACAGCGTATCCTGACATTTTTTGACGTGAGATAATAGCGCAGTATATAATTGACCATGCGCAAAAGGATCTGTTCTGAGAGCGATTCACAGTCCAGCTAGACCGATAGGGATGGAATGAAAACATGATATGCGAAATACAGTGGTTTTCGAGGTTGTGGAGCAGTTGGACTTTGACAAATCAACGATGCAGGGCAGTTATTCGTACACACGCATTTCTCACCAATCCTTTTTCCACAGATAGGTTCCGTTGTATCACGCATATACAGTTTATTTTGAGATCCAGTCGATGCGGAGGCACACCAGGTGCAGTTAGCATTGCTAAGTAGTCTGGGGTTTGTTCTGGTGCGTCGAAAGGCGCGTGGTCCGCTTCTTTTAAAATATCGGAACTTAGATAGCAATCTATGCCATTTTCAGTTTTCATGGTGTGCACTATCATTCATGACTCACGGTAATCACTAGGAAGAGATTCCAGAATTTTCTCATTGAAATCGTCAACTAATATGTTTCGTGGCGAGAGAAAGGCACGGTCGAGGCATGCACGAGCATCCGCCAGGATGTGCGCAGAAAAAAGAAAAGCACGTGCTTCGTCGATGTCGGTGGTCTTGTTTAGGAGCGGGAGGCTCTGTCGGCTGCCAGTCGTGTCTTCGCCAATTTCATCAACAAAGTGGCAAATTGAGGATCGGTAGCTGTGCACACGGGAGTGTGCAATGAGACGATGAGAGCGTCAGAGCTGCACAGCATGATGGGGTGGACACAATTGACACCGAGTGTGAAATAAATCATGTGATGAGACATGTCACATAACATGGTGATGATATCTTTTGGTATTTGTGCTTCGAAATCCACAAGCTTTACAAGGTGCCTTGTACAAGGAGGACTTAGCTGTAGGTTATGTGGGTCTGTACAAGCTTGTACAATAATGGCGTTCAAAGTAGATTTCACAGAGCTCGCTAAAGTTTGGTAAAGCTCGGTAAAATTGGTCCTGACTTAAGGTTTGTCACACTACGGCTTGGGCCAGCATCGATGCGGAGTTCCAAAAGACATGCCTGCCCTACAACCACAACTTCATCGTTCTGCACGACTGCAGACGCACTCTCAAATCACCTCCCCATGACGTTGCAAGATCAGGCTGAAAGTTATGGAGCCACCACCAGCTCCTCCTGCACGGGGAAAGGGAAAACGCAGCAGAGGAGGTAAAGATAGAGACACTACTCCTACTATTTCTATCAGCTGGCAATCAGTTCCCCAGCGGACCAATAGGCTGGTCAACTACCTCGTTGGACACCCACCAGATTGCCGCATTCTGTTTGCCAGTGAAAAAAGGAATTCAGCCAACCATGAAGCTGAGGGTCGCCCCTCAGGTAAAGACAAAAATGAAATCCATGCTGTCATCCCAAGAGTTATTTTCTCTGACGATCCTCAATATGCGGTGCTCTACGCGTCGAATCCCAACAAATTTCGGGACTCTGTATATAATCACATCATGGCGTAAGTGATCCCCCCTATTTTTATAATTATCAATGCTGATCAGACTGATCAAAGCCTCCGCACTAAATTTTGTGACATTCGTGCTGAATTCGAATCAACAGGTGCAGGCATCGTGCCCATCGATTCAGAGACGAGCGTGAATTTGCATCGTGAGTTTTCTCCTCTTTACAACAAATTCTCCTAATTAAATTTGTAGGTAAATACGAGAAGGACTTTCCCTGGTACAATCAGCTCTACTCCATCTGGGGCTCCCATCCATCATTCTCTGCCAAAACATCATCGTCAAAGCCAGGTGTTGATCACGCGAGCGATCTCTTTTCTCTCACCTGTCCTTCGGGTGGCTCTCTTCGTCCCCCTGCTTCCTCCAGCACTGATCCCGGCTCTCCCATGCAACTTGGCAATACGCCTCTCCCCAATGCTCAAGCTGGTGGTGTTGCTGGGTCCTCAACTGGACCCGCTTATGGCTGCCTTCCCCCAAGCGCCCATGCAGGTGGTGCCGCAGCCGTGGCACCACCTACCTCCCCCCAATTTTGTCACAGTCCCTCTGCTCCTGGAGGCAGTGGTGGTAGCCCTTCGCAATGGAAATATGTGCTGCCACCCCAAAGCGCTCACACCAATAGTTCTGCCGGGTCCCCTGTTCTTCTTTTCCCTCCGGTGCTACATCTCATGACGGTACTTACTCTCCCATCGCTCATTCCCCCACTGACGATTATAA